CTAGTCGACGTGTCGGCTGACCATTGCTACCCATTCCGTCGGTGTCGATGCCGTCTTTTTGCGAATGAGATTTTACCATTAGGAGGGGCTCGTACTTTCCGTAAGTACCTCAGCCATACATACCTCCATCTACCGGATCTAATATCCTTGGTGTGATGGGTTTATCCAAGGAATCCCTTATCAACTATGCCCCTATCGTGTATCATCCCACTGTCTCATTGTCGAACACTTATCCATTCAATTGCGAAAGCAAATATGACACCTATCCGTTTTAGATCTAGATACCAAGAGAAGAAAGACATAATTACGTTTTTGAATCCTCGTCATTGAATCCGGTAGCCCTGTCAAGAGTCCCGTACATCCTTGCCTTACACACCTCCTTCTTAAACTAGAAACAACAAGCGGCAGGACTGGCCACGGGTGATCCTTTCTTCGTTATGATTCGTATATCATCCAGTGTTTACGATCGAAAACTTGATCGCTAAAAGCCGTAACGGCCGGCCGATATGAGACAATATCGGAGTCCCAAGCGTTGATTCGGTCGAAGGGTTGAGACTTCAGCCGGACAACTTGTCAGCGGCAGACATCCCCGAGCGTTTGGGTACCCCCAAACTGGCTTCCCGAGCTTAGGAATATCGTAAATATAGAAAAAGAAGACCACAAAGGCTTGCGCAGGGCTTAGCAGGATATATTCTGGCAACACATTTCCAGCTTCAGTTTGAATTTCCTGAAATAGGTCGAGTCATTGTTGCAGTATACGTATCGGTAGCTAGCTGCTCTTGATAATTCCCGGGTCGAGAGACCTGGTCTCGGTACGTTGGCACATATGATACTCAGCTCAGGATTTTTCAATAGTTCTCCTCCACGGTAGAGTCTAAGATATGTAGTAGAATACTCCTGTCTCACTAAACCTAGACACACGCATATTTCAAGATCGTACTGCTGTATGGATAGATAGACTGGCGTTTCGTGTTAATGCGACAAAAGCCATTTTGTGGCACGAATTCCAAGTCCTTGATTTAGTAAACTCGTCTTTCAGCCGCTCAAGTCCACCAAAATCAGAAATGCGCTCTGCGTTTTGTCTACTTTTGCATATCTGTGGAGTCCTCTTTTGCTAGATCGAAGGGAATTTCGAGGGGCTTGGGGGGGGGGCTTTTCAAATTGGGCTGCTTAGTCTTTATGGTAGTGGGCAATAAGGAATAGAAATGGCATTTCAAATATTATATCTTAACTTAGGAAGGGATTCCCCGTATTAACTCTAGACTTCCGTAGCTGACAAAATTTCTGTGATCACGAGGGACAGGTTCTTCATGCAACATTCCACTAAGGTTAAGACCACCTTTTTTTTTTTTTCTATCGAAACCTACTAACGGGGTCCCCTATATTGACCATGTTCAAGATCGTATATGCTGGCTTGCTATCCATGGGTGGAAAGGGAAATAGGCTGTACGAATTTAAAACACTCACGACGTCGAGGAAGAAATTTTGACTCCAATGAGCACCGGTATGTAAAATTTTAACAAGATCTAGATGCCTTGAAGTACCGCGCAACTTATTCTTAGTTTTATTTTTTATTCTGAGCAAAATCCAATAGGTTACTGGATCCATCATGGAGCATGGAACTCCCCGTTTACTCCCCGCTGTCATCTTCAATCACACTAGGCCGCCGTGCGGTCGTCGATAAACGCAATATCGTTTCTAGGACCCCGCAAGATACCACATCACCTCCTCTAAGCACTTCTATTAGAGGCCTATCTTTCAAGAGCCATAACGTTAAGTTCATTAACGGTAGTTTGTAATAGGGAGTAAGATTAGGTCGGTGCGTCCCCCGGTCCGGTCCTCGCGATACCCGGAGAATCGAATCGATGTTCGGCGTTATATTTCAAAGCCGGATATTTCCTTTTGAAGCTGAGCTATAGCTCTTCGATTACGCCCTTCGACTTTCGCGAGATGACGGAGGAATCCACTACCTTTGTTGTCCGGACCTCTCTAGGGATACCAATTTCTCATCGAGACAGCCTCTCTTGTCACATTTTCGGCCACTATCTCTGGTCTAGACTCTTCGAAACTTCTTTTTTTTCGACTTTCATCTAAGGCAAATGGCCAAGAAGCTTGTGCCCGATGGTGGTTTTTGTTCTCGAGTAATACGAACAATTAATTAGATTGATCAATATCTGATATTGCCAACGAGTCATTACACCGAAGCTAACAAATCGCATCTGTGTGTTTTTAGTTTGAATATATCTCCACCGAGCTCGTGCGTTCAATCGAAACAGTTCCGAATAAGCACATATGTACATATGTACACTACGTATACTTTAAACCCCCCCTTAAAATTGATCACATGCTTTCCCATTTTTTCGATAGGTGGATGGACCTAAGACACTGCATCTCTATTATCTAAATCACAGATATACTTTCCCACTAGCCTGAATTCTCCAGCAGATCTAACTTTTAATTTCTCTCAGCCGACCTTCCGAATTGCCTCCCTTCTTTCATCCTATATTCCTTCTTTCCTCTAACTTCTCTGCATTTTAAGGCCCGACGAGCGCAGATTCCTAAACTCCGTTTTGTCATCTTAAAATGGGTCGCAGAATTCGGTACACATCCGCTTATTATTTCTTGGGTGGGCTCCACTCCACGCGATCTAGATCTCTGAGCTAAAGTTTCGATTAATTTGCTTATCCCCTCCCTTCAGCAAGCGCAAGTGGCTTAGTTACTAGTCAACGACGTCAGAGGCTGGAGCTCCGCTCGTCCTGAGAGTTGATTCATTAGCGGGAAAGGGCTCAACTAAAAATTCGTTCGATCTGATTTGCCGTTGTTCTACTTCCGAGAAATACGGTGCCCAGGACTGGCCTAGCACGTCGCAACAACATATATTCCTTTTATGCTATGGAGTACATACCTTTATATCGAAGAATCCTCCGAGCCGATGCGGATATGTACACTTGGCCTGGTTTGTTTTCAAAAGGAAAATTTCCGCTCGGGAGAAATAATATCAACGGCCTGTGCCAATTCATAAGGAAAGACATGAAGACATATGTGCCCGAGCGTCCCCGACCTGAGCCTCCGGGCAATTTCGATTCTGTGCGGTCTAGAATGTATTCGCATTGACGCAGGGTCCTTTGCTCTAGAGGTCATAAGTTCGGATGACTTCTTTTTTGAAAACCATTGCATTCGGGGAATTTCGAGATCTACAAAGCATTGCATTCGTCTAAAGAGGACAACCCCGCACAAGTCCGGTGCTGGGAGGAGCGAGAGGACAAGGAAGCTACCCAACTACCAACTAGCCGGCTCGTTATTCAGAAGTGGATCTGATCTGGCAGGAATACTGTTATGAATCGCCAATCCTCGTCTGCAAAGCTGTTAGCTGTAAAGTCTTGCTGACAGTGCATTGTCTGATCGACGGACAGCCTTCTCACAGAGGGTAGCTTGCCCAGTGTCTGCAGCTGTCGACAGAACAGGAAGACTTTCCTCATCCAGCCAGAAGGAAAAGTACACCCGCCTACGGCACGACTCCGAAACCCAAAACCAACGTCCATTGCAACAAATTATAATACCCCGTAAAGCCTGCTTTCTTCTTTTCTTCTCTTTTTTCCCGTATGTTTCATCTGAACTCAAAGTAAACTCGCCAACCGTCGCGGGACACCGCAGAGGTGTGTGGTGGACGGAGAGGCGTTAAATGGCGTCCCTTAGATCTATAGACACATTGTTGCTATTACCTCGCAACCCACTTGCTTCTAAGTGATAGCGCCTCCATACGGGGTAAGATGTGGTATACATTTCCAACTAATTGATGAAAAACGCTCCGTATCTCCGTCTATTCTGTAGATTTTTCCTTCGGTCCACACGAGGGAAAGGAACCATTTCGGCCAGCCTTAGGCCTTCGGGCGTTAATCTACGGATCAGTGGCTTCCACGACGTTGGTGCATGCAGTGCACACATGCACCCCCATTTGCATAATTTCCAGGTTAAGCCGTGCGTTCACCTTTAGCTATAATTCTACGCCTTTAATTGTCAAATATAGCCAGCCCTAACTAGACAAAATGTTCTGCCTAATCTAAATATTAACGAGTTAACCGATTAGAAGCCATTTATATGCAAGCGGGTAAACTTGTAGCGGGCTATTATAAGCCCAACCTATAGCTGCTCGACATGTAGGCAGATGCATGCGATATGGGGATATAATGTCGTCTCTCATCGGCTCGAATTCCACGAACCCAACCTCCTGGTGGAATGATCATGAGTCTCTCTCCTGGTTTTGTACCTAGATTAATTCCGTGCCTGGTTCATCTCTCCTAAATGAACGCTGTTGAATGATCTATTCGGATCTTTGCAGCGCTAGCTGAATTTCCTATTTCTCGTAACCGCCAGAATGCCCCGTGGACATGTTGTAAATACATACGTTTGCATACCTGAGTGTCCAAGCTCGGGCGGTAGTGCTCCTATCCCGCTAAATATAAAATCTGCAAATGCAACTTGCGACGGCGATTTCGAATTGAAGCCATCAAGGTCGCATCACTAGTAAATTTTCAAAAAAAATGTAATAGGGAAAAAAAAAAGAAAATGGGTGAAATGAAGCGGGACTAAAATAGTCAAAATGCCACGCCGATATTTCTTCGGATGGAGGAGCAATAATCCACACAAAACCGCGGTAAACCTTGAATCCAGATAAGTCTTGTATCGTAGAGCAAAATCTTTCATGTTCCCAGCAACGGCATCAAACAAATGAAAGGATAATTTCTCCGTAATACTCCCTAACTTCCCAAGACTATAATTTTCTTAAAAAAACTGAGTTCAAGATAATTGAAAGAGGAAGCAAGATAAAATAAATAAAAAATAAAAAAAAGAGAGAAGGAGAGCAGTAATCCACACACGCCATGACACGGGAAAAAAAATAATAATTTGAAAATAAAATAAAAGCAGACCCGAACTGTAAGAAATGACAAAAAACCAACCCCAGACGTAGGAAAACACCGTGAATCCAGCAAAATAATGTTCTACAAATCTATATCTCCTTTCTCTCCCTTAGCCCACAGCTTCCAGGCTCTCCAGTATCCTTCCTCAAGGCTCTTCACCCACCCCTGGGTATCGAATAATGCGCTCTTCCATCTCCCCATCACGAGTGCATGCCTCATATCTACCAACTCCCCTCTCCCTATACCATCCGCATCATAAACAAGACTACTAGCAAGCTCTACTGCTCGCTGCTCATACATGTCTTCGCTGTCAACAACAAGCCTCTCCGAAACTTCTCTTTCTTGTGGGGTAGCGTCTGGGGGCACCGATGAACGAACGATGCTAGCCGCGATCCTCGAACACATTTTGTATTCATGCCGTGGGAAGGTGAGTAGCGGACTGCCGCTCCAGAGGACGTCGGCAGCCGTGGTATGGGCATTACACTCGGGTGTGTCAAGGAAGAGGTCGCAGACCCTGGCTCGGGAGATATGTTGGTCTTTCGCAGCGACATCCGTAAAAATAATTCTACTAGCGACTTCGTCACCAGCCCAAAGTCTAGCGAAACGAAGGAGGTTGGATTCTCCAAGGTCTGGGAAGCGGAGTAGCCATAGAACGGCATTGGGGACTTGCATTAGAATTCGGAGCCAAGTGCGAAAAGTAGTAGGTTCGATCTGTAGATACCGCTCGTTAGTTAGCAAGAATTTATATTTAATATAAGAGTAACGTAAACAACTATCTTACCTTATAGAGTTGATTGAAGTTACCGAGAATAACCTTGTCATCGCTCAACTCGGGGAACAATTCCTTTCGCATTTTCCAACGTCTCGCCTGCTCATCCTTCCAGGATAACTGACCATCCTTGGAATCCGGCGAGCTTTGCTTGTGATCCGTACAGAAGAAAGTATTCTTTGAATAAATAACATTCTCTGCATAAATCCACTCGCCTTCCTCGTAATCTTCGCCTTCCCATTCTTCAACCCCACCTCTTTCCTCAAGATCCTCAAAACTAGCGGATCTACCCCACGGCCGCAGCATGTTCTTGGGAACCGCTGTCTCGTCTGCATATATGTAGTCACACCACTCAGCACCAAGAGTACCCGCAAAGCCCATGAAGCTCATTTGAAGGGGAGCCGGTTTGGCGGCAAACACTTCATTCCTTGCCCCACGGGTGAAGCCATTCAAATTGACTAGGATGTGTATACCATCATCTTGGATTTGCTTCACGAGCTTCTCAACACTCCATACGCTTGCATCTCGGAATATTGGTGCTTCCCCTTCGATCTTTCGGCGGTGCTGGGATCCATCACTCCCTGATGTTGCATAACAGAATGCCTTTACTCGTGTAGGATCGTGGAACCCAAACACGGACTGCATAAGGTGAGCAAGAGGGTGGTTGTTAAAATCAGAAGAAACGTAGCCAACATGGAGGGCAGGTGATGGTGGTCGGGGTGGCCGAGCCACGAACCGTGATAACCATGGAGCCTTGAGGGTCGAGCAAGAAATTCGCAACCCATTTCTCTGCGAAATCATCCTGACCTGGGAAACGGACAACGGACACGTAAATGTGTGGAATGGCAGGACTGTTGGAGCATTCGGGACAGATAACGCGGCGGGAACGACAGGCCTCCGATACGCTGCTTCGGGCTTTGTGATCCTTTCAACGTAGAGATCTTGATACCATCTCCAGACAAGTTTCTTGGAAATGCGCTCGACGAGCTGCACGAGCCTCGCCCCTTGCCAGCTCTGTCCTTTCCAGCTCTCGAGCATGGCTCTAAATCTGCTCTTGCGTCCCTCGCTCCATGTATTCCCATCCGCCCTCTGTGCATCTCCCAAGAGCGCCTCCACGACTATAGGACTAAAGACACCCTTCCCCCATTCTCTCCCTTCCCCCAACTGCCTCTCCACGATTTCCACCACCTTCTTCATCCAGCCACCCGCATCTTTGCCCCGAGAGTCGATCAACCTCCCGTCAGAGCCTACGTGCCATCTATCTACCTTGGCACCTACAACTCCTCCTCGACTAAACCAATCGCAGACGCTATTTAGAGCATTGGCAAGTCCACAAACCGCCTCTGCGAAATCGGGGTTGACTTCGACAGCTCTCTTATAATATCTGATAGCATCGGCTACATGTCCCTGATCTTTCACCGCGTTTGCCAAGTTGGCTAGTGCAATATCGAACCGCCCATCACAGTCGACAGCCTGCTCATACATTTTGATAGCACCTGATAGATTTCCCATGTCCTTCAAGAGACTGCCTAAGTTCGTATACAAATGTGCATGTCGAGGGTCTAACTGTAAACCATAGTTGTAATATCCAAGCGCGAGTGCAACCCCACTCCCTGGTGCTATACCTGGAATCTGAGGTAAATGGCTGCCGGAAGTAGGGACTGGTAGAGGTGAAGACTGCTGGACGCTTGCGAGTAAAATGCCAACATTATTGGCTGTCGAGGGCGAAGGGTGCAGCGCAAGCGACAAATAGTAGAGAGCAAGGATATCCCTTACACTGCTTGCCGCCTTGCCGATTTCCTTGCCAGCGGAGATCGCGTCCTGATAGATTTTTGCTAACGATAGAAGCGAATTGCTAGTGGTGTTGATCGCAGCCTTCCGTGCTGGCCCTACATGGACGTGTTTTAGTCCGGGTAGGTCTCCATGAGGTGGGAAGAGTAGCCTCGCGGTCTTCAGAGCACAGTCCGGGTTCAAGAGTAACGGGTCCCTCGAGTTCTTTATAACTCCGCTACCAGTCATACCGATGGCTTTCTCGACGGCACCAGCTAAAACGCCTAGAATTCCCCGAATGAGGCCTTCTATGCCTTCCTCGGGGCTCATAAGAGTGCCTAGGAGTACTGCGTGCTCGAATGCTTTTGCAGCTTGAAGGTTCTGCCCAACCGAATACAGCATATTCCCCTTCGCGTGGATAAGTTGCAATAGTCTCCCGTTTTCCGCAGGCGGAATGATATACATCGGTGCTGGGTTCCCTATGTTCACAACTCCACCACCGGCTGAACTCGACGTGGAGCCTCTGGAGCCTCCTTGCTGGTGCGAAAAGTAGTCTCCATCCTTAGCAGGGCCAGAAGGCGACTCCTCTCCCGGTGGGGAACTCATAGAGATAACTCCATTAGACCCATCCGTTGACATTGAATCCACGGAGCAATCCCTCTTCCAAAGTGGTCCACCAGCTGTTTGCCGCCTAATCGAATCCTCCACGAATCCAATCCAATTCACTGCCTCTATAGTCCTCTTTTCGGAGCACAACAGCGAAACAAGGTGTTCTACCGCTTCAAAGTATGCCGGTCGAATCTTTACAGCTCGCACCCAAAACCTCTCCGCATCAGCCTTATTCCCCATCCATAGTGCCGTTGATCCAAGATTGGTTAAAGCTTCGACATATCCAGGGTCAATTGTTAATATCTGTTCATACCGCAGCCTGGCCTTTTTAATATCCCCAAGCGCGTAAGATAAACATCCAGCAAGCAGCATACCCTCTAACCAAGTCCAATCGTCTTCCGCGCATTGTTTCTCCAGCATCTCCAACGCACCGTTCGCAACATGGATAGGTTGAGGTAAAATACTAGGCTGCAATGTAATCGGAGACCCGGTCGGACTAGCTTGGAACCCGACTGCTCCACCTAGTTGCTGTGGAATTTGCTCGAACCTCGGTTGGTAAATTGGTGGTTCCGCCTTCAGAACCCTGACATCGGGATGCCGCCTCCGCATTTCCGCCAAGCTTGTCATACTCGAAGCCCGATGTTGTGGTCCAAACCGTCTATTAAGAGGGAGTTGTTGCATGATATCTGCAGCTTGCTGTGGCGGTGTATTTCGCGAAGCAACATCTTGAAGACTGTTCAGCCTCCTTCGTTTCGACGCCCCATTCTCAACCTGTTCGCCTTGCTCCATGGTAGAGTCGAAGCCTCTAACTCCTCCTATGATTGGCAAAGCATAGGCCTCCCTCGCGCCTTTCATTCCACCATTCCCCCCAACCACAGTTGTCGGATCGGAGAAATGTCTTTGTAATTCTGGGCGTCCAGTGTACAGCCTTGCACCATTCCTCCAAATCCCACTCATTACACTTTTAGTCGTCAATCCAATGTGCCGGGGTAGTGGTTGAATTCTGAATTTTCCATTGTTATACATGGCGTTCTGTTGCTGCTGCTTGAGACTCATGAGTTCCACATAGGCATCGTTGCAGTAAACCAACATAACATCTCTTGACATGTCCTTCTCCCGCTCCTGAGATTTCGGGGATAGAGGATGTTGGAAAGGGTTCCCTGGTGTGACATTCGTATTGATTGCTGTTTGCTGTGGTAGATGTAAGTTTGTAGCTGGTAAGTTTGAAATCGGATAAGGTGTCTGCTGACGGATCTGCTGCTGCTGTAATTGCATTGGATGCGGGCTGTAATATCTGCGGTAAGGCATAGGTCCTTCCATACCAGCTCCAAGCATGACAGAAGGCGACCAAGCATTGGTCGGCGAGTTAAACCCCAGAACCGCAGGCATCGGACCACCATCTTGCACAAGCGCACCAAGTTGGGGATACGAGAACGCCATAGGATGCTGATTAGGAATCATTTGGGGAAACTGTGGCATGTTGTTTTGCGGAAACGGTATACCACCATTTTGTAGATGCTGAAATGTCGTGAACGTCGGCGTAAGAGATTTGCGTCCTTGGAAATCCATTGGCACGGGAGTGGCATTATTGCTTCTGCTAGGAAAAGCAGAATCATCAACTGATTCATGCTGTAATGGGATGTTGATGTTGAGGCTGCTGGGGTAATGAGCTCCGATAGAAGCTGCTGGTATTCGGCTCAGGTCTGTAATTTGAGGCACTGATCCACCACCGTTGAAGAACTGCTGCCGTACCGGGCCACTGGCATTGAGCATCCCACCTTGTGTGGCCATCACCGGGTTCGTTGGTGTTAGAGGTTCGACTAGATCACCAGTATTCCCATTATTTGAAAATAAATTTGCCGCCATAGATTGCTGCTGTTGCTGAAAGGTAGTTGTGAGATTGTGTAGGGCAGCCATGTTACTAGGCATCATCCCGGAATTTGCCAGGAGGATATGTTTCCTAGGTCGTCCAATCATTGCATCGTCCGCTCCTTCTAGTTGCACAATGCCGCTGCCACCGGGGAAATGCATGGGTGGAGCAGCATCGAATCCTCCAATGACCATCCCACCTCCAGGTGTCTTCCTTCGTAGTAGTGTTTCTGCGGGCGTGGGTCTCGATGGTAATGGAGAAGCGTATATTATTGATTGTCGATTCTGTCCAACAGCATTACCACTTCCACCAGCAGCTCCAATCCTATTCCACCCCCCTACCATCCCCTCTATCCCCACAGACATGTTACTATCCCTCATATCCGAAAAGGTTCGTTGTACAGGTGTTTTAGGAGAATCTGTTTGTTGTATGGAATTTGATTGTGGATTAAGGTTACTTGTAGAGAGTGGGGCCAAATGCCTGTTACCAACGTTGTAGGATGTCTGTGGGCCATGACTGGACTGGAAAGGAGGAAGAAGTTGGGAAGGGTGCCGATGGAATGCTGATGGCTGCTGCTGCTGAAGCAAGGAACCGAATGACATGCTTCACAGGCCGCCAAGACCAGTTATGGGGTCAGCTATATCGATAATAGCGTGACCGTATGTAGAGATGCTTTGTAGATATAATATTATTTCAGTCGATGATGTATTTGCGAATGTAAATGTTCAATATTGGTAGACGGGGTTGTCTCAATTTCGACAAGACCGTAGGTATAAATGAATAGTATTATTAGGTTGGAGACTAGCCGAAATAGCGTTACTATGCAGGACCCACTATCATTAGTAAATATTCCGGGCTCCAACGGATGTTTCTGATCCAAGGAAAAAGCAGCTCGTGGGAGCGGATAACAGAACGACATGTGGTATGTATATGGAAAGGTGGTATAGAGACGAAGCCAAACTGACAGGCCCGCCACACATGCTGTATCTAGCATCTGCTACACCTGCCATAAGGGAACTCTGCAAATGCAGGTAAACGCGGGAAGAATGACAATGACAGGGCAGACAGGGAAGGGAGTTCTTCTTACCTTAAGGTGTCAAGAAATACACCTCCAACGGACAGATATAGGCTGAAGTAATTCGAAACCAGTAAAGATTTAAGACGGAAGGGAGCTGTAGACATGCAAAAAAAAAGAAAGAAAGAAAGAAAAAGAAAAAAGAGAAAACTTTGGAAAAACGAGGACCAGATTATGAAAATAAGAAAGCAAAAGCGCACTAGAAAGGATATCTTGGTGGCTATCACGGAGCCTTCATGTCCACGGTCGTCAGCGTCAGGTCGTGTGTAGTTTGTATGCGTTTCCTCCGCTTTCCTCGCCGCGGTCGCACTGTCGATATCAGGTCCAGTTTTGCGTCAAGGGAATCCAGCTGAGGAGTCCAACTTGCACTATCGATTATAGATATGTATTATTCTGCCAGTGCTGTTGTAGTGGTAAAATGCTGTGTCTATGTATGCATGCGCGGGATTATGATATGGAGCTGGGGATGGTGGTGTATTCCGTAGATAGATAGAGTTATAGCGGGTGGAGAACTCCGTTGCGCAGGGAAGTTGTTTTAGGACAACGGTCTTGGGAACAGGATGTCGTCTTTGTCGTTAACGGCAGGCGTGCTAATGAATTGAACCCCGAATTCGAAGCCCGGAAAACTTCTGAGACCTGTGCTGCTGGCCGTCTCCGTTAGAATCGTACACACGAACGGGCGGTACAAATCCGAATGAAAATACAATACAAGTTCTTGAAGGGGAATCGTAAAAGTAAGAATGGACAAGTTAAGAAGTCTTTTTTTTTTTAAAAAAAAAAAGTATTCCGGTTCCGCTACGTAATGCCTTACGATGCAAGGGGAAGGCTGAAACTATGTAGCTAGCGAAAGGAAAGGGAACTACCAAGACTTTGATTCCAAGGTGAAGTGACAGTAGGACTAAAAAGGGAACTGCCGGCGGACGAGGGTCCCGAAAGTTGGAATGAGTCTGGGATGAGAAGTGATAGGTATGGTATCGATCTGGGAAAACATTTTGCTTCTAGGTAAGATGAGACCTAGGATGGGATTGTATAGCTGTAGAAAACAGACACTGATAGACCAAGCATTTGCTAAGTTAAGTACGGAGCACTACGTACTATGACTAGGATACGTACCGCAGTACCGATGTATACTCAAGCATGTATGAAATACGAAACGGGATGATGGGATGGGATAGAATATGCGTATAAAGTCGCAATTCTCACCCTCCGATCCACAGAAGCTGTAGAACGTTCGAAACGAAGAGATGCTCTGCTGACTGTACTGCAGAAACAACGTGGGTAATAAATATATCAAATGGAGGGGTGTGGTGGAGCAATTGTGGATCTTGGAATCAAATAATCTGGAGCGTACCATAGTTTTTTTCTAGCCAGCCAGCCAGGTCAGGTCAGGTCAGGTCAGGTCAGGTCAGGCACCGTAGTTTCGGACTTTAAAAGGAATGACAGCGCTGCTGCAGCTGGAGGTTTTGGCTGAATGGCAACATCTCAATTGCAGGCGAATCAGAAACCTCCAGGACTCGCCCACGCCGCAGCTTCAGCTCTTTACTAGTCCTTTTGTAGACGAGGGGGAAGAAAAGGAAGAGAGAGGGGAAAGGAAAAAAAGAACAACAAACAGGACGAATGAACGAACGAACGAACGAACGAAATTGATGGCGTATCAACTCTGCATTGGATATCCAACGGCTTCAACTTTTTATTCTTTTATTTGATTATTCCCAACATCAAGCCCCCAAAGAAGGTGGAGAGGCAGGGTAACTAGTGCGACCATCCCTCTGTAGCCTTCCGTTGAGGTTTCTTTTCCAGGGCTAAGGTTTTTCTCGTCTAGGTCGCACAAAACTTTGCCAAAATGTATAGTCCCGCTCGTCTGGGAAAGGACGAACGCAATCCTCGGAAGCAGCGTGCCTCCCTCTCGTAGGCTTTGTGCGTCACAAAAAAAGAACCATACCTACAAAAACCCAAACCCAGGCGGTGTGCGTGCGTATTCTCGCCAGGTTGCATATTCCAGCTGGAAGAACCCCTCCTCGAACGGGTCTTTGCATCTTTGCTACCCCCGTCTCGCGCAAGAGAAACGCAGAGCGCAGGGACTAGATGTATGATGAATATATATTGAATAATCATACAATAAGAAGCAAAGGGATCGGGAGGCTGAAATAACGAGGTGAAGAAGGCAGAGCAGCAACTGTCCGTACCCGTCTTACGGATGATCAAATGCAATTCATATGTGCTTACCCTCGATAAACGTACAGCTCTAGGCTCCCCTCTCCGACGCGGGCAACTCGGCCTAGTGCTTTCTAATATGTCGGCAGGCGGGGTTCAAATGGATAACCGACCCAAACTTCTTGGTTTCCTTTCCCTTTTCCTTTTGTTTCTTGTGCCCGCTTCGTCGACGAAGATAAGTATGTATTGTCGGATCCGAGATCGCGGTCGGTTACAATACCCGACGCTTTTCCCTCTATCCTTCCTTCCTTCCTTCCTTCGTCCCTTCCTTCCTCCCGTCCGTATCCCTTCCTGTCAGAAAAATTGAATAAGCTTGTGCGTCCGTCGCCCAATATCGAATCACCGAGTGAAAGAAAAATATAGGAGGAATATAAGAAAGATACGATATATATTCAAAGGGTCGAGCCACGAATCTTTAAAACCAAAAGATGTGGATCTCTTTTCCCTTTTCAATGAACAAATGTTGACACGGGTTTCTCCACCTTACACGCTTCGTTTTTCTTGCCCTTGTCAGTCGCTTTTTCTTGGGTCTCGGAGAGAAAGGCCCGAATAAGAAAATATAGCGAGAATGAGAGGAGACAATTAAACGATTCCCGTTTCACACCACCCAGTTCCATACTTGACGGCCCCAGACGGGTGCTCTGAGTATTAATATACCCCCATCGATTTCAGTAGATCTCTATTGACCTTCGCTTTCCTTCTCTTCCTTCCCCTCTTTCGATATCGACGTCGCCCAATATCGGTTCATCCCACAACATTATCCTTCGACACACGCAGAAAGTTTTCCGTAATCTGCCAAAGTTTTCCGACAAGCCTGTATGTCAAAGGAAACCCCTTTGCAATGTATCCTATTCGACAGGTCAGGGGTGGGGTGGTAAGCATCAGACCAGGGTTCTCTGCTGCACGAACGGCATGCCCAGTGCGCTCGTCCACCAAAAAAACCCTAATCGGTCAATCCAAACTGTGCCTTTTTACATAAAAAGCCGCCATATACGGTAATTATTACTTTCTATCAAGAAAGTGAAGGGTTTGCCGTCATAAACGAACATCGATCGCAGGTTGTCGGAAATCACATATGTCCATGCATTATCTTTCGTCCGAAAGAAGGGACCGGCTACATACTCCTCTGATGTTAATTCGATATCCAACAGTTTGAAACATGTTGACAAACGGGATGTTCCATATAACCATGCCACAAAGACCCCAACCTCTCTGACGTTACTAACTCCACCGATCTGCCATTGATGAACGCCAGGGGAAGGGCTCCGCAGCGCCAAGTTGTTGGATACGACGAGGCGTGGTGTCGCATGCAACTGGTAACCCATGCACGGTATGGCCTCTTCCTGCCCTGTCTGTGGTGTGATATTAGCAGGTACAGAAGATCACTTTTCTTGAATATCAAATTTCACGGGTCGACAGGAATGGATAGGCTTGCGACGCTGCTTGCTGCGTAGGATTCTGTGGCGTTTTCTTAGCAGCAGATTAGATACAGAGCGCGTGCTGCAGTTCTCATTCTTTCTTTTGCGGGATTCCGGCTATCCGATGACTCCATTTAATGCATTCAAGCAAAAGCTTGGAAACCTTTGGTTCCTGTCTTGGACAAATGAGGCTCCAACACACAAATCAACACATCGAATCTCTCCAACATGGACCCGACGTCTTAGCTTCCTCTTCTAGCCAGAATTCCTCTTTCATCGAACTAACTTGGGGACCATGCGAAACTCAAAAAAAAATCTAAGAAGATACAGAAGAAAAAAATATAGATTTAAACTCTCTCATCGATGTTCAATGGTTGTAGATTGATTGATGGGTCTGCATATTAAAAGTCGGGAATAATGTGATATTCGATATTGGTCTGATATAAATTACCTGCAAGTCTCAATCCACATCCCGGTCCGCCCTATGAAATCCACCCGCTAAGCGCCGGAGATCTCGTCGTGATATCTCAAATGTGAGAGGGAACCTGTGTAGCACATGACTGGAAAATGAGCTCACAACATTTGGCCTTCAAGTTTCTCACTGGTTCGATCTTCAGGTTGGCCGGGTTTTCCAAAACAGTTATACTAGGTACATACATTACCTCCACATGTAAGTACCTAGGTATGCACTTAACTTTCTGTGTAAGTAAATACCTAGGTATATATGTACTTAAGCACCTACATAGGCTAAAAACTGGTGCATGCCATGAAGAGTTTGGTTCTTTTGTGCCACGCATGCATGGGATGTTGGATCTATGCGGTGCATGCATGAGTCCGATGCGCCGGCTGATAGGATTCCCATTATATTACTATTCGAGAACAAGAGCCTATGTACCTACACGGGCCTCGGGCAAAGTGCATCCAATATGTAACGAATGAGATCACGGACGCGGTTCTAATGAGATAAGGATCGTAAATTTATCATCTGGTCCTCAAACACATCTTCTCTATTCTCTATACTTTTGATACTCCAACAATCCTCTGACCCGCGAATGGAAATAAAATACCCAGAAAATGCGAATGCAAGATGTAGAAGGGAATATAATGGCGTCTCGGAATACAGATGCAAAAATCGAATAGACACGGACTCTGAGAGTAAGGGTATGTGGAAAGGATGTTTTGGTAAGTAATAACAACGAAGAAAAGACATTAGCGGAGGCATGGTAAGGGTGTATAAATTATAAACTCAGAACAGGAGCGCGAAAAAAAGAGAAGAGGAAGAAAAACATTGGGGAATGTAAAATGTGAACGAAGAAAAATAAGTATACTATACATGAATGAAAGAAAGAAAGAAAGAAAGAAGGGAGCGAAAGAGGAAAGAGGAAAGAGTCGAATGATCATCACGGTCATACATTTTTTGGAAGGGAGCCCCTCCCCCGCCATCCACTTGAGCATCACCCCACCATCACCCCACAACCCACCTCTATAAAACAGTCAACTCCAACCCCGTTTAGATTTCACCCAGACCTCTGATTCTTTTCCATTCTTCTTCTGTTGGCTTAACCTTTGATCGCCCAAAATTTTGATCCAAATCCAAAATAATCTTTAGAGCGTTTCTGCTCCTCACCCATGGCATATCCCCACTGAAATCCCCTAGGCCGGTTGCATGTAACCTTCCGGCCTTCTTATTTAATCCAGACAAATCATCTGCATCATGTTCTGGGAACGGTGCGATATTCTGCAACACCTCGTACGCTGCGAGTGTGAAACCAAACTGTGGCGATGATCGGAGAATACGGGCTGGGCCACCCTTGAAAAAGGCCTTGAACCCCTCCTCCTTGTAGATAGTACTTGCGCAATGGGTAAGACCACGGTAGCTTGTTTCGCCTTTTCGGGCTTCGACTTGGAGACGAGTTTTAATGACATCGCAGGGAGTAGTCAAGTATCTACCCGGAAAATCAATTAGCATCCTCGGGATTCTTAATCCAAACCGACGGCGAGCAGGATAGGAAACTTACGCTGCGGGCATACCGGCAATAGCTCCGCTGATCAATAGTTGCGCAACTCCCAACCTTTTCGTCTCACTCTCACCAAACCAATCCTTTTTCATATGCGAATATGTCGGGAAATAAATCGCACTGAACGGAATATCACGCAACAAACACGCACTGGCGCCCTTGTACAAGCCGAGTAAACCCAAGTTCTTTACAATCCATAGAGCGGAACGACGAGGCATCCCCGGGGTATTTTTCGCGATTTCTCCTTGAACCTGGAGACGAATTTTAACGATTTCCAACGGGCTAGGTAAGGATATTGGGGTTAGCTAACAGTTTTCACATTTAGGCCTCCTATGATGTAGTTTTAGTTAGACTCACTTCGTGAAGATGACCTGACAACCACCAGCAGTTCCACCAGCTACGATTTCCCATGGTAGGCTGATACCTTTGCCCTCTGGGCCCGTTCCCTTCGCATAATCTCGTATTATATCGTTCACCGTCAATTTGATCGCCTTTTCTGGCGCCACACCCACAAGCTGGGGTCCCAAACCCCTGTACAACCCCGTAAACCCTTCGTTTTTGATGACCTTTTTGGCGCAATCTATCGAGTTGAGATACAGCCTCTCACCAACAACGGTAACTCTTTGGTTCTGCATTCGAGTTTTTACGAGATCGATTGGGTAGACCATGGTAGCACCGAAAGCACCCGCGATGGCGCCGAGACCGAAGTTATACATGCTTTTGAGAACAGTTTGGAGAGGTTTGGGACCGGAAGAAACGGCGGCGGCAGCCTTTTCGGACGACAAACGTTCGCTCGGTTTCCAGCTTGGATCGACGACTTTGGCGAAGTCCTGGATGGAGAGACGGCCGGTTTGGTTGTCTAGCGATGCAAAATGGAATAGCACGTCGGCTTCCATGGGTGTGAAGGTACCCCATCTTGATGTTTGTGCAGCTTCGTTGATGAAATCAGCACGTGTGATACTCCCGTCCTTTGATCTCGAGATTGCTTTTCGAACAATAACCTCGACGAGGTCGATATCTTTCATTAAGTTCTGGAAGGCACGCACGTGGGCATATGAAATTTTGGAGCTGAGTCCCACATTGCAGAGTGTGTGAAGATTTTCGAGAAGGTGGTCGGAGAGCTTGTGCTTTTGTGTCTTAACGATGATTTCCTCGAACTCGGCCGGTGTGATGTGACCGGTGCTCTTTTTGTCGAAGTGAAGGAACGCTTGTCGGACACGTTCACCCTGTACACCCCGCAACATCTGTGAGAATTGGGCATAGGTGAGTTCTCGGCGGGCCTTTTGACCGCCAAGGTAGAGAGAAGCCCATGAAGAGTTCCAATCAAATGGGAGGGCATCGGCGGACTTGTTTTCTTTGTATAGCTGGATGAAGTCATTGAAATTTACGACACCGGTGCCATCGCGGTCAAAGAGACGGAATGCGATTTCATATTCAGCATCTGGTTTCGACAGAAGGTTTTCGAAGAAAGCGTAGTCTTGTACGGTAATCTGGCCTTTCTGACTGCGATCTGCGACGAGGAAAAGAATACCATATTGCTCGCGAGGAATCTTATGGTATGCAGCGGCGACAGAATTGGGGGGAGGGGTGATAGCTTCGATGAAATCGACTTGGGTCATAAGCTTCACACCCTCCGGCGATGCGGAAGAGGCATACTTGTCAAAATGAGCGTGGATTTGGGCGGAAGCTTCCGGCGCAGGAGCATCATGGCCGACAAGAACGTCGACGACAACAGCAGCGGTCTGCTGCGATTTGCTCACGACCTCATCGGTGAGGCCAGCCATTGTTGGTGTTTTTTAATGGGTATATGTGTATGTCTGCTGAAAGAGTCTTGTATCGATGATAGAAGCACCGGATCTAGGGTCTATCTATGTTTGTCTGTTACTATAGTTAGCAAGATGATCATTGTGGAAGGAGCGAATGTGACGGTTTGTAGCCCCACCGATATGTTTGTCCTACCCGAAAATTTTTTTATGACGTCGTGGCTGTACTGTCGGACCACCAATTGAGGGGCACCGAAGCTGTATATAAAAGTTCGAGATGGCGATAGACCGGCAGGAGGGAGCGACGGGAGGAGCGATTGTGGAGAAAGCACTTGGACGTGGAGAAGATGTCTGGGGAAGGAGGGATTGAAAGGGGAAGGGAAAATGGGTGAGGTGTAGTTAATTTCGAGTTAATGTTAAGTTAGCTTCTCCCACCAAGCTAAGCTCAATACCCTCACACAATATAAAATTAAAAAAATAAAAAAAAAATACAGAGAATTGGAGATATTCAACCGGATAATACAAAATCAGTAAAAAAAAAAAAAAAGCTATATAAAAAATAAGGGATATGGCTTGAAGGGAGCTAGATAATTAGTCGGAGCCAAGATGGCGCGAGGCGGGGAGTCAAATGCAAAATTTGTTTCACGGCCGGCAGTCGACTCGAGGCGGCTGCAGAACTAACTCGCCGACTGAACAATGAATGTTAAGTACTAGTGGCATCTACCCCACGCAACGAGATGACCTTATTAGCATCCGAATCCTCAAATATTATTACGAGCTGAATGGATGGGATTTGGAAAGTAACCGAGGGGGGTAGAGGTTTTGGCCGAAATCGCAGGAGCTCACTTTATATATTTCCAGCTTCGAACGAAAATGCCAGCCCAGTGACCAGGGGATGTCGGAAAGAGCTTGTCCCATGCCCCGCCCAGGTGGATATTCCGAGCGCTCTTTCGCATGCAGGCACGAGGGCCCTGAAAGGGCTTCAGAAGCGAATCGATGATGGGGTCAATAAATTAAGGTACGGTGGGGTCCTTTTTTTTGTCGCCATATTATCTTATCTTGCCTTTTGGCTAAATGTATCCCGATCATTGACGTACGCATACCGGTACATCTTTTCTCTGGAATGACAGTCGGGATCTTGGGATTCCTTTTGACGTTTCCACGGTTGTAGACACTTGTATATCCCGGTATAATCTGTTTGTTTCTGCTGTGGAGTTATAATTAGAGGCTGGTTTGATTCGATGACCGGGTGAAAGGAAGGTAGTAAAGGCAGAACGGGACCCTGATAGTGGTCAAATCAACCCCACAGAATAGCGGCATTCGTACATGCACATACATACGCACTCCGTACCACAGTAGATACTCCGTACTCCGCACTGTTACGTGGAGATCTGGCGCTCAATCGGAGACTATTCCAAGTCCAGAACGGCGGTTGCGCAGCGATCTGCCTAGCCTTGATCTAGAACAGATACTTTAAACTTCTTTGAACGACCCAAACCGCCGGATGATACCGCCGTTGTCTGATGCCATGGCATACCGGAGTTTATACACCGGCTGGCGGAAACCGCCCCGCCACTGGCATTCGCTTCTGGAAGAAGTCGCAAGACAATGTATTCAATTGATCTATGACGGGGGTATTCGCCTGCGGAATGTGCATATATGTAGATAAGCAGAGATGTCTAAGCATCAGTATACATTGTATACATGCTATAAGTAGTAGTGTAAATATGTTCGATAGGTATCGATATCGATTCTGGATCTTGATCTTGATGGAAGGATGGATGCATTGCATGAAGTGCCCAGTTAAAGTTAATTAGCAGCACAGCTAAGCATGTTGTATTAGCTTTAGTTGAGATCTTACATAAAGAAAGGGTCCGTGCCTACCAAAGCCAGTCGATTTCCCATCATCCGAACTCCACTTTTAGAATTAAGCTCTCATCGAAAACGGATGGCTAATTTGTCATATACACATGTATACTGTACTTGTGCTTCCTTGTAGATGTGATTATAATTATGTGACTGGGTCGATCTGTAGGCGTGTGTGGCTTGATCTCTAGAAGAAGTGGCTGGTAACAGCGTAAACGTGGAAAATATGGCTAGTGATGTATCGGTAACACTATGTGGCTAGTGTATGGCTGTGGCTGGTACCTGTCGACGTGAGGCAGCTTAGCTCCGTTCAAGCTCCAAAAGCGCAGCTTCATGACTACAAACATTCTCAACCTCTCTGCCATCTCTTCTCGCCCCTCCATCGGAAACATCTCAGCTGCTCGCTATTCAATCTGCCGTCCTCTACCCTCTGAATAGCTTCCAGGCTCCTTCGATCAAATAGTAGTCTAGCATGACGGATATCTTCTCGATGGTTGACGAGCAAGGCGGGGCATCCAGCGCGCCCGCATACGAAGAGTATGAGCAGGCTCCCACACAGCCACCGACGAACACGGCTGTTATTCTCGTGACCGGTACGTGTTTCTTTGCATACTACTTCGTTATCAATCTAATGTGCGATTGCACCTACAGACTTACCGAGATTCGATTTGGAGCAGTACATCGGAAACTACTCTGGTATTCAGTCACAGCCATATTCCCACCATCGAAAGATATCAATAGTACACTATCTAACCGCTCCCCTTCAGGCCGTATGAAAGTCACCCGTCTCCTTTTCATCGGAAACCATTGCCCCCCCCTCGCCGTCGAAGCCCTAAAAACAGCTATTTCCATCGTGAAGGCCGATCGTGACGTTCGCCTCTATCGTCAAGCCGTCCAGAGTCTACAAGTTTATGCAGCAAATGACCCAGATGCCAAACTAGATGAAGAATGGATCGAAAAGACTACTCGGGAGGTCAAACAAAAGACTGATCGTCTGGAGGCTGAGCTGAAAAGTTATAAAAACAACATGATCAAGGAGTCTATACGCGTATGTAGTCCTTGGTTGACTATGTTGCTCCATACTATTTATCTAATTGGATTTTCTTTCGCTAGATTGGTCATAAGGATCTAGGAGACCATTTCTACACCACCGGTGACCTCGCTTCCGCCTACAGAGCCTTCTCTAGGATGCGTGATTACTGTACGTCTAACAAACAGATGTTGGATATGACGCTATCCTGTATCCTTATTTGCATCGACCAAGTCCAATACACCTCCGTTCAAACCAACGTTGCAAAGATCCGTAACCACATCCGCTCGGACGACGACCTCAAGGTCCATCAGCCTAAAGTCAGTATCGCCGCCGGTGTGGCCTTCCTCGCCAGCGGGAACTACCTAGACGCTGCAAGATCCTTCATCAGCACTAGCCCTGCTGTTGGTAATGACTACAACACCGTCGCTACCATGAACGATATAGCTATCTATGGTGGTTTAACAGCCTTGGCCTCCATGGACAGAAACATGCTCAAAACAGAAGTTTTGGAATCTACAACTTTCCGCACCTTCTTGGAGCTGGAGCCACACATTCGCCGTGCTCTGACGGCTTTCCATTCCTCGAGATATGGCGAATGTCTATCTATCCTTGAAGCCTACAGAAATGACTACCTCCTCGACCCCTTCCTTCAAAAACACATTGATAAGATCTATGAAGCTGTGAGGACGAAGAGTATCGTTCAATACTTTATTCCCTTCTCCTGTGTTACACTAGATGCTATGAGCACCGCATTCGGCGTTCCTAGTGAACAAATGGAAAAAGAACTCGTCCGACTCATCGAAAGCGGCAAATTACACGCTAGAATTGACACCCAGAACCGACTAGTAACCAGCAAAGAAACCCAGCTAAGGGTGGAAGTGCACAGAGGGACGTTAGCAATGGCAGAAGAGTACGAGCGGGCCGCAAGACTAAGAATGCTGCAAATAAACGTCGTTCGAAGTGGTTTAGAAATCAAACCTCCAAAGGGACAACTCAGCGGACAAGGACCCATGGGGCCTGGTTTGGGTGGTAGGGAATTGAGAAGTATGATGTTTGGAAATGGAGCTTAGAAAGCTGCAGTTATAGGTATCAGATGGTGTATAGGGATTGTACTGCCTATTGCATTGCTTGCGTCCATTTTTTTATGGTTTTTGTTGTTAGTGCTGGAATCGGGGACCATGGCGCTTCATTGAATAAAGATGATAGGTTCTATTCAAGAATATTATTGACAACCTCCTTTATGCTTATCTGCCTGCAAGCGGCTTGGGGTGTGCAGTCTGAACCAGAAGCTCGTTACTTTTGGAGTTCGTTGCTTTGGCTGAAATTAAATTACAAGAGGCACTAATATGTGGCTGCATACGGAGTCCGGCGCTGCACTATCAAGAACGATGCATGTGACTTTATTGGAAGACCATTATCGGATCTGATTACTGTATTCGGGGACGAGGCTTCTTCAGGTTAGGAAATCTGCTTCGGGTTACTTGTTCAGCGAATTGTAGTATCTGCACTGTTAGAGCTCGTGTGAGAAGGGTTCCTAGATATCCCCTCGGAGACAAGATTTCAGGTACAATGTGCATCTCAGTGCAGTATCAGAAATGTATGCACAACTTGCGGGGAATAACCTTTTCTTATATATATGTGGATACGTGTAGCCTGTGGCCTGCCTGCAGATGCACGCGACAGAGAAGGCCTCAGAATAGACCATCCGGATATCGATATCAGGCCCTGGCGCGATCTGATATCGCTTTCAATTGGTAGACTCCAAGGAAATCAAATTAAATTAAGACTTACAATTACTAAGGCTACCAAATTAAGTACGTATCTGGGGAAAACAAAGGAAGGCCTATCGCGGAGACGGTCTTGCTATGATATACTATCAATCCTGTTATCGACTTGCCAGCGTGATCTTTCAATAATGAGGCGTGCCGGTGTTGAACGGGATAGTTAAGTATATAAATTTGAAAAGTACCCAGCATTTGAGTCTTTTAGGAAATATTCCACGCCCATCATAGGAAAGACTAACTAGAATTATTATGATTACCGAATTGTATTAGGAGCTAGAGTATATACTAACGTTGTAAAACGATTTTCAGAAAACTATCACGATCATTAATATCGCGATTGGTTCAAACGGTCCGAAAATTGGGAATGTGGTTGCAGTTATAGTGGCAAAATCCTGGAAGAAACCTAATCTTCCTAGCTGCAAAACCCCCAGTTTAAGCTCGTGGACATAACTAATAGGTATGCAGACATGTATATTTCCATAACTTGTAGGATATATTGGGTTTGTTTCCTCCGCCTCAAAGGCGCCTAAAGTCGGGGCTAGTCTATTGTGAAGTTAATTTGCCCGCGGATTAGGCCTACGCGCATATCAACCAGGACAAAAGTGAAGTTGGTCATCCGAGGAGATGCAGGTCGGTCCTAAGGTTTCGGGATGTGCCGTGCCATCGGAAACAAGTTTTGAGGAACCATTATATTAGAAGGACCAAATGTTGATACGGGTATACTGCCAACTTATGATTAATTAATCGATGGTAGGTATACTAGTGTCGTTATAATACACTATGAGGTGGCAAATCTGCACTTACGGTCAATCGATTCTGGGGACTGCGCAACAAACCACGACTGTGCATACTACTTCCAAGCGGTATACATATACATATCCTGAGGATGAGATGCCGTGTGTAATCATAATGCAATGTATGTCTATCGCGATTCAATGCGATACAGTGCGTCGAAGTACAACACGACTCCAACTGCATAGCTGTGCAGCTGTGCTAAAAGGGTAATGGTAATTGTGGTTTGAATTCTGGTCTGCGACCTGTCCTGGCCTGGTCAACTCGTTAGGCGAGGCCGAAGGCTGAGGGCAGACAATTTTTAACAAAACCCTGACCTGCATGGATCCTGGATTAGCTCTTATCTTGTCATCCCGACGATAACTGAGGCCCTGGTCCTTGTTATAGTCATCAATATTGTGTATCGATCTTAGCATCATTCCGTCCGGCCCGCTCCTTGTTAGTATACTTATTTTGTTGCTATTATTGCTCGCTTGTGCTGGGGAAAGGGAAGCTGACCGCGCAACTTTAAAATAAATTGTCAAAGTGTGCGCACTACTACCCGGGATCTCGCTTTCTTCCGTGTATGATGTATTCGTCGACTGGTTGACTGCTGCTAAAAGCTGAGCGGGCGCTGAGGTTGATGTGGTCAAATTTTCAAATTTACGTATTTGTTTTGTCGGGAGGAAAGAAAAAAAAAAAAAAAAAACTGCATGTAACTGTCCTAATCGCAGTCGCATTTACCTTTGGAGAGTATCCCTGCCATGAAAACCTTCGACCAGCTTTGGCTATGCAATTTTCCACAGTCAACGCTGTGTCCTGGTGCCTGGTGGTGTATGGATCGGTGGCAAATCATAAAATTTTTAGGCTGAAAATCCGATGTGACCAAAATAGAGAGGACTACTCGCCCCGGTTCCGTTATTAATTAGGACATGGCTATCCTCCTGGTTATATCAGTTTTGGATTATGAACCAGGCCACCTTCGCTTCGGAGAGCTTGCTGTGTTGGCAGGTTCAAGAAGTTTCTTTATTTTCCCTAGTGATCGTAGGGTTTCACTGATCCGTGCGTATACGGGTATATATGAGCATGAGATGGCCTGGAGTGATGAATCATCAAATTGTATTCGAGATTTGTCGAACCTTCGTAGGTCTCTGCCGCAATTGATGGTTGCAGCCTTCCTGCGGGCCTAATATCTGTGTGCTCACCAGGATAGCCTGTGCGGCGCAGCTGTATGTTTCGCGAACACTTCCCGATGCAGGCATGGATCCTTATGAGTTGTGTAGCAGCTTGACTGAGCGGCATGCATGCCAGCGCTGAAGCGGGTTGGTTTCAACGTTAAATACGGGTATGGGGCTGCGCTTAGTGACATCGGTAGGTCCTACGGTCTGGAGGATATAGTTGTCTGGATTCGAAGTTCAATTTCGAAATTCAAGTGGATATTCGGACTTAAGGTTTGAATTGTTTCTAGAAGCAGCTGCAGGCGCAGGCGCCACCATCTTGCTGGGGACTAAACACCTCTACACTATCCTTCCCCTTTTCTTTTCTGATTTCAAATATGCTTAGTCCTTATTCACCGTTAATATTCGCTAGGATATATATTTCTTTATTACAAGTTTGATACCTGGATTTTATTTGCTTGCATATACTGAATCCTACATCAGTGATTAATTAAACGGCAGGCCACGTGTTGTTTATGTTGTATTTTTTACTGCCGATGAACCACGGTTGAATGTGTAGAACGGATACCAGAAATATTAATGGTTGCCATCTACCTACGGCCTACTCATCGCCGAGGAAAAAAAAGAAAAGGAAAGTTTGATACATTGCACCGGTCAAAGCGAATCTGCAAGTCTAGTTGTCATTCTGGAGGTGGTGGGGTATTTTTGCGCGCTGTAAGTTCTAATCCATGTCTATCGGTATCGATATGTATCGATATATAGGGTCGAAAAGTAATGCGATGAACTTACTGTATGTCGTGCATGCCAATATGTCTCTCTTTGTCGAATGAGACAAATGAATTTATTTGTCTTTGCCTTGCTTCCTCTTTCAGCTTGCAGAGTTGGGCTCAAATAGTTCTAGGGCATTGATGATGATAGGCCTATAGGTCCTTGCAGAACATTATCGATAAGTATCCGACCTTCGCGATTTAATTAATTTAAGCACGGCCCCGACAAAGACAAGTAGGATTTTGGGGCTAGATGTGAAGTTACAAACAGGGATGTTTCTAATATTTCAGACGTGAAGAAATCTCAAAATCCTGAAAAACGAATGTGCATATATGCATTTGCATGCGTGCGGGCTCAGACATGTGTATAAACATAGGGACACTTTTTGACCATGAAATTTCGAAAGGATCTGTTACATTAGAGTCCTGCGGTAGTACTGCGCAGTGTCAATGCACTCCTTTTTACTTTCCCTTGTGTGCGACCCCCAGCGCGGAGTTGACGTGTCTAAACGTCTATCTTTAGTCATTTAGGCCCTTCAGGATCTTCCGCGACATGGTACCAGCCTAGCGGCTGATGGCCAACAGCCAGGGGATAGAAGGTCTTTGATGTACCTGGTACTAGATCATGATGAATTCTGTTACTCGAAGTTTTCAAATCTCAAAGGCTATAAGTACTTGCCTTTTGGCTCTGAGGGGTCTAACTTAATTTATGGTCAATCATCATCTGATTACAATATTCTCATCCTCCTCCTTCAGTTTCTGCTATCTTCTTTATTAATTAAGGATTAAAAATTTAAACTGATCACTGCTACAATATTTTCTCCAGCTCCTTTCGGTCTAGGCTACCGTCAGCGAAATTGAACCCTCTTCTTAGTTATTGGGCCCTAGCTTGCTTTTCTTTTTATAAAATATCATATTGCTAGACTTTCTTCCATTCGGATTCCATTTTGAAGTTTCGAGAGTACACTCGTGCTTGCATTCTAGCTTCTTGAGTATACATTGCTCAAGTGATTCCTCTTCAGGTTTCTACAACATTAGCCCTACGCCCCCTACAAAGAAACTTATACACTATGGCTCGATTGAGCGTTATTGAGAATTCTGGTTCCGGTCGCTCTTCGGCCCGAACGGCTGCTTTCCTTGCTCAGATGCTCTTCGCGTCAGGGATGTGTGCCACTCAGCCATCCTTCAAGGCCGAGGCTTATCATTCGCCAATAAATTCTTCGTCGCCAATCGACGATCAGAAAGAGAGCCAGGATGTTCGAGACATGGCTGCAGCATACCTCGCTAGCGGCATTATAGTTCTCAGCCTTATCGCTTCCTTTTATCGAAAGCATAGTGCGCTACGTCCAGCCAAGGTTATCCGCACTTTTAGGAAGAGGGCCGAAGCCAAGAGCTTTTGCAGGCCTACAGCGCCCAAGCATCACAGCTTCTTCCAATTGGAAACCCTAGACTACCGTCGACCTGATCATTCTGACAAGTAGGTTTTAGCCCAGATATATGCTCTACATTGAATAGTATAAGATCTATTGCTAATAAAAATATTCTTTCCCCATTAACACAGAATTGTGTATTGGGAGTTATATCAACAGAACTGTCTGGAACCATTCAAGCCAAAATATATTGCCGAAGAAGACAACTTCCATACTAACGTTCTCCTTATTGATTCTGGTATTGATATAACCCACACAACTATCGATCTTCAGATGGAAGATGGCTTGATTCAGCCATGGCGGGACTATACAATCATGAATACTAATGACACGGACACCGGTATCAGTTCATCATTGGAGGATGAATTTGGCCATGGGACTAGCGGTGCACATATTATTGTGACGATTGCCCAGTCGGCAGTGGTATACTCTGCTCGTGTTTGTAAGAGTGATTCTACAGAAGTTGACCCACTAATCGTGGCGAAGGTATGAAGCCCCATTACGTTTATATTGGCTACAACGATAGCTCACACTAATGGCACACAGGCTATCAATGACGCCATAGAAAACCAAGAAAGCGCAGAAAACCAAGGAAGTGTAAAGTTTCAATTCATAATCATGCCGCTTGGATTCCCTGAGGGAACTATAGGTCTGGATGTTTTGAAAATAGCTATTGAAGCTGCATCCAAAAAGGGGATCACTCTTATCGCAGCTGCTGGGAACGAGGGAAATTGCAAAAACCCTGCACCACCAGCGTGCTATCCGGAGGTACTCTGTGCCCTCTCCTGTGATGGAAATGGAACACCATCTGGGTTCAGCCCTTCTATTCAGATTAATGCCGAAAAGAAGACGGAATTCCTTGTGCCTGGCGAGGGGATTGAGTGCGCTTGGATCGAGCCGGGCAAATGCCACCGGCAACAACGTTTCCCCAAACATATTGATCCTCTAGGTCCTGATGAGAAGGGCGGGTTTACGTATGTATCTGGCACCTCGTTCGCATGCTCTGTTCTCGGAGGCATTTCCATTAATATCCTCGAGAGACTATACGAGGTAGCTATAAGGGATTGTGGTCTAGATGCGGAATCTGCTAAGGAGGCAGTGGATAGAGTAAGGAGGGATCATTTAATAGAAATTTTGGGTCGTATGGAGAGACCGGAGCGCAGGGCTTACCTACTTGTCCCAACACAAGTCACCGACGAGGTTTTGAAGGGCTACCTTGATAAAAGCCCAAGAGGATTAACCGCCTCTAGTTGAGTCCTGCTGGGATAGTGAAGAGGTATATACGTTTTTTTGGCCTAGCTAGGCTTTGGATACGTACTTACCCTAGCCAATTTTGCGAAGATTTTTTCGGCATCGTGAGCAGCCCCCTCCGAATAAGGAATTTCTGCGCACATGCATTATAAAATTCGACTTTACAACTGCTTTTTATTTTCAGTTTCTAAATGCTTTCACGTTGGGATTTTGTTGTCACTTCTTATTCTTGCAGATTTTGCAAATATAAAAAGGTGGAACGCCACCACGGCACCACAGGGAAGGGGGAAAAAAGGGAATGAGAAGAAAACGAAAAGAATGGGTCGTTATGAGAAAAAGGGAGGGGCTAAGTTGTTCCATTTGCATGTTTTTGGTTCGGACCTGTTTTAACCGGTTATTCAATGTCCTTATGTTCAAATATTGCAAATAAAAGCTCTTTGCTGATTAGTTAGTTTTTGCGGTAATAATTTCCTTTACATCTATAAAACATACCTTCATCCAATAAATATTCGACAATAGTACTTTCCTTTACTCTTGACTTACAAAAGACTCTTATGATACTTCTACCGAATATTAAAAACCGTGCTGATAGAGGTCACGGGGAGTTGACACTAGAATCTTTTCTTTTTTGGAAAAACTTCTTGACCGTTTTATGCATGCAGGACATGTCAGGGCTGCAGTTGCAGAGCAGGCCACGATTGTCTTATAAACCATGAATTAATTTCGAGCAAGGATTGATATTGATAGGTAGAACGCTAACTGGTTAAACCAAGCCCTTTTCGGAGTTCCACCGACGGCAGGGATCACAGGCTTTCTGTTGCATTTTATGTGTTGGCAATGTGTATTAATATTTTGATATCGATATCAACCGGGTCGGCTCGGGTGGTGATACGCCTCTAGATGTGCCTGTTTTTTGTTGAATCGAATCAATTATAAAACTATCTGTATATGTCAGTCAAGCCTTCTAGATGAAAGAGAGTAATTGGAAGTGCTGCGGTATCGGATTATGGGATAGCTAGGGAGAAAATTGGTTCGGAAGACTAGTTACATGTACATATCGTGCGGGGAATTCGAACACCACGACGGAATTGAGAGGAGGAATTCTAGCTAAGAAATGGACGGAGGGGTAAAGAAAAAGATAAGCGGGCCTTGTCATCCATTTGATCAGCAATTGATGTGGCCTAAGAATTTGTGGATTCTTGCTTCGCGCCTGACTTCCACATAGCTATTAATTAATATTGCGTTCAATCTCGAATAGGTCGGTCGACGAGTGTTTTTTTCTAAAAAAGAATTACTGAACGGTGGTTTGCTGGTTTCTTACCGATAAACAAGAGCTAATCTGCCGACATTGAGGTCCGGCTTGGCTTGGAATGTGCATCAATGCACGTCCCGTTCTTCTTGGATTGGTGTATATATTGTCAGAAACTGTTCGCGATCGAATAGCAACACTGGGTGGGATTTAAAAAGCACATGATACGAAATAGATGAATGATTTTAATGGCCAATTTTTGACCAAAGCGGTCTTGGTTCCCTTTTGCTGATGCTCCACGTCATTGATGCATCTACAGGGAGCACAATTCTACGGTCGTTCGGATTGGTTTGACGTGGTCAAAATGCGGGTTCATGCAATGCAATGGCCATCAATTCAGTACCACTCCTAGGGCTCGTCCCCTCCTAGGCATTGAGGGCGTTTTATATTATCTCATGGCCACTTTACTTTGGACTCTCGGGGTATCCTCATAAAAGAGCGCCTAAATCTTCTTCAACAAAATTTAAAAATTAATATTATAATTCATCTGTGTCCTTTAAAACTCCAGGGTCAATATTTGCCGGTAGTTATGCCTTTGCCTGGTCTATCTTAATCTCATTACTTCAAGCCCTAATATTATAATCGAACTCTAGCTAGCTTTCAGAACACCCCATCACTCGCATTTATCAATCGCAAAAAGGTGTCCCTAAGTGTCGATTATCTTCCAAATTCTTTGAATTGTTCTCTTTGGTTCTTTTGCCAAACCGAACCAATCGACGGCCATGGCAAGCAAAGTCAAAACCTATTTCTTAGCGCCATCTTTCGATCTAAGTCCAGGTACAATTAAACTCGGCAGTATCATCAAATCAATAAATGCCCCGCATGTCGATAAAACAGAGCCCTTGCCTATAGATCCTTGTTTGATCCAAACGGTCGAAACAAAAATCTACCACGAGAATTTCGTGGGAGGTTCCAGTATATTTGGTGGTATATCCGCCGGTTTTTTTAAGTCTATATTCGGTGCGGGCGCCGATGCTAGGGTAGGGATTGCGCGGAATGAGGAGAGGGATATCTTATGCCTCAGCCTAGAGACAAAGCACTTCGAACCAACCCAGGAGTATCTACAGGATTCCCTTACCAATGCACTTAAGGATGGTAAAATGGCTGCGTATGTCAAATCGAAAGGGTTTGCCATTCGACGTCGAAGGTTATTCATGGTCACTGGGGTCAAAATAGCAACAGGCGTGAGAATATCAACAATTAGATGGAGAGATACTGGAGTATTTGCTCGAATCGAAGTTGATGCAGCCCTCCTGACCGGTATCCCGCTTCAAACCGGCCCCGCCATTGGTTTTGGAAGTAAGGCGTTTGAAAAAACAGAGTTCAGCCTCGACGAGAAGAACCCGATAGTTCTTTCCTATCAAGTCACCGAGATAATACGAAAAAAGAAAGGTGACGCTCAGTTAAAACTCTACACAAGTGGGGCGTTAATGAGTGGGCGATTTGCCCAGAATAACCTCACGGATGAATTTGAGCTACAAACTGAAGATTTGGATACCGATGGGTGTACTATTGATGATTTTGGCATCGGGGATTGTCTCGTACCCAACATCGGAGAGCAAACCCCAATAACAGACCAGGAAGATGGACACCTTGGGATCCATGTTGTCCCGTACCCAAACCTGGAAGGGATCCATAGTTGATATTTTTATATGATCATTTGGGATTGCCTTTTTATAAATTTATTTCGTTTTTCTTTAAATTGTTCTCTCTCCCCCCAATATTTCCGTATTCAAGAGGTGGGATCGATTGACAGTCGTCGCGGTCGAAGCGGGCCTTCAGGTACTTGAAAGTTATTCTAGCGAAAGTTCCTCAACTATTCATGAGATCATGAGATCATGAATCTCGAATCTTGTATATATTATGTGCTATTAGTCTGATGAGTATATAACGAATCTCTTTGTATCGCCAGAAATCTTTCGTTAAAGAATAGTAGTACGGGCTTAACTTTTGATACTTTAGGTGGCTGGTACAATTGATTCATTTCACCCCTAGATCAATTGCATCTAGAGGTATGTATGTACATATACATGCAAACTATTAATTAGCCCGATGCAATGCAATAGACGTTAAGATATGGTCTTCATTTAACTTGAGTGCCTGGATTCGAGGCTGGTTAGTCCTGGCCATGGCGCCAGCTGGGTAAAGTTAGCAACACACCCGGCTGCGATTTGCAACATCAATTAATTCCATCTGACTGGCACTGGAGTATACATATTGAAACGTATCGATGACCACTAGCACTGGAATGCATATGGATCAAAGACAAGGGGCGAACCGTCGACGCCTTGAGGGGAGTGGAACTTGGTACTTAGCCCTAGCTATTCGCCTGAGAATTACTTAAGTATATGTAACAACAGTGCATTGAAGTACCTATTAAATAATAACCTATAAAACATCTAGTGGGTCTGAATATTAACACCCTCTTAAGATCTTTTGTCGTGTGGGTTAGTAACATTCCCCAGAAAATCCCGTCCTTAACTTTATTGTAGTAATGAATTTGACTTAGACCTCTAGAGTTAGCTCAGCTCGGGGTGATATATAGATAACCCACATATTCCGGGTCGCGGAAGCTCCTCGTCTTAGATCGATAATCAACCGAATATGACTTGCAGTTAGACCAAGGGAAAAACCCTCCCGTTCAAGAATTAGTATGCATAACGTTAGTGGTTTGGAGGCCCTAGGGGATTTTATTTCCTCTCCAGGCCCTCGTGCAACCTCACCAACATGAATTTTTCAACTTTATATGCAAAAATCCCAAAAATAAATTAGAAGCAATCACCGCCAAGGGGCATACTATCATTCAAGTCGGCGAGGACCGGGTTAAGAACGGGCCGAGTTTTGAACCACAAAGCTTGCTTTCAAAGCTTCGTACATTAGACTAAAGCTTCATGGGACCCTCTCATATTCAAGAATGGAATAGTTGGGGAACCCACGGTTCCCCTCGCTTACCCCAGCACCACGAAACGACAGATAATGTGGACCCTTTCAACCGAAAGTTAATGGTCAGCACCGTCGCCAAGTCGGAGCGTTGTCAATCCATTTGCCATGAATCCACGATTTTTCTTCGTACGGTTGAATTTTGGTTCAATAGCTGCAATATATTATTATATATACATGCGGTGGTCATGGGATTTCAAGCCTCCGAATTACAACCCCGAATATGCAGCCAAGCTATAGTGCTGGATTTTTTGCCGTGTCGAAGTCTTCTTACGGTTAAATGAAATTAACATGACATCTGGGGTTCTGGTTAACGGAACTGCGAAGAATTTCGCGCTTTTTATATAATATTGAATGGTCGTTTCGCTGCCTGTCTCTCGCTCTCCTTTCTCGAGCAGCGCGCGCATACACTTATTGATATATTGACGGTCGTTACTATAATTTTTCTTTGGTCTAATCTAAGACCAATAGATCAATTCAAAGATATCATCATGTATATCTCCTCTCGCTTTAACCTCTTCGTAGTCGCACTTATCGCACTCGTTTCCTTTTGCACAGCGCGCACAACAATCACATCCCAAAGCTGTTCCACTCGGTACTGCGCCAACCCTACCAAGGTCTTTCGTACCACCAAGACTATCCACAAAACCGTGCGGTACACCGTAACTCGCTGGAAGATCTCTACAAAATATAGGTCGACTCATACACTCACGTCTACAAAATATGCTACGACGACCAGTTATGCGACGAGTACTTTGAGGACTGTTACAATTATCATTGGGACTACTACACGTACTCAGACTTTGGTTAATTCGGTTTATGCGACTGAGCCGTATACGATAACCAGCGTGAGGACTATTGTTTCGACACCGACTTATACCGTTCCTGCGGCGTCGGGATTTTTGGCTGTGGATAATGATCCGGACAATTCCGCTTCGCCGGAATACACCGCGCTCCCAGAGCCCGATCGAAAACGAGATATCAATGTTGATATCAAACCTCGCGATCCGGCGAATAAATACGCCGCCGCGGTAACCTGCACGAAGACCCTCATCACAAAGACTGGCACAAGTGATCTATGGAAGACAACAACCAAGACGGCTGGTGTAACTACAAAGCTGGTGTACAAAACTTTAACAATCACTCGGACTGCGACTAAAACTGTGACTGCAAAAAATGCGCCGACTACTCGTGTCATAGTTACCAAATACACAAGCATTTTTGGTACTTCCACTACGACAATCTGGACAATGAATCCCATTACTGTTTCGACGACTGTTTCTTTAACATCCCAAGCAACGACGACGGTTTATGCGGCCTGCGCTAATAGTAACATAACACCGGATTACGTTATTAATCCTCCCAGGGCTTTGAGCAATTACGGCCCTGCCCCGGAGGAAAAAGTAGTTGAAATTATTGCGGATGGTTCACCAGAGACTTGCTGCATGTTATGCCACACTTACAGCGGGCCAGGAAAATGTATGGGTAGTATTTACAACTTCCGTGGTGCAGAGATTCCAGAGGAAGATTGTCCTGACGCCTTCAGGGACGGAGTTTTCCTCGGTTGGGAGTTTTGTCCAAACGATCCGGATGATTGGATGAGATGTCAACTTATCATCTCTGAAGATGAGGAGGCTACTTGTCGGACCCACGGGTTTGAATTGATACCTTATGTTTTTGGAAAGACTCGGATGAAGGAGATTAGCAATGGGCCGGGGTGTGCGAGGTATAAATACCAAGTACCTTCGGTTCCAGTGCCCTAGAAGGTAGAAGATTGATTAGACATCCGCATTGGAAGGATCATAGTCTGATAATTATATGATAACCTAAGATAATTAATTTAATCTGAAATGAAACTATCTGAGCTATACCTCAAAAGCAATATCTTATATCCATAGGCTTATACGTACTTGTGCATGGGATGAGCCTGAGAGCTTGTGAAACAAACCCTCGCCCAGAGATACTAAGCTACCTCAAAACTTTGCCTATGTGTTCTGTAGAGCTAAGCATGAATAGCCTTTTTTTTTAGTTGGGCCACCTTCCCCCCTTCTTTTTTTTAAGAAAAAATCATCAAGAGGCAAAGCTGGAGGGTGAAGCGGCGAGGCTCGAGCATGACGTTAGGTTAGAGTCACCGCATACCTCGGATACCACCGTCCCGTCTAATTGTTTCGACGAACTTTGCTAACAGCACAAAATTCTACAAAGTAAGAGTCAAAGAATATCGATAAGCGCGAAGGTGGAGTTTTGGATCGAATGAGTCAGGAAACCGGCAGATTTTACTAGTTCCAAACGACGCGAAATCGAAAGCTAAGGCAAAGAACACAGTCACGTGACTACATATCCGTCTTATAAGCGGCTGGAAAGGAACATCTCGAACTTCAATCTTACATCAACCAACCAACCAACCATGCAATATAACAATCACCTATATCAATCTCAACCTCGTTAACTCATATCATACTATGTCCGATATCTCCCAGCTATCATCGAAACTTCAATCAGTATCTTTGGCCTCGGTCTCAGCTTCGCACAATCTCTCTACCCTTCCGGTCGACATCTTAACCCACGATCTAGTCCCCCAATTTGCTTCTCCTCCAATTCACCTCTCCCAATATCCAACCACACAGTCTTCGCCAGACTCAAGTCCTCTTCGTCAGCTCGCAGCGACATCAAGGCACTTCAGGGCGACTGTTAAAAGCCAATATAAGGCATACGTTCAACATCAATATCCTACCGTCTACTCGCACGTAATCGCACGCCATTCTGCAAGCCTAGATCAGGTTGACTGGTCCTCTCTAGCTACCCAATCAGAGAAACTATGTCACCGATGGAATCTTCGACAGTTTTCCCTTTCAAAGCTTCAAACGGTGGAACCATCCCCGGCGCGCCAACATGATTCCCACCATAGATCGACTGTTAAACCATCCCACTCTTATTCTCCCTGCATCGATGTCTCCGAATCCATCAATGGAACTGAGACTTTAGTCATTGGACAGGGTCCCTCTGTGGCTCTTAGGACCGGTGAATATGGTGCTTGGCAGGAGATCAAACGGAAGGGAATGACGCCGGGGGCCGATGATATTCTTTCGGTTCATATTTACAACCCGGATACCGTCATTTCTACTAGAAGCTCCAGTGTGGAAATAATCTCCAATGTTAGCGGCGCAGATGATGGTAACCCTCCACGGATCGTGGGTGTAACGGAGTTATTCCCGTCTGGCCCTAAAAATCCTACGGGTGGTATTTCTTCGAGCTGTCTTGATACGACATCTTCGTCTTCATCCACCCGATCATTTGCGATCACGACGTCAATAACGTCATCAGACTCTCACTCACTCCAGCTCTTCACTCTGAACACCACTTCTTCCACACCTTCATTTCCAAAGACTCCAACTATTACCTCTCCTCTCCCTTCAAAACCTTACACCTCCACCTTCATCACCAACACAACCATAGCGACTGGTCATCGCAGCGGATTAACCGTTCACAACCTTACCCCATCCGAAATCTCCTCAACCACGATCCCACAACCCTTAACCAGCTATAACCATGCATTGAGCGTCCACTCTCTTACGCGTCTCTCCTCTTCCCCTGCATTTTCACCCAGTATTTTCGCCTCGGGATGGTCGGACGGAATAACCCGGTTATTCGATATCCGCGCGAATGCCTATGTAGCTGAATATGAAAATCCGGTATCCAACGAAGCTGTGCCTGTTTACAGTCTTCTACATACCGCACCGCTTGGGAATATCTTGTTGTCTGGGTCATCGTTGCATCATGCTGTTGAGGTACATGATTTGAGATACTGTGGGAATATGGTGGGATATTTTTCGCCATATGCTTTCGATCCTGCTTCTTTGAATGATGGCGAAAAGATGAGAGATATTGTCAGCGAAGGCGGCTTATTATTCTTCGACAACGTCGCTGGAGCGAGATTGCCCACCGCTCGCCGTAACGGTTACACGAGAAACTCAGGGAAAGGAACCAGTTCCATATACTCCCTTTCCTCACCATCTCCCTCGTCAGGGAAGGTATACATCGGAGCGGAAAACACGGTTCTCCAAATGGATTTCCGGAAAAGAAAAGTCGGAAGGGAATGGGGGCTCGGATTGAGCAATGTCGAGAAGGTTAGGAAGAAGGAGATGGAAAGAGGAGCGACGTTCAATGTTCCCATGTACTGGTTTGATCCAGCGAAGGGAGTTGGGGAGGAAGAAGGTGGTGTCAATGGACGATGGTGGTGTGGTAGTGGGAAGGCGGCTTTTAAGGTTAATGAGAGGAGTGCGGTGAGGGGTCGAGATGGGTGGAGGTAGCCTCAAGTATAGATGCTGCATGCGGAGTTAAGCTCTTTTAGCGGATAGAGATGAGGATATCTTTTTTGCATTCTAGACTTCATACACGCAAATTTTTTTATATTTCAATCTGGTTAGAATAAAAATAGAATCAATGATCTTTGGTATCTCCTTCGATCTAAATCCCTCTTTGAACCTGTAGGATTTAATACTCCCTGAACATGAAGACATCGAACAAAAGCAGGACGGGTGAATATTCAAACGCTGGTAAACCATAATATATAAAAAAGATCAAAATGCCATAAACTCCTTGTCCGAATATCGAGAATACCGCCACCGGTGCACCCCTAAGCTTCTTCCTCTATCGAGATCTTAAACCCTCAGCTCTTCAACCATACCTACCTGGCTACCTACCTAGGTACCTTCCTTTCTATCTGTAATCCTGTGACGAGAAGCTAGTTCGGAGAATATATGAGAATATTACTCAGAAACCCCTCCGTCGTCCACATACCTCTCCCTCTCCCTGACCAACGGTGTCCGTTCTGTCGAGCCCCTTCCAGCCTCCTCATCCACTCTTCCTCCTTCTTCTTCCTCGTCGTCCTCATCATCTTCATCGCTTCCTACGACCTGTTCCCTTCCAGTATAAATAATATAGTGCTGGATAATGAACACCACGTTCAATGCCATACTAATAACCCCCAATCCAGTCTTCACAATGTTCCCTTTAACACCATCCCATCCACCCTCGAGCGCGGCATCAATACCCAACTGTACCAATGACAAAACGCCACCGAAGAAATCTGCCAAAATCTGCCAGATGGAGAAACCTTCTGTAGATTTATTGACGTAGTTGATATATATCTGCGGGAGGTATTTAATCAACGTGACGATTAATTTCGAAAGGGACAAAGCGGTTGTGACATCGAGGTAATTTATCTTATCGAAACTGAAGAAATTGTTATTCTCGTCTTGGTTGATTACTGTTATCGACCCGGCAGCTATTGTGATTCTTTGGTTTGGGAACGGATTGGGGGTTGTCGGAGTGGCAGTGACGTTTTTGGAAATAGGAGTGTCGAGTTCTCCGTCTGCTTCGTTCCCAGCTGCGATACTGGCTATAAGTAGTAAAGTACTTATGATCCCTATAATGACACCCCAAATGATCGGTCGTGTTCTCTCCCTCTTTCTACCAGTTTCATAACCCCAGATTGCTGGGAAAAACTGGGAATATGTTAAAGTAGCTAGTACCAAAGCATGGACAGCGAAGGCAAGGTCGTTGAGCCTGACGGTCGGATTTGGAGCGTTGGGATAGCGAGTGGCGTATTCGGAACGGATGGTCGGGGAGTAGAGGAGTAAGGCAGTGTAGAGACTATAGCAAAGGAAACCGAGGATGTTGAGGGGGAAATAAGAGGTTGCGACGCCGAGGGTGGAACGGCGGGCGCGGTTTTGGAGGAATTGCGGGTAGAAGGAGAAGGTCCAGAGGGCGAAACTGTATAATTATAATTATCCTCTGTTAGTACCCATATGATATAATATAAAACTGAGGTAGGATAACATATAGGATACTAAAAGATGAAGTATCGAGGAGATGTAACTTACTATGTCCATCCGACTATCCAGGAAATACCTTCGGCGACATCGCGCCAAGTTATCGCGGTCATTCTTTTAGTTCTTTTATTTTATTTTATTTTATTGTACTGTATTGTATACGTATTTGGCCGAATGGAGATGAATGAAATAAACTGGAAGGGAAAATCCAGAATGATTAGTTCTCTTTTACTCCATTTTATTTCCTCTAGATTTTAAAATATATTATTTCGAAGAAAGGGGTTCAATCAAGGGGGGGAAAGAATTCGGAGTTTGAAGCAACCGAATTCGAAGCTTAAGCTTAAGAATGTCGAGAGAAAGGACAGCTAGATGATAGCTGTAAAACGCTATATCTTTCAACAGTTCTGCATCGGGGAATACCAACCGTCTATAAGCCCATATGAGGAAACTATAACATGAACACCCTCCAAATATATCAAACCCGACGTCTGTCGACTCTACAAACAACAGTTTGCAAGAACATGAGAAAGAAAGAAAATAGAAAAAAAAGAGAAGGGAATGATTCTTTAACCCCGTGGGACCGAATGAGTTATCCGCGGTCGCATTTCATCAGTGCGAGTGTGGATGGCGTCTGCAGTCTGACCGAAGATTAAGGCGCACGTGGATTGCCCTGTTTGTTCTTCTCTCTATTTAAGGACTTTGCCTTTTATTGACATTAGTCAGCGGGAAAACCCCCCTGACTGACTTGATCAGATCTAATTAGATCCCAAATCCTGATCCTGGACATGGGATCGGAATCAAACATGTTCAACATGTCCTCTGCATAGTAATATACATTTGCATGTTTGAACATTCGTTCGGTTTGTATAACTGCTCGATTTGAACGCTAAATGTATCTTAATTACTTCATAAACAGCTTAAGAGCTGTAGCAGACTTAGGCGACCGTGCGCAACTTCCTTATAGTTATTTTTACTAATTTTTATCTGATGTATAATCGATATAATATATGAATCGTGATCTGTTGGGAATGTTTCGGTACTTGCCAGACAAGCTAAGTTATAGCTCCGAGGTACCACGAGACCATAAATTGTAAATTGAAAATCGACCGAGGGAAACTAGTCCAGATGGATAGCTATAGAAGCTACTCCTGAGACAGTTGATAGTCCGTACTCTCATTGTAATATTATCATGATATCAAGTTAACTCCTCTCAGCCTTCGCACTTTGGACTCCTCTCGCCATTTCCAACAGCTCTTTCGCAGCTACAAACTCCCTGCTATCCTCTCCCAAACATTTTTTCTCAATCTCTACCGCCTTCTCTGCCCATTCCACAGCCTTCTCTTCTTCCCCAATCTTCACTGCCAATCGAACCCCCTCTGTATACAGAACCCCCAGGGTATCAGTTTCCTCCATTCCTTCCTTTTCCAATAATTTAATACACTTGGCCACAACTCCCAAACTCCCTTTATATTCTTTATCCGTCCATTTACTCTCATTCTTGACTCTTTTACTCTCCCTCTTACTTATTTTCGTAAATAAATCTTCAATCTGTTTCCTTCTATAATCCTCATCATCATCGGGGTTATCACACGCAGAACATCGACATCTAAACCCCCAATGTTTCAGTATCTGTCTTCTAACGACTGTCGGATGACATATATCGATATAAGAGGTTAAAAGCTCCTCTCCCTTCTCAATATCTCGCAATGCGTGGACGGTAAGTCGGTTTATAACGGGATTGTAACGATGAAAGACGTTGGGAGAGCAAGAGTGGTTTAGGCGGGCGGATTCTGGGAATATTCCCAGGGATCTCGAGGAGCCGTCGAGGGATTTACAGGTAAACCGGTTGGTTTCGTAGATTGACCAGGCGTGTTCGTGGGATGAGACCAAATCGTTGAAGGTTGATGATATATCTTCTATAACCCATTGCATATTAACACTCTAAACCCCCCCCCCCTTAAATATTTTTCTAAGATAAAAAAAATGGTCGATTAAAGAAAGGAAGAAATACCATGAGACGCATTCCTCAACCTATCAATCCACCCAATATCCCTACTAGCCTTCGTCGACGCCGCGAGAGCCCAATACATCCCCTGTTTCTCCTCCCCCAATGACTTCACCGCATTATAAACTTCAACTTGATCCGCTTCATCTGGTAACATTACAACACTTTCTTCACAAAAGATACGGGTGCCGGATGGAATATTTGTTATAGCGAATGCTCCGATACCAGCTTCAGGCGTTTGACGTTCCTCGTAGAGATCCCGACGGGTGTATGAACCCGGATCCGTTGAAAGTTTTACAGCCACATCGGTGAGAGTTAGAGTCGAGATGTCAACTATCGGGGGGTCGGGAACTGTCATAGTATTCTGCGGGATGTCGGGGTGTATTTCAGTATATATTTGAGCTAAGGTTTTCTGAATATGTTATAATATATGATATTCTTGTAGAAATCTCGGTATGAATATATATATATATATATCGATATTCTGAAAGTAGCGATAACTCTGGGGGTCCACTCTGCTGTAAAATGGTAATAGCAGTTGAACAAGTTGCTTTTCCTCGATGTCGAGGGGGTCGTTATTTTCGTATACTACTCATTTTGACGGATATAAAGTGTTTATGGCTATCGAAAAGCTTCTCCTTCTAAAATATAAAAATAAGAATAGTCTGTCTTCTGTATGAATTTTTGGTCTAATTCTAAAGAATATCGTCTGAAATAATGGAAATGGAAGAGAGATCGAGTAAGAAAGAAAGATGAGAACTAATTTGAAGATAAACAAGTCATTTTGCCAGCGTTTTAAATCCCATAACAAAAAAAAGGTTATTCTCAATTTGGAAACGGAAAAAAATGCTTATTTTTAGCCTGAAAGAAAAGAAAAGAAAACAGCTTTGTTCTAGACCGATCTGATAAGATTTTCCAGTCCGATAAAGGGTTACCGATATAATAAATGCAACATTTTCAACACAACTGTCTTCCCCAAGTGTATCTACCAAGGATATTAGAGTCGAAATCACGTTCCCCAAGCACTACACCGTTAGATGATAAAATGATAATATATCGATGCTTATTTCTCTTCCTCGTCCTCTCCATCTCCAGTTTCTTCTTTCGCCTGAGTAGTAGTAGTACCACCACCCGCTGCCCACTCCTTCATCTTCTTGATGACAAATCCTTGACTTAACTTTGTAAAGTCTCCGCTATTCCCATACTCATTCAACACAGCCTGTGCTTTATTCGTTTCGATAGTCTCAATAGCTTTCTTTAATGCCGCTTCCTAATTATTTTATCACAAATATTAACGTTAGTATACTCTATATGAAGAAGAAGAAGAAGAAGAAGAAGAAGAAGAAGAAGAAGAAGAAGAAGAAGAAGAAAAGAAAGGGAGGCATGGGAAATGGAGAATACCTACCTCCTGAGAACTCAAAACAATAGCACCTTCCTTCAACTTATACCACCGAAATCGAATCACATTACTTGACTTTCCCGTACTAAACTTTTCTTCAAATTTAGCGTGAATATCCTTATTGCTGAACTTCTCAGAGGACGTGTAAAGTTCTCGAATGTATGCATCTTGTTCTTGAGTGAATGAAGTTTCTGATGCAGTAGAGCCGGGTTGACGACCTCGTTTTGGTTTCGGTGTAGTATTATTGTTGTCTTGTTTTTGTTTCTTTTCTTTGGTATCTGGCTTCGGTTTCTTTTGGGAGGGGACTTTGTCGGTTGCCTTTGGGCGGCCGCGTTTTTTAGATGGAGTTGCAGCTAGGTCGAGTTTAAGTTCGGTGATGGTGTCTTTTGGGGGGCTAGACGGTGTGGTAGTTATAGTATTCTTTTCGAAAGTGTTTTCTTGGTCTTGGTCTTGGTCTTCGTTCATGTATGCGGTAGTATCAGAGAGTGGTGGGGATGGAAGATATGAGATGGTATCCATTTCTTGGGTATTAATATATTGAGAATGAAATTTCCACGGTTAGCCACCTTAATCTGGTAAGCTCGTAGTATTATATTAAAGTGTCTTTCAAGTTTTCAAAATTTCGAAGTTCGTAGGATTAAGCTCCAGTGACAGATGTTAGCGAAAGGTAAGTAAGAAGGAGAAGTACTGTTGTATTTCGAAAATAGGCTGGCGTGAAGTTGAACTGGGCATGGAACGTTCCCTTAATATATCCTCGATAAACCTCGATAACCGTGGAACTTTGACAGATATTACGGCCTTTCTAGCAGTTTAAGTGAACTTCCAGAACCAAATAGGTCGATTCCAGTACTAGTATTAGAAATATTCGAACTTCCCCTATGAGACTTTCGAACTCTCATATGCATGGGTATAGAATACTAACATATCTTACTTTGCTACACCAACTACTCCCAAATCCTACACATATTCTCGTCGAAAGAACTATCTACTCCTTGAAAAAATAGCAAGCAGAACATTAAATACCTAACCAAAAATGGCTATCAAATACGAAGAATCAGGGGATGAAACCTACTCAACCGTTCCACTTCAAGACCCAGGTTCTCCAAATCTCAACGATGAGAACGAGAATGAAAATGAGAATGATAACCCAGAACTTCCAACTCCACCTACCTCTCCCATCAAACAGCCACCTTCCAAAAAGCGTCGTTTGACTGATGAACCCATCGATCACATCTCAAAAGTCAAATCAGAGTACCATCCTACTTCTACTACTACTACCGCCACCACAGATATCGAAGCACCAACTAAAAAAGTCTCAACTCCCTCCAAACGCGGTCGTCCAGCTGGCGTGTCCTCGGCTTTTACTCCAGAACAAGACGCTTATTTAATCCACCTCCGTCAAAAGTCTTCAAAGGCAGATGATATCTGGGTCGATTTCGAAAAGAAGTTTCACAGTGGGAAGAGCTCAAAAGATCTTAAAAACCGTTGGTTCGCGATAAGGGATTCAATGTTGTTAAGCGGTGATGAGGATAAACTCTTGATGGAGACTATCGAGGAGGTTATAGGCGACATCGCGGCTAGCATTGTTGAGAAGTTTAAAAGTAAGAGTGGAAAGAAGGTTACGAAGGCTTATGTGCAGAAGAAAATGAAGGAGGGAAAAGGGAAGGCGAAGAAAGAGTAAGTGGGACTGCATGCTGCATGCTGGGATTAAGCGTTCTAGTTATAATATGACTACTTAGTATCTTGGTACGGTGCTATAAAGTCTGTGTAACGGTGGGGTAGCCTTGAGGACTGGGGTGCTACTAGAGCTAGGTAGTATTAGGACAGGGGTTGTGAAGAGAAGGTAGCGCAGGGTGGATACCTAGGTAGCTAGGTGCATGCATGGTGAGCGCAGCGGACTCTCGGATAGTTTGTATTTGTATGTTTCTAAAGTAAAAGTCAAGTTCTTAGTATTGGTTTTAGGGTGCTTTCTTAGCTATTACTAGAGAATCTCTCTAGCTACCGAAGTATTTATAACGTATCTTTAGGTGAGAGCTGGAGCAGAGCGAAGTTGTGGAATACTTACAAGGGAAAAAAAAGATGAAATTAAATTAACGCCCTACGGGCCCTTCACCACTTTGACATTTTGTCGATCTAGTATCGACACCTCCACCTCTACCTCCACCACTCCTCACCACCACTCGTCGTCCTCCTCCTCCTTCTTAATCATCCCCCTGGGTGTGAGGAGCCCAACCAAGCACTTCTCTGAAAGATTATCGTTCTTTCGAACGATGCAATCTTCCAAGTCTGCCGGAATATTGCGGCGGTCTGGGCCGGATGGCCCCTCCGGGTTCCCATCCCGGAAATACATCTTCGGGTCGTGATGACACCAAACGGCATTGAATTCTTGCAATCCGGAGATTGCAAAATTTCCGAGGTTGATATCTCGAATTTGAGGGGCCTCGGCTCCCCTCTCGAGCGTGCTTTCCGGGAGCAGCCAGGAATCGGTCACTTGAATCGTCAAGTGACGGACGTTTCCGAGTCCCTCGCAGACTGCGAAGGATCGCCACCAAACGGGAGAGATGGTTCCCGTGCAGAGCAGGTTGGTGACTGAGGGGGGAGGGATCAGGAACAGGGATGGGTGGAACAGGTAGGTGACTACCTTCAGAGTTTTTAGGTTCTGAAGGCTTTTTATGGTCCGCTGGAGCTTCTTCCATTCCTTTTTGACGCGTGGGCGGGTGGATAGTCTGAATTGGTCATGATTACGGAGCCAGTCGCCCATAATCAGTTGCTTTAGGTTTGGTGTTTGATCGAGGAGTGTGGTCAATTCCTCGATCTGTCTATCGGTCCGTTTGTTGGCTTTCCCGGCCTTCCAATCACGGCGTATACTATTGTAGTTGGGATTCAAGTCAAGTTGGGTGACTTGAGACAGGTTGAAATAAACGGGCAGCTGTCGCAAACAAGACGCTCGTATGGAGACTGAAAACTCTCGTAAGTTCTTGCCTTTCCCATATTCCTTCAGGCAATCTAATAGTTTAAGTCTTCTTTCAGAGCCATAACCACCATCATAGTCTGTATACCCTCCATTACCCTCAGGGAGATTACCGATGGCAACGGCTAGGGTTCTCGGGCGAAGCTCTCCGCTCTGAAGAACCTGACAAAATATTTTGCCAATATCGGTCTTTTTGAAATACTTGAGTCGGATCAATCCGTCAAGTACCAGGTTTTTAGTGTACTGGAAGAATAATTTTTTTCGGCCATGCATTCGAACAAGATCTTTGAACGACTGATACCTTAGGCGAGTGATGTTTCGGTTGGGGGAATGTAAGTGCTTGTTACGGCTCAATGCAATCGTGGTCCATAGTTCTTTTTGGCAAACTGGATACATTTCTTTGCAAGATTGCATAAGGGAGAAAATATCGTTAGAGGAGAGGTACTCAACGATCATATAGAGAGTCTCGGGCTGAGCGGCGAGGTCTGTCAAAGAAACCATTTTGAAGTTGGAGCAGGAATTATTTTCAAATTGTTGGAACTGAAAAAAAATCGTTGCTGGAAGGCGGGGCCGTTCGATAAATTGAAATGATGGATTTCAATTACAATCGGTCTTTTGGATTTTGAGTTATCTCAACAGATTCTCAAGATGTTGTATCTTGAATTCTGAGGGAGGTTTTGGGAAAACAAATCAGTCTCGAACTTTAACTTCGAGGACCCAGGACGTTGTTCTGTGGTTTGGATTGCAATTGGTCTTGGAAAAAGGCGTTGCAGACTGTTGCAGCGGCTAAATTCCAGACCATAGCAAAGTTAGTATATTTCCCAATCTATTCCAACGGAGGAAGCTGAACTAAAAAGCTAAAATTCACAATGTGAAAAAGAGATATTCGGTGATAATTACCAGAAGTTTTGGTCTCGCAGGCAGGTCAATTCTTTTCACTGTGCTTAGCAACGGAAGTTACAGCAGCCCAGAAATCGTCGTGAGAAAGGAGGATCGTGATTCGAGGGGCGGAAAGACTGGGGGGATATCTTGATATCTGGTTCCAAAATAGCAACCTAGGAAAACTTTTTCGAGGAGGAGAGCTTGAAGTTTGAGGAGGAACAAAACTTCAGGGGAAACTTTCTCGAGGTTGAGATCGAGGTTGAGGCTTGCGGCTTGAATAAAGGCAAATCCTCGAGGGGAAAACCTTTGTGAAGAAGAGCAAGAGGAGGAGAATGGGTTTAGGACTTGAAGAAGGGGAAAACCTCAGAGGGAAACTTTGTGAGGAGAAGGAGATCGAGCTTGGAGCTTGATGAAGAGCAAAACCTTGAAGGGAAAACTTTCTCGAAGAGTATATCGAGCTACGAGCTTTAAGAAGGGGGAAAACTTCAGAGAGGGAAAACTTTCGAGGCAAAGTGTTCGGCAGCTTTTGAGCGGAAAGGTTCGCGATATCAACAGAAGCAGAGGTTGAGGTTCAAAGTCGTTGCTGGATCTCGAGCAAAAGTTTTGGATTGAAGATTGGAAAGAAAGGGACGGATAAAAAATAGTTTTACTGTGGCTTTAAGTCTGACTGTGGCCGAGATGGGAAATATATTACGCAGGTGCGTCGATAGGGCTTCAGTACACGGCAACCCTAATAACGCTGCCGATAAGGCCACCAGCCATTGAAACTGACACCATGACGTTAACGACGACATCGACGTTTATTTGGTCACCCCTGAAGACGTTCTGCTTGTGTGTATCGGTTTCTCTTGAAATAAACTTCAAAGATTTCCATATTCATCGAGCGAAATGGGACAGGGGCATTCCTACAGTATTTACGGTATATGTTACAAGACTTTTACTTCCTACAATATCTTGGACTTAAAATAAGGGTAGTCTCACTGTATCTCCCGATTCAGGCAAGAAAAATACAAGGCGCAGATGTTTGGGTCGATTGGCGCCGAAAAGGCGTATACATCTTCTCAACCGTATTCTAGGAATTCGCACATTGCATTGCAACTTCAAATTTGCAAATGTATAAAGACAAGGGCATTATACTTTTCAAGAATGGGTTTATTACTAAGTGTTTACTTCTACGACTGTCAGAAATGCCCTTTCCATAACGGTACTGAAGATTTATGCCTTTATGTTTACAAACTCTTAAATTTGCGTATGTGAATATTCGTTATTTCTAGATATATATACCGGTCTCCTAATTCTATCAAATCTCGAGATAACACAAAACGTCTGTGTTTCGGTAAACCGATCCCTAAATGCTTTTCGAAACTTCATTTTTTATCTGTAAGTAGATATATATATAAGACAAACAATGAACTGGTGGTTATAGATATATGATCAGCAGCTTAATTATTCCAAACCTGGCTATTTAATAAGTTAAATAGACTATAGGGAGACCAGTAATTTGAAAAATGATAATTTCGCTTCTGGTAGCGCGAGAAAGTTAACTCTAAAGTTAAGTCTAAAGGAGAACTATCATTCTAAACTTGCAAATGCTGGTAGCGCGAGAGAGCTATTAGAGATAACTATAGTACTGTATACTCCCTGGTAGCGCGAGGCTATGCTAATTGTCACTTTGGCTGTATGTACAAACAAGCTTGCGCTACATGTACCTACTTAGATTTGGAGAACAAAACATTTCTTGGTAAGTAAAATCAGGTTAGTGCCTTTCAGCCTTGATATATGTTGTAAAGCGTATAAAGTACAATGTCGCTCCGACGGTAGAATGTTACACGAAGCAGGCTGGGCGAGTGTCTGGCTAGCACTCTGGCTGGATCCATGGAACGAGAATATGCTTGGGTGTGGCACACTTGTCGTGAGCGAGGTATCTAGACGGCGCGAGACTGATATCATCGGGGAATATCAAATATGTAGATTTGATTGAAAAAGAAAACCGCCCTGGCTAATAAAATACATATCCAAAAACACCAAGAACACCCGTCAAAGTTAATTCCTAGATAAAGAAATAAGAACTCCTGCTTTCTTCAGTGCTATGCTACTCCCCATCAGCCAACTCCTGCCAAATATCAATATCACCACCATCATGGTTATCTTCCACAAAGGCCTCAACATGTTTGATCCTCCTCCTCCCTTTCTTTCCTATCTTCTCCTCTTTCTTCAATTTATACGGATCTTCCTTTTTCTCTTCTTGCTTTTCCACCTTTTCAGCCTTCTTTCCTCCAGGTTTATACCTACAGTCTACCTTCCTCCTCACCAAACAACCCCGGGCGAGCGCTTGGATCCCCACCACGATCTCCACTAACTCCGTAACTTTTCTTTCCACTGCAATCTTCCAAGCTCTTTGGATCCTCTTCGCTGCCCACTTTCTCCTAAACTCCTCAATGGCTGCTTCATGTTCCTCAGCTTCCTGAAGCAACTCTCCAACTTTTCTTGATATATTCCTTCTAAACTCCACAGCTCTCCACCATTGTTGAATCTTCACCGCGGATCTTGTAATCTTCGTTGAAGATAATACTCTCGATGCCAGGAATGCCAACGTAGCGAGTACGAACCGCGAATTAACGACTGTTTTTCCATCGGGTGTGAAGGCTTTTATGAAGGAATCGCTGCATCCGAAGCTCTTTAGCTGCCTTTTCAATCGTCCTTCCTTTTCTGTCGAGGTAGTTGTAACGGTTGTATTTCCGCCATCGATCAAGGGTTCATACTCCTCCAACACTGCTTCGAGTACGTTATTTTTCATTACTCCTCCAATCCCTTTCTCGACGTCGATTCCTCGCCCGACAGCAACAATCCTGACCCACGTTTCTAATTTGTTCAATCCTTCTTCACCACTCTCATCCTCCTTAGCGGCTTCCACAATTTTGTACTTTGTTTGAAGCCTAGTAACCTCCTTCTCCACCTCTTCAAAATCAACAAGATACTTAACTCCTTTCTCCACCAAAACCGCCCACAGTAAACTCAACGTAACCTCTCGATGTCCATCAACCACATCTTTGGACCTCACAGTTCCTAGGGGTACCACTCCATTTCTGTACAGGACCGATATTACCTTTTCCACGTTCACCAATTTTTCTCCTTTGCTCTTCGGGTTCATTAGAATGCCCTCAACTTTCTCCTTCAATACTAATTCCACAACTTTTGCCAACCTAACACCATCTCTTAAATCAACCCTCAAATTCTTGATAGCGTATTCGTACTCCTCGTCGGACTTCTGCTCCACTTTAAGGAGATATCCACACCCCTTTACACCTTTCGCCATATTCCCAAGAGAAGGTAATACCATCTTCCCAACAGCCACGAGTACCTCTTCCGAACTCTTCATCTCCGAGGACCTTCTGAATACCAAGTCTCCAAATATTCCAGATGACTTGGCATCATCGATCAAACGTACCAATAGCAGAGTTCTCAGTATTGTTCTTCTCAATGCCCATGCCTTATCGCTAGGAACCTCGGTTTCGGTCCACACCCGTAACGTCCCATGCGCATTTGCACCATAACTCTCCCATTGTTCATCCCCACCTTCTTCGTTTTGATCGTTGATATCCACGAAGAATGTATCAAAGAATTTTCGGATTTCAAGGTCGGTTGGAATTTTTGTAGAGGTGTTTAGTAGGCGGCCGGTTACTACCTCCATACACAGACGGAGGATGAGAGGGTTGTATGATTCTAGAAATAGCTTGGTGAATTTATCCCGTGCGCCGAGATCTTCTGAGAGTTTTGGGTTTTGGGAGAGTGATTCCTCAGAAGGTTTTAGGATGCCGTGAAGGATTGAAGCTTTCAGGCGGTCTTGAAGCAGACAGTATGCATCTGTGTTGTAGAGGGATAGTAGTTCCTTTCTGATGACTCCAAGAGGCTGTGCGGAGCGATTTGTTCCTTCGATTAAAATAGAGTCAAGAATCTGGGTTAGGAGAGTTTCTTGGGTTGATAGCCATGCGGTTGATGCGTAGAGCTCTGGTTTGAGAGATTGGTCGGTTGATAAGAGGGGTGGGTATGAGGAAGCAGATTTCCGGGCGGGTTTCCTGGAGGGGTTGAGTGGCTTCCGGAAGGACTCCGAGTCAGAGTGGGATTTAGGTTTTTGGAGACGGAGACGGTTGAGCGTTGAAGGTTGTTTTTTGAGGTCATGGGCGGGGAGGGGTCGAGAAGGAGGGTTCATGCCTCGAGATATTGATTTCAGAGCTGGACGTAAGGTGGTGGCTGTAGAAGCTGTTTTCGTTTTTGTTTCAACGGCTGGTTTTGGCTTTATTGGGATCTTCTTCTTATCAATTGCTTTTGTTGGCTTGACGGTAATTGGTTTGGTAGTAGTTCTTGCTATAGAAGTCCTTGGTTTTGAAGTATTTGCGCTTGAAGTAGTGGCTTTCGTAACAGCGGATGCAGCTACTCGACGCACTATTTCGGATATTCTTCGTCGTTTCTTAGGAGGTGGAGCCGGTGGTTTTGTTAATATTGATTGGGATGACGAATTTGGCGAAGAAGTTGGAAAGATGGTGGAGGATGTAGAATCCATGGCAGAGATATCAGCATGTAGAACAGAACTGTTGGTATCTTGTCGCGGGAGGATAGGAGATGTCGGGATTGTGTGAGATCTGAGGGACATCCGTCTGTTGTGTATAAGAATGGTCGACTCATCCTGACCTCCAATCGATTCTTCCAACGAAGTATTCTGTATGATACTAGTATCGCTTTGATTTCCGATAGAAGACCTTGGTAGTTGAGAAGCCGGTTTCTTATTTATAGCAGATTTTTGAACTAGGCTGATAGGAATCTTGCGACGTTTCGGAAGGATTGAGAGAGATGTTAAGGAACGACGTGGACGTGATGACTTTAGATCGGTAGTTGATGGGGTAGGGAGGGACGAAGAGTTTGGGCCAGGAGATGTGGGACGACGACGTTTTAGACGGCGGTTTGCCGGTCGTGGACAAGGTGTTTCTAGGAGGTCCATTGTGATTGTATGGCCCTATTGGGTGGTCATGCTATGAATTTAAAGGATCAATGAAGTTGATATTGTTGTTGGATGGTTGGATGGTTAGATGGTGTGAGATGTTGATATTGAAGTTGAAGTTGAAGTGGTAAGTTGATGGTAAAAGTCGCGTGGATGGGCGGGGAGTAGTCTACCTAGGTAGTTTAAACGGGTGATCGAGTAGCTGAAAAAGGAAGAAAAGGCTGAACTGGCTATAACAAAGAGGAAATGCCAAAAAGGGCAGGTTGCTGGGTTGCTGGGTCGAGTAGAGTGAAGGTTAGAAACAGAGTATCGACTGTCGATGGTGTTTCGACTTGACAGTAAACAAACGGACGGTGATGGGATGCAGAATGTGTTGAGAGAGGTTGCCTGCCAGTTCAGCCAAACAAATGTAAACAATGCAATAGTGTGCGTCCCAAAGAGGGAATAACGAAAAGTGACAAACACCCAGGCAGGGAATAAGGTTCGGGTGCAGCCGACCAGAACACAAGAAAGAACGAAAAAGGGCAAAAAAAGAAAGGGAAAAGAGCCGCATGTCAGAAAAAACGTGGGGAAAACGATCCGCTCAATCGGTAACGATGACGATATAATCTAATCTCCAGGTTCACTTATATCGTCGAGAGCTATCGGTCGAGGATTTGGAGGACCCCGGAAAAGATAGTCTTGAAGGGGGGAATTGGGACGGGAGAAGCTGGAAATGGTGTCGCCTAGCTCCGGCGACAACGGATATCATATATTCAGAGCTAATATTGGCATTATACGAGGTGATATAATGAGGGTCAGAATTGGGGGATTTCGAGGTTTAGACGGTGATATTTGCTTGGTGTTGGAACGTTTTGTGGATTTGTGGATTTTGGTGTGGAGATGGGTTGTGCACCGCCACACTTTGGATCTGTTCATTTTATTCTCGCTAAAACACACTGGACTGGGCCCCTAAGCTAATGAAGCCAGGAGAAACATCCTCGTCGACGCGAAAAAGCCTATCAAATGGGGATGAAGGGCTGCAGATGGCGATGTATCATGATATCAGACGGTATCTACAGAATTTGTGTGGTTAATTGGGTATTTTGGTGTATATGACTCGGAATTGGTCCTTTTTTCTCGAGAGAAATTGGTTAGACATCTGCAAAAAAAAAGGAAACCACCTAGATTAGCTCTTATTATCAATCGAAGGGTTTATATAAAAATAAAATAAAATAAAAAAATACCGTCTTGGATTGTCGGTTTCGGTGGTGTATCTGACGATGGTGGTGAGTGAGTCTTTCGATGGAGAAAAGGCAATTGGCAATGTTGTTGAGTCGAATCGAATGAGTCTTTTTGGTGTTGTGTGTTGTGTGTTTGTGGCTGACCCACAGCGCACACAGAAAGTGTTGCGGGTCAGCACCGCCACAACTTTTGCTTCTTCGGACTCTTCTTCTCTTTCTGTCTTCCCAATCCTTCCTTCTTCCTTCCTTCTGTTCTCTCCTTCTTCTTCTCTTCCTTCGTTCACCATCAAGCCCAATCGCCATCAGGCTATCACCAGCTTCACTACCACCCTTATCTTCTCTGTCCGGCACTTATCCTGTCTTGGTCAGGTTTAAACCTTTCTCTACACGTCTGACGGCCCTGTTTTTCCCCTTCAGTCGGGTCTGACTGTCCGTTAAAATCCAACGTCCTATCCGCGTCCACATCCCACTTCTCGCGTCCTTCCCCAACAAACAATACTCAATTCCTAAAAATACCTTACTGTCCTCCTTCTCTCTCTCTCTCTGTTTCTTGATATTCTTTGCTGTTATTACTTCTTTCTCTTGATCCGAGTTTCTAGTCTTTCTGTTGGTGATATTTTATTTTATTTTTACGTTTCCACTGAAATTAGCTGGATTCTTTGCGCCTCCCTTATATACTATACCAAACCCAACACCACACCAAAATCATAATTGGAATATCTAGGCATCTCTAGGGACGACATACCACTATCGATATTCAATATCGAAAAGCCGACGACCAGAATAATAATTATTATTACTGTTATTTTTTTTTAAAAAGTATACATTTTATAATGCTCTTTCTCTCTATCATGATATGACCTTGGCTTTGTCTAACCTTCTTCTTTTTCCTTTTTCTGTCTAGGTCGCGCTCGATGGTCCCAGAAATCATCGCCACCTAGTTGCCCCCCACCATCCCTACTGCCCCTCCACCTAACGATGCCAAGTCGTAATCGAAAGGGCCCAAGTATCACAAGTCTCGCTGTTGACCCAGAGACCCTCGGGGAGGATTCTCAGGACTCCGATTTCGACCCGAAGGCTTCTCACGCCTCACCATCCAAAAGACAAACTCGGACTCCTAAAAAAGGTTCCACCAATCCCTCGAAGAGGTCTAAGTCTCGCAAGAAACGCGAAGAGTACGACGAAGAAGACGACGAAGGGAACCTTAGTAGAGGCTCCTGGACCAGTCCTTCTAGCTCTGAAGACGAAGACGAGCTTGAGATGAACGCTGCTGGACGCCCGGCCAGAAGAGCAGTCAAGAACAATACAGCAAACTATCGAGAGTCGTCTTCTTCTGGTTCGGAAGGAGAGGAACCACGCTTCTCAGGCGAGGAAGAGGAAGAGGCTACGTTTACCGACGAAGACGTCAAACCGAGAAACCGCAAGGCCAAAGGTGGTAAAACGGCCCAAAAGCAGGCCCCTAAGAAAGCTCCCGCTGCTTCAAGGCGTGGCCTTAGGCGCCCGGTTATCCGTGACGAGGACGAAGTTAGTGTCCCGCCCACTGACGACGAGACGGAACATCAGAAAAAGTCTCTTCTAGTTACACTTCACGTCGACAAATCTAAACTTGCCGCGCTACAACAAAACGAAATGCCTCGAAAAGGAAGTGCCTCTTCCGCTGCTGCCGCTGCCGCTGCCGCTGCCCCTCCGCTGCAGCGAAGATCCTCTCGCCTAGCCTCTTTACCACCCGAGAACACTGGGGATGAGCTTCCAGCACGTACACGTGGGAAATCCCGGGAGCTCACTCAGTCACCTACTGGTCGAAATAGACGGTCGCGTAGTGTTAGTCGTCCGACAACAGGGAACAAGGGTCCCTCGGCAGCCCCTGGCCGCCCTAGGAGGGTCACTCGCGCCACAAGCAGAGCTGGCAGTGAAGAAGCGGGAAGTGTTGATGCTCCTTCGGATATGGAAGTGGAACCCGCTGTTCCTAATGCTCTTGCGATGTCTCGCATAACAGAAGAATCGACACAGCATTCTTCTGCCAAGCTGACCAACGGTAACGGCTCTGGGTCAGCAGACAAAGATGGGACTTTCCACCTTGGTATGAATATAATTATTAGTTCCCTAGATCATATTATTTTATCAGCGTGTTTTGGCTTACCGATGACTTAAATTCTGTAGGCAACAACGAAGATGGGGGAGACGTTGCTCTGAAGAAGGAAGCCGTCGAGACCGGTATCTTTCCTGACGACGGGGATGATGAAGAAGATGCCCAAGTCAGAGGTGATATCGCGGACATCAATATGGAAGACGATGATGATGACGATGAACCGGTTATTGGCCGTCGGACCAGATCTGCGGCTAAGCGACAACTCACCCCTCCATCAAATTTTGCTACTCCTAAAAAGCAACCTTCTCGTAAGTCTAAGCGTAGCAGTAAGGACAGCGACGATGAATATGAGGAGGATGATGGTGAGGAAGGGCCTGAGCCTGAGGATTCGGATAGCGACCGGCCTGAGCCGCAGGACGATGACGACGACTATGGGAATGATAATAGGGGCCGTCGTACCCGAGCCGCTTCGCAGAAGAAGCGACGACGCAGCCAGATGTCCACTGACCCCCCGGATCTTGATCTAGATGAGTTGGCAGAGGAAGCCCGTGATCTCGGAAAAGAGCGCAAGCGGACACGGCGCGAAAACCTATACCGCCACGTTGAAGAAGATTCTAGTCAAAATAGAAGACCCCGCCGAGCGGCAGAGAAACCCGTAGACTATAGAGTCTTTCGACCTGAGGAAAATTTTATCATTGATGATGATGGTTCTCCACCGCCGACTATTATCGGTAAGAAGAATGGGAGGAGAGGCAAGAACGGTGGCCCCGGCGCTCGACCACTCTTCAACACCTTGGGCATCTTTGGAGGCATTGGCCAAGAACGATCTATTCTTAATTCTGATCGCAACCTCGGATTTAATGATTCCGATAGTAGTGATGACGATATCCAAATGATGCCCACAGGAGGTACGGATGCGATTGCTCCGCTTATTGGCTCTGGTGGTAAACGCGATTCTATCTCTCGTGCTGGAGGGATGGGGGCACATGGTACCCCCATGGATATGGGCAAGATTACACCTCACCAAAAGCAAAATCTTGCTGATGCCGATCCTATTGGTATTGACCCTAATGTGGACTTTTCCAAGGTCGGAGGACTGGGAGAGCATATCAATCAGTTGAAAGAGATGGTGGCGTTGCCTTTAATGTACCCTGAGATATTCCAGGGTCTCGGGTTAACGCCACCACGTGGTGTGCTGTTCCACGGCCCCCCAGGTACTGGTAAAACATTGCTTGCCAGAGCACTTGCGAACTCCTGTAGTGCGAACGGCAAACAGATTACTTTCTACATGAGGAAAGGTGCGGATATTCTTAGTAAGTGGGTTGGTGAGGCGGAAAGGCAGATCAGGCTGTTGTTTGCGGATGCGAGGAAGAACGCACCTAGTATTATCTTTTTTGATGAAATTGATGGTAAGGCTCTCACCTTCTATTATAATTTTCTACATATCTAGTTAGTTCTCGAAACTTACCAACATTCCGTTATAAGGTCTCGCACCTGTCAGATCCAGCAAACAGGACCAAATCCACGCCTCTATCGTTTCTACCCTTTTGGCTCTAATGGATGGCATGGATGGCCGCGGTCAAGTCATTATTATTGGCGCGACTAACAGGCCTGACTCTATTGATCCCGCTCTCCGACGCCCTGGCCGGTTTGATAGAGAGTTCTACTTTCCATTGCCAGACAAAGTTTCCCGCCGATCTATCATCGACATCCACACGGCAGGCTGGAGCCCACCTCTTTCTGACGCCTTCAAGAGCGAGCTGGCCAGTATAACCAAGGGGTACGGTGGTGCTGATCTCCGAGCCCTTTGCACAGAAGCTGCGTTGAATGCCGTGCAGAGACAGTATCCGCAGATTTACAAGGATACTGACAAGAAATTCTTGATCGATCCCAAAAAGATCGAAGTCAATGCACGTGATTTCATGATTTCGGTGGAAAAGATTGTGCCTTCTAGCGAGAGATCTTCTACTTCCGGTGCTGCTCCTTTGCCTGAGCATATTGCTCCATTACTCACGCCGACACTTGACATCATCAAAGATAAACTTAATCAGATATTCCCAGAGAAGAAGAAGCAAACTGCATTACAAGAAGCTGAATATGAGCCTTATACCGATGCGGATGGCGGCTTCGGCAGGGAGAAGATGTTGAAGGACTTCGAGAACACGAGAGTCTTCAAACCTAGACTTTTGGTTCATGGGCCACAGGGGATGGGGCAGGGATACCTCGGTGCCGCTTTGCTGCACCAATTTGAAGGAGCTCACGTCCAAACAGTCAACCTCCCCGTCCTAATGGGAGACCCTGCCAAGAACGCGGAAGCGACTCTTATTCAGATTTTTACGGAGCTTAGAAGGCACAAGCCCAGTGTCCTCTATATACCTGATCTTGAGAATTGGTTCCAAGCTGTTTCGAATGATGTTCTTATGACCTTCCTGCACCTTGTTGGAAGCATCGGAAGTTCTGAGAGGATATTGATTGTTGGAGTTACTAGCGCTGAGATCAGCGAGATCAGTGCAACTATTGTTCGGGATTTGTTCGGGTATTCCAGAAAGTGTCGAGTACCCATACTAAAGGCCCAGGCAGTAAGTATAGCTACCCCATTGCCTTGAGGTCTAGATAGCTGATGAGCTTGTGATTAGGTACAACGAGAGGAGTTCTTTAAGCGCGTAATAGGGTTTATTAGGAAGAGCCCGAGAGATTTCCCAGACCCTACTATGCGTCCAAAACGCAAGATTGAACAACTGCCTCTGGCACCACCACCACCACCAAAAGTTCAGACTAAAGAGGAGACTAAGTCCCAAAAGCAAGCTGACAAATATTACATCCACCAATTGAAAGTCCGGCTCATGCCCATCATCGATATGCTCAAAGTCAAATATAAACGGTTCAAACGACCTTTCATTCCTCAGGAACGGTTGGAACAACTCGGCAGACCGGAATTTAATGACGACGTGGTAGCCAGTGATATTCCTCCAGTCACCGATCTTCAGCTTGTCAAGGATAGCGAGGGAACCGATATGATCCTTGATATTCACAAGGATAAGAGGTTCTACAACCTAGATTTAGAAGTTATTGAAGAGCGTGTCTTTAATGGGTATTATGTGAAGCCCAGCCAGTTTGTGCAAGATATCCAGTATTTGATGTTGGATTGTCAAGCTAGCGGAGATAGATCTGCACTCCTATTGGGTAGTGAGATGATGACAAATGTCGAAATCTCGATCTTTGATTTGGAGAAGGAGAACCCTCAGTGGGTTGCCGGGTGGCAGGATGTATGGAATAGAGCGGAGGCTAGGAGACTAAAGAAGGATGAAGAAGGCAAGAGTGGCGGTATCAGAGGTACCCTTGCTGCTATTACCGAAAGCGGAGAGGAGAGTACTCCCAGGGCCGAGCCTTCTGCACTGGAAACACCTGCTCAGGCTGGTCCGAGCACCACAGATACAAGACGTGTGTTTACTCTGCATACACCAGCAGCACAGTATCAGCAAGCTCAAATGATGATGCCACCCCTTCTACCTCCTTTGATGCCGCCACTAGCGGAGGAACATGCAGAACAGAGTTCTAATTCTAATGGGTACATCGCCGCGAGCGAGGCAGGGGCTAAGGATAGCGATGGAGATGCGGTTATGAGCGATATTGCTGTTGGTGGAAGTACGAGAGCCGCAACCGCGATTTCAAGTGCCACGCCAGGTCCAGCTGCGTCAGATAGTAACGTCAGCAGCACCTTTAAGACAGCAGCTCAGAGCATCCCCCCAGAAAGCCATGTTGGACAACCGCAACCATCAGCAACTTTGGTCCACGGTACCCAACATTCGACAATGGTTTCCTCCGTAGCTAACACACAAAGAAGCGGAGCCGGTGGAGGCAAGTACTCGTCGGCTGTGGTAGTTAGTACCACCCAGTCGCAGTTCGAGCAAAACACGCTGAACGCCAGCTCTACGACTTCTGGTGGAAAGGAAAATAGTAATGCTACGCGACCTAGTCAAGGTAGTCATCCCGCTTCTAGCAGTAGCGGTGGAAGAACTACCGATGTTCCGCAGGACACACCACCTGCAAGACCTTATCAGTTTGGTAGCGACATGGCAAGCTTGGGAAGTACGAATAGTGCGAGGACCCAGCACCTTATGCGGCACGCATCGACAACCACGGGCTATGAGCATCCGATTGAGATTGGAGATAGTCAGTTGCCGGATACACAGCGTATGTACCTCTTCCATTATTTCTGATACAATTACAACCAAGTTGCGTTGGTATCATAGGCTAATTATTAGTTTTTTGTGGAACAGCAGTTGCATCCTCTGATGGAAGCGTACCTAGTCAGTTCGCCTTTGGACCAGATCTGAGGAGCACACAGGCCACAAACGGCTCGCAGCAGTCACCGCTTGCCGCTCTCGCGATTCGGCAGGCCGCTACAGCCGCTAGAATGGCTGAGCTCGCCGGAGCGGGACCTTCACCTTCATCATCCGCCCCACCAATCATTCGACGTCCACCAACCCCTGACCCTGATCCACCACTTCAGCTTGACGAAGAAGAGTTGGGCAATTTCCACAGATACCTGGTTCAGACTTCGCATGATTACACAATCGAACAACTGGAGCAGGTGAATGCGGCGATAATGGATTTGGTGTGGCAGTATAGGGCGGACTGGGATCGGAATAAGATTTTGAGGGAGGCAAAGGAAGTGGTTAAGGAGGTTGTGGAGGATATTGAGGAGATGGATCGGCTGTTGAGGATTAGTAAGGCGAGGGCAAAGGCGGAAGAGGACACAAGGGACATCAGCTATGGTGATGTTTTGACTAGTGAGATTGGTTGACGATAATCATGCAAGTTTCTGTTTTATGACCTTTTTTTTTTCTCTTTCCTCCTTTTTTTTCAAGGTGGCGTTCTCGTTTACTCTTTTTTGTGCATATATATCATGGTGAAGGCGAGGATGAGAGATGAGATGAGATCTGGGGGGGTAATGGCATTTTTCTTTTGCATTACCTAATGCGTATACGTCTATTCCTTATCTTTCCCAGACAGTGTGTCGTATCTTATTTTCCATTCTATATTTATACACGGGGGACATCTATTTTTCTTCATGGTTCGCGTGTGTACTTTTAGTTTCCGGGTTTATCTTACTCTCCTTAACAAAAAAAGGTTTTTGACGTTTTTTGCTCGAAGGTCTGCTAGATATTTTTGTGCATAGATTATGACGGGGCCGTGCGCTTGTGAGGTTACAATTGATTTCATGGACTTCATGATATGCTTGGCTGCGGCTGTCTTGCAAATCAGGCTACCCGTCACCTGAGAGGGTCACAACAGGATTGAATTCCCGAATTTCATTGGCGTAATATATTAATATTAATAGTGGCCCGGATTAGGACGTACGGGAGGTTTGATCCATATGGGCATACACGGCGTGTTCCTAAAACTATATACTCATATCAAACAATAGTTTCTCTTGACATTGTTGATTGAAGGTGGGCTATGTTGTTTGGGTTTGAATTAGTAAGTGCTTGCACGCGGATGTTTTGCCATCGCATTGTTAACAATTGTTACGTCTTCTTGTTAACATGTTGGATTTTGATATTGCATATATTGCATTGTTCATATGATCTAGGTCAGTCTCGACACTAAACAACTTGTGCTTTGCTCGGCTGTTGTAGTTTCGAGGCTAATCTAGCTGTTTGGGGATTAAATTTTTCGAGTAATGTGTGTAGTTGGTTTGTTAGTTAGCTATGTTAGAATTAAATAGGCGGGAAGTGTACAGTGCCATTAATTTTGGACCGGAGTTACCATCTATAATGATAATTTTTGGACACGTAAACTACTTAATTATAAGGTTCATAGAGGGGAGCCATTAGCCGCCAGTCTAATATTGATACGACGTGATAGAGATGATACACAGGAGACTTAAGATGCTTAGTTTGGTTTCACATGCGTAGATGTATGAATATGCAAGTTATGATAGTGAAGGACTAGCAGGAATTGATGCATAAGAGATGACCGGCCGTTTATTCAGATTGAGATATGTACGGTGTTTTATGGCTATTAAAGCTAGCCGGTCTATAAAGAGGGTTAGAAGTCTTTAGGGTCGTCTAGTAGCCCAATTTAGTTCTTGATCCAAATTCCTACTACTATATTACTAGAGAGTACGTAGCGTTTATTCATTTATTCATATCCTTATAGTCTTTTGACTACTAATTTCCGCCCTCTTTGTACGTTTTAAATACCGACCAGCTTTCTGCTTTCTCTAATTCAAAAGTTTTCTTTGCTTATGGTGATTTAAAGATCCTAGATACCCCCGGTGGAAACCGATTCAAGGATTGCTTAAATTTTAAGAAATTTCGAAGAGAAATACAGGCCCAGCATGCGAAAAGGCCGTAGATACGCCCTGAAGCTGTTCTGGTGGGTTTTAGCTGCCCTACCCGTTTTACTCTTGGGATTTCAGTTGTCCATGCGCCCATCACCCCCCCCCCCCCCCCCCCGCCAAAGCCGGAATACAACTGCTGAGGCCCAATGTAACCTTAAAGCCACCGAAAATAGTCCTAAAAAACGGATTCCACTCTTTCCCGGGCACATTGAATTTTTCCCAATAACCACAAGCTCTTTGACAAACAGGAAATCCAAAGATATACGTTCATCATATTCAAATGAAAGTTTTCTATTTAAAAAGGATGGCGGCGAAGGCGCCTCTTCTGGAATCACCCATCTGAATTATACGACATCCAGGCAAAAGCGTGCCTTTCGGAATGAGCAAATACCCGCGGGCACGCTACTTCGGCTGGAACCAGATTGGGGATTTCGTATGATATCTCAACCACCGGGCCAGCCTTATACTGAAGAGTATTATTATGAAAGGACTGAGGGGAGGAGTAATCATACATTTATCTATGTTGTAGACCAGTCCTTTTTGGTGGACCATAATGTAGGTTTTCTGGTGAACTGGCAAAGCTGAGGTCTCTCGCCCGCTACATTCTTTTTATAAATTACGGCGATACGGTTTTCGCTTACCCCATAGTAAAGGCCAGAATAAATGAGATAGCTAGGTTGAGGAGATACTACTTCAGATTTGGGCGAGATATACTGAAGTCTTCATTTTAGGATTGTTGACTATGAAGCGAAGCTGAAGGGTTTTTGAATCGTTTTACTAATCATTGTTTTATATATACACATATACATAGGAGTTTCGCCACAATCCTCTAATAGAATTCCTTCCTAGAGATCGAAATCCAAAACACAACTCTGCACTCCTTATAGATCCCAGCCACGGAACGGCTGTGTTAAGCAAAATCATTGGCTGGAACACTGGAACGGCTCGTTATGCAAACGTTATTGCTGTACCGGTACTGAGTTGGGGACAAGACGGCCTAACTGCTCTCCAAGACATGATTGTCATGTACCAAAGAGTGCTCGATGATATGGAGCGAAGAGCCACAATAGCAAAAAAAAGAGGCGAAATTATCCCTCCCAGATTTATTATCACTACAACTCTGGGATACTATGTGAACGCTTCAAATCTCTGGCCAACTGAGCAATATGATACTTACGCACAGCTTCATACGCAGTTGAATACAACCATGCTTAGGTTTGGGGCAAGGAAAGACGCTTTACTCGTCATTGCTAATCCGAATGATGAGGTAAGTTTAGTTACAAGGCTTAGGATCTTAGATATTCGTAACATGATTTTAAACGCTGGTTGACTTATCATCGGTACACAGGACGAACCTCGGTCTTGGTGGCCTCACAACATCGTGTACGGATGGAAGAATAAATTCCCAAATGCAATTCTTGTGAGTGGAGTCGACGAAATAGGGGGAAAAATAGATCTAGAACTGAGGGTACCAGCGACATATGCACCAGCAAATTTTCTTAGGTCGGCGTTGGTCAAGGTGATAAAGGATAAGAACAATCCTAAGGTTATTACCGGTCTGAAAGACGGAGGGGTCGGTATGCTATCTGGAAATTCTTTAGGTATTAAGCTCAAAAAATGCTCAATGTAGATATTCGAATAGCATTTTCTTCCTAGACGATTTTGATAAGTAGCTAACTCCGGACTCGGGTTCTTTTCATAGCTGCACCAATGATCTCTGGAATCCTTGCGAACTTTTTGGCCGACGGTAACTTGACGGTTATCGGAGCGAAAAGAAAATTGGATTATTTGGGATACGCTCGCGGCCCTAGTCACCACTCATCAACCAATCCGCTAGTCGTCTGGAATGGCCAAATGAGTCCCGCAAAAGGTCCCGAAGCTCCGTTTCCTATCAAAGTACTCTTCGTCTGCAATAAAGGTACGCCGACAAACGGACAACCTGAGCTTCGTACAATAGCTAGTGTTTTATTTCCCGTATTTTCGAAGCAAGCTGCCCCACAGAAGGCTGTTGAAACAGTCTCTGTAACTATAACTCGATGCGATGTGCTGGGGTTGACCTCGGGACCGGTTCCCTCGACTCCAACTCCGACTTCAATTTTGAAAACAGATTTTATGCCAACGTTAACCCCGATGACAACAGTGGCTAATGGCTACGTCTATGATGGAAATTTATGCAAGCTTTGTAAAAAGGCCGATGGGAAGGTTGCCATTGATGGAGTCATATATCTTCCTAAAGATTGTCCATGCCGATGAACCAGATGTTACGATATATGCTACTTATATATATGTTTTTTATGTATTAAAGGCAGGTTGGTGAAATCTCAACATTATGTACCTAGATTAGCTTGATTTCGAAATTGTCGAAAGTGTCAAAAGAATTCTTGTAAGTATCGTCGTTTTTTTGGTGACGTTGTTCAATATCTAAAATATTTCATAGTAAACTCTATCAGTAAGGAGCTGAATCGAGTTGCATGAATCAATGCCGATAGGTCACCTAAACGCTATTTCAGAATACAATAATGCTACTATATCGCTATTTCACCTTAACCTATAACCGTGTAAAGGACCAATTACTATTATAATATACTACTGTCGCGAAAACTAAATTGACAATTGGCATAGTCGGGAGGCTATCATTCTGGTTTAGTTATGAGACTGATAGTGCCCCCGTTAGCGAACTTTTATACGGCACTCAAAGAAATCTTAGTTTTGACAAATTATCAGGGTGGAATCTAAAAGTCTTTGAATTGGGGCAGATTTCTGCTTTCGCTCCATTGGAATACATATACATCGGTGCGTCTAATTTAGTTAAAAGCCTAACCGTGCGCAAAAATATATCAAATCACTTCCATTCTATCGCAACCTACCCTTTTCGATCAACTAATATCTATGATCTTGGATTTATTAGCTTATATGACAGGGGCCATAACAAAGAATCTAGATCTGATTGATTGGTAACCCTAATGTTGAATCTTTTATTCATATGTAGTCTCGCGCCCTACCATTTTTTAAGCGAACCAAGAATAATATATGAGGACCCGCTAGGGACCATCTATATCATGCGCGTGCACCCCGCCAACCTAGAGGCTGTATGCATACGATAAAATATATTCAAATTTACATACATACACATGCACCTTGTCTATTTCAGGGCTACAATCCTGAGATTTAGGTCTTTATATCTCATCCGGAAATTCTCCTCAACCACTATTTTTCCAAGGCTTTCTGCGAAAAATATGTCAGAACCTGGTCGCCTTTTGAATCACTTTCAAGACAGGTAGAAATTTATCGGACGAATACTCGAGTTGGTAAATCTTAGTATCCTGTATGCTAATAATAATAACAATAATAATCAAATTAGACTGCGCAAGGATCAAAGTGATGGATGGTCAAGTCTTTGGGAAACCGACGAAAGCGACCTTTGGGATCGCGGTAAACCCTCGCCAGCACTAATTGACTTCGTTGAGTGCTATGGCCGAAACATATTTCACGACATGAAGAAAGATGATCGTTGTTGTCGTCTTAAGGCTTTAGTACCGGTAAGTATCCTTCTAATATTCTTCATTAATATTCCGGACCCCAAATTAATAAAACAGATAAAGGGATGCGGAAGAGGCTACGAAGTCATAATGCTAGCCCTACACGGCTTTGATGCTTACGGTCTAGAAGTTTCATCCAAAGTCGTGGATATTGCTAAGGAATACGCTGAGAGCCAACTCGAATCCCCCGACCCGAGCTTTTATGGCGAGAAAAGGTCGGAATATGTTCGTGGAAGTGCGAATTTTGTTCTGGGGGATTTCTTTCAGAAAAATTGGGAAACAAATTGCGGCATAAAGGATGATGATAAATTCGATTTGATATATGATTATACGGTGAGTCCCGTACGTCTCTTCTCATACTTGTGGGGGAGCCTATATACTAAACTCTTCCATGATTAGTTCCTCTGTGCCTTGCTTCCAGAAATGAGGTTCGATTGGGCAAGAAGAATGCAAGATCTTCTCAAACCGGGAGGAGTTCTTGTTTGCCTTGAGTTCCCGCTATGGAAAGATCACCAATCTGCTGGGCCGCCTTGGGGTCTTGATGGAGTTTATTGGAATTTACTGGCAGAAGGTAAGGATGGTATTTTGACTTCTACACCAGCGTTGGCGACCAGAGATGGAACAGACTTGAAGGGCCCCTTTACAAGGCTTGTACACTATAAGCCTGATAGGTCTTATGACCAAGGCCGGGGCACAGATATGATGAGTATTTGGAGGCCGGCTTCCTAGAGCCTGCCATCCCTATATATATATATATATATATATATCATTTTCTTAAAATGTTTAACTTCTGCACCTTTACGAATTTTCTTTCATTTAAATAAATGGCTTGATTGGAAAGTTTGAGCTTATATATATTAGGGTTCTAGTATCTAAATACGTAATTGATGGATCTATAATTAACGCCCGAGCTATGAAGAAGAGAAATAAAAAGGCCAACAAATTGCCATAGAATCAAATAGCACCCCAGGCCTTCACCTTTCCGCATCCAGAAGAGCTCCTATCATTATCCTGTAAGTTGGGATTTGCTCCCGCTTCAAGTAGCAGTTGTGCAACTTTCGGGTGACCAAAGCGTATCGCAAGATGTAAGGCCGTCCAACCATGAAACCCTTGATAGTCTATCGCAGCTTTTGCTGAAACCAAAATTCTAATGACACTTTCGTGCCCAAATCGACTCGCCTCCATCAACGGGGTCCATCCATACTTCGTAACCGCTTCTAGATTGGCATCGACATCCACCAGCCTGCGAGCCGCAAAAGCGCAGTTCTCGTTCGCTGCCATATGTAGTGCAGTTTCTTTCAACCCCGTCTTCATGTCTGCTAAAGTTCGTTTTTCGGCCAGTAGCAACGCAAGAACTCCATGAAGACAGTTCTTGATGGCCCTTTGTAGGTATCTGAGCATTTGCTCCGTGCTAGATTCACTAGCTATGCGGCGAACGAGACAATGGGAGAAGTAGCTGTTATATGATCGACATGTCGAGCGGAGAGCTATTATATCGTTCTTCGATACGTTCTGCCGATTCAAAATCTATTAATATAAATCCACCTGCACTATATAGGAGCGGCCGGAGCTTGGAGCAGCTATCCGCCGCGTATAGCTTTATTTACCATCAGGATTAGATCCACTATCTCAGCTGGAAGCTCAGCAAAACGATCGCAGCTGGACAATTTTGTACAATACGGCGACATATCTATAAATTTACGAAAGAATATTATGTGTATATAATGTGGTGAACTCTGGTGAAGGGATAGCTCGAAAAAGAAGCAAGGAAAAGAATGATCTTCATGAATGATTTCCTTGACAACAATGGCGTTCAGCCCTCTTAAATAAGGGGTCTGGGGCTTACCTGTACACGTGTGCTATTCGCACTCGGAAAGTCGCAGCTATGCGCGCATTATATTAAATCGTTCTATTGGTACGTGACGAGACGGAGGGTTTCTCCATGATTTCTCGTCACACTCCGCGACAACACACTTCAATATGTGTTATTTTTCTCCTATGAACATTTTGACATTCTTTAGGGCGTGGGATGACCTATAAGGCGCCGGATGACACCTGGTTGGGAAATTCCTGGGATTTTCTTAGTAATTGGTTATCTCCAAAAGCTCCGGAAAAGTTTGGGTACGAGGCAATTGATATTTCAAGACTGGCCAATATATTGTTGAATTAAAACATTTCTGTAGTATTCATCCGCATTGATATTGACGTCGTCAACCACCTCTTTAAAGCTTGAAATACGTCAATATTCACTATCCATTATAAAATTTACAACGAATTGACCTAGCACTGCTAATCTTGGCTACGTACAGGGTGGGGGTTGTTAGCTCGAGGAATGAAAAACTAGCGACTTTGCGCAGGCTCCACAGGGCTAGTACACATAGCTTAGCAGTAGCTGAAGGTCGAAGGTCTATTACATTTCGTAGTATTCATCAGGTACATCTTTTGGATTTCAAGCTAAATATAGTTAAAATATCCATTGACCTCCATCCACTTATCATCGACGAATTTTGTTAGGTAGTTTCTGATCCCATCCGGCAGAATTAAAACAATCCTCGTTCCCTCGCAATTTAAATCAGGTCGCGACTTCAGAAATTCAACAAGACCGGCAAATGCAGCACCGGACGAACCTCCACAAAGTAACCCTTCTTCCTTAATTAATTTTCGCGCATAGTTAAAAGAATCTGCATCGGAGGTCTTAAGCCAGATATCTGCGATGCTCCGGTCCAAGACTGTAGGTACAAAATCGTATCCTATCCCTTCGATTTTGTATTCTCGTTTTATTTCGTTCAATTCCTCTGGCTGGGCGAGGACGGACCCGACGGGGTCCACGCCCACGATGTAGACATTCTCATTCAATCGCTTTAAACAACGACCGATTCCCGTTATAGTACCTCCAGTACCTGCACCGACAACAACAGCATCCACTTTTCCCTCACATTGCGCCCATATTTCAGGTCCTGTACCTAACTCGTGCGCCTCTGGATTGTTTTGATTTCTGTACTGGTCGAGGATATGGGAGTTAGGGGTTCCTTTCTGTAGCCTTTTAGCTACACTAATGATAGATTCTGGTGGTTCTATCGGCACACCAGCCGGCGTCCGGACAATTGTAGCACCCAACGATTTCAGAATCAGAATCTTCTCTTCCGACATTTTTTCAGAGATCGTAATGATACATTTGTACCCCTTGATTGCGGAGATAAGCGCCAATGCAATTCCCCTATAACATAACGAAGTTAAGCCTGCCCCTCTACGCGATGGCTGAATTAACAATTAAGATGGTCTGTCTTACGTATTTCCACTCGTCGCTTCAATTATCGTATCCCCGGGCTTCAAACGACCTTCTTTCTCGGCCGCCGTTACCATTGCCAAACCCACTCGATCCTTCACTGAGCCTCCCGCGTTATAATACTCTAGCTTTGCGAATACTTGGGCTCTAATACCGAGGGATCTGGGTAGGGAACCGAGTTGAACCATTGGAGTATTGCCGATGAGATCCAATGCGGATGTTAATGGTGGCGATAATGGTAGCTGAGGCATGTTCAATTGGGTTTTCTTGAGTAATCCGGGTCGATCGATCTTTTTGTAGATCTAAGATTTGGAATTTAAGATCAGAATTTAGTAAATAATGTATGATGTTGGTATTGTCTTGCGAGACCGATTTAATTTCTGTTGGTTTTGTACAAAAAGCTCAATTGGCTTTATGTGCATCATAATTACGAGGGACACCGACACCCACTCTAGCAGGAAAGCACGGCACCTACCTAGACAACTTTGCCACGCCAGCTGGCCCGTAGGGCGGGGCGGGGGAGTATGTACGCCCTACTTTCTGTCAAATAATTGTGACTAAATAGGTCTATAGAAAGAACTCTCTGAGCTTTGTAAGCTTCATCCAGGAAATCTTCTCGGTTGACGGGTAAAGGATTTTATGTATAAATACAACTGATCTAGGTACTGCCGTTTACGTGGTATTCGTGCTTAGAATTCTCAGGCTCATTCCAACCCTTTAGAAAGCTAAAGGATCAGCAGTAGAATCAGCGCCTTCATTCGAGACTGTCTAAACTTTTGGTGAGATAAGGTTGAAATGCATTTGTGACAGCACCAACAGGAAGATCGAAGTTTCAATATTTCCAAGCAATCTTTCGCAGAGTTTGAATTCGCCACAAAAGCGGACTATCTCACGACACTACTACGGGTGCTATCTCCGAGCACGTAAATATCAAGCCTAGACTGGGATTGACCGATCCGTCCAGCAGAAACATATTTCGAAAGAAATATGCTTACATAAAATTTATTCCTAGATATGTCTATCCACTACATTCGCCCAGAAAGACGTGAACGAGCCCTTTGGTCAAAACTGCTGCTCACGATCGAATAACCCGAATTGCGAAAGCCTGAATTGCGAAAGCCTGCAAGTAAGAATAGCTGCACTCGAGGGTGCCAGTTACAGTCTAGCGTTCTCCTCGGGCCTTGCAGCTACGACGGCAGTCCTACAGACTCTCGCGACGAACAGTCACGTCATTACAATGATGGGTATATACAGCGGCACCGCCCGATACTTTAATAAAGTTGGAAAGTCCCATGGACTCTCTGTCAGTTATATTAGCGATTTAGAGGGAGACCTCGCCGAAGCGCTTAAGATTCGGGAAGATACGAAATTGATATGGATTGAGAGTCCGAGTAATCCAACCTCACGTTAATCAATTTCACGCGAGTGGTGGAGATGGCTCATCAGCGGTGAGTACTGGTGTTGGTAGATAATACTTTCTTTTCTCCGTATATACAGAACCCTTTGGCTTTAGGAGCGGACTTGGCTCTCCATTCTGTGACCAAGTATATCAATCGGCATAATGTAAGAAATCTGTTCTTTTAGAGTAATCTATTTACAATAATTAACGTTTTTATTCAATAAGTGCAACGTTAACTAATAAATACCTTACCGTGTATTCAGGATGTCTTAATGGGTAGCTTTCGACTCGTCTGAACTACTTGAAAAATTATCTTTTTTCCAAAATGCCACCGGGAGCGTTCCAAGTCCTTTCGATTGTTGGTTAGCGCATCGCGACGGGGGATTACATATATATATTAAGACCATTCACTTAAGAGTCAAAACCGCCAGCGACAACGCTTCCGCTATTGCTTCCCTCCTTAAAGTCAATTACCCGGGACTTTAGCAAGAACTTGTTTTAAGACAGCATCGTCTAGGCATGGGAGGTGGGATGATATCATTTCGAGTCCGCGGAGGCGCTAAGGCGGCGGAGAGCTTTTGCAAATTTTGTAAAGCATCAAAACTGTTTACTTTGGCAGAAAACCTCGGAGGGGTTGAGAGTCTATGTGAAACCCCAGCACGGATGACGCACGGGGGGTTCTCAAGAGAAGCTCGACAAGCCGCTGGGGTATTCGATGATATGATCAGGCTAAGTGTTGGTATTGAGGGTATCGAGGATCTGAAGAAGGATATCTTATCGGCTTTGGAGGAAGCCTGCACTTCTTAAGGCTCTTGGTATCCCTATAAAGCCTTTCAATATCGGCACGCATGAAGCTAATATTGGTTTCTTATATGTGTGGGCCTTGTTTCATGTGTCGATTAACGTACAATAAAGAATATGCAATTTGACCCTGAGATTAAGATGCATCAATAGCAGATTAGCTAAAACGTGTAAAAGGGTTAGAACTAACGAAGTATGCTACGCCGGAATATGTAAATATGTATGAAGACAAAAACTCCTATCCATGACAATTAAAAGCTCCGATGATAAAAAAGCGATTCAAGGTAAACCTGATTCTGGATCCTGACATTCATAACTGGAGTTGCATTGTGTCAGGTTTCTCCACCTCGTTATTTCGGCAAGACATTCCGGTGTACGCCAATTCAAAGGTAGATTTCCATAGCCAGTGGCCGTCTGGCTAAACCCAAATAAAGCTCCAAAACTAGGATCTAGGTCCGCTGTAAAATTACAGAGGTCAAAATCGCTTTGTGTCGATAAATCTAACGCCCCGTCCCCGCTAGGGATACCATGCCCCTGCTTGAAATACTCCAACCACTGTGGGTTGTCGGCTGCGGTCTGATTCCAGGGATCATCGTCGCCATATGTAATGATCCGCGCCTCCCGTCGAATATCTTCGTCATTGATGTTGGTTCCAGTTGCTCGGGCAGCCATGATATACTCGCTAAGTTGTGCTGTCAATTCTTCAAAACAGTTTGTACCACTTGGCGGTGGGATTTCCTGATCGGATGATTCGTGATCGGAACGTGCTCGACCTCCCTGTGATGCACGGAAGGGTTCGAATGATCCGGCTTCCATTCCTATCAAGTAAGGTGGCATGGCATTCTCCACCAGCAAAGATATTGATGGATCAAGCCCACGGCATCCTTTCCAATCTTTAATTTTCACGCCATCTGTGAAATGCTCTGCAATATGTGCGTTACGCTGGGACCAAAGCAAGAATCGTTCACCACAAAATCCACATCGACAATTTATTTGATCCAGTTTTGATTTCCACTCTGCCATCCCGGTTGTAACTCGCTTAGAGTTATGCACTGAGCGGAGGTGTTGGGTCAGGTGGTCCTTTCTATAAAAAGTCCTCGCGGATTCCGGTTTTTTCGCACATTTGTCAAAGTTGTGCTGTTCGAGATGGGAATCTGAAGGATCCAGAACGTCGCAAAAGATACATTTTCTTCCTTTGTCGTCAATGTAGACCCCTTGATGTCCATGGCATACCCAGGCTTCCAGTGTGAGGTGAAGCGTTGACTCATGCCTTGTCCAATCATATTTCGATTTGAAAGTGTCTGTGCAAAAGGTGCACTGATATATCCGGTCCTCAGTAGCACCTCGGCGTTTCCGAGACGTTTTCGTAGGTGAATTAGGCCGATACCGCCGTCGCCGTCTTCGACTGTTCTTTAAGGGCCCGCTGCTTTCCGAACCACTGCCTACTATGCTGGGGGAGTGGCTCAATCTACCCGAAATAGATGACCCAAAAGAGCCTACTGACGTTCCAACACTAGAGTCACTAGAGTCAAAAAAGCTCCAGTCTTGAGGAATATGGTTCTGCGTATTGGTCCCAACATTGAGTACTGCATCAGTTATTGCAGTTAAGGGAGCAGGCTCTTGATCCGGGGGCGAGTGGCGCCAACGATCAAGCGGACTCATGCTTTCCCAAGCCATTGGTGCTAAAGGTACAGGAATTGGTGATGGAGTAATAGATTGTGGTTTTGCCTGTATGAGTGGCGAGGGAGTTTCCGTCTTGTATTTCCTTCGACGCCGCGTATTTGCAAACCAGTCAGCCACCTGACGTACACTGAGACCCGTCTCCTTGCTTAATGATTGTTTTTCGACTTCCGAAGGATATGGATGTTGGATATTGCTCATAAACCATTTTTGTAAAGCTTGTTTTGAACCTTTGCTTAGATGCCTTCGTCCTTTGGATTTTTTGGTCGTCCCTGGCTGCGAATTCGCCTCCGCTCGTTCTTGCATGTATAGCTGTTGGTCACCATCGGTTCCCCCAACATTTCGTTCCTGCCCATAATCGATGATAGAATCAAACCACTGAGAATATGTGGCGTCGGGAACTGTGTTTGGGCCAGCCTCCATGGTATAATCGGTAGTTTATTTTGTAGACAAGTTATAGAAATTTATGAGCAGAGTGATGAAATAAGTCAAGTTAAGTTCGAAGCTAGCTATTTCCGTGGCCGATTAATTGTCGTGACTCCACACCAATTTGCTGACTAATCACGGGTAAAATACAACAACTTTAAACCAGATTGGTTAACTATTATTAGTAGCTAGTCTATGTAGGCACTTAGTCGCAAATAAGTGGTTTTATTAAAAGCAATCTTGGTCAATGAATTAGAAAGGCGACTAATTCTTGGCTTTCGGGCAATTACTTAGCTATGTTGAATACCTTCATGTTGTGAACATGTATGGAGGTATATCTATGTACGAGGACTGTAATTACGTAATCTACCCTATTGAATCTGTTAGTTTCGAAAATGAGCTGTGAACTAAGTCTTCAATTACAAGTTAATACGGATTAAATAGTATTTTTGCCATATATTTTTCCGTATATTTGTTGTTTGAATTCGAATTCGATCTATTTGCACAATTGTATAACTCTGTGTTTGCAACGTTTATACGTTTAGTTCGAGTATTATTATAGAGTTCTAAGATTAGCGGACAAAAGGACAGCTTAAATCGCGGGCTTGGCCTCGATCGTATACTAGTCGGTCGAAGCATAGCTACCGTATCACAAAAAGTCGATCGGGCAATATGATAACTTCCAATTAAAACTGTTAAGTTTGGGCTAATCAAACTTTGCAGCTAGGCACGTGCTATAAAACCCTACAATCGATGTGCAAAAAGGCTCGGTATTATAGAGATCATAAAAACTGTTCGAACAGCATACCCGCTGGCGGCCATTCTGAAGGCAAAATCAAGATACCACAAGAACTACTAAGGTTAAAGGAAATACGAAACGGCGGAACAAGTAATCGACTCCTCTATGAAAGAGCCTGTCGGAATCTCATCAGATAATTAGTCGATCGAAGGAAGCAATGATGCCGATGAAAGCAAGGTAAAATCTAGATTTATGATGTCTTTCATGATCGAAAGAAGAATGTTAACGACATTTTCGAATCTAAAATATGATCAACCTCAAATTAAAAGAGCAAGATAGTTATAATAAATCAAACCCAGGCATCAGTAGCTACCAGTTCTCATTCAGCGAAGTTTTTACTAGGGGGCGGTGGTAATACAGCTGTCGGCATCAAAATTTAAAAGCGCGAAAGTTGTAGATATCTCGAAACTATGCGCTCGAAACGATGTGGAGTTGGAAAGTCACTGAGTTGGAAAGAATATTTACGCTTCTGCATAAACGAAGTTTTGAAATTCGTCGACCCGAGTTCAAAAGAATGGAAGGATGCATATATAGCTAACATGGCTCTCGTTAAGAGAGTTCAGGCCTTGGAATCCTATATTCGACGAACAGGAAAAAAAAAAAATATGTTATACTTGATTGTGCCAATCCTAAGATCGCGCCGATATATCGATAAATATGAAAAATAAAGATCTCAAAAAGAGTCAGCACCTCGAACTGCTCCGTTATAAATTAGATGGAGCTCCAGATGATCAGTACTGTAGTGGGATAGACGATGCTGCCTTCGAGGTGACTGAAGAATTTATATGCTATGCTTGGAAAGAGCGGAAGAAGAAAACACGATTGGCCGGCCACGAACGTCTCAGCTATACTAAACTGAGAAAATAATCGCGAATATCTAAAATTTGATCCAACCAAATCAAGTCGGATGCCTAATCAATCACTGCTAACATCTAATTATAAGGCCCTTATTTTTACCGATGTTTTGGTTTTGTTGTGTTTTCCGCCGAAAATACTGAACTTCCGCCATTAGGATACGACTCAACCAAAGAATGATCCAAAACGGAAAGGGGAAAATAAAGTTTAAATTAAAGGTAAATAAAAGGGATAGGGAGAAGTCTCGCCGCTCTCCTGAATTGAAAAGGGAAACGAGAGAGGAAGGACGATGAGTAGAAAGATTTCGAGATGAATCGGGGGGAAAAGAGGTGAGAAGAAGAAAAGGATAAAAGAAGTATGGTTAAGTTATATTAAATATTTGTATTCTGCTATTGCCCGTATGGATATATGTATGCATGTATGATATACTCGTCAGGTAAGAGAGAACTTTGAAGAAAGTCTGCTCAAAAACTAGAGCACAAATTAGGCCTACAACATTATTTAATATATGGTACTCACCCATAGATCGGTGCCTCAACGTGGCGGATGAGCAACTCAGTACGTATCTGTCTTTATTGATTGCGTGAGAAGCTGGTACCGACTGATGTTGCGACTCTTAAGCTTAAGTTTACTAGCTGATGAGCTTTGGGTTAATTTCATCTTTCTCTTTATTGGTTGTTAATTGGCCATGGAACCGTTCGATTGTACACACATCATGCATGATACCAGTCAAAATGTATCGGCTGTCTTTCCACACGCATGTAGTTGATTAGGACTCCGGCGGCTTACATCAATTAAACAATTGGATTCTTCTATTGTATTATTCTACTAGCATCAAACTTGTGAAGGTTTGGTTTTAACGCTAAGACTGCCGAAAACCACGGCTTGTGTTAACAATGACCGCAATATTGAAAACAGTTACTGATAAAATATGTATGAGCGTTATTGAGTATATTCATATTGACATATATTAGAGCTGCTACACACGCATCTAAAATTATAATAAGACATAATATACACATGCGTAGCTAAATTCTTTAAATTGAACTCAAGGTTCACTCGTAACTCGGTCGAATAGTTCAATCTTTTAATATCTTAAGTTGCAAGCAATAGTATATAATCGACTGTTTCTGCGTTGACACGTTGTTGGAATTGTAAATTGGTACAAATCGGGCCGACGATCTTGAGCGAATTAGGTAATTTCGACCAATCAGATAAGCGGTTGAAATGCTACAAGGTCGTGATCGGGCTGATTCTAAAAAGATAAAAAAATTAATCTATGGCACTCAGGTAATCTGAGTGCGAGAGGAGGTATTTATGCATATGAAGTCGAGGAGAGAGGAAGCTTTGAGATGGTTGGCTGGTTGGCTGAACAATAGTGTGAAAATAATTATGTTTCCCCTAACTTCGCTTCCCGCCCTACTTTCGAGTCATCTACAACCAACGTATGTCCCTCAGATAAGACGGAGGATGATTTTTCGAGCATAATTAGAAGGATTTTCTTTCGAGCGAAATGAGGTTACTAGCTTATTCTTATAAGTGCTAGTGGGATAACGGAATATATCCATAGAGATTATACGACTATGATTTATAATTCAAAGGAACAATCGTCCGCTAGGGATAAGGATGAGTCTAATCGCTATCGAAACTGAGAACCGAAATTTATTTCAAAACTAAAACTATCCTGAACAACAACCGGGCGCGGGCTAAAAACGCCTAGAACAGCTGTAATTAAAACAAACAAAGCACCCGAAATATCCTTTGATCTAAAGGCGCACGCGGATGATGGGAGACGGCAAAATTGAAACTTTGCACAAATCTAAAGCAAAATTGCCGACAAAATGAATCGCTATCACTTTCCATAGCCGAACTATCCTTCGGAATTGGGCTCAGTCTCAGCGCCGTCGTATCGGACCCACTCGATCGGTCGCCGTTCGATTTGCTTGCGGGAGCATCGTACGCAGGGCATAAAGCCTGTCACCTTGTGCCTGCCATTTCGCCTAAAACGACAGCCGTAGGTTATTCAATACCATCTCAGAACGCCATAAGCTCCTAACGCGGTACGAGTCGATACATTACAGAAAGTTAATACTAAATAGGACCTGTATGTAATTATATATATCAGTACCAAGACCCGTAAATAAGCTCCTGAACAAAAAGACAGGTGAGATAATAGACGGTGTCATTAATTTAACTTTTACATATGGCCATTTAAGCATTTTTCATCCTTTTTCTCCTACTTCGGAGTGTCGTATGGATAAAATAATGATCTTCGAACTGATTCTATAGCTAGTGTGTTGTTATTATTACATTTTATTGCGATTGCTGATGACAGGCCTGCAGAACCCCATATTGGCAGTGTGTGTGGTAACTAAGTAAGGAATAATAGTAGATATAGAGACAGTATGCAATGTTGGTGTTGCATATGCAACGTTCGCAAGGTGCAGGATCAGCATCCGCCAAAAGATATCAACAGCCGCCCCAATTACCCCGCTGAAGGATCAGCTTGGCAAAATGGAAGACGAGGCTGGAAATATCGAGGTGAGAATATGAGCCGAAGATACTTGGAGTTGACGTGGCCGTAAAGTGACTGTAATATTGGACTCGAAATGTTAAGGTTGGTGAATAATACCTCTACCCATCGATCTTGAGTCAAGGCTGCGCAAAACCCCATTCACGAATTTGCCTATCTTCGGATGATTTTCATATACGGCTATACTACAGTGTTAACTTTACCGGCTAGGGGGTTCGTATCTCATGATTTGGGATACCGTTCATCATGGCGACCAAGAAGAATCGAGGCACCTATAGAGCACAGGGAATCGATATCAACACCACCGAAGACGAACTTACGGCTGCGCTCGAGGACCAGCTTACAAGTGACGAGAAAGGAAGATATGAATTCGATACACGTCTGGCACCATTCTGCATCGAACCACAATCGTCTCAGATTGCAACTTTCAGAGTCACGAGTGCTCCCTTCGTAACATCTGGGGCAGAGACCAGAGTCACACCGTTAACGTCCGAGACGCCATCCTTTTTGGAGAGAGAGAGACCGTCGCTTGATCTTCGCGGGAGAACTATACAGATTGATTCCGACTTCTATGGACTCACTCAGTTATATCATGTTCCGGAAGATAAAATAAAAATTGAGTAAGCATGCAGTTTTTGAAACGCTTGAAAATATTGATTCAATCTCAAATCCTAAATGGAACCAAAAAATAACCGTTATTCTCATAATAGTATTGTCGCGCTCTCGGGACTAAACTCTCATGCTTACGGATCATGGATCGGACCACAAAGTGGGGATTGGAAACCAATGTGGCTTCAAGATTTCCTCGGCCAAGACAGGCAGTTAAAATACTGTCGAACAATGGTATTCGGGTATGATACGAAATATGGCTCGAAGGCGCAATTTTGGATCGAGGACTACGTCAACATCCTTTTGACGGAATTAAATAAAGCTCGGAGACGTGAAGAGGTATATTTATCCACCCCGTATTTTTTTGGGCCGGGCTTGATACAACCCCGAAGGCTATTTCTTTCGGGAGGTTTATTCTATGTCTCATTGGGATTAAGAAAATTTACCTAACGAATTGAGGGAATAATAGGAGCGAAAGAGGCCACTGGTTTTTATGGGCCATAGTTTCGGCGGCACCATTGTGACACATGTACGCCAGCGATATCTATAAAGCACCCTTTCCCACCGCCATTATAGTATCTGTATACTGATCAGTCTTAGGCATATGTAACAGCGTCTGAAGATGAAAAATATACAGACCTCTACGAAGCAATAACTAACATATTTTTCTTCGGAGTACCCTTCGCGGGTATCAAGCTTGACGATGTTCGATCAATGTTGGAGGACAACGAGGAGCTTTCGGACCAATGCCGCTGGATCGATGGGCAGGGACGTGAATTGGTTAACTACATCGATTACGAAACAGCAAGGTTGACTAAAACCACCCGAACGTTCATGAAAAAGGTTCCAGAAAATCGAACGTATATTCACTCATTCTATGAAACACACAAGACACCGGAGGTTATCAAGGTAGTTGAATTCAGACAGTTGGTTACTGTGATGTCGTTATTATTTAGTAAAGTGCTAATTAATAAGTTTAGCTCGAAAACGGAGATTTTGCGCGACGTGGAACCCCCAAATTAATAGTCCAAGAAAGGTCTGTGGAGCTGGGAATCACAGATTTCGAAGAAACGATGGCGGCGGAAGCGGACCACTCGACGATCATCAAATTGAGTAGCCCGCAAGATAAAACATATACGACCGTCCGCGATCGTCTTAGGGAAACATTGCAAAGATTGGAAAGCCCAGGTATGTAATTTCCTGTTGAAGGGCCCCGTACCAATGATTTCGTGATAGCTAGAGAATCTCAAAGAGAGGCTGAAACAAGAAAAGAACCCGATTTGTTTGGTATAGTTAAAGCGCGTGTCAAACGGCTATTGATGGGCCCTGAGGCTGTAAAGATGGCGCGGGACCCCAAGACGCGGAACAAAAATATCACTCAGGTCTATCAGACCCTTACTATAGGCCAATCGTAAGTAATTCAAGAACGGCGTAGCTAATATGACTAGCGCTTACAAGCATGATCTATAATTTAGGATACAAATTGAGAAAGTCAGTCGAAAACTGGACTTCGGGGCCCTTCCCACCGCTGAGGGAGCAGAATACGGTAGTTTCAAAGACCAACATGAACCAAAATGTTTACCGAACACTCGAGTCCAGCTCCTCAAAGATATCGAAAATTGGGTAGAAGATCCGCAAGGGCACTGTATTTTCTGGCTGAACGGTGTGGCTGGGACTGGGAAGTCTACTATTTCCCGAACTGTTGCAAAACAATTAGAAGATAAAAAATTTCTTGCGAGTAGTTTTTTTTTCAGAAGGGGTGAGAAAGACAGAGGGGATGCTTCGAAATTTTTTACGACTCTAGCAACCCAGCTGGCCGACTACATCAACGATATTGTTCCGAGTATACAAAATGTAATCGAGCAGTACCCACAGATTACAACCGCGAACCACAGAGAGCAGTTCAATCAGTTGATCTTCAACCCCCTTTCGGAATTGACCGATGCCTCACAAAAATTTCAACAACCACCCTTACCGACCAAAGCCGTTTTGGTGATTGATGCGTTAGACGAATGTGACCGCGAACAAGATCAAGAGCTCATCGTTTCTCTTTTGGCAAAGCTAGGGGAAATCAAGTCTATCAAGATATATATTTTCCTAACGAGCCGCCCGGAACTACCGCTAAGAATTAGTTTTGAAAAGTTGCCTGGGAACATGCATCGAGATCTGATTTTGCACAAGATTCCCGGAATTCAGGAAGATATCGCGACGTTCTTGGAATTCGAGTTCGCTAAAATCAGAGACTTGTATTTGTTGCCACTTGAATGGCCTGGAAGCGAGAAAATCGGTAAATTAGCGGCAATGGCTGTGCCATTATTCATTTTCGCTGCTACCGCTTGTCGCTTTATTGCGGACACAGACCCCGAAGAACAAATCGAGATAGTAATGAGCTATCAATCAAATTGGCACACATCCCAATTGGAAGCGACCTACTTACCGATATTACATCGACTGAAACAAAAGGCAATCTTGTATCAAACACTGATAACAGACTTTCAGCAAATCGTCGGGACGATTATAAACCTGGCCAGCCCAATGCCTATTCCATCGCTGTCGAAGTTCTTAGTGATCCCGGAAAGAAAAGTTAGGAGTAGATTACGGCAACTACACTCCGTCCTCGACGTCCCAAAGCCTTCATCCGGATTAGCTACACAAACTAATATCAATGCTCCCATCAGGATACTACATTTATCCTTTCGAGATTTTCTCTCGGGAGAGACCCTTCTAGATAATGTCGAGTTTCGTGACTTCTGGATAGACGAAAAGGAAGCTCACAGAAACATTTACAGGAAATGCATTGAACTCATGTCGAAACACCTGAAAAAGAACATCTGCAATCTGAGAGTACCTGGAATATTTCGATCTGATATCGATGAAAACCTCATTACGAAGCACTTGCCGACTGAAATTCAATATTCTTGTCGATATTGGGTATACCACTTGGAACGCAGCAAGGATAAGGTCAAGGATGGCGGTATCGTCGATGTATTTCTCCGACAACATACTCTCCACTGGGTTGAGGCCATTGGTTTGTCTGGAGAGATGAAAGCAATGGTGTACATAATAGATGCTCTGAAGGCTGCAGTAGATGTAAGTTACCCTGCGCATCGGCCCTTCCTAAAACGCACGCCAATGTTTTGCCCTTCCTTACCTCATTGTTCCTATCCTTGAGCCTAGCGCCTAAACTGGAGGGTATTTTCCCCTCTTTTTGTTGTAAAAGCGCTGACCGTTAACGTTTTTATTTAGAGCGAGAATACATCAGCTTTAATTTACGACATACAACGATTCGTGCGCCAAAATCAAACTATTATCAACAGGGCACCCTTACAAGTGTATTGGTCTGCGCTTCCCTTTGCACCGAATAAAAGCGTTCTAAAATCTATTTTTGACCCACGGGCGATAATCCCAGAGGTAGAGCTGACGCGATCATCTATTGTTCAAGAACAGTGGAGCGCCGTATTACAGACACTGGAGGGACATAGAGAGTTTGTGACGAGCCTTGCATTCTCCACCAACGGTGGATTGCTGGCTTCGGGGTCATGGGATTGTACAATCAGGATTTGGGATGTCGCTACGGGAGCTCTGCTACATATATTTAGGGACCATAAGGATTGGGTTCGAGATGTTATATTTTATACTACTGAAGGGGACGAGTTTGTGGCATCGGCATCGAATGACAGGACAGTCAGGCTTTGGAGCGTGGCTACTGGTGTGCTAGTACAGACGCTGGTATACAGAGGCCAGATAATAGCGCTCGCATCTACTAAACATGGCAATACGGCCGTACTCGCATCAGCATCAGATGACAGACAAGTCAGGATCTGGGACGTGGCCGATGACGCTTTAGTGCGGGTTCTAGAAGGACACAAAGGATGTGTTAACACAGTAGCGTTCTCAGGTGATGGTAAAATACTGGCCTCGGGGTCGGACGACAAGACGGTTAGAATTTGGGATGCGATTACTAGAATGTTTTTGCACAAGCTAGAATTTAACGATAGCGTCGAACGGATTACGTTTTCGACTGACATCAGCATTTTAGCGATCGTAGTTTGGGGTGGAATAGTCGGAATTGCAGACGCGGTTACAGGTGTTTTGCTGCGGATGCTGAGCCCAGATATAGGTAGCATTGTTGGTATGAGGTTTTCCACAGACGAGAGAAAGCTGGTGTTGGCGTCGGAGGCAGGCACGATCCAGGCTCTGGATGTGGCTACTGGTGCCGTAGTAGAAGAATACGATGGGAGTACCCCGAATTATGACTTTTCGAGTGTTGCACTGTCTAAGAATGAAGGAATTCTAGCATTGGCGGAGGATGGCAGACTAAGGATCATGGAAATGCGAATTGAGAGCTCATTATCAGGCTCGCAAAAATCTGGTACTGCCGGAGTTTGGGGGCTTGCTATTTCTGATGATGGTAAAACACTTGCTTCGGTACAGAAGAATTCGGACGTTAGTGTGTGGGACCTGGCTACCGGGGACCTGCGATGGACGATGAAAATAGATCGGGGGCATTCTAACTGGAAGGTCGCTGTTTCTTCTGATGGCAAACTTGTAGCACTGGATTTGTCTCATAGTCATTCGATCGTGGTTTGGAACACAATTACCGGAGACCAACTTCAAACGCTCCGGGTGGATTCCCGGCCCAACTGTATTGTGTTTTCTCCGAATGACGAAATGATTGCGTCAGCGGCGTGGAGCATCCAAATCTGGAACACGTCGACATGGGAGCTACTACATGTTTTGCGGGAACACTGGGGGGCTGTTAACCAGATTGCATTTTCTCCTGATAGCAAAACACTCGCATCGGCGTCAGATGATCGCACGGTCAGAGTCTGGGACCTGGCTACTGGAATTTTGTTGCAAATACTAAACAAACATAGCGATTTGGTTACGGGTGCTGCGTTCTCCGGTGATGGCAAGTTGCTGGCATCGGCATCCGTAGACCACACAATCCAAATCTGGGATGTGGCCACTTGCAATTCATATTGGGCTCCACAGCAGAAATTCTCTACAAAATTTAAACCCGGTTGGATATCCTTTTCGAAGGATAACCGATATATCATCACCCGAGGTACTGACGGTGAGGTATTTCCCCTTAACACAAACGAATATTTGCCCGGACATCAATATCAATACGAACCTATTATCGTTAGCGATCAATGGGTGGTTCGGGCTGGGGAGAGGCTCCTTTACCTGCCGGGTGATTATAAACTGTCGTGTGAAGCCGTATACGGGAACACTGTTGTCATAGGCCATGAGTTCAGTGGCTTCTCGATCCTCAAGTTCAAATATCCTTCTTATTACTTAAGTAGTTATCATTCTGCTTCTCATGTTTAAGTTGATTGTCAATAGTCTCTCCTATTCGAGACTTGTCTCAAACCAGACTTCGCAAATATTCACTAATACAATACGATAAATATAATATACTCATTAGTGAAAATGGGAATTGAAATCTCCCGGGTCCGCGGATAGCCAAGATATTGATGTTGATATTATTTTTTGAATATGGTCATTCTAGTATATAAAAGCTGCTCTATATGTCTATATGAACTAAGATATTACGCTAACATATTAAGGGCGTTGAAAGTCGAACATCCAGCGGATTCGAATGGAATATTATTATATTTTGACTCCGATAACTCGAATGTAGTTTCCAAGTTATACACTTATATATATTGTGAATTCTTCAGACCCGCCGAAGACTCTATCCTAGAATTGCGCAACTTAATACAAAAATTCAAGATTCAGTGGCCACCGGGTCCTGTAGATATACCCCTGGTCAACGGCCATATAATTTCTCATTTAAGTTGATCTTCCCCCAAAAAAAAATGCCATCCAAAAAGATATACGATGGCAGCAATAGTAAATTTAGGAATTTGGATTTCGACCGCTTTTGTAAAAGCAATTTTAGACCTTTGGAGTTCAGGGAGACGATCAAGGTCTAAGCTTCCTCATACAATGGAGAAGGACTATATATATAGCTATAGCCGGAGTCTCAGTACAATTTCGGACAAAGGATTACCAATGAGCTAGTTAAAAACATTATTTGGCAGCTATTGTATATAAGGAGACTCTTAAGAATGCTTTCCTATTTCTTGTCGTATAAAGACACTATCGGCATATGGAAGATATTATATGTGGATAATTATAGTGTGAACTAGTAGTATATACTTTATATAGTCTTTCTACCGTGCAATTGTTGCACGTTGCGCACCACGTGCGTGATCCCAGCTCCAAGTCACCCGCTATAAAAGGACCACCGCCCCACCGTCACCATCTTCCTTCCAACCGCCAATCATCAACCATCAACCATCAACCTCCACCATCACAACCTCCACCTCCAAGCTTCCAAACCTACAAACCCCAAGCTCCAAAATTCAAAGAGCAATGGACTGCCGCAGAGACCCAACTAGTAAGTGATATTTTAAGACGCGGTTTTTCCGTCTCAGCCCAGCTCTAAAGCTTATCCGTTGCAACATCTAGCTAACATAATGACCATCATAGCTGGCGAGCCAATTGGCTCTGTCATGTACGACAAGCCCTCAGAAGTCCCCGAGTGGCTTATACTAAACCTCCTGCCCCTCGGGGCTATCGGCTTTGGCAACGCTGCCAAAGCCGTGGCCATGATCCGACGGATCATGGAGGAGGAGGGGCACGGCATTTGTGAGGCCGTGATCAGGGGGGTCAAACTCTTCGGAGTCACTGACCCCCAAACCATCGAGAAGATCCGGAGTGCCGGATCACCAACCACCACCACCACCAGCAACAACATCAACACCATCAGCACCACCGCCACCAGAGCTCCCATCACCACGAGGGCCTCTGTCAAGCCCATTGCAGGGGCCTCTGACAAGCCTGCTGTTCCGGCAGCCCGCTCAGTCACTGCGGTCTCGGCCCCGCCAGCATACCTCCTAGCTCCACTCGCAAGACTGAGGGGGGGCGCTAAGCCTCGCCCTCATGAGCGGTGGATGCTCAAATATCTAGAAGGAGAGGGGGGAGGGAAAGGGGGGGATGAGGAGAAGGAGAAGAAGGAGAAGAAGGAAGAAACTGGCGGGGAAGAGGTTCTGGGCCTGGGTAAGGCCGAGCCTCTTGTGGCTAAAGCCGTGGAGCGGCCTTATGTCCCTCCACACCTCAGACATAAGTTGCCGGCCCGATCTCTGGCCCGGGCTTCTTCCTCCCAGTGAAGCCTTCTTTTCCTTTTCTCCTTCTTCCTCTTTATTTTTTATTTAGTTTAGTGTTTTTTTTTTTTAATCAACTTTTTGATGACACATACGACGATCTACTCTCATCGTAAACCCTGAGGGTCTGGATTTACAGACTCCCAGACTAGATTTATAGTAACTCGGCACGTAGTGCCATCGTAGTACCATCGTATTACCAAGTACTCTTTTCCCATAATTTCCAGAAGATTTAGCCTCGAATTAGGATGCTCGAAGAGGGCGTCACGTCATGTTGAAGCCCCGGTTCTCTCTATCACTCGATTAGTCTGGAGTCTATGTATCTGTGTGTTGTCCAACGAAAATACAACAGAACTGCTCAAGGGGTGAGAGTTTCAATTGGCCAGGTCCCGTCGTACTAGCCAAATTAATAGTACGAATAGTCCCCTGTGGAAATAAAGAAATCTGGAATTTCCTCACGTTGAAAGCTGGTCGGCTATGGAGCGCGATTGTGTCAGGGGGCAATTGGGTATTTTGTTTCAGTCTCGTACCAAAACCTTTCTATTTCTCAATAGGCAGTGGATTTGTATCTACAGGAATGTGAGCGGGGCTGTTCAAATTCATATTTATACAGAGTAATTGTGGTATAGGGACCGGTTCATTAAAGCTTTATAGGTTTTAGTTTCATGATATATACATCGATCAATATGTCCATCGATACTGGGATCTTCATGATTCATGTAGTGTAGTACTACGTATTACGAAGGTACCTGATCCTATATAACTCAATCGCTACTTGTGGGAGGTTTAGATAAAATTAGTAAATTTCTTCATGCTCTAAATATTATGGACTCCCGATAGGGTGGAGGGTATAAATTAACAGCGGAATTAATGAATGATATCGACAGAAAATTGATAAGGAGGTAACGTAACTGAATTTGAGCCTCAACCTGGATCCGATATCCCCGCCCAGCAAGCTTTCGGATTTTTTTTGTTTTTGTTTGTTAGAGAATTATCGTATCACTTGGTTGGACTCGGGGGACCAGCAGACCTGGTATCGTAGCAGACCTGGTATCGTAGCAGACCTAGTATCGTAGCAGACCTGTTCCAAGTATCCCAGGACCGTAGCTTTCTAAATTTGATACAGCCCCTTTCTACATTAAAAGCCAGTTCATTCTCACCCGTCATTGCAGGTACCTACTTTCAACTGTTCACCTAGCCTTAACGCCCAATCGTTTTTAGTTCAGGACGGGATACAATAACACGTCTGCGGAATTTAGGATTCTAGATCTAGTTTGACCAACAGTCAATTAAAACCGAGCAGATCATACGATAAATGTGATCGCAGGCGACTAGTCAGAAAAATCAAAATTCTAAAAAGCGGTTCACGGCTTCTGTGCTAGGATATTGTAAGTATTATGCACGGCCGCTAGAATGCTCCTCAAATGTGATATGCTCATGAACGACCCGATCCAAGCCCTCCGGGAGATTTACGTAACTTCGAATGATTTCGTGAACACTCAGATTCGTCAAGCATGCAGGAGATGTAGTCGGGCGTAGGATTGAGGAAAGATGGTGAATTGAGCAAGGTCAAAAATGCAGAGTCTGAGAGTCAGAGTATACTAACAAAGTTGCGTCAACAGTCATGATATCAACAGATACTTCGTTCGCTCTCTAGTACTACCGTCCGGCTGAGGGCGCTTGGGCCAAAATGCGGCAGGCGTAGTTACCCCTGAGGCCAACCACCTGATATGTATACTGTATACCCCGCCTTCTCACAGACGAAAGAGGGATCCGATATAATAAAAGCCTGTTGTTACTGGTGGATAAACTGGTATTGAAAGTCGCAGAACTAAAAGACACGATGCAGGTCAAGTCTTTCTCCAATCATAGACCTGATTCGGACGAGCTCGAATCAAAAGCTGACAAAATAGTAATTTTATTCACTTTCTATTCGACGAAGTATAAGTCAAGTCACCTGTGTGCCTGTAGATATACTATGTATATTGTAGAATCCGTGCACGCAGGTACCCGCCATTTAATTCATCCCGCCTTTTGACTTTTAAAAAATTAATACGGTTGATCAATTAATTGAAGTTCGCATCTCGCATTATTTCTCGGAGGCTTATCCTCCGATAGCTGTGCACAAAGTCCAATATTCATCAATTGTCCAATCTCATGCCACTGTTCACCTTTTCTCGAGAGCTCGAGCTCTGCGTATGCATTGCCAATACATATCAGCTGAGGCATCACACCCACACACGTGTCTACATATCCCTGCAGGCCTGCATTGTGAGTTTTAAAAGATATTCTTATCGTATTTCGTCCCGTCTCCTGCAAACCCTCGGATATATCTCAGCTATGGAATTGCGCGCTCTAGCGCTCTCTAGTAGGCTTTCGACATGTAGGTACAGGAACAGGTCTTGGACTTACATAATTAATTTCCTGGATGCGAAGATTTAAGCTTTCTACACCGATTCCGACCACACACACCACCGTTAAAACCTGAAACGAAATTTAACGAGAAAAGAAAATGCAGTGATGCAACTGACAGTCACACCTATGTACTGCCAGCTGACACTCAATTGATCAAGCCACTCCTAGCTCCTCCATATTCAAACCTAACCCAATCCTTCGACATCATATTTTGACCAGCGGCGAAGGAAAAAAAAAAAAAAAAAGCTTTGACGCAACTGCCGCGTTTATGTGGGGATCAAAGCGCCACCAGGATCATTGAGATTTTCTTCTTTTTTGCCCCTCTGAGTGCATATTTGGTTGCTGCATGTGCTATAATATAGCCCGTTACTATTAAGATTTGTGTTTCAAGGATTCCCAAGTTCAAGTTAATCCGGTACAGGTCCAGCCGACCGTGTTTTTCCGGCCGGCGCCATGTTTGACCGTTAGCCGTACCACAATCGATACACTGATATGGAATTTGCGTATTTGGTGCACTGTCACTCAGTGCAATCCTCACCAACACTTCGCAGCGAAAAATGCAACTTGGCTATGAGTGCCGAATTTGCAAAATACTACCAAGCTACGGAGACTTCTTGTCAAACCATGAAAAGTTAACTTTAAAACGCTCCTAAAAGGGATTTCCAGGTGTATGGGCCCACCTAGGGCTCAAGGGGTTGATGGTCGCACGACCCGACCGGCCGAATGTTTGCTATCAGGTCCTCTAGGTCAAAATACGCTTTCATTCCAAGACTAGCCTCCTTGAATAAGTTCCCCATATGCCATACCCCGCCATTTTCCACCAAACTTCAGAATCCTGGTCTAGTTTAAGCGAATCAGAGTTACCAGGCTTCATCAAGGTCTTGAATCGATTCTCGAGCACGGATTTGTGCGAGACCTTCACATAGGTTACACCTCCCGTATATGGCGACATCGAAAACTCATGCCGTGGGCCATGGGTTGGAACTGCAAACACGGACCCGTCGAAACCGGTTATGCATAGAACCGCCTCCAAAAAAAGTAAAAGATTTTGTGTCCCGATATCTTCCAAGGCACTTCTGAGACCTCAGGCACATAATCTGCACAGGATGTCATAAAAGTACCAGAGATGTGGTGGCCATGTGGGTCCCACTTCACAGGAATGCAAGTCTGTCGCACGGACGTCCAGAACGCCAAGGCCCTGGCGGTTTTAGCGTCGGTGGGAGAGCTGTGGAGTGGTCGAGTTTTCGGCCGCGATTAAATCAATCACAGAGCCGAACTACGAGGAAGAAAAAAGGTTCGCCTCTTCCTTAGTATGTCGTATAGCTTTCATTCCCATATTCGGCTTCGGATTCAGGGGTGGAGCATTTTGTGGCCATGTGGTGAATCAGAGCAATATGCCTGCGCAAATATCGGGCTGCGTACTGCATATTCGAACGCGAACGTTGAATTTACCAATCGGTGGCAGCCATTTTGTAACCGTAGCACAGAGTAGAACAACCCGAAAACCAAGATAGCGTCCAGCCAGAATCCGGGGAAGTCGTCTCCACTGATAGGTTCGCATCTAACTACATATAAACACAGGTAGAGGACGCCCTGGAAGTGGGTAATTGAACAAGGTTCTACAGCAGCTCTAACCAAACATTTGGGTAGCGGTTTTTTTCCCCTAGTCGATTTTCAATTAAACTTATTATATAACCATCTATTCTCGCTTCTACTATTTCGTAAGGTGGGACACTACCATTCCTTCTGCCTGACGATATTAGTCTACACTCTTTTTTTAATACCTATAACTTTTATTTTAAGTTTCCATTGCAATTGAAACATCCCCATCTATTGCAATAATAATAATCAAGACATCAATAATACTATTAAAAATGTCTTTCTCCAAATTCTTAACTGCCTCTGTACTGCTTGCAGCAGTTCCTCAAGTCGTTTATGGTCAAGCCAAAACGTCAGTTTCTGGAGTTGCTCAAACATCTCTATATTGGGATTGCTGCAAGGCCTCCTGTTCATGGGCAGACCATGGTTTCTTCGTCGGGAACCCAATCAATACCTGCGATATCAATGGCACTAGATTGACAGATTGGAATTTGGGGACCGGTTGCAGCGACGGCGAGTCGTTTTCCTGCCAAGACCAAATTCCATGGGCAGTCAACGAGACCTTTTCCTATGGTTTCGTCGGTGCTTTTATTGATGGATACGGTGAGAGAACATGGTGCTGTGGATGTTATGAACTTGAGTTCACAGATGGTCCGATCAAGGGCAACAAAATGGTTGTTCAGGCTAGTAATACTAATTACGACGCCAAAGGTTATTCTCAGTTTAACTTTGGTGTAAGTATCAAAATTACAAGATCTTGCCGTAAATCTAGGATACTAATTATGGCGATAGATTCCTGGAGGCTATGACTATTCTAGCGCCTGCGCAAAGCAATTTGGTCCTTCTGAGATCAACACCAAGGACAATGATGGCGTCCTCCGACGTGACCAATGTGATCTTCTTCCAAACACTCTGAAGCCAGGCTGTCAATGGAGATTTGACTGGTTTAAGGATGCGCAAAGACCGAAGTATGTTTTCAAATACTCAGATTTTCCACTATTAGAATAAATACTAACGAGAACTGTAGCATAACATGGAAGCGAACGGCCTGCCCAAAGGTTCTGACCGATATCTCAGGGTGCGTTCGTTCAGATGAACAGCAGTTCATTACCAAGGCCGAGACAAACGACACACTTGCTACCCCACCATCAGCTGCTCCAATTGTCGGCTCTATGTCTGCGTTCTATACCTTTGCCTTTGCAGCCGCTCTCAGTGCTATCGTTGCATTCTAAGGAACGGATATTGATCTTCGGCTTGGTCTGGGTATGTCATGACGTCTACGGTCTTTCTTACCACTTTTAATTATTTTCGAACCTTATGTGCGCAACTTTGTAGGGGAGGATGAATCTGGAGTTCATGTTTTGAAATTTCTTTCAGTTCATATCTTTCTTTAATTCTTTTCGAATTCTTTTCGAGGCTCTTTTTTGTATGGTTTCCCATTTTTCAATTAGTGGAAATCGTTATCTTTAAACCTAGCTCTTCGGGGAATATTTTTCAATTCTTTGCACATGGTTTACTCGAATATGTGTATATGCAGGCGCCAGGGGTGAAAGGGAAGCATGTATTTAATCTTGAAGAAACTGTCTGTTTTTGAAGTATCATGACGTTATATTTTTTTGTTAATTGATCTACCAAGTATTTCCCCGGAAGAAATTTCGTCTCTCAATAGGTTATCTTTTCAGGGCGGTTAAATTTCCGTGATCGTAATATTTGTAGATTAGACCAAGTAATCGATGTTTAAAGAAATGATCTTCGATGTAGTATTGTTAACTTATTTTCCGATTGTCGGTGCTAGAATAATAATTATAGAAGAAACAAGTCCTTTCTCGGTGCCTAGATCCGATCCCGAGGTGGTTGACTGAGTAATTGTAGCGGAATCTCGCTATTCATGCAGGGTGAATTCGCAAACACCACCGTGCGGAGGTCGATCAAAACTTCGGCTGATTTGAATTTTGTCTCTTCGATATCCCTTTTTTTCTGGAAAGTGAAAGCCTTGTGAATGCCAAGTAAATACCATTTGTTTGGATCGTGGAACCGAGGAAAATCAGATCGAGAGTGGATATACTGTCAATAAGAGGTCGATATTATAGAAGGTGGCTTGAATTTGCCACTGCAGATGCAGAAAGTCGGGTTCAAAAGCAAAAGGTCGGGACTGAATTATGTACTGTTACGAATCCTTGGTGCCAGCCAAACCAAAGGAGAATATCGACGAGGTAATGCATGTAGGCAAGGAGTCTGCCCATGTGCTCTTTTGTGAGCATTAAACCCTTTTTTCTTTTTTGCTTGAGACCTCAGTTTACTTGGATCCGAATGGTACCTAATCACAACCTGGAAACCCGAATTCCTTTCGGTTCCTCCCATGACGATCGAATAAGACGGCCTTATTCCGTCCGTTTTGGCCGCTCCCATGTCTCTGACTAGTTATTACATGTATACACACCATTCAGTTTTCCAAGCGATGGAATACCTAATGGAAATTTTCGTAGAAGGACTTTTTAACACGAAAATGGAAATAATTCCGTCACGCCCGCCAGTTACACCCACCCCGAGATGCAGTCCTAGAGGCAAATCGTGTCTTAAGATTTTTTGGAAGCAGGACTCGATTGGATGGGAAAGGGACGGAGCGGAGTTAATGCAGCCTATTTCGCCGCTAGTCCAAATTTCCACAGTCAACGCAAACATACTGATTTGGAGGGCTGATGCGCAAAGTGAGGGGGGGTTCGGCATCTAGGACGTTCGCCTTGTATTTTTAGGTACCGATTTATTAGCTATCATTTAATCTGAGGGCGGGGCTTGGATCATTCGGAGCACTCGGTGTCTCGTTCATAGACATCCAGGGGAAACTGGTTAACCCTGGTTTGCACGGTATTTATAATTATTTGGCTTGTCAAGACGGATGGCAAACTTGGCCTAAAGTCTTAAGCATCAATATTTACGTACGTAAGTTTATGGATCTGAAAGAATATGCATGTCTTTGAGAAAGATAATTATTTGTCATAAGTATGTCATTGACTTGTTTTGATTCTAGAATCAAAGTTGTGCCGCTTGGATACAGGCGTACATTCCCAAAGACGCCAAATCCTTTGACACATAAGTATAAAGATGAATTAGGAACAAAGTCCGGTAGAGAAAGAAAGCGACATTATAATGGAAGTAGCCCACCATTTCATAAACGCCCCAAACAACAAAAACGCCATCAACCTGGCTGAAGAACAGAATGGGAAAAAGAGAAAGGAAAGAAAACCATGATTCCGTAAAAAATAATAAGAAGAAAAGAATTAATACTTTGGCGTAGTAGGCGCCGGCTTCTCGATAACATCATCACTCATACCCGTCGTAGATACACTCGCACTTCTGTAAAAGTTGATTTCCGTCTTACTGCCACAACTCGCTCCATCGTGATCATCTTCCATGATTGTTTCTCCGAACCGTGGTTTAACCACACAGCTCTCAAGATCGATGGTTTGATCTCCAATAGTGGTGTCATATAGTCCCCTCCTCTTGGGTGGAGGCCGCAGTTTTGCGAGAAAACTCTCACGGGCGGATTTTTGGGTCTGTCCGACACTGGCAGATGCACCATTACCACCCGTGATGCGAATGGGGCTGCCGCCGCTCCCGGCATACGACTGGCCTTCTTCCTTACCGAGCCAGCGGAGGATGAGGACGCGGAGGGATGGAACACATGCGACGACTATTGCGACACAATTTTCCCAGTGGTTGATGGTGAAGATGATTTCGTAGGTCCAGTCATCTGAGGCAGAGACGTAGAGGCGGTCACGATATGTGTAATAAATCTTTGCAGCGCCGATACCAGTGACACTATGGCTTCATGTTAGCGTTATGCAATACGTTTTCTAGGACGAGAAGGTAGCGACTTACGCTAAACTAAGGGAGAATAAAAAGACAACGATCATTCGATTCCGAAGGCTGGCCTTTTGTAGCTTCCATGTAAGGTAGCAAGGAATCGGAAAAATGAGAAGATCGGTAAACATATTGATGCACACTTGAAAGATGCATATGCGCCCGATGATAATCCGGCCAGAACAACGTAATCCACCGAATGTGCGATCGTGCCATTTATTTCCTGACCGCTGAGGACATTGGAAGATGAAGAAGACGGCAACAACCAAGCAAGATATCGCATTGACGACAAAGACGCCATACACGAACTTGCGAACGTTGTCAATCACACCTCCCACTTTGAGAAGAAGGAAAAGAATGGATGCCTTCACTAGAGGAAGAATGAAGGCGTTACAGACGTTAAACCATGTTAACATCTTATAACTTTGATCCATCGGCGGCTCTAGCCTTCTCTGGTTGATATCCCATATGTGAATACCAGAGTGCCATAGTTTTATATACCTCCACGAGGGGTATATTATGACAATGGATAAAAGCTGCATCCGTTAGTTTTTCCAAGTTCATCTAATATTTTGCGGAGTTGCGATATTACTATTGGCAGGACTTACTGTCGCAAGAGTAATTGTCAGATCATCTAGCCCCCATCCAGATTTTCTCTTTGCATGTAATCGCAAAGATGTGAAAGCAAGGGATATCAGAGGCGTCCCCGCTACCACAGCTAATGCGAAGTTCTGTCTAGGGTAGACTCCAGGCTTTTCAGCAGGGCCCCATGCATCCCACTTCTCTGCCATGATAACTGTGGAATGTGTTGACTGTGGTTGGCAAAAGCCGTCGACTTTGTGGAACCGACAACTGAGGATCACAGTCTTCTACCTAGGGATGTACGTGCTAGATAGTGGGGCGTAGGTACAGGCTGCCAACATGCAACAAGGCCTGTTTTATTATAATAGCGGTGATAAAAAATTAAAGATTGAAAGACATTTAAAACTTCAAAAGAGAGCGTGAGAAATATGGTTGAACACAGTCATCAAGGGGGACTAGCAGACGGTTTTATTCTGTTGACAAGACCGACTTGTTAATTCTTCAGCGTGCTAAGGCCTTCTCCGCTACCCGTCAGGATGGAGATTCTGGGGCCGAGGTGGGTTCGACACCGTGTGGGTCTGAAGGATGGCTGATTCGGCTGTGGGATTGGAGGAAATTTGGCTTAGGCCCTTCTGCCACTCACAAATAGTCCGGGGTTTAAGCCAAGTGGGTCATGCTTCTCGACCTCCGGGCCATGGGCTGCATTGGAAAAAATACGACCCACACTTTGAAGATGGAATGATCTGTGGCAAGGATTGCTTTTTGGGGGCATTTACGAAATAGTGGGTCCCTTGGATATGCCTGATGCAGTAGACGAATCACATATTGGCCGGCTATTTGGTATCTGAAGCAATGAAAGGCGGGATATCGAGTTTATGGTGGCATTAATTTATTTTACATCGTGGCCGTGCGAGTTCTTGAGTTTTACGGGCTAGGCGTGATGAATTCATGAACTCTTTTATCTTGAAGTCGCATTCTTATTTCTACCATTTATTTGTCTGTATACGTAACTAGATCCTGATAAAGTTATAAAATCAGCTAGCTAGAAAATTCACTATAGCGATTCCGTCATCATGGTGAATCCATTCAAACATCAAACGTACTTTCAAGCGGAAACTTCTAAGTCCGGATGGGAAGGGGCCTAGAAACCTGAAAGCTTCGACGGTGCGTTAGACCCGTGAATTGGTGTGAAAATTCCATGTGAGGTGTGGCTGCGAACTGTCGCACAGACACTAAGACATTAGACAGCCGTCCCCGAAGGCCGAAGGTACATGTATGCACAGGACTTCGCAAGTCCAGTACAGACCAGGAAAGTTGTCATGCTTCTTTGCATCTATGCGTATACCGAAAGCCCAGGCACTAATCCCGGTTTGTGTTTAGTCCGTGAGATGGCGTCCGGGTGAAAATCTGGTAACTGCATTCTAACATGTATTCCCACAATTTATCGTGGAATAGATTGCAGTTATAGCGCTAGGCTTGGACGTTTTGACTTCTTTTCGTTAAGCAAATGCTGGCTAACTACTGGCTCTAACGCATTGATCTACACAAGGATGAAATTATTGGGATCTCTTAGCGGTCAAATTGGTTCAGCCAATTCGAGTACCAAAGTTGAAGGTCTGCCCAGAAAGCCTTCGGTTGATAGTATTTCCGCGCCATTGAAGCGAGTCAGCCAGCAAACTCGCAAAGAAACGGCGAGTCAGAGTGAAACTTCAACGCAAAAGTCCAGCTCATCCCAACATATGTAACAGCAGCCGAGGCGGGTCATTAAGCCCAAAACAGCGGCAATTAAATTGATCAGTTGATAAACGACTTCGAAACATTGTGTGTGTTCTGCGGGATATGTTTTACGTTCAGCCTCATATTAATATACCGCATATACGCCTTAAACAGTGGGACCTGGCTCGGGCACCGGGATTGAGACTATTTCGGTCAAAGACTTCACCGGAGCAAGAACACCAAATATTTACTTGCCACCTGCCCGGGCCGCTAGAAAACTAGTGAATTTTCGATCCCGAGGAAGAACTTTGATATTGAAAAACGGTCACAGACGCAGTTTAACGCAGTTTGGTGTGGACTTGATGTGGGCCCATGAAGATGTCAAAACGTAGGCAAGAAGACCTTACCTTCTGCATGGCTAGTGCCAAATAGGAACTCGAAATTCCAGCCAGTGGAATTTCAAGAATTAGCGAAAGTCATGTTTTCTATTATCGTCAAGCGGGGAAGTTTTGCATTCCTCGTCTTCCTGCATCAAATATCAAAGGGCTGCGGCGTGGTCCATTCCATCTTCAGATTTTGATCGACAGTTAAGGGACAAGTGAAACGACCCGTATAGACATATTAAATAAGGTTTCGTATCTTTCTATGTCCGGTGCCCCACTTCTATCAGCAGTGATGCCGCAAGGAGTGACCTTTGTTCAACTGCGGGATGCTGTTCCTATGTCATGTCAGGACCGACGAGCTTCGAGCCGCCGAAGGATGCATTGCTCTTCAAGCAAAACTTGCTTCGCTAACCTCTTCAAGTCGTTGAACTCGCAAGAATAAAGAGGACTGTGCACTGCTATGCCGTCTCCGCAACATGAAGGAATTTTAAAACTCCGCCGATATATGCAGGTCGAGCTGGGGAACTCCTCAAAAACTGGTGATAAATACCGGACTTGGGATGAAGCATGGACCCCCTTGTGAGTGCATTTTAAAATGAAGCTGCTCAGTTTTAAAAAGTCGAAAATAATGTCGAGACCAGGTGAGCCACCTGATCTGCAAATGCAGAGATATATGCAAGTCGACCTATGCCGTCTGTTCTGCAGCTGGTTCGCGAGTTTAATATCTGTGCGTCAAAGTCTAGTCTCGCTGCGCAGCGCAGCGCAGCCAAGATCCTTTGAAGTTTGCGAATTTTCTGCCGTTGAAATAAAAAAATTGACCGCGGCAATTGAAGGCAAAGCTGGAAATCGAAACGTTTGCTGTTTCTTGGAAAAACTCAGGTAGTAAGGTGATTTGGAAGAATGTAGTGTCGAGGCCTGAGCGTTGAATAGAAGGTTTAGAGCGGGGTCATGCTCCACCCAGCATGAGTGGTCTGACGAATAGCGAAAACACCCAGTTCTACTAACTATCCTGTGAAGTTGAATCGATTGAATCCGAAGATTTTCATGGAATTAGAATTTTTGATAAGGATTGGAAACAGATTTATATTTCGTTCATGAAGCGGACAGCGGATTCCTTTTAAATCGCAGTTTTAAAATGCAAGAAGGAGATCTTCCCGTACCTTAAATGCCATCTTCTTGAACATTCTGCTGCAAAATCCCCATACAAACCAACGGACTGGATGGACTCCGAGGGTGGTGAAATTCGAGCAGGGGTCTTTTGGGACCGTGTGTCCTGCCAAGGGACTAGTGCGAGATCTATCGTCGTTCATTCGCTGTCGAAACGAGTCCATACAAAGCCCATCTACTGTCTCAAAACAGGCTGGCACTGGTATGGGTAACCGAAGTCCAGCGAGCGAGGAGACAGGGAATTGAATCGATAGGTACCATGTACTGCAGGGCATTCGCCGTTACTTCGGTGCATGTTGTAAGAAGTTGGGATTTTTATCTGTCAGCATCACGATAGGCCATCTGGCGGGGTTCGACGAGGTGCAACGTCCTCTCCAACACATTCCAACTTCACATCCTCCTTTTCCTCGTTCTTCAACGTTCTTTAGCGTCATCCAGTGTCTTTCAGTGTATCTCCTTCGACCAGGAAGCCAATTCGGAGGGCTGGACGACATCTAAGACCAAAGATCCTCCGGTTAGGGCTCGGACGACCCACATTCTGATCCTCCAGATGTTACCATCTTCTCCGCTGGGGAATAATATTGCCTAAGTTGCCTTTCGAGCCGCCATCCGCTCCCTTTTTTCTCCATCTTCTCGGCAATTCGGGCCACTATCGCGGCTAATATCCACAGGTCGGCGATATCCGCGAGTGCATGACAAGCGCGGTGCCTCCTTTCTTGGGACTAATCTGGGCTCTCCTGGCGACCAGCTCATACATACATACACATCAGACGAAAAAATCACAATCGCTGCATGTCACATATACCTGCTTTATATACCTCGTCTCCTACGGTGCTACCATCGGCAGTACTGCGTTCTTATGCTGCGCTGATTGGGATACTGGTTGTCCCGTGCTCACGCCAATAGTCATTCACCCCCGGCCGCTTGCTCAATTTCAATGGGCTGATTGCTCGCGGAAGTGAACCAATCATACTGCCGAGACACCATACCACGAGGTCTCTTCCGCCATGTCCTTCAGTTCCATCTTCTCTGAAAAGAGACATTCTAAAGAATCATCGTCTTCCATTTCATCCGGTCATTCCATTCTTCCGAAGTCGTTGGTCGATTATATCCACTCTGTTACCAATCATTCTCCTGGTTACCCTACCGTTCCTTTCCAAGTTGTCTCAGATCTCCACTTGGAACTCACAGATACAGTCCACGGGAATCGCGGATACTTTGAGTATAACATCGCGCAAAATTGCCCATATTTGATCCTTGCTGGAGATATCGGGACTCTCAACCAGCCAGACAACTACCTTGCCTTCCTACGCCGCCATTGCGAGGCTTTCGAAAAGGTATTCCTTGTCCTCGGAAACCATGAGTTTTACGGTACATCCCGTCGTGAGGGGCTCGCCACCCTCAAATCGTTCTTCCAAGATCCCGTGATTGCCGAGAAATTGGTTGTCTTGAACCGTAATCGGTATGATATACCAGGCACCAAACTCACGGTTTTGGGTTGTACCCTTCAATCGGAGATCCGACCGGAACAGCGGTCTCTTATCGAAAGTAAACTAAATGATTTCCGTGTCATCAAAGACTGGAAGGTCGATGATCACAATGCGGAGCATTCGATCGATATTGCATGGTTACGCGATCAGATTGAAGAAATCGCGGAGACCGAGCCTGACCGGAGGATATTTGTTGCGACCCATCATGCGCCGAGTTTCAAGAAAACAAGCGCACCTCAACATGAGGACTCCCCACTCAATTCGGCGTTCTGTACGGGGATATTGGAGGGTGGCGCTTATAGGGGTTGGAAGGGTAAAGATATGATAAAGGCCTGGGTGTTCGGCCATACGCACTGGTGCTGCGATTTGATGATTAGCGGAGTCAGGGTTGTTAGTAATCAGAGGGGTTATTGGTATGAAAATACCGTTAGGGCTGACTATAAAGAGGATCTGGTACTGGAGGTATAATTCGAGGTCATCTAGCCTGATACCTAGCTCCGAGTCGGGAGTTATATGATATATCATGTGACATGGAGGTGGCCTGATGAAAGTTGGGCATATGGCCAGGGTACCCATATATGCGTCGGCGGTTCGGCGGTAGCCTATAGCCGTCGTAGCAGGTAATTCGATTTTCATCTCATTGGTAATTCGGCTTTGATGAAAGCATCAGCATGGCGCTTATAGGAGCAGGTGTGGGCATCATATCGTCATTATCATGTGTTTGTGTCCGAATGACATTTGTGGGGTCAGAGGAGTACCGGCGATTAATGTGTGGATGATGTTATGAATTTCCTTTCATTTTAATCTTCAATTCGCGATCTTCTTGTATGTATTATGCTTTATATACATGAGTGACGATTTTCCCTCTGAGTTTCAGGAGATCTCTTTCATTCGTATGTGGTATGCGGTATGTGTGAGTGGATAGCTAGCCCGTATCCCGCAAGCAATACAGTTTGGGGTGAATTGCAAAAGATATATTGCCTTACCAGTCTCCAGCCACTAAGCTGGCAGAGTTCAATACTCGTGTAGTCTCCTCCTCGATCTCAATCTTCTTCCCTATAGTCCCGGCGACAAGTGCAAGGCCCCTTGCAACACCTCCTTGTGCTAGAAGCGTCCTCGCCATTGTAGCTTCCTCAAGCTTCTCCCAAGGTTCATCGTAAACTCTTTCCGTTTTGTCAAGATCCTCTTTCTCGTTCGTTCCCATAATTTTATTCCATTCCTCAGTTTTCTCCTTCGAGATTTTGTTCAATTTCAAATTGCGGTGATAGAATAATTGGTTTTCGGGCGACGCTGATAGGTGATTTTTCATAAACTTGACGTTATGAAGAATCATATTCTCTACTTCGCGGATTTTAGTGTGATGTGGGAATGTGGACGTGTACACGAGGAGCCCCTCAATCAACAAATGTGTAAAATATGGAAAGTCTGCCCAAACCCGTTTATCAGGGTTCGGGGCTGATATGTTGAAAATTGCTTTATATGGTGTGACCGCCGTCCCGGCGAGTGTGTGGATTGTTTCGGTATAGTCCGGGATTTTCGCTTCCCTCGAGAGTTGAGATTCTTGGTGCAGTAAGCAAAGCAAGTGTAGTGTCGTCCCGATGTTGTATGATAATATTGTATGTTCGTCCCTTTTCCAGTTTGAGTCATCCGATTGAGTGAGCTTGTCTGCGATGAGATGTGTAAGGGAATCGCCCTTCTTATCCTCCTCTTTGATAAAGAGTGTATCAACGAGCCAGTCGCCACATTTCTGAGCGAAGGAGATGAACTTTTGGACATCTTTCTCCATTTCCTCTATCGATTCATCTGAACCGGGTTCCAACGCTACCCAGTCCGACTGCTTTTCCTCGTCTGTAAGCTGAAGTTTTGCCGCTGAGGGGTATGACTTTAAATTTTTGATATGAGGCTTTAAAGCATTAGCTGTTCTAAGGAGCGCAACCCCGGTTATAGCAGTTGAGCAACAGCAGCGGTCGTTATGTGGTGCTTCGTCGCCAACATGCCATTGAATGCCCCCTGGTGGGGAGTCGCCACTTGTCCAACCAGTTATTAGAAAATTGCAAAGACGACGGGCGAGATCTAAGTATATTGGGTCATGTAGTAGGAGGAATGCATCTGTCAACGCTATAGCGATTTGTGCATTGTCGTCTATAGAGTTTTTGAATTTATAATTAACATTCAAATTCCTTAGAATAATTTCGATTTGGGGCTATACGAACCGTAGTAAACGTCAGTATCCCCTCTTGCGTATAGCCAAGCTGAGTATGCTTTGAACTCTGGATTGTAATATCGTTCTCGGAGTGTTTCAATCGCCGTTGAAATATTATCACCATAATTCCCCGGCGAAAGCCTTTCTGCTTCAATAATAGATTGCAATCCTAAAGTCTTATCATGGTGTCAGAAAGCTTGTTTCTCCTGAAGCCAAGGCTCTAGGTGGACCTGGGGCTACACATACAAATGTCCAAACAGTATATCCATTATATCTCCCTAGTTGAACCTAATACAACATAGTACGAAGTTAGCCAAATCAACCCGGTCTAGCGAGGGTAAATCCAACTAAAACTAGAAGCCGCCGCATACCGTCTCCGCGCTTGGCCGCTGGTTACAGAATAAATCGATATCCGTTTCCCAAAAGTTCTTCCATATATCATCTGCTAACGCTATCGTATGGTTTTTCAACTGTGAAATAAATTCGGTTCGGTATGCCTCGTTGTCGAAAGGGTTTTCGGCCTTTGGAGTGGGTCCAAGCACTCGGGAGAGCATAGACCCAACGGAGGATATTGCGGAAAACATCTTTGAAATACTCGTGAATGAGATGTGATCTTAAGTGGCTTTTGATATAGTTGAACTATGCATATGCATATGGGGACGGGGATGGGTTCTGGATTCGGTAATATCTCTCGACCGAGATATTTTCGGCAACAGGTAATCGGCTTGTGACATCACAACTGGGTGGGGAGGTCTGTCTCGCTAAAGCTTGTGCAACATCGACGTCGTTACAACACATTGGCATGTTGCATTTTGATACGACTGCTTCGGCGTATAGTCTATAGTCGACTCTCGTCGAAGATGTCGGGTTGGTTAATTAATTGATTGATGATAGTCTCGGCTCGTTCATGTCGCCGTAAATATTTTAATAATCTGTACATTATTCTGTGTTTATTACAAAGCCAGGGATATTTTATCCATCTACTGAGTTTCATTCTCAATAGTTGGAAGCTAAAATTAATGGACTGTGCTATCCTAATTAAGGATTTACGTAGTTAGAATAGGACCGGCATCATGAGTTTCGCATTGGAAGACTGACGAGCTAAATTTTGTTGTGTTACTGGTATGAAGGTTTCATGAATCCCTCCAGCGAGAAGGCACGGTCGCCGATTGATTTGAGTTAAACTACGAATTGTTCGGTTTCCGAAGCAGAGACATAATTTCTGAAGACGTACGGTAATTGCGATATGTGTGTAGCGTCTCCTACTCGGGTCCGGGATGTTCTGTACCGTGGTTGAATTTAACTGAGCATTTGCTTTGAGGGTTTAATTTCAACGCAGAGTTGCAGAAGTAAAAATCTTTGGTATATCGAAGTCCACCATATTTGAGGCTTGCTCCTTTCCTCCCTCCCTGTTCTGTTCAACCCACTCTTACACCTGCTTCCAACCTCACTAGCTCGTAATCACCATCATCATCGCCATCACCATCATCACCACCATCACCACCACCATCGCTATCACCATCACTACTACCACTACCATCACTACTAAGTAAGTGGCCTCCTTTAAAGTCTTAAGTCATACTGTCTACTGCTTCCTATCTCCCGCTTCGGTTGGAGCTCCAAAGCCCTGTCATAAAAACAACGTTGCTAGCTCGATCTTCTGGCGTTGATGGTTGCTCATCGCAAACGATATTATCTCGCTTCTGACTTGTAACGAGATTTCTTGGTGACATAAGATTACCCTGCGACCAAAATCTTAACGTCAACAAGCTCCTTCCACCTCTTACTGCAACAGCCAATTCTGCTACTCCGTATTGGTTCAGCTTCCTCGAATACTCAATTTTCATCGCGATATAGAACTCTCAAAAACTCGTTGCTACAGTCACTAACGCACCAAACTTTGATAATAGAATGCCAGCGAAGAGAACAGTTACGAGGGCGCGTTCGGCCCCGGGTCAGCTCCACAGAGCGCCCTACCGACGATCACCACCACTATCACCAAGACAACAGGTTACTACGATCACAGTAACCGCTCCAACCCTCACTTCGGGTGGCGGACCCGAGGGAAGTGTCTCGCAGGTAGCTGCAGGCATGCCGTTCGATATTCGTATGTTCTTGAGAACAAGGCGGGTCGCGGCTGGGGGTGCCCATCTATCCTCTCCGTTTCTGCTGGGAGAGCCTAGAGAAACAGCCTCGCCGAGACCGAGATCTCCCTTACAACGGCGCCGACACGGGTCAGAACCCCCTCTGGAGGGACTACCTGTCCCGTTGAAGAAGATTTCTCGTTGTGGAGTCAAGAAGACGGCCAAGGGGTCGTCACGACAAAAGGGTCCTAGACCCAATGCCACGAGTTCTCAGAGCAAGTCAACAGTTAAACCTGGGGACAAACGCAGAGGGCGCCCTACGGAGGCTGAGGCAGTCAGGATTCTTGACGAAGCCGGGTCCGCAAGGACTGAACGTTTAGTACGTTCGGACCAGCGTCGATCTGGAGTCGGGAACCAAGGACAGCTGATGACGCCACCGGGTGCCCGACCTGGCGTCGTCGCTGGACAGCCAACAGGGAACGGGAACGGGGATGAAACTGGTCCACCTGCCCGTCGCTCAGTGCGACGTGGCGCGCGTCGGATTGGTGGAATCGTCCGTGAACAGCCTCTTGAGGCCTCTATCGACGAGAATGCCCCAGAAGAAGGCATACGAACGACGGTTCGACGACGACGGGCCGTGACTACAAATACCGGAGCCCCCGTCGCTGTCCTTAGTGGTCAGCGTCGTGGTGCAGACGGTAGAGTAGCACCCGTCAGGGGAGAGCCAGTTCCCGCCTTACATGAGCAGGGGACGCGCCACAACAGAGATGGTGAACGGCGACAAAGGGCGCCCTCCGCAAGTCGCTCTCAGGGTGGTATCCAGCCAACACGACAGCTGACTCGTGAGGAGACCCTAGAAGCCAGCAACCATCTCCTGACCATGACAAATACAGCTGCAGAAGAGCGGTACCTGAGGGACTTGCTGCAGTTGCGACGAAGAGTCGAGGAGACTTTCGTCCCAGAAGGTCGAAATGCGCGGATTCAGGTCCCACGAGTGCAAGCGCCACGAAGAGTCGGCCTCTCAGAGATCCCGATGAATGTTCTCAATCACGGCCCTGTCGTAATTAGGGGGAGAGAGGTCCGGCAAGGTGCTGTAACAAACCACAGACGGCCACGCCAGCGTCCGGGTACCCGAACCCACGAAGATAACCTTAGGGGTGCTCTTGGTTTGAGGTAAAGGCAGACCGGCAGTGCGTGTTGTGGGATAGCATCGATTTGGCGCGTGGGGTAGATAGTTGGCGACGAGGAGAAGATGCGCTGAGATGGGCAAAAGGAATATTCATGTATGAGGAGAGGCTGTTGTCGGGGGGATAGAATGCATATATGTGGCACGGCCGGGTAAAATTGACCTGCAGGGCACCCCGTACAAGCCCCGCAGGTGACTTGTAGTCATACACCGTACTGTTTTATCGGCACCAGCTCCGCAACGGGATTTTATTCGAAAGGGGAGGCCGAGGGGAGATATATACGACGACTTACCCGAATGACTACTAAATCAGCAGATATCAGTAGGTCTTTTACCCCTTATATCCCTTATTCACTAGATGATTCATTTACTCATGGTCACCTGCCAGGCAGCATGATTGATAATAGGGCTATCTACAAATTCATCCAACTGATCACCTGAATACACGCCCCTTTATCGTGTTCAATGAACAGGGTGACTATTTATACCAGGCGGCCATCAACAGGGAACGACGAAATCAAGGCGTTTTAGCTTCACGAAAAAACGAATATCATTTATTACCGGAGTTTCCCAGAAAGAACAATTGGAGGATTTCATTATCAATATTATACCAATCCCACCAACATCTCACTACCTTTTGTACCACGCTGCAGTTTACTTATCTTCGCCGCAACGTTGCAACCTGTCGTAGACAGAAATTCTCGTTATTATCCCAACAACTAGATTTTTCAAGCCGCCTGCACTGAAGACATGCATCCGTTCGACAAGCTTTCGAACGAACTTCTTCTACAAATTTTTGAGAACTTACCTTACTCTGATGCGGCTGTATGCGCCCGAGTCTGCAAAAGGCTCCACAACATCTTTTCAAGAACACAAATCGAGGACTACACAATTAAAGTAGACCATCCTTCCCACCGCGCCTGGATGCTGATTAGACGCCTCCTGATTAACCCCGAACTCGGTGAACGATTTAAGAAACTCAGTTTTACATATCACCCTCGCCGCTGCAGCTACCCTCAAACTTGGGCATTGCAATGGCATTGGACAACCGAAGAAGACGCAAAACTTAAACAGCTTTGTCAGAATTGGGGCATATCTGCGGCATATAAATGGATTAGTGATGGAATCTACGGCAATTCGATCTTCCCGCTCTTGCTTTGTTACACTACCAACCTCAAAAGTCTCGACCTCGGTTATGGAGTTGACGGGTTCGTGTGGCCGAATCCATTCCACTCATTGCATACATCCGACATGGTCATCCGAGTATGGGACGGTTGCTGCGGGAGGGATTTCCTATCTACATTCAAAAGTCAACGCGAAGATAATTATTTTGATATTTATTACAAAGAAGACCTGGAGGGGGGTTACGACGATTATTGGAAACCATGTTTAACATTTTCTGCAACCATGGATCAATGTATTTCCAGATTGTCCAACCTTAGGGAGTTTACATTTTGGGGCCTTGAATTGGGCGATGTATGCGAAAATTGCCCCGAGAGGGAAATGATTGAGTTTGTCCTAAAGGTCCTTTTGCTCCCACACCTTAAGGTAGCAAGGGTCGGTAGGCGCTGGTGTTTCGATGAATGGGGAGTAAAAGCGGCCATGTCTACGATAGGAAATTCGGGCCCGGGGAAATCACGGCCCACAAAAATGGTACCTGCAGACGGAAGGTCTGGGATCAAACACCTTGAACTGAGATACGAAGAACTTGAGAAGGAGGGGCTCGAGATGTTTGCAAAATTTACTAGAAAATTGGAGAGTCTTGAATTAGTGCTTGGGCGTGATGCTACAATGGAAGAGGGAGAAAAAGTTGCAGGTTTCTTTCTAGAGAACAATAAGGAAACATTGACTAGCGGCCGGGTGGTTATTAGAATGGGTTATACCGACGATTTTCCAGATCCCTGGTACGACGATGACAATCTTGGACCTGCACATTATTTTTATGAAGATGAATAGGAATAGCTAAGGTGGGATGTTCGTTGAGACCATTGAGGCGACGGTTAGGGGATTTTAGCTTAGGTAGCCTTAGGTAGACACGCAATTGATTTCCTTTAATCTCCGTGGGAGGAGACCACGATCATTTCGAGGCTATATATCTACGTCCGGTCCAAACCTTCCCGTTATACCAACGAATTATAAAGTATTAGTGGCTTCCACCTAGAACCAATTCCAATAAGTTATGTTTTAATAGTTGACGGCGTGATCTTGCGGCTTCATACTCTGATATTCATGGCATGATTAAGTCAGTCGCCTTCCCGCTCTGGGAACAAGACTAGTATATGTTTAGTTTGTACGCCCACTTTTAAATCGTATATATCCCGCCCAAGGACTAGTTGACAGCGATATTGTGATGTCGAGATCAAAACGCACCTTAGGTCAACAGCCCACTTGGCCCTATCTGGTAGGACAAAGATGGACTCTAAGGAATCTTCAAGAGCCTAAGGCTTGGATATTTAAAGATCACTACCCACCTAGTTAATCTATCTTTGTTTACCTCAAACACAATCATTACAGCCGAAATAATCACGTCGGGTAGGAGTTGGGATCCCTAATGGCACCAAACCGGGGAATATTCGAATCCGCATATACCACTATAGTACTAGCCTGTTTGACTGCCGTGTGTAGTTGTGATCTTCTCTACTTTAATAGAGTCTAGGTAAAAGACGTTTTCTGCTTTAGTAGCTGAAAGTATTGGCTTGGTTTCAAATCACCAAGAACCCCATTAATTTGCTGTACATAATCCCTTAACGAGCTCTCAACCAGGAATACACTCAGAGAATATGCTCCCATGTGGGTGCTTATACACCACTATATATCTAGCCTCAAGAAAAAAGATTTCTTGGGCCAGGTACACTTTCACCTCAATATGAGACAAACCTATATCAGGCACGTCCTCGAAACAATCTATTGAAAGAATGATGGTTTGAAACCAGAGTACATGTGCGTGTTTAATTTTCAATACCTATGGCCTTGGAAGGAATATCGCTGCTACGAATTGGCAAAAAAGGCCATCCTCCTTGTGTTGACGATGTTGCAGATTCAACCGACGTCACACAAGTAAAAAGCAAGTTGTCCCCGACAACACGCGACTCCCTCTGCCGACAAGCTTCCTTCTCTGTTTGCGTCTTCACAAGCTCTCCACGCAGCTGGCCTGCTTCCTATCATCTTACCTTCCTCTGATGGTATATAAATCAATATCATGATCCCTCGCTCTCTTTCATAACCAATCAACGATGGACAAAGTTGACGGCACCGAACATTACAACTTCAAGGCCCCCGCCGACTTAGCTACCCTCCAGGTCATAATCCTCGACACGAACCCGCTCGCCTGGGCCACCTTCGAAAAGTCGAGTTCGCTATCCTTCCCGGCGGCCCTCTCCCAGCTTCTAATCTTCGCAAACGCCCACTTGGCGTTTTCGCAATCGAATCGATGTGCTGTTATCGCCAACCATATCGACGGCGTACACTTCCTCTCCCCCGCGGACCCTGGTACGGACCATCGTGATCCTGGCGAGGCCGATTTGACACCCGAAGATCTTAAGGAGATAGCAAATCAAAATGCCAGTAAATACCGGGTTTTTAGGTTGCTTGAGGATGAGGTGAGGGCTTCGTATAGACGGTTGATTAAAAATACGACTCCCGAGGCTGTGATGGCGTGTCCGAACTCATCGTACCTGGCTGGTGCACTGAGTGCGGCATTGACATATATCAATCGTATATGCTTTGGTGGAACGGGTGGAAGATCTAGTGGTGTCCCTGGGGATGAAAAGTCCAAGGTGAATAGTGCCGGTGGGAAGGTTGATGAGACAGGACGGACCATGCATGCCAAAATACTGGTTGTCAGCGTTACACCTGATCCTGCAAATCAGTATATTCCCGTTATGAATAGTATCTTTGCCGCTCAGAGGCTGGTATGGATTCAAACTTCCCATCGTTTGAGGGCTACGGGGGCTAACGTGATACTATGATATCATAGAAAGTGCCAATCGATGTTTGCAAGCTACGAGATTCCACGGTATTTCTACAGCAAGCTGCCGATGCGACCGGTGGGGTCTACATGGAGCCGGAGCACCCACAAGGTCTAATACAATATCTTATGATGGGGTTCTTGCCTGACCATCTAGCCCGACAAAGCTTGATTCTGCCGACGAAAGTCGATGTAGACTTCCGTGCCGCATGCTTCTGTCACAAAAAGGTTCTAGACATCGGATTTGTTTGTTCGGTTTGCTTAAGTAGTATGTATCACTTTCGGTAAATCTTTTTCTAGCGTACGAGGCTAACTTTTCCAATTAGTATTCTGTGAGCCACCACAAGGCGCCGTTTGCAGTACCTGCCAAGTTAAGCTAGATGTCACCTCCCTAGAGAACATTGGCAAACCTGTGGTTCTTCCGCCGAAGAAAAAGAAGAAAAAGAAGGCGATTGATTCACTCCCAGAAAGTGGCGTCGCGAGCGCAGCTGAAAGTCCGGTCCCAACCGAATAAGCCACCTCCATAAAGTTTATCCACCAAGCGAATTCATAGACTGATGATACCCCAAATCTACTTAAAGAATGTGTACCATATATAATAACAATTCCAAAATGGCTATCGTGAAGCAACAACCATGATAGAATTTAAAAGGTTTCAAGGAGTCAAGTAAATTCAATTCCCAATTTGACATTATATAGGTTAATCAACAAAACGTACAATCACTAGAGGGAAGGTATATAAGTATATTTTTTTGAGAAAAAAAACCAACCTTTAACATTATGGAACAGGCTGGCATTGAACAAGCTTTTCAATTGGATTTCTCAGAATCCGAGCATCCCAGGACACAAAATAAAACAAATATGATAGAAGAAATACGTCCTCCGACTGCAAAAGAAATGTATATTGCTCTTAGATACCATAATCAAGATCCCTTGGAGTTATAGATCTAATACCCATATTCCCCAACAGTCTGAAACTCATCCGTCAACTCTGCCTGAATGTAAGGACTCCTCACTGCGTACCACTTATTCTGCTGGATCTTATACTTATCAAAGTCCAACTTGACACCTCGCTGGAAGCACATAATATAATCACTTCCTCCGAACATAAACTTGCTCAACTCCTCTCCTTTCTTCACTTTATACCCAGGCTTTATGTTGTCCTTGATAACCACGCTGCTGACGTGGCTCATACCGATAGGTAAGAATGCCACAAGGCCAATAGCCTCTGTTTTGATGACCATCATACCACGGGCCTGTGAGAATTGGTAACCAGGGAAATCCGGTGCATCAAGGTCTTTGACCTCCTTATCGTCGGGACTAGCACCGGAAAGGGGGATCTGGAGTTTCTTGCCAATATAGCTGGTGCTGTGGCGTGGTATCACTCGGGTGTGATGAATAGGGTTGAGTGGACGTCTTGGGGCGAGGGTTGGTGCCTTTCCGGCCTCTTGTTTGACGTATACTTCCAAGTAAACGTTGCCAGGTACAACCTTAGCTTCGAGGATTTCACCGTCAACTGGAGAATGTTGACGATGGTAGTCCGCAGGTCCTAGGAAGGCGTGCATGAAAGTTCCTCCGGCGAACTTCTTAGAGTATTCGCTTCCATCAAGGAGTTGGGAGATATTGTATGGTAGAGATTTGATTTCGACTTGGTGAGCGTTCTTGTAGTTGAATGTTACGGTTGCATCGTCTTCTATTGGCCATGCACCGTCGAAACTGCTGTCTGCACCGTTACAGATGGTAAGAGGGTCATCGGGGTTGCCAACCGGACGTTGAGTTGCAATGTCCTTGAATTCACGGGTAAAGAAGTCATTGAAAGAGTAGTTCCACCAGACCCCAGATCCGGGGAGTCTATACTGAGATACACGATATCCAGGACGTCCATCTGGATAGGTATCCGGCGTCTCCAAGAAAGTTTTGTATTGTGCCTCCGTCAACGATTTCCCGGGCTCGTCGAGCCAGGTACCGATAGAATTCGAGAACATGACCATCCATTGTGATAATTCGGAAAGTTCTTCACGGTTTTCGTTTCCAGGGTAGATTGTGGATTGCAAACCGATGACGGACGGCTGGCCGAGGACGTAGTGGTAGGCACATAGCTCTTGGTAGACTTTCAGTCCAGTTTTATCCTCGCTGGGTAGCCAGTGGAGGAAAGCGTCAAGGTAGTTATAAAGATCTGTGAGGGTATTGATATCGGCGAGCTCCTTAGCGCCGGACTCTTTGGCGGTCTTGATGGCAGTTTTGAAACGATGCTCCCAACTATTGGCACCGATCAGGTTTATGAGAGATTGAGTCACTCGGTGGACCATTATGAAAATTTAGAGTTTCACTTTACTATAGAATATCTGCTATGTAAAGAAGTCAGAAGGGTAATACGACTAAAGTAATAGACACTTAGGATACCTGGGTGCGAGGAAGTTTGAATGCGAGACTACAATGTTATAAGTCGAAAGGGAGGAGGGGAAGATGGCTCTTTATATACTTCAAAACCATCCTTCAGATATCAACCCCCTTCAATCAATCACTCTCTATAGATGTTTATCAATCATTCGCGACCAAGTGTAGCATCTCCATCCCGTTGCAAGTGCCATAGACACTACATCGACATCAGTGTGCCATACGCCGACCTAGGCCTCTCACGTCTTACCAAGCCCTGAATCCGTAGATGAGATAGCATACCCCGCTTTCTCCTGTCCTTATGTGAGGTCATTGGCCGACGCATGCATCGATAACATATCCACACCCTGATAAATTCCAGTGGCGTCTAGGTAGAGCTCATAACCAGAAGGTGAGAAGAGGATAAAAGTTCTGCTTACGTCCCACTGCATAAATTTAATGCACTCATGGACCGATGCATCGCGTTCGGGGTGGCAAGTACCATCATAAAAAGTTCATTTATATAATCACTTATTTGTATCTAAGCCATTTGTGGTACATTCGTTCCTGCTCTAAGCACGAGTTGAGCAAATTCATTACAAAATCACTTTTGAATTTGCAGAATTGTATGTCAAGTCTGAGGATTTATATCGATAGCGACATCGCAATGATGGCTAGATCGTTATATTGTATCCTTACACAATCCGCATGACGAAGCGTATCCTTCATCATAGCAATGCAGGTTTAAACGTTTGCGAGGCTAGATCGCAATAATATTATCTGCGGAGAACCTATAGATTTATGAGTAGCAGAAGTTCTAAAATAGCCAATTTATGTTCATGCTTTTTGATTAGCCCTGACAACGATTGCATAAAATTTAAAAGCATTCTGGATAGCCCCCGATTTAAATTCCACCCCAACAATTAATTGAAGATCGGTAAGTGAGGACGAAACGACGAAGCTCAAAGTCCGGGGTTAACATTATAACTCTTGCAAATTTGCAAATCATATGCATAGCGAACTTGGCTAATACCAAGAATGGGGTGCATAAAGCTGTGTAGTTGCAGGCCAGGATTCAAAAAAAAAAAAAGAAAATCAGAATGTAGATGTAGATGTGAGTGTATTGCATAGACTGTACTGGTGACAAGTATTCTGACCGGAAGGGATAAGGCAAATGTCCTTCATGCGTGTATCAATTCAAATACATGTAGTTTCTAGACTTGTATCTGCAAGTCGAATTGCCACATGAAAATCAAACCTAGTCAAGGCTGAGTTAAGAGGCTATATTCGGCTCCGGGAAACTAAATCTTCCCGTCAAAAGACCACCCTGCGGCTGTAAGCTAAACTCCAAAGATATTAACTTCCAACTTATCAATATCGTTCAGGGCTAATCGGCAAGTATGTCAAAGGGAAGATCTTCGTAAGCCGTCGCAGTCGGAAGATATCGCAGTCGGTGAATTTGAAAGTCTAGGTAATTTAGTTACACGAACTCGCGGACCCTTCGACAGACATCGAGTACAAGAACGGCTCTGTGCAGAAGTAGTTCACACCAAAATATCTTCCAACATGAATACTTTATGAGCACGACAGTAACCGGCTAACCGAGCTAGGATAATCCAAGACATATAATACGATGATCTCGATTCCTTGCATTCAATGAACTGCCACCAAAAAACCCCGCTTTTAACGAGCGAACCCCCTCACTGAAAAGAAACACGCACTAAAAAAACCTCAGAAGAATTGAGTTCAATGAAGGGGGTCATATCAACGCGTAAGAGCAGTCAGAGACAATTGACCAATCATATGTTCTTTTCGTGCATGCGGAGGCTACCCGAGGAATGCTCGGATATGTAAGTGCGGCACGAAGTTTATCCAACCAGAGCCGGACAGGCAATGGGATTTTGTAAATCGCAAGCAAAGCTTGCAGACGGGACGCACGGACGGGCCGGGGTTCGAAGGAAAAAAACTTGGCAGTTTGGATAACAGGCTTTACTCCGTGTTATGCCTAGCTGGTATGTAAATGATCATTGATTTAGAATATTGTGGTTTGTATCCAGGCGTAATTATAATGAGTTGTTTTGGACGGGAACCTGGTTGTGGTTCGATACAATGGCTCGAAGACGAAGGGTATTAGTGTGGTGTATAGGAAAGTAGGATTATCTGCCCGGTGAGTTTTGTGGAAGAGATAAAGTATGTGGATACAAGTCTGAGGGTACTTGGATAAAAAAGATGTAGTACTGGAGGGCTAAACCATATCGAAAACGGTGCACCCCGAGAAACACTGAATTATGTTAACCCATAGATGTGTAGGTTGAGTTGTGATAGTTGTATATATCGGCTTTTTTAGATAAGTTGAACAAAATATTTCAACTGGAGAAATGGAAGCGCCGCCGGAATAACCAAGCATAAAAAGGGAAAGATATGGAATGTATTATGGTCTGACAGGTCTGACAGGGTATACGGGAGAGAAAAGGAGGAAAGGGTCCATTCGGATCACAAAAATACAATAGCGATCCTGGCGCGATGCATAGATCTTGATTCCCGCAATCGAAAAAAGAAGGAAGAGAACGAGAGAAAGAAAAACAAGAGAGGGATCAATAAGAGTTCTGGATTAGAACAACGTCCCAAAAAAAAGCGAAGCTTCTTGTCCCACAGTAAGAAAGGGGATACAAATATTTATCTGAGCCAATTAAAAGAAAGCATAATGAATAGCAGAGAATCGGCGCCATGAAGGATAAAAAAGAAAGAGGGGAGGAATGAAAGCAGAGTGCACGTCAATATCCTTAAAGGCGAGACAATTTTCCAACGATGTGAGTCAGCCCGAGTAGGTGCACTGTGGTAGGATGTTTAAGTAGAGTTGGGCAAGCGGCGGTAAGAGGGATTGAGGTGTTGTATCCATAATAGAAGCATCAGTTAAATTCTACCAATACAATACAATACCTCAAATAGATGCTGGGCGGTTTACGCCTGCCCCTCCCTGTCGGAAAGGTCAATCAACCAACTCCCACAATTAGCCTTGTTACTATCACCCGAAGACGGCCCGCTAGATTCACCGTCTCGATTGTCGAGATGCAAGCCTTCTAGTCCACCTGCAATTGTAGCTTTCCTTTCTTGTTTAGCTGGAGGTGGAACGTTGTATTTCTTATCGTGTCTCCCAAGTCGTTTCGACATCTTATCTTTCTTATGTTTTTCGTCCGAGTGCGTTTTGACCTGCATTTGGACAAGACGGGAGGACCCACCAACAGCCAACTTGGGTTCACGAGAGACACGAGACATTATGGTTTTCGGAGCGGTATCACTGCTCGTCATTGAAGCGAGGGCCTGTGTGACTGATTAGCTTCAGGGAATTCGTGGTGTTGGGGTCTTGGATGTCATACAAAAGAATCAGTATTGTGACCAAACACGAAAGAAATGAGCCTCTTGCTAGAAGAAACATTTTCGGCCTTGACAGACATGATGCCAATGGCAGGTTCGCCCCAAATGTTTGCCTTGCCATAACCTTGAGAACCTTGAGAGATAAGGTCAAGTTAGCGAAAAAGAAAACATGAGTTGAATACGTCGAGAAAAGAATCCTACCCATGAAATCCTCATTAATCACCTTCTTCATGGCGTCTAATTCATCGTTGGAATCGTAGATGCGGTTAACAGCCTGAGCAGATATCAAAGTATGAAGCATATGTTCTCCTGTTCCGCTAACTACGGTAGCAGCCTGCCGTTCTCCTCGATCTTTGACGAAGGTTCCAACTCCGATCAAAGCAGCGGGGCCCACTCGGCCAGGTTGTTTCATTCCAATACCGCCACTAGATGAACCGGCAGCCATATTTCCATAACGGTCAATAGAAATAGCTCCCACGGTATCGGTAACGAGGTCAACCTTTTGTTCAAGCAATTGTGGGGTCCCAGGCAACTCTTTTTCGGTAGGTGGTAAAGCAGACCCGGCTTCTTGAATGGGGCGGGTACTGGCCCCGAGAAGAGAAAAATCGGCGGTACGAGATCTATCTAGTGCTTTCCCTCTGCGTTTCATAATCTCTTGGTATTCGATTTCCTTCTGCCATTTAGAAAACCGGATACGGGCTGAATGGGCGACAAGAGATTCATTAGAGCTAACAGGGAAATGCTGCTCGCGGGCGTAATCCACTGCACCCTCTCCAACAACAAAATTAGGGGGCACTCGCTTAAGAGTCATTGGTTGGGAGGATCGTTCGAGAATGAGGCGTGCAAGAGAGATGGGGTTTTGTATTTCTTTATGTCTGATGTTAATATCCTTTGAATGGAGCTGAGTGATATGGTGCATATACTTACGGGGAGTAGCACCAACGGCACCGGTACGGCCGAAGCTATCCATAATCGAGGCATCGGCTTCAACAACACCATTAAAGTTGAGATTGCTGCCGTAACCACAGTTGGTGACAGGGTCATCTTCCAAAACTCGGATAGCAATCTCGACAGCATCAGTTGAGGTCCCACCAGCCTTTAAGGCAGCCATTGCAGCTTGGCAAGCACTATATGGAACAGCGAAAAATTTATAATCAGCAAGCCAATTTCTTTGGCATGTATCGTTGCGGGGATACCGTACTTTCGACATGCTCTAAGATGTTTCTGTTCATTTTCAGTCGAATGATACCCAGCGCCCGCATGCACGAAGATGCAGCTATAATCCGGGTGATCATAGCCGCTCGCATATTGTCTGACAGAGGTGTAGAGAGATTGGTCAGGAATCTCGTTCTGACGAGGTGCCATTTGGAAGAAAGATATTAGATCAAGGAGTGCGAAATGGTCGGTAGAAGCTCAGAGCAGCCAAGCGGAAGGTAGATCAGAATGGTACTGCAGCTAGCCAGAAGCTTGGAGCTTGAAGAACACTGGAAAGAAGGGAGAAGATAAAACGAGGTGAGTGGATGGATAGATAGATTTATCAGGACTCTTTCTAAAAGTCAGCGCCCAGCTGAGGTAGGTGCTACTATACGCCCTCAAGCGCCTATAAAAAATAGCATATTAATTATCATAGACAACTGAGGCAGCCAATCAATTCCAGCTGGGTTATAGCCAATAATAATGGGCAAGTAGGACCTACCAGCTGATTGGCAGATCAGATCGGCTTCGCAGAACCAACAGCTGCAAACCAATTTGAAAGCCTTTTTACATAAATTTCTCTTGAAAGCTAAGGTCGGTCGACAGGAGAGCTGTCGGAAGTCGAGGTGGAGTAGAGTGATTGATTGATTGATGGTAAACAGGGAGATGGCAGTGGATGAAGATGTTATATTTGGAAATATGTCGATGGCTAAATGCGCAATATCATATAAGTTATCCGGATATCCTAAGCTCAAGATCAGGCCAATCACCGCGGTGTTGCGTATATTGCCTCAGCTTTCGTACGATCGAAAGAGCAAAATACAACTTCAACCAGCCGGTATTGATTATCATCGGTGTTTCACTAGCTACAATGATATTCAAAGTGCTAGGTATGAAATCGACATTTGATAGTGTATTATTTCGGCGCCATAGACAGGGTATCTAGTCGTAGATATTGATCTAGAGAATTCGAATTCTGCAATCATGCAATAGTAATATTAATAGTGTTGAGGTGCCAAGATCTTCGAAAATACCACACGGTGTCCCTGCAAGAGACGCAAAATGTGTCCACCGATGCTCAACCTCCAACCTGACCTATACTATACAGTAATATTTGCACTGGTTTTCCACCGTAGGTTTGTCGTATCAGGAGTCGGATCGTGGACTCCTTAGGTAGTGGACTGCAGTATCTATATCGATATCTCTCGTTGCGTGAGTGCCATGCAACATTCAATATTCTAACGAGCAGCTTTGAGGGGATCCGTGTAAGCTTTGTCATCAGGGGCTTGGCACGTCTATGTATCTTCAAAACACTCTGAAATCAGAGTTTATCGTTTTTAGAGAAGTATGTTCAATGGGAGTTCTTCTATTTGTTTAATTTTATTTCTTTCTGTCAATTTGGTTGTCTGTTACAGAAGCGGATGCGCCCCAACGAATAGCCTCCGTCGGGCTGACAATTCGTGTTAAGTACTTATCTATCGACAATAGTTGCACGTTGCATTGAGGAGGGCTTAATCCGCGGACACTGTTACTGTCTAAAGCAGGCCGTTTAATGCCGAAAGTGGGACATGCGCCATACGTTCACGGCGCACTTCAGAATGCCTGTTCTCTTTCTTGTCAATCGGATCTTTCATGAGACGTACTGAACGTTACATGCGCGACATCCGTTATGACTATTTATTATATGGTGGCGGTATTCTCGAAATTTGCCAGGATAGAACTCGAACCGCTATCGCCACTAGTCCGTCTCCTTGTAGCTAACTAAGATGATGGATACTCCAAATCAACAAATATCTTCGATTTTAAATTTCTGGGAGACGGATGTCTACTCACTTGCGACGAAAGTATACTAAAACTTTGCAAATCTCGTGTCGATACGGTAAGTTTCGAAAAATCAACGAGTATCAAATCCGCAGGCAAATTGGACTTCTCAGGATCTGTCGTCGTCTCTAGGCGTTTGATATTTCTAAGCTTCCATATGTAAGGAAACCTGCGCGCTTTAGAATTATAGTCTTCGAAATTGCGAGAAGTCCAGTGAAGTTCGACGTCAGAAATGAGGTTTTCGGCGTCATCGAAGGTAGCGAATAGACGCATGAAAAAACGATCAACAGCTTTGGCGTTGGTGCCATCAATCATAAGTGTAATATCAATCTCCTTTAAGTCTGGTAGACGTCGGGGAAGTTTATCAGGGCCTGTCCAACCGTCACAGGAGCCATAGACGCGCCACCCATGGTTTGTCAGAGCATGGTGGATGGAAAGCGATACGAGAAATGGCATCGAGATAATGACGTGATCAAGAACTTTCCAGAGAACAGACCATGGCGAGGCGTCAAGGTATCCCAGCCTCGTATCGTCATAAATGAACGATCGGACGTTGTGAAATGGTTGAATACTTTTGATTATTCGGGGTATAACTTCGGCACGAGGGACTTCTTCTGTACTCCTAATCTCTAAGATAATCTTCCTATCATGTTTCCGATTGATTAGTATCAAAATCGAAGATACCAACTCTTATTGGTTTGGGAGTAGCTAGAAAGGCTGGGAGGAATATAATTTTGGTTACTTGACATGTGCTGAATCCTCTACAACGTCCGTGAACGCGGGATGATAGAAATATCTCTCCCGCTGATGTCGAACCCGTAATTCTCTAAAGAATCGTACCCCCGCAAAGACCCTCCAACGCCGACAGACATGCATAACGTGTACTAACTCATCTCTTTTCAAATAATTGAAAATCTGGATGAGGGTTTCGCCGGGAACCGTGTTGGCTGTCATCTCGACTTCGTAATATTAATGCGGAGGATGAATTCGAAGCCTAAGTTAATGTGTTCGCCGTACCGTGCGGCGTACGTATGGTAACTTATTTGAGAGTATCAAGTTCGAAACCCCTGTCAGCGAGTAAGTAGCTAGTAGGCTCGAATATTATGTCGATCAGTTTTGTACCATACAGGTCGTGGTTACTATCTAGTTATTTCGAACAGATAGAGAATAGGTACTAGTATATTTATCCAACCACTAGAAAAAGCGAGGGAAGAATCGGGCATCTATTTCAATAGGTCCATGGTCATGATCGAGATGGTCTAGATCTTAATTCTACGCGACGGGCTGAGCTGGACATGCATAAAAATTGATGTATCTGCCCCGTACAAGATACTTAGGGATATGCGGATACATGCTACCAGCCAATGCATTAATTGCATCCCTTGATTCGTTTGGGTTCTTGAAACTGGAGAACGTCACCAAACCGATCTGGCCTCATGCAGAGACTCGACTCTCCCGTACGTAAAACCAGAGATATTTGTACCGCAGACAATACGGCAGAACAAACGCACATTGGAAAGTCTCAAAGTCAGCCGAGAACGTGGCCCAACGGTCGAGCTGTCACTGTAATCTTCAGTCAGGCTTCCGCAAGTATACGTATGGTATGTACGGTACATACTACCAAGAAGGGACTGGTCCAAGACAAAGCCAAGGCCAAGGCGGGAAGCTGTATGAGTGTGGCGTTATTATAAATGTGGCGTTATGTGGCTGATGGAGCCTCCCGCCAAGCCAACAACCCAGCTACTCGTCCACACCGCCTGGTTGCCTGGTTAAAGCCCGACGTAAGCTATCACCATTTCCCCCACAAGACTTCGTCACTGTTTCACGACTTCTCACGAACTCCATCTTCATTCAGTCTTCTTGTTTGGACAGGTAGAAGCTCCCAGCTTCATATCCGACCACAATGTCGGCCTCCCAAACTCCCGCCGTTGTCATGGACAAGTAAGCTACCCCTCCAGCTTCAGACTCCCAAAAAGAACACCCAGCTAACCAGTAATCTTCAGCGGAACGGGTTACTCCAAGCTAGGTCCGCCATTCAATACCAGTTACAGCTATCATCGGGCACGTACTTATTTTTACCACTATCCCAGGTTTTGCCGGCAATGACGCTCCATCATGGGTATTTCCAACTGCTATAGCTACCAAGGCTGCAGCCGGAGGCGGAAGCGGCGGTGGCCGTCCTGCTGTTGCTCAGAAACCCAGTTTCCTTACCGGTGGCGCCGGACCAAGTGGGCACCTATCTTCGAAGCGTGGAACGGAGGATCTCGACTTTTTCATCGGTGATGAGGCTTTAAATGCTGCTAAGGGGCCGGGTACGCATATCTGAAGCTACATATCCGCAATACGGCGTCTGACGAGAATGTTTAGGTTATGGAATTGACTACCCGATTCGACACGGTCAAATCGAGAATTGGGTATGTATAAAGGGTATCTATTGAAACTATGAACGTAGCTAATAGTGTATTAGGATCACATGGAACGCTTCTGGCAATCCTCAATCTTCAAGTACCTTCGTGTTGAACCCGAAGATCATTACTTCCTCCTTACCGAACCAGTAATACCACAAACTGTCTTACTCCTACACCTCGGCTCTTCTCTAACATGTAACATTTTAGCCTCTGAACCCTCCAGAATCTCGTGAATCGACAGCCGAAATCATGTTCGAGTCCTTCAACTGCGCTGGTCTCTATATCGCCGTCCAAGCCGTCCTCGCCCTCGCTGCCTCCTGGACTTCCTCAAAAGTTCAAGACCGCTCACTAACCGGTACAGTCATCGACTCTGGTGATGGTGTAACTCACGTAATCCCTGTTGCCGAAGGTTACGTCATCGGATCCTCTATTAGGTCCATCCCTATTGCCGGTCGCGATATTACGTACTTCGTTCAATCGCTCCTTCGTGACCGTGGAGAACCCGACAGCAGTCTCAAAACTGCAGAGAGTATCAAAGAAGAGTTTTGTTACGTCTGTCCCGATATCGTGAAGGAGTTTAGCAAGTACGACAGAGAACCCGATAAGTTCCAAAAGTACGTGGTGGATCAGGGTGCTGGTAGGAAAGTGACAGTGGACGTCGGATATGAACGATTCTTGGCACCAGAGATCTTTTTCAACCCGGAGATTAATAGCAGCGACTTTTTGACTCCTTTGCCAGAGGTAGTGGATGGTGTTATCCAAAGTTCGCCTATCGACGTGAGGAAGGGTCTTTACAAGGTAAAGTCCACCATTTAAGGCAAAACTCCAATGCTTCAAACCAACTAACTGGACTCTAGAATATCGTTCTGTCTGGTGGTTCTACCCTTTACAAAGACTTTGGCCGCCGTCTCCAACGTGATATTCGCCACCTCGTCGACGCACGTATCCGCCTGTCCGAACAAAGAGCGGGTACATCCGTTCGCTCCAGCGGCCTCGAAGTCTCGGTTATAACACATAAACGCCAACGCTACGGTCCGTGGTTCGGTGGTAGTTTGCTCGGTCAAACACCAGAATTCAGAAGCTATTGCCATACTAAACAGGAATACGATGAGATTGGACCTAGTATTGTTAGACGGTTTGCTCTGCTCGGTGGACCGGGAGGTAATGCATAAGTTGAGCCTTCTTCTTCTTTTTACTTTAGATGATATCATTGGGGATGTTGGTGATAGTAGCGAGGATCTTTTGTTTATACATTTCTTTCAATTGGTACGGAATACAGAAAATGAGGTTACATACAAGAGATCTATCCTTGAAACCAAAGCTCCACACCCACGTGTACACCAAATTATAAACGCTATAACTTTATGAATTCAGTATGCGCACCAAGTGAACACCTAGGTGAAACCTAAACACCACCCCACAATCCCTTTAAAACTTCCCCTAAGACTGCCCCATCTAGTTCTCCTAGAGCGACAAGACCAGCATAAAGCTTCTCCAATCTTTCCATAACCTTCTCATCCATATTTCCGCTATCGATATTTGAGTTGACATAAGAAATCATATCCCGTTCGACCGTCGAAATATATTCGCTAACATGCCCTTGCAGTTTCACAAGTATATCTAGAATATGTTGCCGCTCGAGAATACTCGGTACGGTGATTGTGATATTTTCAACCTTTTGGGGCGCGCTGTGAGGGTCAAGGGCGGTTGTGAGTACTGGGATCAATTGTAGGAGCGCATAACCCCCAGCCACTGTTGTTAAAAAGCGGAAGGTAACGGTGCACCCCCATGCCGCCCATCCGCTCTTCATAGCTCGTCCTGCGGATGCGAACCATGCCGTTAGACTTGTGAGGCAGATGATTGAGAGCAGAATAGTAATTTCAGTTGACAATACTATTGTAGAAGATCGAAGGACTGTCATGGAAATGCCTTGGAAGAGTAGCCGGAGAGCCGAGGCGGTGTACATGCTTCCCAAAAACAAATCTGTAGCCGTCGGCTGGATATGTGGGATCCGTGATGTCGCGAGGAAAAAGTTCAAAATTCTAGATTCCGAAATTGGGGATTCTTCCATCGCTGAATCTATCGCGGGAGAACTGGTGGCCATGGGATTCTGTATACCCCGGCCACAGCACCTTTGACAAGAATATTCCAATTTTTCCCTTCCTTCTTTCTCAGACAATGATGGCGGCACATATATCTCCTGTTCCAGTGACCTCTTTAAACTCCTTCCACCCCATTCGTACCCCGGATAATGTCTTCCATCACTTCTACTCCCTCCATATCTTGACTCTGGTCTCGTACCACGTGAAGAAATAGATTCAGTCGACGCCCCATGCATCGACTTGTCATCGCCTGGGTTGGGAAATATAAAAGTATTAGACAGCGTGGGTAATAACGAAGCAGTGAGTAGTCCATCCGCGCTTGTACACTCGCTTGTAGGGGAAAAGGTTGTAGGCGAGAGTTCTGAGAGATCAACGAAGGATTTGGTATCGAGCTCGAGTGGAGTCGGTGGAGGCTGTGGGGGTTGTGGGTCTTTCATCATTATGGCCTTTTATTCGTCGCCAAATGCACAGAGTGCCACTTTATATATAATGAGGGGGTGGAGACGGATAATTTAACGCTATCGAGTAATTAGAGTAACTAGGTAATTTCTATCCGTATAGGTAGTTAATAATAAAGGTAGTATTATATATGAGAAATAGAAGGATATGGTAGAAACATTACTTCAATTAATTATCCAGCTAGGGAGCGGGCGGAGAATACTAGTATATATCCTCACATGCCCCTCCACTAACCCACCCATCCATCCGAATGATGCCACGATCCCACTCCGCCAACATCCATAATGCGGACATGTTTGTACATGCTAACAATCTAACTCAGAGGCGCGGACACATCAGACGACATGAAACGTAAAAAACCAAAAAAAGAGAAGAAGGAGCGCCATACCATCCAACGTGATCATAGAATAACCCGGCACATGGGAACTCTACCCACTAGCCTTGCGCCGCCAACCTGAACAACCCCCCCTTTTCATCGAATAAAACCCCCACTAGTGTCGGAAGTATGTACACATTCTTCCTTTTCAGCGTAATCATGGCGACATAGCGATATCGCTGCCACTAACTTTGTACTGATACGCTGGTAGATTTGAGGATTAGCAAGACATCGGAAGTCTAGGTACGAGACATATTTAATTAGTCGCGGACTATCTCTCTCGTCGACTCTTAGACCCGGAAGTAACACTGACTGGCTGACGAAGTGTGAGCAGTACCCGTAAGCTCATCCTTCTAGAAAAGAACAAACCCCGTTTCTGTACGACATAATCCCACCTATTCACAAGACCCTTTCCTCTTTTCTCGCTCGCGATAGCAATGTAATTGGTTACAATAAAAAAAGAAAGCTAGATAACATCATAGGACTGGAAAGTTCGGTAATATCTACGTTTCGAACCAAGGTCATGGAAAATCAAAACGGCTAAAGAGGACTTAGACCTCTTTTCATCAGGGAGAATCGGGGGAAACTAAGTACTTTAGGTATGTCACACTTTCAACGTGGACGTGGCAAAAAGGGCTGAAAAAAAAGGAGGGTGGTACATGTAAGGCCTCATGTGATGCTTTTGGGTTAGCGAGGAATGTGGTCTGCATGTTGGTAAGAGATAGGGAATTGATCGGGCCTCTTGGGTCCCAAGATCTTGATAGGGGACCTGGAGAGCTCCGGGCGAGTCTTCTTTTAGGCCATGAGTTACCGATGCTGACAGAAAATATAGCTAACAATGCTATGAGGCGTATGAATCAAATCCTCTCGAAGCCGCGAGGAGGATCATGATCATGCAACACAGTACTTTGTTGGATGCTGACATAAGCCATCTCGAGTCGCTAAAAGTCGATTCGAATACAATGTTAACACGTAAACGTATCAATAAGTATATTTAGTATAGTATCGTTGGCGTCGATCTACGTGTGCACAATGGCAAGCCGAGGAACGGGTAAAAGGCTCATATGCATGAGGTAGGTGCTCTGTGGTGTTCTCCTTGATGTTCATTTGTTCAATCCGTCATGAGGGGCAGCTACGATCGATATTAACATGCACGTCGAATCTGATAAAATCTGGCTCTGAAGAAGGAGATCAAGATATTTGGCTAAACTAGATGCGAAGCCAAGAACCCTGGAGTAGTAGATTGTTTTTTGCTTACCATAATAACGTAACGACTGTACATTTCGAATTCCTAAGATTCGGTTTTCAGCCAACCAGATTCATGACTACATACGGTAGAGAGAATACTACAAAGTGGAAATAATTTGGGATTCCATCAGAACGCTCTAAAAAGCTTAATTCATCATTTTGAAAACCTGCCCACTTGAAACCATCGGCGTACTGTAGAGCATATGATGACAAAGACCTCCGCTAATTTTGAAACCCTAAAGCCCACACCCTTTTTAGATTTTGAATCTCCAAAAGAGCTACCTTTCCCGATTCTAGTGTTTCGAGATGACGAGATAGATCTTCAGCAGGGGGTCTCGAGGATCACCCCTTCTCATAGCGTATTCAGACTGTGGATCTGAGTGGTCTCATCAGAGCCCCCAAATCAAGCGTACAAGCCCTCAATGCCGTCCTCAGAAGCGGAAATAACGATATTATTATAATTTCCTAGCATAATATATTAGATTCAAAAGTCACCGCTAGGAGCCACCTAAACTCAGGTACTTATATATATCTATCATATTTGAAAGGGAGGCTCGTCAAATTAGCTACGGGTATTAGAGAGTTAGCATTACAAAGTAGAGCTCAAAGGGTGAATTGCTAGTCCAGTAGAGCCTTTTGTGCGTTCTGTTCTTTCCAGCCAAAAAGAGAAACTTGAAGAGTTGACCACATTTGTGGGGTATCTCTAAACGTGGACTTCCATTCATGCATTTTTAGCTGTGCTCACGTGCGATCACGCCCGATTGCATTGGATGATCATAGCCGCATAGACCACAAATCACTAATCAACAACTATGAGGCTTGCATGTGGATGACACATAGCCTAATAAGATCCCCTGGGAACGCCTGTAGTAACCTACTATATATATCAAGATTGAAGATTTACCATAGATCTATTAACATAAAACCCGCAAAACATAGTGAATAGTGCCCAACGTGAAGATGTACCAGATGATTGGTGTAGCTAAGTTGGAGTAGGCCGAGGTTCGGAACGAGTTCCCGTATGGTTAAACCCACATCACGGTATCGATATTAGATTATACCGCAAAACTGTAAAGTCTAAAGCATACTGTTTTATCTTAATTATTCGTAGGGAGCATATATACCTAAGAGTCGCTTCTGTTGCAAACTATCTGCAGCGGTATTGGCTAATATATTTGAGACTGGCGCCTGCATAAAAGAGTTCTCGCACGTACTTAGAAGTTAAGGCCATTTCGAGATTATATATAAACTAGTTAGCAGTAGCTATATTCTAAGGAACTCCGAGGACTCAGCACTTCGAAACGTCTGTTTGAAATTTCTTGGTTAGACTTTAAGGATCAATATAAAGGCCGAATGGATATATCGCGCCCCGTTAATGCCACAGCAAATTGAATTAATACCATCCCTTTACCCCGCCCTTTAATGCGGCTATGTGAAAGCACGTTTACGTTATGTGTTCGGTGTGTTTCCGAACAAGGAACACTAGCCACCAACTAATTATAAGACTCTTTGTTCCTATACATGGACACAGTGAATATATACGTATGCAAGATCAGTTTACTGCAGCTCTATCGTGCTCTTGTGATCTATATGCACAACATTTGTGTATGTACAATAATTCTCCGGGCAACCCACCTTAAAATAGTTGAATATATCGAAGTTCATTGGTCTATTCCTAGATTTGGGGACACTGAAGTCGTATTATCTCTGTATACGAGTGCACATCATAGCATTAGCGCAATTAATCGCTTCCATAAACTATACTGCGACCCAAATTAGGGCCTTTACTGAGTATTTTCGGGCTCTAAGATCAAATTATATTCGGTTTAGCTAACGACACATCACTACTTTTATAGTTTCAAAGTATTTCGAGACCTAATATCTAGAAGAGCCACAAGCCCTAAAAGCCGCAATTATTTGCAGATGCAGGTTATAGTTGCAAGACAGATCAGATATATAGCGGTCTCTCCCGCCAGCTTATGCTTGATTTATCTCGTAAATCTGTTTTGGCGCCTAAGTACAATACTCTCACAAATCTTATCTTCCAACCCAAATGCTTCTTCGCTGGGCAAATCTCCATCTATATTTCAATATATAAGTATATATATAAATATACATCTCACTGATTTTACCAAACTATAAACTAGTTTCAGCAAGCACTTAAGATATAATGTTCCGGCTGTGGTCCCAAATCTTCCTTTGGGGACTGCTGGCCACCGGTACTGAGGCAGCAGTCAAAAGCGTTACTCCTCGACGAGTTACAACTAAAACTGCTACAGTATGGGAAATTGTCACCTCTTCTTTCGTGGAAACCCTCTACGAGCGCCAAGAAGGACTTTGCGACGTAGGAGGGAGCCTGGAATTCTGCTCGGATGTCCGGTCCCAATGGTTCTACTCTAACGAGTTCGGTTCCATGAATAGCACAGGTGGAAACCCAAGTGCCACAACTACCACGAAATCGCCAAGCGCCAGCGCCAGCGCCGAGTTCCAACAAATTCTATCTGGTAGTGCTTTCCAACTCTTTGTCACTCAAGAAAATGGAACTATTGCTTATGTCTCCATTAACTCGGATGGGTTTGCCTACCTTATCGGCTCTCGAACTGGGCAGTTGTTTCAATGGTCAGAATCTACTCTAAAGACTTATGAAACGAGCCCCAGAAGCTTCTTAGCATTACCGGATAACGAGGCTTCCCGCCGCAACATAAGATTGGCCGATAGGCAAACTTTAACCAACTCCACAAACCGTGGGACAATCAAGGCATCAGAAATAATTCCAGATGGTGCATCGACAAACTTCACATTGATTCTGCGCCAAGTTGATACAGAGTTAGTATTAACATGGGAACAACGGGAATCTTTATTTGGGACCGGGGCAGGGTGCACCACAAACTTGGCTGCCCCGGATTCGGTTTTGGCGTTTGGTACAGCAGATGATTATGATACTTTGCCGGGTTGCGCTGTGGTATCCCTATCTGCAAGAGTAGCCAGCGGTGTTTCTTCACTGAGCAGTGATGTAAATACGGGTACAGACACGCAAACTGCGTCCGGGTCAAGCTCTAGCGGTGCTTCTAGGAGCGCATCAAGAAGTCCTAGTCAATCTGGTGTTTCTAACGGTTCAAACAGTCCAATTGAAAGCTCTGGCAGCTCCGATAGTTCTGATAACGACTCTATAACTTCAGTATCTAGTTCCTCCGGCTCCAATCTACCCAGCTCTACTGATTCCGGACCGATAACCTCAAACTCAGGCTCCTCGACGACTTCCGCCAGCCCAGGTTCAAGCGGAACGTCCTCACCCAGCAATACCGACTCGCCTGAATCATGTTCTGGCACTACCTGCTCATCTTCCAGCTCGGATAGCAGTAGCTCGGTCAGTAGCACTACCTGGGGCTGTGTAACTGAAACCCCGATACCAGCGAGTCTAAGCTGCCCCAATCACGTTGAATGGGATTATATTACTCTTGATAAAGACGTTTATAGCTTATGCACCGGATACAGTATTTCTTTGACATCTAGCCTCACAACCGATGCTGATGCTATTAATCCTGGAACGATTAGCCTTCTCCCCTGTCTGGAAAGTTGTGTGTCTGCCGGCTATGAAGGTGCTCTATTCAGTGCCCATGCTCAATGGGGTTTTACTAAAAACACCTGGCAATGTGGGTGCGGCACGACCACCAATAACTTTGTCCTCCCAACTGTGTCACCGATTGGTATGTTTACGTCAAAGACTGCCGCTGTCTTTATTTGCAGTAATACCTTCGACTACACCGGTTCAACAAACAACCCTGCCCGTGATACTATCACAGTCCCGCCAGTATCCGAGTGCTACCTCCCTGTAACTGACAAGGTTTCAGCATTTAAAAGGTGTCCCTATAACACCGCCAATACTTGGCAAAACGTAATATACAGCGATGGTCAAGTCGTTACATCCTTATGTCGCGGTGCGAAGTTCGCCACTACATCCGACCTCTTTCCATGGTCCACTTTTACTACTTACCCAATTCCAGTGGATATGACTACCTGCCTTCAAAGCTGCTCAGCGGCAGTTGGATATCCCAATACTTGCCCGGGTGTCGCACTTGTTGTCGACTCGACCTCACTATCGAATGGATACAGGGCAAAGTGTGTTATGGCTACTGGAGACGACTTGGCACTCATCACAACAGACCCTGCTGTCGCAAACACTCTTCGATGGCTCACCGCTGGAGAACATCTATGTCCGAACGGTTTCGCACTGCCATCATGTGCTGCAGCAATAGCAGCAACCCCTTCTACTGCCACATGCTGCCCCGGCGTAAGGTCACAGCATTTATATACATGGGGTTCTAGTGTGTTTAATATCTGCGAAGGGTGTATGTGGGCAGTTGCATCCACCCTAGGGCCTATCAAGACGGGAACAGCGAATCAGATATTTTATGATCAGTGCATTTCGAGTTATTGCCTGGGAGGTGAAACGTGCTCTGGCATAGGTGTGCTGACATCAACAGTAATAGCAGGAGCTTCACCCATGTATCAATGTGTGAAAATGGGGGCCAACGACGCCACCATGACCAGTACAATTCCTGTAAATGCTGGTACATCGTTCTATGGTACTAATGTCGCCTTTCTCTGCACTAATACTTTCGCGCTGCAGCCTTCTCAACCAATCACATCCGACCTTGCGCCGGTCTACCAGATTTGTACGCCAGCTACTCAATTTTTGGGTTTTGTTATATGGCCAAGCATTTTTGCGACTACGAAAGCATTGTATGATTGGGGGGGTCTCGCGGTAACGACATCTGACCTACTGACTGCAGGCTGTACATATGGCTGCACTGAAAACAACGGCAAAAGGCCGAGCGACCAACCGACTTGGGGGCAGCTCTGCATGGTAGCAGTTACTGCATCTGCAAAGTATTGGGAGGTCGTTCGAGAAAAAGGAAACGATGGAAAGTGTTACTGTAGATGGCCACAAGATAGCGTAGCAGCGCAGGCTTTTACGCTTTCATCCTATACTGTTAACACCGATGTTATCGAAGTTTACGCTTATACATCCCCCGGCTCATAATCCAGATTCTTGCGAAAGTCTGGTCACGAGGCTAGAGATTTGCTGCGATATAATATTTATTCTCACATCGACACAGAAAATAATTGAAATCGTTATAACATGTTGAGGAGGCAAAGGTTATATGCTGAATGGCTAGCACCACTTATAGCGTTATTCTCGACCTCTATTTGCTTTGTTTTCTCTTTGACAACCTCCAAAATCTTCGCACATCTAATTTTTGCAATTTTACAGTTTGTACCAAATTTAATTTTATATATAGTAAACATCAAACGCAGTTCATACCATCTATATTATGAAATGAAGTTTAACTCGAACGGAGTTTTAGTCAAATAACAAGGATAAGAGCTATGGATGTAACCGCGGAAATCAAGAAGACATTATTACACGTATACGACAGTTTGAACCTCGTCTGAAAAAGTATGGACGATGGGATTTAATCGCCTATGTATGCACATACGCGACATAATACCGTAGGGAGAAATCTTTTGAAGAAAAGAAAATTTACTATCGCTAGGATATGGCTAGCCTTGTACCGGACAAGGTGCCGGCGGTCAGGGAAGGCAAAATAAAGAAAACTCATGAATTCGTGAATGTCAGGCGAGGTAACCCGTAGAAGAGAATTTCCTTTGCGTCGGTGGTGTGACCTTTGCTGGCTCAAAACAAAATGGGGCCGGGTCTTCCCCGAGACTTTCACTCTGCGGCATCCACGCTCCAGAACTGGGGCTTGATACGTTGTAGTTGCCCGGACTAGAATACTGGGACGGGGAAGGGGCGTCTTTGTGGCTGTGCACACCTGGACCATATGGGCTGGATTGGTGACTATCGATGTTGGGGGCACTATATTGTGGTGTCCTTCTTGAGCCTTTTGTAGTATTATCAGGGAGTTGAGGGGTGAAAGTTGGGTATGGAAGTAAAGTCTGGTTCAAAACCCGATCGTCTTCCCCGGCTTGTGTGAATAGATTTATATTCCCGGGGTCTGGCTGTTCTTCACCAAAAGTTTCGAAGTTAATGTTGATATGTGCCGCTACTTCTTTAGCATTGTTGATAATCGAATCAAGCGAATCACCGGTACCCAAAACTAACGATTCGACGGAAAAGAAATACTTGATAAAGCCTCGTGCCTTTTCAACGAGGAGCATCCAGAGAGCTTTTTGTGACAACATTTTAGTTTCTAATAGAGCAATTACCAAGGCTGTCAAAGCAACTTTAGGGATGCTAGGACTACCCCAAGCCCTAAGCTTCTGTTCAATATCAATACCGACCCTCCTGACTACTCCTGGGAAATTATTTCCAAATAGCTTGGCGCAATGGCTATCTGATATATCGAAAGAACCATCGTAATCCTGACTATCTAGCAGGTGAGTAATGAAGCCGCGATGTGATTTTATTTCGGTTGATAAAGGCTGAGATTGAGGCATTTGTCTCATTGCAGATGTTGCGGGAACATTATGATGTGGTGTTTCTATTTCAATGGGGCTAAGATCCAATGATGATGGGCAGTCTTGTAACGAAACTGCGGATGATGAGAAACCTAGTGTACTTGGACTCCGATCTTCTGGCTCTAAAAATCTTCGATACGAACTCTGGTTTTTGGTCTGAGGGAAAAACATGCGGGGCTGAGCCTGCTCTTTCATCAAGCTGGGGTCAAATGTTCCGCCTCTAGCGCTTGAACTCGAGGCTAGTTCGGCTACGTCTTTCAAGGGGGGGGCTGGCATAATAGGAAGGTCGCTCGAAGTCGCCGGGCTGTTAGGTTTTTCCTGGCGTTTTCGTAGGAATAGACTCCCACGGAAGTACCGACTGCTCTGGCTCTTAGAGTCCTGACTACTTTTAGATGTCTCGGTGTTACGGCCGTTCGGAACTTCGGGAGGGTGAGGTGTAGGTAACACAAGACTAGACGTAGGTATCCCTTTTAATTCTGGAGAATATTTCCATGGATCTGGGTTGACCATGGATTCAGAACTAAGGGGGATTTGCTTCAAACGCCCGGAGGAACGTTCTTTCCACCTAGATCCGTGACGAGTGCTCTGAAGTGGCTCCTGGGCCGCTAGTCTAGGTGGAAGGGAGAGCTTTTCGCAGCTATGATTATTATATGTTGACGGAACCGAAAATCCCCTTGTTGATACTGGGGGACGAGGCCGTGGTCTCCAGCCCCGCTGCTCGGTTATGTGATTGTCTTTAGGGACGGGTGGTAATGGAACTAAATTGAAATTATAACATGTATCTTCCCTTGATTGGTTTAAATTCGGTTTCAATGGTTTCGGTATCAGTGGTTTCGGTATCAATGGTGGCTGTTCGTAGTAATCAAGGCTAGGTGAATTTGCGATATTTACAGATTGACATCTCACAGTGCCATAGCTGATACGCTTTTGGGTCGGTGTATGCTGATATCTGTCGGACGGGCCAGATGACTGGCTACCATTGTTTGAATCGGAATTAGAGGACCAGGAGCTACCTGCACCGCCCCGGTTCCCGTATCCGCTCCTGTATCCGCTTCCCCCGTATCCGTTCTCTCTGTGGAATTCGAAGTTATTTCCGGGTGCTCCAGCACGCCCGCTACCGCTACCGCTAGCGTCTTCATCATCACTGTGATTGTTATCCCTTCGGTCCGAGTTTAGTGAGCCATCAGCATCAGAATCGCTGTCATCCGTATCCGTATGTTCACTTTTTTCTGTTTCCGGTATTCCTAATGCTAATCCAAATCCTATAGCTTGACCTACCCCGATCCCTCTATGTTGTAAAAGATCCAGGTCATTTTCCGGGGCAATTGTTACAAAACTGTCTCCATGGTCAACCAAAGTACCTCTACCATCAATACCTTGTTTTTCAACGAGCTCTTCCACAGCTACAAAGCTGGTCCATTTGGACACAAGAGACCATTTACATCCTAGACGCTCGCCTTCACGGGCTACCAAAGCCTTCAGTCCAGTAAAATTCCGGGCTGAAGCACGATTACTAAGGTGGATGTAGCTTCGCCCTCGTTCAAGATCCCCCAAAAGAGCTCGGGCGGCGAGCTTGTGTAGTGTATTATCCCGCAGTTTTAGATGTTTGATTGGAATCCATATGGATATGGGTTCCCTTCCAGGTTTCACCACTCGCATATGGACTCTTGAAAGCGGCAATTTAGCATCGAGAGACTCGAATAATATGAAAACTCGGTTTCGTAAAAACGGACTGAGATCGGAGACTCTTGCAGGTGATTGCATCATTTTATGAGTCCGGATAAGATAGTTATGACCCTCGTCTACAAATTTTAAATAACCCGGTCGAGTTAGTGAATCATTGAATGCTTTGTAAGTTGTTTCACTCAGTTCCCGGGCAGACTTACCTAATATTGCCAATCTAGCGTTATTATTGGGGACTGGGAGGCCCTCTAGTTGTATCTCGATTTTACCTATATGGTCCGCTGAAGCAGCGCTTAAGGCCTCGACGACACGAGACTCCCAACCCCCTTGATGGGCTAGAGGTATTACCTCGGCGTAGCCACCACCGAAATGAGCAATGCCTTCAACTAAGGCATGGGATACAGCCGCACCGATACCAAGACAAAAGAACCGAACTCTCCCTTCACTCAAATTTCTTGTTCTCTCTACAAAGTTAAGCGTCTCATCCAATAGCCAAACCTCTCCATCCGTTAGGGCTACGATATCGACAAATTGATGGGGGCTTTTAGTGGCTATGATGGCTTCGAAGGCCGGCAGCAAATTAGTCCCTCCCATGTTTGGGTGAAAGATTTCTTCAACATAGTTGAGGGCTTGTTGAAGGGTGTCGTTGCTGTACCGGCGTGACTGAGGCCAAAGACACTCAAAATCTGACCCGAAGCACCAGATATTAAACAATTTGTCTGGGGCAATACCCTTCAAAAAGTACTTCATAGCCGATCTCAGGGCCTGAATTTTGTCGTCCATTGAACCTGATCGATCAGCAAGGAATATTATCTCCCCGTCGCTCGAGCTAGCAGGCCTAGGCCCAGTTTTCAGTAAAAAGTCCGAAGGGACTGTCAACATTAAAGCTCGATGATAATCTAGGTCCGGATGAGTCTCGACCCATGCTTGCGGCTGCTCAAGACTATCTTCTAAATCCGTTTCAATCTCGAGTACGAAATCTCGGTCAAGGAACTTAACGGTGTTTTCAAGGCAAACAAGAGCAGATTTCGCGTATTCGCCCTCACCAGACTGCCCAAACACTTCCCAGCTCTGGTATGTCCTAGTACCGGCTCTCATATCAATCTTGGTTTCCGAATTATGCGTGTCGCATCGGACCGACGTTATTTTGGCCGGCGCAAGAATATTTACTTCAACCTTCAGGCTTTGTAGGCTTGTCGAGGCCCTCAATGCGTCGTATATGCCAACTGGAGCGTCTCCAAAGCGAGGTGCGATATAAACCGGTAATGTAAATGTCGTAAGCCCGTGGTCTTTCTCTATCCTATATTTTAAAAGAAAGATGAATGATATCCCTACTTTGATCTTACTTCGTGCAGGTATAATCCCCAGCTTTGTAGTAAATATCTCAGGGGTATTTTGCTCAAGGAGTGCCGCAGATTCTCCTTGTTGAACAGCATCTCTAAAAATTTGCGATGCTTCTTTTTTAATCTTGACCTGGCTTCTTAGGATTTTATCTTCCCCAATGTGGCAGACAAAGTCGGTCACAGTGCAACCCTGTGGTAGGGGAAATGTGTATGCGGCTTGGGGAATAATATCGTCGGTTTTATTCAAGAACAGGTGGGTAACGGTAACTCTGGCAGTATCTTGAACGATCTGGGCCTTAATCGAAGCGGAAAGCGGCGGGAGAAAGTTGTCTTTTGGCGGTGGCCGGAGACGGTTTTGTAATTGAGCGGCCTCGAGTTCGCGGAGGATTTCAGTTACCTGCCCTGGTATGTTTTTTGTATTAAAATATTGATATGCTTCTGGTGGAATCGGCTCTCGGGGATCGTAGTATCTTAGTCCCGGCCCGCCCTCCATAGGGTAATTAATGGCCGGCACGACTGCCCTTGTTTTAAATATGTAAGTTCGTCCGCGTCCAGTTCTGCTTGTCTGTGTCAAAATTCAGGCGCCGGGAATCAGCCTCTGCGCCCAATCTCTTCACTCCGTAGACTCTTATGCTTGAATAATTTGTAAGTGATGCTCCGCGCATTTAACTACTAAGTTTTGCCCAGCATAACCGTAAGTAATCGAAGATATAGTTGTTTCAAATTCGTTGTCAAAGAAGTACCTTATAAGCTTAGCTTCGTGCTTTTCGAGCACAGTGTTGCTAAGGTACTAGAAGCGCTTAAGCTAGCTTAAGCTTAAGCCCCGCCAATTCGAAGAAAATCAATGAAGGCAGCTAGAACTATTATCTTTGATGAGAAAAACTCGCGCTCGAAAGGTCAATTTATAAAAAACCGGTCGTCTTTCATTCGATCCCAAATTGCTAGAGTCTTGTCTGTTATAGGAAGCCTTTTGCAGATGCATATAGCCGGACGCGCAGGACTTGCATCTTTGGTCTGCGTTCGCGTTCGCGTTGCTGCAGTCTTTTGTGCGGGTTGTAAAGTCACAGCCTTCTTTCTGCCCTTCGGCCTCCGTGCGTAGACACTTATAATTGGTTCAAGATTTCGAGACGAGCAAGGCTGGGTTCAGATTCAACTTTCTCCGACGGAGTACGTAGCTTGAGGTGCAGTTTCATTTGATTCATTCATAACGTTAATGCTACTTGGATGTATCAACTATACGTACGGATACCTTATACATACCTAGGTATATACATGTACAATTGCCATTTCAAATAACTTCGGCCGCAGACCCCCAAACCTAACTTCATTATTTCTCCAATCTAAAACATATACTATTTGACTTTACGCTACAAGTCACCTTCTCATCAACTACCCATATTGTAATAAAAACCGATGGCTTCGCCAATTTCTATCGGAGATGCATTCCTATTGGCTAAACTTGCTCTAAAACTGGGCCAAACGTTCACTACGGGCCGAAAATCAGCGCCCGCTGAGTTTCGAGAAGTTGAAAGCCAGCTATATTCCATTAGTACCGCACTCACGGCTTTAGGCGATGCGTGTCGAAATAACGGTCTCGAGCTCGGAATCAACAATACGGTGCTCCAAAATCCTGTCCAAAGCCCGCGAGGCAATAAGGGAGACGATGCCCTATTGTCGATGCTTCAAGGCTGTCAGGATGTTCTCAAAAATCTTGAAGGTGTTGTAGAAAAGTACAGCTCAATTGGCCAGCCCGAGCAATCAAACAGACCATGTTTCCAAAAGTGGAAGAGCGGCGTCAAGAAGAACTGGAAGAAGATAATCTGGACGACAGAGGGCGGGGATTTAGCGGCGCTCCAGCGAAGTTTGAGTATTCATATTAATTGCTTGGACCTCGCCCTAGGTGTTATCGGCCAGTACGTGATTCTCCCACTAACGAACATAAACTTCTTTGTGCGAATCGCAGCTGCAGCTTATATATCGATATATCGTGCATGTATTTATAATTACTAACGAAAAGCCTTAGTACTCGAACTGATCGGGTGGAAAAAGGCGTGGTTAATACGGTGCTCATGCTAACAGAAATCCACACATGGTTCGTCACAAACATACGTGATAACAATGGGTCGGGCGTAGTGACTTCAGCCCAGAATACAAACGTCATGTACCCTTCTGCAACGGAGCCGCCGCCGCCGTTGACCGAGATCCAGTTCAAGATATCCGCAAGATCACTACGAGGTCTAGAGGTACTCTGCCCGAATGCCTCTATACATCCCATGTGGAATCAAAAACGAAGCGAATGGGATCTAAAAAACAGCTGGTCCCACCGTAAACTGTTTAAATGCAACTGCCCCCTACTACCTGGGCAGACAGCACCGCACCCTTTCGAAGTAGATTCTCTAGCGGGTATGTGATCATGATTCTGTTTTCCAGTGGCCGCTAAGTTACCAGCCAATGCGGCACAGAAACTCAAAGAGAGATTTTTATCTAATCTGCTATTTTAGTCTCATCCTTCACATTCGCATTGAGGCAAACTGGGGCCACCAAAAGCTGGATGATTTACAACGCAGCGAACCGGTCGACCAATATGGTGATATCATTGGTGATCGAAAATGTCCTCGCAAGAAGTTAGATTAATGAAATCCCTTATATAGTCATGATGAGATCTAATTTCTTCGATAGGTATACATGAATTTGAGACGTCTTTTATAGACGTCCTCGCAACCAACAATGCGAAAGCGATGTTTCGACCAGGATGCGGTACCACGCTAGCATACATAACCGCAGGAAAATCTCAACCTATTGAACACAGAATCTTAAACTTTTTGAGGTATGATGCTTTATATTCCGCCTATTGCCTTTATTTCTAACACGCCTGTACACAGCGACCTCGACCAAGTGCGAAATAAAGTCGAAAAAGTGACATTCACTATGAAAGACCAATCATATACGCGGACCGAAATTACGACAATAAAGTTGATGCATTACAAGTCTTCAACGAGAGAATATTTGTCCATGGATTACGTTGTAGACCCCAAAGATTTGTTGCCGTTAGATACGGCAGAACTCGAGATTACCTACACACAGGGTTCGGACTCAGACATCGCAAAATCGATACTGTACAGTAAGTTTTATTCTACAACGAGTTATTTCTATGCCTAATATCGTTCTCTCTCAGTAACATACAAGACGATATCAAAGCGTTCCCCAAATAGCGACAGCCTTATATTAGAGAACATCGCATGCGCAGGGTTAACCACCAAAAATCAAGAGAGTACCCTAAATGGAATAAACGTATCTATACAGCTTAAATCGCCTGAAGGTTGGTTTCCTTTGGGTGCATATAAATCAGTTTATGTGTAAACTGACAGAGAAAAGCTGCTATGCTACTCCAGCGCAGCATTCAAAATATGAGAGAAGAGCTTTTTGTCATGTCTCTCAAGGCGCCCAGGCCAGGTGAAAGACTTGCGCTTAAACTGTAAGCAAGGTCACATTCACAGGTCCGTGTTATCATGGCTGACAATTACACAGGGAGGCAAAAGGGTTTCATACCGATAGAGTGGATATGGCTGACTGCGAAATCTCCATTGTACAATCGGACACTTCCGGTGATTTAAGGCTCATCATAACTAGTAAGGACGAAAGAACCATACTTAGTCAAGACTGTGAGTGAGCCTAGTCATCCTAAGGGTTCTTTTTATTTCCACACCACATTAACCTTTGTCCCTAGTAGCGAAAGACTTTATGGAAACGGCGGAAGGAACGCCTAGGTTCTCCGCACCAACATACGCTGTACAGATTGTCGGGCAAGGTACCCGGGACATCCAAACTTATAAAAACGGATTTAAGATGGTCGATTTCTCAGATGTTCGGAGTAAGTCGGTAATAATAGAATCCACTGATGATTTAGCATTAATAAAATGTTCTCTAGGAGATCGATTATTTGGTCTAGGCCTTGCGGTGCTGTCAGGAAGTGGAATACCCCTACCGCGAATTACCCAGGCCAAACCAACTAACCAAAACGAGTTGCCTGGATACTCTAGGTTTATCCAATAGACGATTGGGATATATTCAAGGCCTAGAAACATAACTTAAGTTGTTTTTATTCCTCGCGCTAAGGCCTCTACCCTTTTAAATATGCCACTCAACAGTCTAATTAATAATATGTACCATCTTCAGCTATCTGAATTATAACTGTGCGAAATAGTCAACAACTGGTAAATGTAGTATATAGACAACAAAGATTTTCTTCGCTGTGATGACGTTCGTAGTCTGCCTCATCGACTATGCAGCAGATTACTACGGCAGATATATGGTTTCTGTTAAAACAAAAAGCTAAACGTTGAGGCAACAATAATAGCCGTCTTAGATCAATATTCTCGCCTGCGCGGCCTCTAACATTTCATAATGGCCATATACCACTATGGAATAAAGTACTACCACAATCATTTGATTCAGCTGGGATGATACTATTATTAATGTGTCCCACCGCCAAGCTAGTCCGAAGATATTCTGTAGCATTGAGATATGATCCCGCTCAATAATGTTGTGGACGTGTTGGAAAGCCGCTGCAACCATTAGTTTAAGGATAACTCTAACGCACCAAACATTCAATTCGTCCTGCAGCTTGGTGGGAAAAGAAGAATCGGATTTCTTAGCTTTGTTTTTGTATTCTGGTCGGAAGCATAAATCTAACTTCCTTTTTAGGTGAGCTCTTTCGGTATCAGCCTTTCTTAGGCATTTCTCAAGCCGCAAAAGCTCTTGAGAAAGTTTCGCAGTTTCTTGCCCTCGGTCACAGTACAGGTTCCTTAAGGTGAAAATTTCGATACAAAGTTCCTGAAAGCAGGCAAATTGACCCGACTTTTGGAGCATGTTTTCCAAGTTCTTCTCCGATAAAGCTTTTGCCGCCTCCGCTAGTTTTCTATGAGTTGTCATTCTAGAAATATTATAGCCTTCCCACAGCCCCTCAGAGATCAATGCCTGTTCTTCGAGGACTGATCTTCTGTTCCCGCTTCTACAGTCACAGGTTGGCCACTTGTGCTCGCAAATATAACAAAATTCTGCTCCACATCTAAAATGGTATCAGTATTCATATAAGCTGCATGCATATGTATTCCATGCCCCTAAGAGATTTGTTTCTTTAAATTTTTCGAAAGAATTAAAACGGGGGCATCTCGTACCGACAAGTTATATGGTTACAGCCCTCGCTTTTCATGACGACAACTTGACACTTGTAACACACGGACTACCCCAAGCTCTTCGCAAGAGCCATTGCTTCTGATTGGCCATATTCACCGCTATGCATACTCTGCTGACATTTTGTGCAGTGATGGCGCTACAATCGAGGCAGAACGCTGCACCGTCTAAAATCGTTCCATCTAATAGTGTCTTCCTGCATTTATAGCAAGGAATGATTCTCTGTGACTCTAATTCTTCAACCATAGTAAGGTATTGGGTTATTTGAACCTCTGTCTCCTATACAGCAGACGCGATTAAGCCGGGAGGAATTTCGTCGCAGCATTTCGGCGCTCTGTTCTGCTTAATCGCGGCTTTGACATTAGCGGTGATGCAGTCTGAACAATTTATGTGGTTGCACTGTGGTATCCGAAGAGCTTGGAACCGCCGCATCTGCTCCCCGCAAAGGTCGCAGCCAACCATTGCAAATGGATCTTCATACTCTCCAAGAGCTTGCTCAAGAATAATTTCTAGCGTATTCCTTCCTAATGTACTCCCTGAGGTTATGTAGATGTTTTGTCTTGGCGACCAGAACGGGGTTTCGTTTTTCAATGCTGGCCTTCGTATTAGAATGCTCCGACATTGAGCGGTGTATTCGCTTCTAGGAAAAACTTTTAAGCCTTTTCGAACATTTCGGCCTTATTTACCAAAGTTGGGATGCGTAATGGTTAGAGTCTATTAAACTCACTAGCGGCCACCATATACAATATATATATTCAAAGCCATTCCCAAATTCTATGAATCAGTAAAAATGGGTACAGAGGCTTCATCGTGGGTGAAGAACCTATGAGAAAGATATATATGTATAGATTTCTAATTAGCCCTTGAGATTACTCGAGTTTGATGATACATGTTCTAGCTCATCCATGAATAACACTAGGCCTTGAATTGTGCCTCGAGCCTCAAAGCCATATGGCTTAGCCGGATTGGGGCATAAGGCGAAATATAAAGGCCGGCCTCGAATTAACCCATACCTTCTAGAATACCTACATTCTTCTTACGCAAATACTCTTATCATTGCCCCTCAATTTAATGGTATGTAATGATAGTTACCATGAATGACCACCCAGGGACTTTTGTTGGGTGGGGCTGGGCACGAGACAACATGAATGGCACTTTATTTTATATATGAACGTTCCTTTTTCTAACTTAGAAATCTAAATTTGGACTATGAACTCTATGAACTCTACATATTGCAAAGATAGCTGCTAAGCTCTCACATGAACTAGCTCAAATCGTAATTTAATTCGAAAGATTAGTTATGTTTCTAATAAGCCTAATAAAATTTATCGTGTTCGAATTGACCAACCTACATACAAACTTATTTTTCACCACATACTTAGTTAGGAGCCAAGAAGTATCGATATTTATATGCTCTTACACCTTATCTTGACTTACCACATTTTTGGATTAGATTAATACAGAGTATATACGTATATACATGAATTCTTCGGCGTTGGACATGACGAATCGTAAGAACAAACAAGAACTGCCAATCTCTATCCGAGCTCCCATCACTCCTATATTACATTGTTGACCCTGTTCAGAGCGAAAACAATACGCATCCTCGATTATTGCCTAACCGATATACTTCGAGCCACCGTACAAACTTAACCGCCGGCACATCAAAAGCCCTCCAAAAAACATCCGACACCCACATTGTGACAGGCAAATGTATGAACAAGAAAACCAGAACAACTACAAAAAACTTTCATATTCTCCAAATCTGACTGGTAATCGCCCACATGAGCCCCACTAACTCCTATTATTTTCCACACCCAGCTCACCAGGCTGTATCCCAAAGTTTAGTTCATTGTGACGTGTGCCAGATAAAGTGAGAATGAGATTTTGCCTAGATATTGACGGAATCTTGTGCATAAAACATTTTGAATCGGCGGCAAGAAGAGGATCGAAAAACAGATGAGCTTTGCACCTAGCGCCCGCCAGAATACCATGATATCCAACCCTTTATACGCTGGAGGTCTCCATAATGTCAAGTTGCCGTAACCTGTTGGTAAGTTTGCGTCGAGGAGAGTCTCTGGGTAAGAGCAAAAGTACAATCCAATTACAAATAAACTAACGGGGCCACCTGTTTTCAAAATCGTGAAAGGCCGCTTGAAAACCATCCTTTGAAGCTTGTATATTGGCAGTGAATCGAAATTTAATTCTGAAGTTGGGGGATCATCATGATTCGGTGTAATGTCAGCATGAATCTCAGCGAGGAAAAATCCGAAATGGAAAAGACTCAGTTGCCAGAAACCATTGTAAAATGCCACGATAATGATAATGGGCAAAAGGACCTTCACGCGCAGCCAGCGTTTCAGATGCGACATGCCGGCAATCGAGAGGAACAAATATAGAGATTGGTGAAACTCGGTAGGGATGGTCCAAAGGTGGGGCTATATATTATGTCAGCGATCAGCTACCAGGTTTCAAACATCTGAGAAGAGGAAAAATACATTAGTCTCGCACCGTTATACAGACTTGGTAAGAAATAGAGTAATTAGGACGGCAAAAGAGTATAAATCTCTAAATGCCCATTTAATCTGTAAATAAAAGCTATCCTGTATTGGCAACCGAGATTCAACTTTCCCATGCAAGAACCCTCGTTGACCGTATGGCACCGTCTCAAACCATCCCGCTGCCGTAGAAAAGGGAACAAAGATGAACACCCACACAAGGTAATATCAAACGTAGGTATCGCTTTGAGATTGAACTCGCGATATTCACTAGGACTCCGTGGCTATCGACATTTGATAGTGGTCGCTTCATTAATCTAACGCTTTTATAAGATAGCGCAAAGCCCGATATTAAAAAATATCTCAACCATAGGTGGCCCGCTACGGAGTAGGTAGATTATAGGTAGTTGTATGAAGTAGCTATCTCCCTTGGCGTCAAAGATATAAGGACTCCTCCAGCCTGCAAAATAAGCGTACTGGTAGTGAAAGATGAACACTATAAGGCACGCGATACCGCGTAGCCCGTCCAACCATGCTGTCGAAGTTAATTTCCGTGCCGGACGAACCCTTGTGTATCGAGCGGGCACGAAGCTTGGGAGTAGGAAGAGGAGAACCGAGAGAAGCAGTTGCCGTGGTCTAAAATTTGCAATAATGTTTCTGATGTGCCTCCGCGGCGCTTCTTAATATCGTCTGTTGAGTTGGGAAGAAACGATCCAAATACCCCCTGGGAATGAGAACTCATAGATCGGTTCACATAGTGCTCATCGTTAAAACGCGCTTTTTAGGCGAGTAGCGGCTCCGTCGAGTAGAATATATATATATATTTTTTTCTTTAGACCCTTGGCGGATGAATAGTAGTCGTGTGATATATATCGCTTCGAGCGGCTGTAAGACGAAAGGGTAGGCCTTCTGCGTAGTGCTTCTGGGTTCCTATAACTGGTGGGAATCATCTAATATTCCCTTCCGTGGATTTTTGATTGAGAGTAAAGATATAGAAAACAATAAATCTAGTCATGAAAGCCCCGAGTGTGTAGTTCCCGGCTCAACCACGGAATATATATCACTAAGCAAACTTATAGGTCGGAACAAACAGGAAAGGACAGCTGCCGGCCTATGCATATATACTATTTAGACGCGCGTATATGCATATATATATTATTTACCTATGCATCGAGCTTAATTGCCCCCCGAGAACTAAGGAGGATTCCGTAGATATAATAGTATCTCCCCTACGCGTATGTATACTCGACGGACGGCATATAATGTTATAACTAATTCTAACACAGTGGTAGAGATATAGAAAAATTCTCCTCGATCGATTTTAGAAAAGTTCCAGCATTATCGATGAGATTTTCCTATTTGCTTCAATTTACCCCTGCGAATTAAATAAGTCTTGAACTATATCATGGCCTTTGTCAGTGATCACGCTAGGGTGATCTCCACACGTCCAAAAATTTAGACAATCGAATTCGACAAACGCCTCAAATACCAACCCGGGTCTAGTTAGCATGAAAATTGGGCTTACCAAAGATTATCTTGACTTTTGGAACCATCTCCGTACAGTACCAGGGGAAGAAGCACAGTGGGGCAAGTGTGCTCCAAGTGTGCTTGATTCGATATATATTCACAAGTCAGTCTCGACACTAAACCAACTTAGCTCAGAAGCTGGTTTAGTGTCGAGACCCTTCTTTCTTTTTGCAACATTACGACACATCCGGCGGGGAACCTTTCTTTCGAGGCTGTTACGGAATTGGTCAATGAATATAGTGAATATATTCTTGAAAACCTATAAGCCAGCCTGGATAACCGGCCTGGCCTCCGGCTTAGAGCATAAGAGAGCCACATATATACCAATTCACTACACCAATTCAGTAGAAAGTCGAGAAAACTTTGCCATCACAAATTGCAAGTTCCGAAGGGGCAAAAGGTGTTTGAGCCGCTTCTTAACGGTTTCAAGTAAGAACAGATCTTATAAAATATAGACATAATATAATATACTCTCAGCTGAGAGAAGTGCATGAATGTCCCGTGTTGTGGCTTTGGCGGCGTCTACGGGGGGTCATATGAAGTACCCCTCAGGTTAATTTTTTCTTCTTGGTCTTTGCGGATTCTAACAGCCTCAACATATAAATTTCATGTTTACTCCAATAATAATCCAGAATCTAGATTTTTAAAGTAAAATAAAATAAAATAAAAATAGCCAATTAATTATCGCTACATATTTTTGGCTAGGTAAATAGGCAGGTATGTAGGTAATTTAATATCTAAGTATCTAAATAAATATATAGGCAGTTTTACTGATTAAATAACTAAGTAAGTAGTTGTTAGCTGGGTAATTAAGCAGGTCGGCAGTTGGGTAGGTAACTAGGTAGGTATTTTAAATTTTCAGTTTGGTTTAAATGTTGTGAAAATCTGGATTTGAACAAACTCAGATAACATACAAATTGCTCACAACGCCTAAACTGAATTAAAATTCCGAAGTGCCTGCTGTCAGCCTGCCCACCCAGCTACCCATTTACTTACCCAGTTATTCAGCTGCCAGTCTGCTTACCTACTTGCTTACCCACCTACCTACCTACTTACCTACCTATCTACCTATCTATCTACCTATTTACCTACCCAGTTAGTGAAACTGCTTATGTGCTTGCTCAGTTATTTAGCTAGAAAGTATATAGCTATAATAAAGTAACCAGTTATTTTTTATTTTATTTTATTCCATTTCAAAAATCCAGATTTCTGGATTTTTATTGGAGTAAACACGAAATTTATGTATTGAGGCTGTTGTAAACCGCAAGAACTAAGAAAAAAGAATTGACCTGAGGGGTGCTTCATATGACCCCCCGTAGGCGTCCGCTCATTATTTCTTGAAATTGAGGCTAAGGAATAACCGAGTTCAGGGTCCGCCTCCGGTGATATACGGAGGCTTCTTGTGAATCTCAATGGGGTTGTTCCCTTCCGTGTAATCCATACGGAAGACCTGTTCCTAAAATCTATGAGCTCCCCTTTTCTAGGTTCCCTCCTCTCTCATTATCTTTACACCCTCTATACAAAACAAATACGAATATATGGTACCAGTATCATAGCTATAGTGGAGTTAACGCTATGTATGCAGGTAGAGAATTAAACCTACAGAAATACAATGATGTAATCGGTGAAAATAACTGTCGCTAAAAAACAAGTAAATTATGTGAAAGCAAGCCGGAACTTGACTTTCCGCTTTCTCAGATAACGTACTCTGTAGCCTTTAGCCGTTACTCCGTATTTTCTTCATCCAACAGGTATCCCAGCTTGAATACCTGGCTTGGCCATGCTGCTCCGTCAATAGTTTCAGTTGCTGAGATGTGTTATCTTGATTTGCCTCCTGAAATATAGTTTCATACGGATGAATGCTTGTATTAAAACTGGGGACCTCATCTTGTGCGCATTTGCCAAGCCGATAGCCACGATTGGAAGCAAGAGAGGCCTTCATAACACTAATACCATACCCTGCGTCGAGTATGGTTTGAGCGGTGGATTCTTCTATGTGTACAACATCCTTAAGGGTTGTAAAAGATTTTCTGATTGGTTTAAGAAGCACAGATAAGCCAATACGATCGGTCGCAAGCAGCATAGGCTGTATGATTGTGTGCTTTTTTCCATCTGCGTTGCATTTTGAATCCATAGACAATCCAACGAGCTATCGATGAGTATTAAGAGTTAGCAGGATTAAAAAAGCCAAATTCGAGGGAGTGTGATTACTTTGGTTTCAACTGTAAGCCGATCCAAATATGCATCACTCCAGCACTCGTTACTCCAAGCTGGCAAAAATGGCCCCCGTATCGAAGCGTCCAACATGATAAATTTCTTATATTTCTTTATTAAGGCACCTTGGTTAGCTCGTAATATCTCAGCGTGAGATTCCAGATCAGATGATATATTATTCCGCCGAATAACTTGAATATTTGGTTGTCCCGGAATATAGCTAATCAGGTCGGTTGGGCCATTCAAAATAAAAATAAAATCGGCGTAGGCGTGCAAGCCGTGATTGACGAAAAAGAGAGCATTCTTCCGAAAATTGGGGGTTTCTGAGTAAACGTAGGTAACTAAGGCGCGGCCTGTGGATTCATCAAAATCGGCGTCAGATCTATCATCTAATCTGGCTTGCGCTGTCGGATTTTGTAACGAATCGATAGACGGTTGATATGGCATCTTTAATAGGAGAGTTTCTCGTAGTCAGCGAGTGATACAATCAGGTTGTGTAGAGTAATGGGCCAACCTTTGATTCGGACCTTACAATTGAACTTATTCGACCTTCGAGATGTATATTTTTACTCGTGCTTATAATTTTTCCAAGTCGGTACCCCATGAAAAAAATAATCACAGATAAGCCCATAAGAAAGCCGAGAAGGTCTTTCAAAGACCGTGCCTTCGAATAGGAACGGACTCGTGACACAGAATCGCCATCTGAGATCAAATCCGTTTTCTCTTTGTTGGATTCGTCTATGGAAGTGTATACAGTGGATTTTGGCAAAGTAGAAGAGACATTCGACATCTTTTGGCGCTTTCAGCGGGATGTTTTGATGAGATTAGCATACGACTAAAATCGAGCTACAGTTCTTGCATCAGTATGTGCTTTGATGATACGTTAACTTTTGCGCCCGATAACCGACAATAGTACCTCGCGGATCGTTGCAACATTGGTCCTTACAGCAAGCCGACCCACTAGATAATTATACCTTATCTCAGGCGCGACACATAAGCTCAGACAAGAAAACTGCATACAAAGAAGTTTTAGCCACATTAGTGAATCAACTAACTATCAGAAACTGAATGTAAAGATTAGCCCTTCCTTATCCCTGCACTTTGCTTGACCTCCTTCCTAGAATTCGCTGTCGGCCTTTTCTCCACCATACCCGCCATGCCTTTCTAGGTTGAAGTTGATCCCTGTAGAGGAGAATATTAGTAATAATTGGACGAATTATGATTGCTGCACCCATGCGTGGTTTGCAGAGGCGAGTATCCACCTTGGGAAAGCTATACCTGTCGGCATAAGCACGATGCCTCTTCATGATACCTTTTGTAGCAGGTCCTCGCACTTTCTCCGCGAAGCGGTGGAAACCTCTCAACTGTTTTACGTTTCATTCCGGTTAGTGAGCCGTCCCTGGAATTTGAGCTCGCCAAACCCTAAACGAAATAATGAAGTCAACAATAACTCGAATCAAAGAAGTTGGTTATCTATTCTGGTAGTAATTGATGTTGTAGCTAGGTAATCACAAAATTGATGAGATTACTTTTGGACTTCATTGGATTGAGAGTTGTTGAGATATGGGTCGTACCGCAGAATATGGTAGTGGTTGGCTCATGAGAGTAGTTGGGAAATATTTGATGCGTCAGTGAAGCACAGAAACATGGGCATGGGCGGAAAAATAGCTCCTTGATGTGGTACACGTGGTTCGGGTCCTCGGGTTGCTCGCTAAATGGGGCAGCAATGCGTACTCTGCATATTCTGGAGGTGCCAGGGCTAACACTGCAAAGGAAATATATATAACGGCGTTGTATAGGTGGCTTTCTCCGAAATGCATGAATATCGTACGATTCTCCAGATTATCAGCTCAATCAATATTCTACTATCTAAGGCGATTCTGATCCACCGTTATATAGGTATCTGCTCACTGCAAGTATTTCATAGTGCCATGCATGCATGGTTGCGAAGGGTAGCTAGCCTCTAGGCAGAGCTTATCCTAGCCATTTGTTCTGAAGCTGATTTGAATGATCATATAACCATTGAATTGACAAAACACATTCTCTTGTAAGCCACTGTCCTTTTTTGGGTATATGTGACATGTAGTAACACAAACTCCACTTGCTAAACCACACAGGGTACCCATGCCACATGCACCGTGGTTTACCGGACACCAAAGAAAACCGCGGGGCTAATCGAGTTCTGATTCGAATTGCCTGGTGGGGCCATTTGTACAACAGTGTATATAGAGACTGAAATTAGAGTGCCTTACAATATTTGAGTGAGAGCCCCAGAACTAGTTTCATGAATTCATGGTCCTAGAATATCATCGGCGGGGATAAACAGTTTTTTTTTTTGTATTCACGGAAGAAAGCGGTTACATATTATGCTGTTCATTTTGTTTTTCAGAAAACGCCCCGCTTTGGTCAGACAGACGGTTCAGTTTACGTACTGACAGATTGGTCTTGCAAAACTTGGAGAATACCGTTGCGTTAGTTGGGAGCCCTTCATCGATGCCAAGAGGCTTTTTAGTTTATGAGAAAAAGGCCTCCTAGGACAGGGGACTCCTCTATCATCGATTTTACAATTTTGATGAAGGGGGAAGGACATTCACAAACATACTTCAACTAAATCAGAGGTTGATTTTACCTCAACTTCCTCTTTTTGATTTCGCTTTATATTACCCTTCATTATCGACCAGTCTTCAGTTTGAATGCATATACATATCTCATCACCTAGAGTGCAAGAAATGTCTTCTATCCCACCTTCCTGGCCGTGGCGGTCAAACCAATATCATGATATCTCTCGTCATCTCGGTGATCCTGAAAACCTCGAAGAAAAGATGGAGCAAGGACCACCCAAATGGCAAGCTTGTTGGAAAGAGATGTTTTTTGATGTTTACCTAGGCTTTTTTTTCAATGTGTTTACCTCTCGTTCTAAGTTCTTGATACTCGGCTTCATAGTCGGGATCTCCCTTGGATACACAATGTCCACAGGAGCTTCATACGATCAAATACATTCTATTTCTCTCAATAAACCTATATCGCCGGAACAATCAGGCACAAAATGGGGCAAAGATCTCTATTTTTACCCTCCCTTGGACGGGGGGCGATACCCAGCCGTCCCGTCCTACAACATTCTCTCGGAAACATCTGATATTCTTGTATCCGCTCGAAATATGACTTCGCAGTCCCCTATTACTCCACTCTTTGTCCCCTTTACTCGAAATTTTGTTATGCTACGTCAAACTATCCTTTCTTATATCGCTGCTGGCTGGCCGCGCGATCAAATTTACATCATCGACAACAGTGGCACCATGGATGCCAATTATAATGGTCTTCTTTCTGTCACCAACCCTTTTTATTTAAATTACAAGTTATTCCGCGGCCGTTATGGCGTTAATATCGTCCGAACACCTACCCTACTCAATTTCGCTCAACTTCAAAATTACATGCTGGCCACCGCAATCAACCAAAACTGGACTCATTTTTATTGGACACACCAAGATGTTGTTGTGCTTAGCGACGAACTCAGTATCCCCTACCACTCATTATATGAAAGGGTTCTCACGTCTCTCATCTCCTTACTCCCTACCATGAATTCTAAATCGACTCTACAGGGGGGCAGCCGCTGGAGCATAGTCTGGTACGACTTTGATTGGCTTACCTTGGTAAATGTTGGTGTCGCATCGGGTCCAAAGAATGGTGTTGGTAGCTGGGATACATTTGTTCCATACTATGCTACTGATTGTGATTATTACGAGAGGCTGAGGCTCTCGGGATACCCAATATTGGAGAGGAAGGTTGGAGATATATTCGATTTATCGAAACCAGTGCCAAATGCGGAGAGCGCCTTTTTCGGGAAAGCCCGAAATAATACAGAAGAGGATTTGGGAAAGTTGTGCGGGTCCCCGCAGTATATGGAACTCAAGAATAAGTTGAAATTGATGATGAAAGAGAAAGGTGCGAGTGGGAGAAATACATGGCAGGACGCACAAAAGGGTGGAAAAGGAGAGCCGTGGACGTATGACCCTAGCGGATTTCAAACGGCATGGTGGGATATGGCAGCCGCGGGAAGGTTAGTGTATGGGAAAAAGTGGGGAATAAATCAGTACGAGTGCCGACCTAGTTCAAACGGGAAGACTTTGGGAGGTATCTGGGGAGGGAAAGAAACTCCCCGAGATGAAATAAATAGTGGTATGAGAAAGCTATATATGGAGGAAGAAAAAGAGCTCCGAGAGTTAGAGCCACTCGAAAACTTGGAATTAGGCGGGGAACTCCAAGCCACTGGGAGATCCGGAGCCACTCGGAGGGCCAGCTTTAGGTGTCTCTAGGTGAAAACCTTCCAGGTCTGGGTACGAGACAAGGTGGAAACGTTTCAGAGGGACTTTTTCTTCCTGATCCTATCCTTGACGAAAAGAAGCTTATAGACATACTGGGAGAGCCTAAGAAGGCAACTTATTGAAAGAACCCTAGAAAAATATCAGTCTAATGCAGAGATTGGTACACCGACCAACAAGATGGCAGGCACTGAGATATTGTATACGTCGATATGAACCGCTGTCGAAGTTCGGCTACACCGAAATGCCAAATTTAGACTCCGCACCGAGTTTACTTTAATGTAGTATGAATATTCCAATTATGTATATTTAATTTTTCATTATAACTGAAGAATCTAACTTTGATGAATTTTTAACGCTCCTCACCGTCACGTTTTATGTAGCATTGAAACATTTGAAGTGAGGCATACATTTCAGCGTTTCCCGTTACGACTCCCCCTATAGGCCTACAAATGAAATCCTCTTGAAAAAAGATACTAAATGAATTTGTTTAGCTCGGCCTGTAATTGATATCCTCCATCACAATATCACTACGCGCCGCAGATCGGATGCATTGTGCACATGTGATTACATTGCCGCTTGCCATATAAAACCTGAAAAGTATCTTAGCCTTGGGTGTTGCTATCAAAAGTTAGCTAGTTCATTCCTTTGTGACGTCTAGGAACGAGCCCATGGGCCCGGCATGCTAGCAGCGCTAGTTCCGGCCATGGAACTGCTGGCTACGCACCAAACCCACAGTGCACCTATTGTTGGTTAAAGTCAATTCGTTGTGCCGCTAATAACATAAAACAAAATATCATATCATATCATATCATATCACGATATTAATGCCATGCAGCTGCAGTTATGCTGCAATGCTGCAACGTCGCATGTCCGAACGTTAACGCGTTCGCGAACGCGAACGTTCAAACGTTCATGCATGCAAACGTTGGTGAAGGTCAAGACGTTACACAGAAATGTGAATGCCAAGGAAGCGCTAGTTTAGGAAACTTCCACCTTAGGAAGTTATCAAATCGACAAACGTCCTGAAACCTTGAGTTGGTTACACCACTGCTGGTGACTTTAGTTCTTACTTTCGAAGCTTTTAGCGTGGTAGGACGTCACTGGACGAGGCTAGGGATCGAAGAACGAGGCTAGAGATCGAAGAATATAGAAGACTGGAACGAAATATATCTCGAGATAATTAAAGTTTAAACAATAAATATGAATTGATGCCATTCCGGAAATCGGCTTCATTGCCATCCCCCTCCGACCACGGCTGCCCTCGCCAGGCGCAGGCCATGACGGTCAACCTCTTTCCGCCTAACTTTCCAAAATCGTACGCAACTATTACTCCAGCTTATCCTGGGTGCGGGAAGAGCTCATGAATAATGTACGACTCAAAACTTGTGGGCAGTATGTCTATTAATTTTACGAGAATAAATTAGTCCTAGCTTGGGTCATTAGTTATACTATACTAAGTCAAAGTACCCTTTTACCACAATAAATTTATTGAAGAACACGAAACTAGTGTAAGGTACCAGAACTAGTTGATTCACACATCAATTATCTTCCAGGTCTGGGTACGAGACAAATCAATTATTATAAAAGAAGCTATTGTGATAACTATCAAGTAAAGTTCCAGATTGGTGGCCAACCCCAAGACTAGCACCTCAAAGAGAGCTCTCAGAAATATCTTTCACATTTAATTTCTACAAGAATGCTACGATAAGTCACAAAATACGATAGTTCAGTACGAGACCAATGACACGGAAGTCAGACCAGCGAAACACGAACCAATTAACATTAACCTCAGGGTTTTCCTGAGTATTGATTTATTCCCAGAGCCTTGAGAAATTACCAAGTATGGCAATTAAATTCATATTGTCCAGTTCTTTCAAGAAACGTATTTCTGATCCGAGGTTCACCGGCCACGTAGCCACACTTAACTAAAACACCCTAAATCCTGAGATTGTCTCCTTCTACCCCACCTCTAAAGGCGATACCAAGAACACAAGCCGAGCAGATTCTGCACTGGGATAGCAAAAAGTCATAGCAAACAGTATGCTGGATTGACGTAGTTTTAAATTTGGCCCCTTTACTACAATACGTTTTCCAGAACGCTCGAACGCTTGTGTTTTGATAAACTAGTCAAGGGAATCAACCGAAACTATTCGTTTTGATATAGTTACGGAATAGTCTCGAAGCCAGACGAAACCAAGCTCAATAAACCCTCCTAATCCCCGAAGAGCTACTCCGTAAATACCTATAAACCAAAGTGGTACTAAATCTATTTATACAACTAGCATATTAATGAAAATGAACTTATACAACACCACTTGATCAATTGAATACTTCGCTTTACAAAATTTAAAATAGAATATTCATGGGGAAATGGCTGAGAGTCTGACTTCGAGATGGCCTCCAAGATGTCAGTAGCTTAGCACGGTTCAATGGATAACTCCTAATAAGACGGAATTCGAAAGACTATATGTGCGACTTGATATCGATCTGCTTGAAATGTTGTGTTGGAAGAAAAAGACACACCACATGACTAGGAACGCGTTTGAAAATTCCAGGATGCCTCCTCAGCTACCGCCCCACTCAACCGCCACCTGGTTGTCGTATAGCTCCCCATATCAATCTTCACGGCACGCTGGCGTCTGGCCCCAAAACTATATCTGTCCCAGAACGCCAAAGTCTGCATCTAAATTCCCAAATTACATATTATCGCTGATCTTGGAACGAGAACAATATACAATCATCACGACTCTCACGATGAAAATCTTCGCAAACGCAATCCCCGCGGACCCCTCAAACTCCCAAACCAACACCGTCTGCCACCTCGACGCTATCCCAGACGAAATTCACCTCGATATCCTTTACAAAATTGATTCATGGAAAACCCATATCGCCATGGGTCGGGCCTATCCACGTTGGAAAAGGCTGATCAAAGATGCTGCATTCAAAAGAATAGCTCATAAAGCACGATATTCGTTGGATTTTCCTATTCATCGGCTGTTCACCGACGGCGAGGCTGCACATCGGATCCTAGAGTTTACGATAAATCACGGGAAAATCGAGTCAATGAGGGTATCACCGACAGACCTATTTTCAAAGCTTTTGAAACTTGATAATGCTAGTGTCGAAGAAAGGGGGATTTGGAATATTGAGCTTGGAGAGGCTGGTGGGGTTCTTGAAGATAAATTCATCGATCGGGATAAAGGTGCTCGGCAGGCGAAATCTCAGGGTAGTGCTTCAGGTCAACAAAACCACAAAAGACGGTTGTCAGTTTCCCAGGGGAATGTGAAGTTCGAATACTCGGAGCGAGACCCATACTCAAGCGATCTTTTGACGGTTACGGACGTCCGTCTTGGATTTGATCAAGTTTCGACGATTAGGGAGATGATGGAGACCTCCGTTAAAAGTCTCTATACTGGACAAGGTTTAGTGGCCTATGGGCGAATAAGAATATATTTCGAGATCCAGCCGCTGAAGCCAAGCTTGGAGTTGGTATTAAGAGGGTTGGTCGAAAGGCTGAATGATCCTGTGGTCGAGGCTCCAGCATTCAATTTTGGCAGTTATGGCTGCTCTTTCGGATCATAGAGCCGTCAGGTGACTCGATATATACGAACTTCTTTTCGAAAAGTCCAAGTGCTCTATTAGCGTTATGGCGTGTTTATTACGAGTAATAAATTTATATCGCACAATCAGATTACTAGGGGACTGGGTCGATAACGGATATCTTTATCCGTCTGGGAACATGATTTCACTAGCTAGACTCTGGGTATTCAGCTTTATCTCGGATTTGAAGTATATATATATATACCAAAAAGCACTTTTTATTCTTGAATTCTAGAAACCCGGAGCCTCTAGAGATTGATACCAGCCATCTGTGACCTTCAAAAGTCTAGTTATAGTTCTAGGCTGAAACGGACTGAAGGACCGTTTGCGTTGACCTCTCTAAAATCCAACAGACTGCCTAAACGTTGGTGTTCGAGTTCTAGGATCACGATCAATACAACATCTAGCTCAATCGTCTTAATGGTGTAGGACGGCATTCGGAGCTCGATCCTCCGAGCTATTTCCACTCTTTCTAACAGCATTGACTGGTGCATTAATACTTAAGAGTTATCGTCCCATTAGTGTTCAAGTTCATGCCGTTCTCAAAGTATCTATTCTCGTTGCGCAAATTTAAACACAAGACCCCTGCATGCCCCTCCACCTCCGAACAAACAACCGTTGGCCCCATCTCAAGACTGCGGATGCCCAGTATGCCTCCGCGAACGACACTCCTAGACCTCCCTAATGAACTTCTAGTCCCAATCTTAGCAGATGTTGTGGCTGTTATCAAGCCCCAAGAAACAATCCGCAGTGGGATCGTCCAGCTTAGTTGGACATGTCGACGATTCCATCAGGTTATGCAATATTTCCTAGAATCGACATGCTACGTTGGGGTTTCAATACCAGTGAGGCAGCCGGTGGCTGGTGCTACAGTGCCCATTACAGTTGGGAAAGCCGTGAATATCAGCTACCGGCTTTTGAAGCATAATACTAAAGGAGCACGCGGTCCCTTTGTGAAGTAGGAATCAAGATCTTCCATACTGAAGGAAATATTCGAGCCTAACACCGATGTTTGATTCGTAGAAAATTAGACATCTACGGCGGTTTCCGGAAAACTTATACTGAGTACCAAGACAGCCAGAACCGATTGTCTAATACTTCAACATCAAGCTGTGACAGTCGGGATGCGCTGGAATCTGAGCTTGACCTCTCAACTAAAATGTTAAACACAGTCTACGAAGATCTGATCAAAGGATTTCAGAACTTAACAATCGCCTCACTACAGAATACTCCGGAAAGTCTGTTTATTCACCTAATTCCAGGACTACAAACCATTCTAGAGCATTGTCCTCTTTTGGCGGAACTCAAACTCTTGTTTATCATCTCACAAGAAGGTGGCGGTTATCTCGAAAGCATATATAGGGCATTACCTGATAACAATTCCACAACCACCGCAAATTTAAAAGCCCTAGATATATCAATTATAGAGGAAAACCCACCCTTGTGGAAAGTTGTGTCAGATGATTCGGACGACAATGCCAGGAGTCGTATATATCCAGTCGAAATACTAGGCAGGGTATTTGGCACTTCGATAGCCTCGGTTCGTACCTTCAAAATCGATTATATTGTAAACGGAATTGGTTTATATTCTTCAGAGACCACGGATCCCCCAGAAAAATGGAACATGCCTGCGCTCAAGGCCCTGCAATTCCCTATCCTGAGTGAGACAACCAACAGGTTCCTGGCGGAATTTTGCGAAATCGACTATGCTCGTATCGAAGAACTAACACTCGACGGGATGACGGTCGGAAATTTGGATCCGGATAATCCAGTGAGTTTAAATTTGCATCTAACTAAATTACACCCCGCTCTTTAACTAACGAACCCACCCAAGGATAATCTCCCGGCCCGGAACGCCGTGGCGTTAGTCCGCCAATGTTCGGGCCTAAAATTCCTGGAGATCGAAGCCCTGAGCGCTCGTAATCTTCCTTGGATCATCTTTGTCCTCAATCTGGATGTCCCATCGGTCTTCCCCGCGTTGAGGAGTCTTCAGGTTCGAATAAGATCACACTTTCGGAGCGAATTGACATCTATGCAAACGACGAGTCTACAACGTTCACTAGTGACTTTTGCATTTAAGTATGGAACTGACATTAGAAGAATTTGGAAACATGAAGGGACTTTAAACGTTGAAGAGATATACCCCCTCTCTATATTGTGAAGGCAACAGATTTCTTTAAGCCTCCTGCAGGTCAACTTTGTTCCAGGAAGAGCTCCCCCAAAATTCGCCAAAATTCGCCAAAATGCCCTAACCTAGCGCTGCTCACTCTAGACGTGGCATATGGCTCGTCTTCTGCAGCATAAAATATTGTCGGATCGGCTATCACCTTGTGACTGTGAAGATCTAGCTGCATTGAAAATGAAAGATACATAGGATAGACATCACGAAAAGTGATTTGCTTGGCCTCCTAAGGCATTCTTGTCTGTAAATGTGGTATCGAGAAAGAAATATGTATATACAGTATCATCCAGTACACCCTCGTTAGAACGTTAGTGCAAGCCTAGTAAACCATCGCTTCAACCTAAAAACTCGGAGCTATAGGTGGGGTCCTATCTCCACAATGCCCTCGTAACATCAAGCTTTGACATGTAAGAAAAGAACTCCTCCCAGCCCCGCTTCTTAGCCCAATAGCTACTTGATTTAAATTCGTCGCCGAACCCTGTCGCCGATACCTTCCTAAGACTAACTTTATATTCACAATTTGGATTATCCCAGGGTCCTCGGATATCGATACGGAGATAAACATTGCTCAAGTTATCTCCATCCCCCCTCTTATTATTTTCCCTAACCTGATCGACCAGGAAATCGATCTTTAAACTTTCCAGTCTGGCATTCTTTTTCAATGAGTTTAGAAACTGCATTATTTCCTGTTTGGACACTATTTGTTCGCGAAAGGCGAACATATCGCATGCCACATGACGGGCTGATGTAGCGTTTGTTTTTAAGAAAGCGAGTAAACCGTCAACGGTTATTCCAGCATATTCTCCGACATCGAGTTTTTCAAGCCTGGGAAGTTGTGTATCCGTCGGAATCACAAAGCCTCCATTGCGTTGCAATTGTGGTTGTTGTTCAACCTGTTTCTCAGGATCACCGCGTAACCGCCAGACTTTCAGTTCTTCTACATTCTTTAGCATTGTAAGAAGGCAAAGTGAGACTGGTGGTGGTTTTCCTCTAGTTTTTGTTTTCGGTTTTCCTGACTTTTCGACTTCTGGTTCAACGATAACTTGCTGTTCCTCGGGCTCTAAGCATAAGTCGAATCGTTTGAGGTTTTCGAATGTAGCTTTGTAGTCGTCGACATATCGACAAACCCAGTGGTAATAAGCCTTCTCCCAACCATCTTTACTCCCATCTCTCAACCTAACCTGCATTGGTTCGAATTTCGAAATCATAAATCCAAAGTTCTGGGGTCCCCATGATGTATTCCCCACTCTAACTTCAGAAATTGTTCGTTCAGCTTGTGTAGCACAGAATAATATCGCGGGGCAAGCCGTCGACAATAGAAATGTCGGAGTCTTAGGTCTTAACCACGAGCACCAAGGCCATGCTCCTGACTGTAATTCTATCTTTGGATCGATGTATAACAACGCATAAAGGTGGTCGTTGTATTCTTTCCAGCGAGATAACATTTCCGAGCGTTCCACCATTTTGGGATTTGTATGTGAAAATGTTAAAATGCTTAGGCTTGGTAGTAATTTAAAAGTCTTTGTTATCCTGGTGAAGATAGTAAAGTCGTTTTCATCTTCTTCTGAGTTATCGACATGGGTTAGGAAATGTGTTTTGAAGAGGTTGTAGGTTTGGTCCAGGACGGTTTCGTAGCTTATTGCGGCTCTAGGATCGACTCTGCTGGTTGAAGCAGATGGCCTACAACTTCTTGGCGATACTACCAGACTATTTTGCCTTCGCATGTGGGTGCTAGACCAGCGGTGTATTCTAGCTCGAGCATCGGTAGGGTATTCTCGTGCGTCAGTGACGCAAGATCTTTTAGACCGGAGTCGAACAGTTGGAACACCGACGTCGAAGGTTATTTGTGTTACCCGCCCGGCGAGTATGGGATCTCGGACTAATCTTTCGAGTTTTTGAATGCTGTAGGAACAGAGGTAGTATGTCTTTTCTGCGTGAATGAGGTTTAGCCGCGACTGTGGGAGTTTTTGGCGGATTGTAGTGGATAAGAGTTGGAGTTTTAGGACGTCTTTGTCGGAGAGACGTTCGCAGATATCGAAGATTATGTCGTGTGGGAGTGAAGAGAAAGATGCTCTGGTGAAAGGTGGTACAGGTAGACGTGGACTGGTTGGAGACGTTATGGCCGCCATGATGGTTACAGGGTTTGTTACTTTTTATCCAAAGAATTTGTATGTCCAACCCTTGCTATAACCAGACTATTCCCCGCACTTTTTATACTCGGGAGTTAAGCGGTTTCAAATAAACGATATACGGTCAATGGAGAAATTAATATCTCGAAGGGATGCGGGGAATTAAAATTCGATTCGAAGATTTAGAGAAAAAGATATGCGTTGTCTAATATAAAAATGCAACAATCAATGTTGCCCTGAACTCGAAATATCCCAAAACCACTCAAGAACGAATAGAAAACAAAGCCACTGCACCTTCCTTCCTAGGCCTTTAAAAAAAGGCCGGTTGGTGGAAGGAGTATATATATAAACTCTGGTCTTTTCGAAGGAGTTCTCCTCTCTCTCTCCTATCCACTCAGTTCTAATAGGTATTTTCCGGGTGCCGAAGGCTTCCCACTCACCGCATGTACATCCTCCTTCCGCCCCCGTCATCCTACGGTATTTCGAAGCGCCCTTGGATATCCCTTCCTAGTTAGCGTGAAAGCAACACCTTACCCCATTTTCCCAAAATATCAGAAGAATATCGATCGATAGTGGTTCCTTTGTTCCTTCGACTCGGCTACTTATCCATTGCCACGCAAGCGTAGACGAACAGTTGGGATATGCACGTATGTGGTCAGGTTCTGCTTCAGACTGCGACAAGATGAAACACCGAGGCGTAGTGGTTTTCTCCCACGGGATTGGGAGTATTAAGTCAATTAGTTGGAATATATTAGCCTTAAAGCCCCTTTCTTGACCAGTTATTTTGGAACCTTTAGTTCCGTCGGCTGTGTTATAAAGGAGTTCTATAGAACGTCACTATTTTTCTTTTGAAGGTTCCCTAAAAAGGGTTCTTTAAAATCCGCTTCGACTTTTTTTAGACCGCTTTTGAGAATAGAATATTCCTAAGGTTGACACTGCTGACGACATCTACACGCATCGCCGACACAATCTTTCCCCTGTCGACACCCTTTTTAGGGATTCCCCTTCCTTTTTTTTTTTTTTTGGAGTTGCGGTTCGAGCACCTGCAAAGTGGCTGCTCCTGTTCCGTGATTCCCAATCCGTCGGCTGTCTTTTGCCATATAAGCTTACTATTTTGGGAGAACAACAATAAAAGGGGGTTTATGCAGCACAGGAGATCACAGTCAGCGTTTACGTGCGGATGAATTATTGATTATTATTAACTATTATTTGTCCGTAAAGATGAAAAAGAGCGGAGATTGGATAAAGTTATGCCCATGAAGATATCTTCGTGTTTGTGAGGGATTCATGATAGGATACATACGCTATTTAAATTTATAAGCTGAATCGATTGGCCATGTCGACTTCCTCGGTCGGAACAATTGTTAACAAAGTCTGGCTACGAGACTGGGCCGGAACGTGGTTGGTCGGTTGTTAATGTGACAAGAATATTTCCGCGCTTTGTGTTGTCGATCGTTAAAATACCACAGCCTTCTGCCGACCGCAACACTTTAATCCACACTCACAAATACATCACTATTAGCATGCTGTACACATAGAGAACCATACTCCTACAAACACTAGTTTTTTTTTTTTTAACTACTAGTTAGGTAATTAAGTAGCCTACTGTATAATACACACTCAGATAAGCTCTTAGCTGATCAGCACGGTGGTTAAAGGGAATATTTCGAAAATATGAGAGCGTAAAATTGAGCCAGGTATCAGTATTAACGAGAGTGATTGTTTAATTGATGTACGAAATTCACAAACTATAGAAACAATGAAAATGGCTGCTAAGTTTCAAGTTCCCATCCTCCAAAATGCCAGCATCTCTTCATCCTCCAAAAAAATGGGGACATTGGAACTAGAAGCTACCAGACATGAATAATTTCAGCCAACTAAAGTTTTTTTCTGTCTTCTCCCTGCCCTTTTGCGTTTTGTAAAAATAAGGATGATGAAAAATGAAAAATGAAAAAAAAGGGCCTGAAAAGCTTTGAAGGCCCGGTTCACATATATGCGGGGCCCCAATTAACCAGCTTATCGACCAACGTAGGATGCCGAGGTTGGGCAGGAACTGCTTCTACAGTCCACGATTTTTCCGACTTGAGTGACAATCACCGACCCATCAGGCTTGGTATGCGTTACGGTAGTAGTAGTTCGAGTGCACCTAAGCCATTATTAGATAAAAAGCTGGTTAAAGGTATATCAAGTAGAAAAGATTGGAAATTTGAATTACATCTTGATTCGTACTGAGAGAGTTGGTCTAAAGATGATCGGAATTGTTTGGGTTGAGGAGAATAGAATATCGTAGATTCTGAGAGCAGATTCCGAAGTGGAATAGTAGCAAGGAGGCCGGTGAAAGGTTAGAAAGTATGGTAGACTAAAATATCTTTTATCTATGAGGTGGAGGTTTAAAGGATGGGCGGGGTAGCTATGTCTGGAGAAAACGACATAAATATATACTCGAACTGATCTCGTTGGTACCAGCTGAACTAGCTTGAGAATGTGCCATCAAGGAATTTTCGATATCACTGAAATTAGAGCCGCCGGACAGGAGCCGTCGGATTTCAACCGTTGGTATTAACTGTATTCTACGAAGGACGGCAGAAACCGGGTCCTTTGATAAGAAGTGTCATAAATGATATGGATAAGTGAGGGGTAATTGTGATGGGGTTATTGATATTTTTGAAGCTGCATCAATGATAGCCTTGAGAATTTGATAACATAAGCCATTTTGTGGAACCATGGCATGCATGCATAGTAGAAGTCACAGTTGAGGAGTCCGGCGACGAGGCAGAGTAGAACTTTATAAAAGTGGAGCACCTTTATTTAAGGCAATAACCGAAAGACTCGTTCAGCTGGCATGCATGTCTAATTGGTTAGTCCACAATGCATCCTGGACGTTTTAGTAGTCTTTAACTAAGCCTTGTCTTCCATTGCATCAAAGCTATCCTGCCTGAAGTTCAGGATCTGTTTGGCCATGTGGGGAGATTTATCCATTCCATAATATGGATAGAAAACGCAATCGCAACTATTCCGGAAAAAGGCACCGAGGGTTGAGTAATGAAATCCTAACCTCCTGCTTCTTCCATAATCTTTCTGATTACCATCCGTAGAATCTGAAAGAATCGATAGGATAAGACACCGTTCTGGTGGTGGGTTTCCAGGTCGATGTCCGGCGAGTCACCGATACAAATCAGTATCATATCACAAAAGTTGAATTGAGTAATGTTTTGGCTCTCCCTACCAATTTTTTATGTGCTCCGTGGACCTGAGACTCTTTCTGTTGGGATTCTCTACTTGACAGTTTCGATAACTAAAATGGCTGATAGATTTCAGAACTAGGGTCTGTACATGTCGATACACACACTCTTAAGTTGACACAACGGCCAAAAGGCGTTTTGTTTGATTTCCACCTCCCTCCCACAACACTCAGACAACATCAGTTTGTAACAGGACTTGAGCCTCATCATCATCAGCCTTCCCTTCAATTCATAGTCCTGCCATCAGGCTTCTATCATCATTCTCATTACTTAGGCTTATTTGTGTCTATAAACTGGCAAGTTTAGTTCTATAATCACCGAAATCAATTCAAAATGGCAACTGCCGAACCATCTACCTTCGGCGGCGGGGAAACAAAGAAACCTCCAACCGTCACATCCCTGCGAGACCTCACGATCATAGAAGCATGGGACTGGGAAACAAACAAACCTAAATACACTACATTCTATCTCGTCACCGACGACGAGGAACTGTGGTTTGGTGAATCACCAAAGAACAAAAGAGAAATCACCATCGAAGAATATAATTCTTTACTTTATCGCGTCAGGGATAATGAAATATACCCCGAGATTCCGAAGGATGTGAAGATAACCATCGCACCTGACGTTTTGAGGGGCGGAGATTCGGTTTTCGTCAAACGGCCTGGGTTGGTTTCTTATGAAGCGATGAGGGGGACAGATTATATCTCAAATGCTCTTTTGAGTGAGACTCTTACTATGGAAGAAATTTCAAAGACACCTCATCCAGGTATTGTTGGGTATTATGGGTGTCGTGTGAGGAGGGGTAGAATTACGGCAATACTTCTTGAAAGACTTGGTCAGACGTTGACGCAGTATGAATCTACACCGAACCGGGAACCCCTCGACAAAGAAAAGTTCCTTGAGGCTTTTGAGTCGACTGTAGACTATTTACATTCTTTGGGGCTGGCTCATAATGATATTAATCCTGACAATATTATGATCAAGGATGGAATGCCAGTACTGATCGACTTTGGTGGATGCCAGCCATTCGGTAAACGGGTGACGTCGAATGGGACGGAGGGCTGGAGGGAGGAATTATTTTTCACTTCTGAGAAGAAACATGATATTTACGCCCTCGGGAAATTACGGGAATGGTTTCAAAGGTTGGAGTAAAAAATTTGGATAGCAATCTCGTGTACCGGTGCTTAAAGTTACAGGCTATGCTTTAATTCATTCTGTGATACTGATGGTACAGATAGTTTTGGAAATATAAGGTACACAGACCTCCAAATGTAAGATACCAATACTCACTAGCCCTTTGCTCCGCCGCTTCCCTCAGCATGTATTGTCATCCATCCCAATACCCGATATCTTGTGTCAAATTATCACCTTCAAAAAGCCCACAAAATTCTTCCCAACCACTCTCCTCCTTCCACTTAACCTCATTCTTCATTCTGTTCTCAAAAACTTTGATACCAGAAGTCTCTAAGCTCCCGGCTCTATATTTACAACCTTCGTCGCTTTTCCAATCACTTGCTTGAATTTCCACAAATGTATAGCAATGGTACGCATAATCCCTGCTATTTAAGAAGTCTATATTGCATGTTGTAAGGTCGAACCTTTCTCGAATATCTGTTATAAAACTGATAATTCCTGGGTAGTGAATATTTTCGGTAAGGGAGAAAGTCGATATTAACTCTTTCAATGAAGATTTGTTGGGTTCGATCAGGCTTTTTAGAGTTTTATGGTCCATGTGGACGTATATAGTCTCCAACCTTCGTAACCTAGGAAAACGTATATTCAATGGGAGACATTGAGGTTCCAAATGTCCATCCAACTTCGGCGACCCTCTGATCACAAATTCTTCGACGTTTTGTAATGTCACCCCGAATAAACGTGAAGGTGTCATGGGCGCCCCGGAATGGTCTCTTATGCAATAATCCCGCGCCAGGTATATTTCTAACCGTTTTAGGGTGGCGAACGTACGTTGATAATCCGAAAGATATTTATCTAGATGTTTATAATCTATGGAGCCAGGACTTGGTAAAGTGGTGGTACCGCAGTTGAAGGAATCGAAGTTTCTGATATCGGCTCCGAAGCTTGAGACTATGAGGTGTGGGAACTGGTTCGCTTTAATTTCTGATATCCGGCAATTAGCCTGTGTGGCGCAGTATAATACAGCTGTGTAGGCGACCTCGAGGTCGATCATGCTACCGAGTGGACCAAACCAGTCACCACAGGGTAGGTATTTCGATTCTGGATGCTTGTCGAGAAAACTTTTGAGCGATAAGTTATGTCTTACCCACGCCTGTGGGATTCTATATTCTGGACGTTTGGGTGGGTCCGATATTTTGAATTCGATGATGCTTAGATTCGGTAAGTGTCTGAATACTGCGGTTAAAGCATCAAAGAATGCCAACTTGTTGAACGGTAATAGACTATTTGTTGTTTTAGAAGAGAAATATGCGTGCTGGTCGTAGCGATCAGGACATTCGATATCTTCCTCGAGGATCCTGTACAGTTCTTTGAAGCAGTACTCTGGGTGACTTCCGGACGGTAAGTTGTCAGGTATGCTAACTTTCCTTGGATCTCGCGGCTTCCATATCCCGGACGCCATGTCTCGCATATTCCTCTCCTTATAAATTCTATGAAAAACCATCATCTTGGACTTCATATGCTCACTGTACCTCCACCTCCCTCTATGAAACTGCTCGGATGATATAAGCCCAACATAAGGATTTGAAAGATCAAATACTAGATGTCTTGTACGGGCCAAATCTTCGACCGAGCTAGTATTGAGGAGGTGTAGAAACCTGATCGCTTCGACATCTGTGAATCGTAAGGTTCGTTTTGCAAAGATTTTGTCCAAACGGGCTTTTGGTATGTTTGAAGATGTTTGCTTTGATACAAAACGGAGCTTTAGAATTTGTTTGTCGGTGAGGTGGTCGCAGATTTCATGGATTATGTCGTATGGGAGATTAAGGAAGGTGATGTCTGAAGACTCCATTTTTGGATGGTCCTACATTGAGAATTCGTGTACGAGATTTGAAGTTTAAGAGATTGATATCGTGTAAAAGATACGAGTATCAAGAAAGACTTAGTCCGGCCGGTCAATGCAATAAATTCGTTGCTAAGACTCAAAATGGGTCTCTGGGCGAAAGTACAACAAGATGTTGTGTTGTCCGACTGTATGTATACTTCGTATAGTACCTAAGTTGAGTAGCTAGTGCGAGTGCGTACAAGCGGGACAAGCGTAAACCGGGATATGTCGAAGAGAACAAAAACTATACCCCAGGCGATGTATCCGACATATTTATATCCTTAAGATACTAAGAGTCAATATTATGGAGTATCAAGTTATCGAACGTGTACATCCGAGCAGTTTTTTGCTCTGATAGTACAGAAAATTTCGAAAAAAGGGACTCGTACGTCTCAATTCGAAAGTCACAGGGCTTAATTCGATCCTCACGTTCGCGAGAACGCACAGCGCGGCGTTTAAGCTTAATTCTTCAACTAACGGTCTACAGTTTAAACGGCAGGGGTATCATATTGAAACTCGGAGGTCGGCGGTAATAAGCGGAAGTTAATAGTCTAATTCATAGTTCTTTCGAGGTTAGTCTCGAATTCCTTGCCTCCATGAGCTAGTAGAGCTTGTCTAGCTAGCTCCATGACGGACAGGTGTTGTCCAAGCTGAGGTGGCAGGGGGCAAACCCCAAGATGTGTTGTGATAGCGGCGAAAAAGTGTTGGTTCGATGGAGGGGCTTATCGATAGCGCAAAAACAGAAAAATAAAAAAACATAAACTAAAACATCCCACTTCAAACTTTTTTTTTTGATTTTTTTTTTTTGATTTGCCCTTCTTGCAAAAGTTTCTCTCCCCGTGTCTTAGTAATTGCTCTTAGACTTGGTGGGTGTGGAAACAGAGTTTCTTATTATGACTAGGAAAGAATTATAATCGACTATTACTCATAACAACCACAACTGGGCGTCGAGGCTATAAAATACCCTCATAATACCCGCATCAGAGCTCAGTTTCCTAGCTGTTACATAGTACTTACTTACTTGGTTACCATAAGCAACTAAATATTTGTCATAAAATCCGCTCAAGAACGTCAAGGCAACTTTCAATCTTCAACTTCAACAACATCTACAACACTTTCTACCCAACAATCAACATCCACAATGCCATTCCTCGAGAACGAACCCCCTGCTGAGGCTGAGGCCACTACCACCACCACCACCTCTGGAACCGATCTCTTCCAGTCTGTCGGTGCGGCTGCTGAAGCTACGGACGCCAATAACGATGAGGACCGAGTTGTTGACCAAATCGAGTCTCTTTGCATGAACTGCCATGAGAATGTAAACTCACCTTTTCTTCTCTTTGCTCGATTTCCATAATGTACAAAAGTCGATCGATCTAACTAGAATAATACAAAAAAGGGTACCACCAGGCTTCTACTCATCTCCATCCCTTTCTTCCGAGAGGTCATCCTCATGTCCTTTGATTGCCCCCACTGTCACTTCAAAAACTCCGAAGTCCAAGCTGCAGGCGAAATCCAACCACGTGGTGTCAAGTACACCTTCCAAATCGAAAAACCAGATGATTTGCAACGTCAAGTCGTCAAATCCGATAGTTGTACTTGCAAGTTCCCTGCTTTGGAACTTGAGATCCCCGCTCAGAGAGGGCAGCTCACGACCGTTGAAGGGTTGTTGAGAGGGGCCTTGGAGGATTTGGAAACAGACCAAGAGAAGAGAAAGGACCTTGATAAGGAGAATTTTTATAAGATCGAGGCTTTCTTGGAGAAGGCGAAGAAGATGTTGGAGGAAGATGTCAATAAGGGGACCTACCCTTGGACCCTTGAGCTTGATGATCCAGCTGGAAACAGTTGGGTTCAACCTATTATCGATGATCTTAGAGGGAAATGGACTCGTACAGATTATCCTCGAAGCCGAGAGCAAAACGAGGCTTTGTCGCTCAACCCGGATGAACAGCCCGAGCAAAAGCAGGAAATATCCACCCTCAGCGCTGGAGACAATGTTGAGATCAATAAAGACGAAGTCTATAGCTTCCCGGCTAGCTGTCCTACCTGTACCATGCACGCAGTTACTAACATGAAGATGGTGGATATTCCTCATTTCCAGGAGGTCGTCATCATGAGCACTGTCTGCGACCATTGTGGATGTATGACACCCTTTGCCAAGACTTGTTCTCGATATATACTAATATTTAAAAATAGACAAATCAAACGAGGTCAAAACCGGCGGTGCCGTCCCCTCCAGGGGTCGTCGAATCACACTCAAGGTTTCAGAGCCCGAAGATCTTGCCCGTGATATCCTCAAATCCGAAACTTGCGCCCTTTCAATCCCAGAAATTAAACTTGACCTTACCCCTGGTACCCTTGGAGGTCGCTTCACCACCTTGGAAGGTCTGTTGGCTCAGGTTTATGAAGAATTGAAGGGCAGAATCTTCGATGGTGATGAGTCGGACAGCATGGAACCCGCGGAGAAGGCTAGGTGGGAAGGTTTCTTTGGAGGATTGCTCGCTGCCAAGGAAGGAAAGATTCCATATACAGTTATCCTCGAAGATCCTTTGGCAGCGAGTTACCTGCAGAACTTGTATGCGCCGGATGTGGATCCCAACATGATTACTGAGGACTACGATCGAACTGAGGAGCAGAACGAAGACCTCGGGTTGAATGATATGGTGACCGAGGGGTATGAGCAAGAAGAGAAACAGGATGAGGAAGAAAAGTCGTGACAGAACCTGTGAAGAAGAAATAAAATGGAATAGAAAGAGCATTCTCGCAGGAGACTGTAGACATGAATTCATTCACAGGCGGCGATTTTCTTATACCCAGGTTGTTGGTTTTTTATAGATCAGAAGAAAAGTTTATTGGGTTAGCGGCTTTTATATTAAAAGAGATTGCTATATTATATCAGTATCACGGCGACTGGTAACAATAAATTATTTTTTTTAATAGGGGGTACTGTTGCTGCGCCTACTAACGGCTGGTTAGATATGGATGAATTACAACTGACGCATTTGCTATTCAAATCAGCAGTGAAGATCAAATCTAATTAATGTCGTATATATGAAAGTTTTCGCGGGACTGTTTCCGGAGGCTTCGCGGGCCCGAAGGTTTATTAATAACCCCGTTAGTTGGTTCGAGATAGGAATTAAATACGAAACTTGAAAAGAAGATATGGCTTTGGCGGTTTCTAGACGACCAATTTAGGCGATCCCGGCTGGTGGCTTTTCATCGGTTTGGGGAGTTTCTAGCCGTTGTAGAAGGTAGTCTACCTCTACATCCTTTGTCAGAGGAATCACGAAGTCCTATTTAACAGAAATTTGTTAGCAATGTGCTCTTAAACTTCATAAAAGGTGGAATCCGTAGATGTGTATATACTACATACCCTATACATCCTAACCACAGCCTCAACATCGATTTTTTTAACCCCAACATCATCATCTAAACCTCCCTCACCAGGCTTCAACGTAGGATCCCTTCCATAAATCTGAGTCTTATACCGCAACCGTCTCAAAACCTCCTCTTCAACTTTTTTCTTGGTAATCCTATTCCCGATTTCTTCCGAGTTTCTTTCTTTGATCAATTTTGTAAACCCCTCAGTATCATCCAAGAACTTCGCTTCGGCGACAAACTTGCCGAAATGTATTCTTCTGGACAGAGCCTGTAGAACCGCTACATCAGCCACAGCCGTTGATCCATAGTTTTCCATCTGTTCGCCTCTATCGCCCGATTTATTACTATCCACACCCTCCGTGCTCTCGACCGCACTGCGACGACATATCGCAGGTAGAATACTATTAACGTAAACCTCCTTGATCCTTGTGTTTATATTAACATTATTCGGATGTAATAATTTCGGATAAGCCAATGGCTTTAAAATCGGTTCGACTTGCTTGACTTCAGGGAAAAAAGGGTATTCATCTGGTGCTTGGTATCGTCGGACTTTTGCATAGACGGATTCTTGTTGGTAGAGCATCCATTCCATGAATGAACCGTTGAAATCGGGAAGTGGCAGGGATGGAGTAGGGGTGTAGATTGTTGGATTCAAGGGGAATTGAGCGCGTTCGATAAGGTTGAAGATTATTGTGTCTTCTAGCCGACTGTTGGTTCGCATTGGGGAGTGGTTAGCTTGGAAACAGGGGCATGGGGGGTCTTGGAGACGTTGAGAGGGTTACGGACATGAGTTGGTAACGGATATAGTTCAGATCTAAGGCCTTGGAAGGGTCGAGGAGGTCGATTGTCGAATCCATTGTTGCTGTCGCTGTGGTTCTAGATAATATGTAATCTACCTGGTCTCAAGGCCGGGATAGTAGCTGCGTGTATTCAGTTATGAAGCTCAATTGGATCGATACAAGATGGAAGTTGGAGGCCGTCAAGGGGGGATGTAAGTACAATGGAAAAGAGCGACGCGCGGTGACATAGAAATAAAGATGGTGGTAGTAATGGTCATAGCCATGGCTGAATTGGTTGGCTGTATTGAAAGAAAGACAGAGCTAAACTTAGCCGCCGGTGCGACGGTGGAAAAAGGGCATTTGGATGTTGCGCTGGTTCCGTGGTACGTGACAGCTCCCCCTGCTTAGCCGAAAACGGGCGCCCCGTACGGCCGAGATCGGAGATAGCGGAATGACACACGGTCAACGCATATACGGCGCGCCATGAAGTTGACAAACACGGATTTTTAGATTAAGATGTTCAGGTCTTACTAGTGATAAAAGGTTTATGACAATTTTAAGATCGATATGCAATTTAGTTTTAAAATTATGGCTGGCGTATTCCCGCACATTCGCTAGACATTCCATGCATTGATTAGGCCAGTACCATAGTTCCATTTAAACGCATTTATAATGGGAATGTGCTCCACGTTAGCTAGCTCAGTCAGCTGAATCATGCCTTTAAACTTCATCCTCTCGCTTAGGTTTTAGCCTCTCCTCCTTTCTTTGCTCACAAATAGCCTCAATCTCTTCAATGGGTGCCTCCCAGTCAAGAAATTTAAAACTGCGTGAGCCAAAATTTAAACTCATATCCGCCGGTCCTGTATATGGCCAGCGAATACCGGGCCTCCATCGAGCTCGCTTGGAAACTTTGCAAATGGCCCCAACTAGACGGCCATCTCGAGTAAAATAGATCTTCCCCGTGGGATAATCAAATCCAACGCCTAAAACGCCACTGAAGCGGTAGTTGGGAAACTCCCAGTCCCATACTCGGGCCGTCGGAAACTCAGCATAGTTGTATACAAACCGACCAGCGGAATTCCAATAAACTGTTAGTCTGCTATCCCTATACGGCCATTGCTTTGTATCGAATGGTGAGGCCATTAGCCCAATCTCAAAGCTAGAATTCAGAGATATCCATTAGTTCTGCCATAGAAGATGGGTCTTTAAGCTTCCAAAGCTAGCAGAATTTGGACTTCTTACTCCACAGTCCATTCTTCGGTATAAGAATATAGAGGTTTTGACGTGAGAGTTGCCTCAAAGTAGAATCGCGAGGGCACGGGAGATATGAAATTGTCAGCTAGAAATATGGATGCATCTTATGTATTGATAATTATGGGTTAGTTCCGCAATCAGTCGAGCCCACTTGTAATAATCAGGTGATAGCGTCATTAGGGTACATACCGTTGGGCGCATACCTGTCAAAGCATTTTATTCTAAGTTTGTCTGAATCGAGCTTAACATTGCCCGTCCCAACTTCCCAGTGGTATTCCAACCTTGAAGGGGTTGGAAGAGGCCCCATATCGAGCGCGGGCTTGGTAGACTCATTCCAAACCTCATTATAGACGGTCTCCATATGAAATTTATTCCATCCATTGTCATCTTCATATAGCGGGTTAACGCCTCTCGTATTTAATATTTCATGAAGGTCTTCCCAATTCCCTTGTAGTACGAGGCATTGTAGATTCGCGAACATCCTAGCATATTTTTCTGTCCCTTGGATGTCTCCAAGTAGTGAAACTAGAACGTCCTCGCCTTCTATGACATCTCTAGCCTCGCTATGAACTGTAGGGGTCTCTGTGGCCGGTATCCGACGATGGGAGCATTCACTCGTCATAGCTTTCTCGAACGCTCTTCCATCAACCAAATAGTGAATCGCCGGAAATCCCTCTGTAGATTCAAGCTTGACGTCGGGACGATAACGGAGAAAGAACCTGATCAGATGAATATACCCTTGGCTTGCGGCTGCATGAAGAGGTGTGAAACCATCAGAAAGATTCTGACCGTTTAACAAAAGCTGCTGTTGCTCTTCGCTGAGAGATGCAAATATAGTCTCTATTACCTCAATTAAATCCTTTTGCTCCTTGTCGCATCTTAAGCTGCCACGGCCCACCGCATAGTGTAAAATATTTCGATGGTCGATGTCGCAAGACAGTATGACTGAAAAATGATATTCCTTTGGTTCGTTCCTTTGTTGAAGGACATTGAGAAATTGTAATAGAAATGAGGGCCTTTGATGTTGAAGCGCCATTGCTAGTGGCGTTGCGAGGCTCTTCGTCCGAGAATTCAGATCAATAGAAGCGGACTCAAGTTTCTGAAGGATTAAAAGATCGTTTTCAACTTTGCTATCGCTGATATCACAATACCAGGGCCTAAAGTGCGTATGCCAAAGTTCGTTATCGAAATGACCATCTGGATAGTCGAGAACGTTATCCTGAGAACAAAGTGTATGCAGTGCAGTTTGGCCTAGTTCGTCGTCGTCCTGGATATCTGCACCGTATCTCAAAGGTAACTCCACACCTTCCAAATTTCCAGTTTCAACTGCGTATGACAGTGGCGCTCTGCTTTTGTTATCCTATGCGTTGACGGACTGGTTGGATTGTATAAATTTCGTTGAACAAAGATTCAAGGTTGCCGAATATCTTCATCCTATTGTCAACTCGTTGGAATAGGACGTGCATGACGGAGCACCCCGATTTATCGACTTGGTTCAAGATCCCAGGGTTCCCCCTTATCAGCTTCTGGAACAGGTTAAGATAACCAATCCTGGCTACAGCAAACAAGTGCTTGCTCGCAGACTTAGAACTTCCATATCCTAGGTCCAACAAGTCTTCGAAGATATTGAAATCGTGTTCCATAAACGTGCTAAAGTTGGGAGTTAGCTTTATCTTCTTTACTAAACACGAAAATATGGCATCGCCGTCGGCATTCGGGTCAAATGGTGCGCCTCTGGCGATTAGAAGCCTCAAAACCCTCCATCTATTAAATCTATAGGTATAATCCGACTCAGTTTCGATGAACGATTGCACCGCTTCTACAAAGAATATTTCAAACGCTTTTATCGCATCCCTTTTCGCTGACACCGATTGCACATCAGAATCTTTTAGCATTAGGATATCAAGGAGACTGGGTGGTGGTTTTAGTAGAAACCTGCCAAATACGGCGTCATCTACCAACTTTTCGTACTTATCAAGAAAGGGGAGCGTTAGGAGGACCGTCATTATCGCTGATGTCGTCAACTGAACAGATGAATTGCTCGTAAAAAATCGAAGCGCATCAGATATTTGGCTGTCGGATAGGGTCCCATTCCCGAATCCCAAAGATTCGCTGCACGATATCACGACACAAAGACTTAGAGAGTCTGGCGCGTCCCAATTATCAAAGCGTGGCATTCGATTTGAGAGTAACCTGTAAAGCTGATTATAATCTCTACTTCTAAGGTCTGTGAATACCATATGGGGTTCGTGTACTAAGTTTTTAGTGGGCCAGCCAGCCGCATAACAATACAGTTCTATGAGATATTCGCACCCTGGAAGCCGAAGGAGAGCACACAGAGGCGAAACGGGGATCTGGTAATGCCGATAAAAACCGTGATCGCCACTGGCGTCAACTTTGAGGTCTTTACCTCGGCTTTGGCTGAATAAGCACCAAGAATACCAGGACTGCCAAATATTTTTTTTGTGTGTAAGTTCAATAAAAAGTTCTCGCAAAGTCATCCAGTCCGGGTCACTCTGGACTTTCTTTCGAGAGTAATATGTTGCGAGAGCTTCTAAATGATTCCAAAGATATACAGTCTCATAGCGTAATTTTCGAATCCGGGAGGGTCCATCCACTCGTCGACTCTTTTTCGGAGGAGAGGGGGCACTCTTCTGGCGTCTTGGGTCGCCAAACGTCTGGATTAAATCTTGTGGAGGATCCCATGGTAGATGTTGCTCTTGGAAGTTGGGGTTTGTGATTGCCCGGACTATATACATACCAAAAGCATATAGAATCAGCCAAGGGAGATGTGGTAGCGCAAGTCTATGGTGGAAGCTTACGACAATCTATCGCAATCGATAAGTGTGATTTTTCTTTATTAAAAAGCGACGAGAGTTCATGGTGACCAGACGGCATACCAGACACTTCGCATATATAAAGGAAGAAAAGCCGGTTTCAAAATTAGTACGAAACTCACTCAGGCTGACGAAAAAACAAGATCTTTTTAGGGTCTAGGCTTACCAGGAATTTGCACTTCAAAAACTAAATTTCCCCCGACTGAGTTTAACACTTTAGCTTGCATTTGAGTATTTGGCAAAGCTTTCTCTAGATTAAGGGGTTTTTGAACCCATTCTCTAACAGTTAAGTGTACTGTAATAGGCTCAGTTTCTTCAACAAACGTGAAGAAATTCCTCCCAACTATCCTGAGATGGTTTATTGTTTCCTGAATCTCGGGGTCTTTTGAAAGGTCGGAGTAATCAAAAGCCTTGTAGGACTCCTCGATAATGTTCCGCAATTTCGAGAGCCGTAATATCTGAAAATGACCACGCAATCCACTGTAGAGCGAATATGATGAGATGTCGTTGACTTGGTTTCATTCCTTCTAATGATCTCCGATATATTTCGTCTACGCTCGAGGGTAGGTTTTTGATCCTTGCTTCTAAGCTCATCCTAGATGGCTCTTGTAAACTGGCAACGACCATATTGGCATATGCAAAGTCTCCTTCGACCTTCTTTTGAAGTTTGGGCATATATTTTGTTGCTTCGGCTCTAGTGGCATCTTCGTTACTTCGGTCCTTTATCCTGGTCAATATAATTTCTTCAAGCTTTTTCCTGAGGAAGAGTTCCATCTCGTTGGAACTGTCCTGTGGCATTAGGTTGAGGATACAAAACCTTTCAACCCCAGATCTTTCAAGTTCATTCTTAATACCGATTTCTTCCCTAACCGATACAAGAACTTTGATTGTCGGCGTTGGCGCGAGCACAAGATTCTCGAGGTTTTTTAGTAGTCTGATTTCGCCTCTGTCGTGACATTCGTCGAGAGCATCAAGAAGAAAATATATCTGAACCTTGAAAATTTTCGATATCGCCGTGATATAGTATCGGATCATAGCACACTTTCTCTTACCAGAACCTGTCTTATAGTCCCGAATATCAAATTCGTTTTTACCGTCCAGAATCTTGTTCAGCAGCGCAGGGACGCGGGAACTCCCTCGTTCTTTGATAATCTTGATCACCTGAAGAATAAGACTTTCAAACGCCCTAACACCCGATTGTAGCTCGTTATCGCCGAGTTTGAAAAAGAACCGTACGACTAATACCTTTTCGTCGCCGGTGTGGCACCTGAGAAGACTTTCGTAGGCGGATAACATGGTCATAGTTTTGCCATGTCCCTTTCTTCCATTGATACAAAAGACATCCTCAGCTTTATGGAGGCCCTGCTATCTTTTGTAATCACCATTTGCGAGAATCCAGGAATTTTCTGTGAGAGCAGAATCTACCATTTTCTTATTATTTAAACCGAGGAGAAAGTTCTCGAGAGCGGAGGAAGGTTGGAAGACTTCTATGTATCGAGTGAGAATATCGTCAGGCGTTTCTAGGGCCGCTGTTACGCCCTCAATGATTACTTTGGTAGAATGCTGCATTGTGGCTTCAACTGTTTCCACAACCATTTCGTTGCCTTCTTTGATTTTTTCTAAATTGGACAATAACTCGTTAGTTCCTGATAATACAGCTGTTTTTTCTATGTGTGGACTACCTTCTAATCGTTCTGTGCTGGTCTCAATTGCATTTCGTAGCATCTCGTTGCCTTCTTTAATACTATCTATGAAGCCCCAATTATTAGTACTACCTAGTAGCTAAAGATCTCGTGGCCTTGGGGCTTCCGTAGATGAGCTATTCTACCTTGTATTTGTTGAACTCCTCGTGAAATACGGGATTCAGTTGCTTGGAGGGCATTGTCCACTATAAGTTGTCGTGAAATGTTTCCACAGTCAGTATTAAGGGAGGCTTTTGCAATCAAAACCCTCTTCGAAGCTCATAGATATCAGGCTAGGGCAAGGCCATGATATCATGACATCCGCTTATGTTCCCCAAACCAAAACAAAGCGATGTACTCACTCTTACTCAGCATCTATATCGGATTTATTCGTTGTTAGCCTCGCTAAAATAATCTTAGCTGAAAATCGTCATTGATCAGGGAAATATTTAAATACCTTCGTTATGAATAATGGTAGCCTCTTGGAATAAGCTAGAGACTAAAGTTTGGATCTCTTCGTAAAGGCCTTGGATCTCTTCATGTTTTGATTTTATATCCCCAATAATTGCCTCTCTGAATTTTGCTCCGACAGTCTTGGCTGCTGATTTGATCTTTTGACCAGTTTTCACCGCACTAGACTTGACCTTTTCGCTGAAGCCTTGGGCTTGGGAGCTAGAATTGGTGACTTCTAATTTGTCACACTGCAGTTAGTCTTAACCTCGAGAAAAAGATAGTCTCATATAGATAATCCCATCTTGAAGAGAAATAACTAGCCTTTGTCCCATTGAGGAGAGAGATGGTACTGCGTATGCCAGCTGAAGTCGAAAATTGCGCAAGCAAGCTCTTGTAGCTTCTTAAAAGCCATTTGTTTCATCGATTTGTCTCCAGTGCCCTGAGACACATCATGCAGATACCGTTTCTCTACCAAAAGTGTAAATAATGTAATTGTGACGATGCTGTCAAATGCGTCAACGATTATTTTACAAGTTATTAAATCATCATATACGATCTATCAACCGTACTATTAGCGTAGGTTCCCAATTGAAAAGTACAGCGTCTTAGGCTTCAAGATCTGGGGTCGCTTACTTTTATGATCATCCCGAGTCCTAACCAAACTGCTGATACTGACTCTGGCGCACGAGAGAGGATACCATCCACAGCTTCCTTGAAAGTATTCAGGGTTTCAAGAATGTTCCCAATTTTGTTTTGCCTTTCTTCGCCTCCATACTTCTCGGCTGCAAGACCTCTGGTCTCTTCGCAGCTATTAAAGGCTTGATCCAATGGGTACTTCTTGAAAAATTTTCTTCAAACGGTCCTTTTGTTGGTCTTCCGGGATCTTTTCACTTTTCCGTATATTCTCCTCAAACTTGTCGCGGCCGAGTTTCCAACATATCGATGTGTCGAATGTAACATCCTGGATCCCCGGGTTGCTCGCCATGTTGACGCCGGGCCTCGACCGAGACGGCCCTCAGTCGCAACTTGTTAAATCCGCTTGTAGGTTTAAATCGACAGCAGCGTCTGCTAGGTAGCTATAGGCAAATTTAATGTATTAAATGTAGTTACAAGTTGAAAAGTATTATTTAATTAAACTATCGACCCAGTGGGCTACTATATTGGCATTTAAATATTTGATCTCTTGTATCTCACTGCCATAGAGCTCGCGGGCGGGGTAATGCATTAATTTCAAATTGCTGCATGCAGAGCTGCACATGTGCACGGTGCTGAAGTATCAAGATATGGATAGATGCGGGGTAGAGCGATAAGCAAATAATTCCAGTAACTTATGAAGCACATTTAGTTGCGCGAAAATAACATCTTCAATAGCATCCGTTTCTTAACCCTAATGTATTGGTACATATATACAAAATTATACTCGGGTACGATAGGTTAATGTCATGGCATGCACCTCATGATAGCCAAGACCATTGGATGCCAGCAGCATACAACGCAGCAAAATATAAAACGTTCAGTTGAGTACAGACTGCGTGATACAAAGCACTTTAAGTAGTCGAATTAAGATTAAGATAATCAAAAGAGAAAAAAAACACAGTCTATTAACGCTAGTTCTGGCTTCTAGTTCGCCTTGAAACTGGCCTCTGGTCAATATCTTTAGCTGCAATCACCCCTGTTGAAGTATAAATCTTTCTCCTGGTAACAAGTACCCTTGTAACTTGATTATACGGATCTGGTCCTAGATCTTCGACAACCTCCCCATTTCGAATAGCTTGTTTCCTCTCCTTCTTTTCGAGCTTCTCAGCTGCTGCCAATTCATGCATCTTGACTCTCAGCCGAACAATTTCTCTAGCCATTTCGTCTTCCTTCAGCTTGAGTTGCCGCTTTAACTTAAGATCCTTTAACTTAGCCTTTTGGTTCTGTTGATTCCGTAGTGCTAAATTTCTATGATCTCTTAAGATCCTGTAATTCAATCTCTCTTTCGTGCTGGCCTTTCGCGAAGACGACCCACTCGTGAATGCGGCGCCAAAGTGGATATCAGCTTTGCTCTTGTTCGCGGCCTCGGTTGGATCTCGTGGTATAAAAGCGCAGTTGCACTTCCCGTACAAACCACCACAACGGAAACAAAAGTTTGTCTTGCAACTTTTTCGTTCAAAGTTAAGTAGTTAGTAAAACCTGCGCGGGGTGGGTAGCTCGGGTCAGCGTAAGGGAATCTGAAAAACTAACAGGCATGTCATGCTATTACACCCCGAAACTCTGAAAACCAAGCGATTACACTTTGGACACTGCGTCCACCCCTCCTCTTTAGCGAGCGCCTTCAATTTCTCTGTCTCAGGATCTTCCGGGCATAAGTCATCATGCATCTCCTTCCGACATATAGTACAAGTCAATTTATCGCAACTACTGCAATAAGCCGCGTCTCTGCCAATATCACTGAAATAGATATCTCCCTCGCAAGAAAAACAAGGAATAATCTTTGTGGACTCATGGGAGCTCTGAATTTCCAAAACGGCTTTCATTTCTTCATCTGTTAACACGAATGAAGTTTCTGAGAATGAAAGACCTTGGCAGCACTTCGCTGGGTGATTCTCGGGATTATTGATTACATGCTGATAATTTCGACGCAAACAATCGCGGCAATGTCGATGGCCGCAGTTTAAACGCTGAAGCTCGTAGCCAGGGAAGCTGTCGCCGCAGATAGTACATTTGCCATTCCTTTCGGGAAAGAATGGTCTTTTAGTAACATTCCGAGTAGACGCCCAGCGAAGGGCAACGGCATGTGCATGTATGAGATTTGATGCCTCGGCGGCTGTAGTTGGATCCTTGCCTAGACCGGGCAACCTACCGCTTCGCAAACTCATGGTGGCCTGGTGTTGGCATATAATGGGAAGAAGTGATCAAGTTAAACAAGGGTTGGGTGGGAGCTAAAGCTAGGACCAAGCTAATGCAGGATCTAACTTAGAGGGTTTGTTCTGTTGTCCTAATCTGGAATATCTAAAGAAGAGGAACGGCCAGATTATCGCCTTTTTTGAGTGCATTTCTGGCCGGCTTTTATATTTCGAAAAAGTGCCATCCAAATCACAGGATCCACCCCGTAAATTCGAAATTCCAAAGGAAACCCGTTCCTTGCTGGATCCTGCGGCTAACTCTCAGACCGAAACATCGCCGAGTATCGAGGGACATGCCAGGCAAATCCGGAACAGGGATCCGGTATGATCCACCACCACTCACCGAAGTCAAGGCTGGTGCACCTGGCGGATCCGGCCCACCGCAACGCACTTTTCGCCAAAAATCCAACAGGCTTTGTTTAGTGAGAGCACGCCGGCTTCATTTCTGGACAACGGTACCCACGTGCAATCGTTTGAATTTACTGAAACTGTCCAATAAAACGAGCTATTACATTAAAAATTCAAATTTTTGAGTCTCTGGAACCAGTATGTGAATATGATATTCATATATCGTCCACAAAGTGCAGCTTCGCGGAGGGCGAACCTAAAAATCCGTAGATGATGTTAACCTTCCAGGAAACAATATAAAATGATTGTGCATCATTTATATACTTAATGTATGTGACAAGACCATCATTTTATAGCCAAAATCAAAAGCTTAAAGAAAGTCAGGAAAACCAAGAAAATTCCGAACTGAAAAACAACAAGGAGAGAATGCGAGACAGGAATAAAGAAAGCAGTAAGAAAAAACAGAAAGAAAGAAGCCGAAGCAGGCGAAAAGAGTATTCTTTAAACGTTTTTCTAAAACATCAAGTATCAAGATACTATGAGCGAGTTAATCAAGACTGTTGCGGATGCCACCGTCGCGTTGACTTGCGAAACCATGAGACCACTGACTTCAAGCCAGGCCCTATCTTTCGAAGTTTCGTAAAAACCCGCCTCGCTACGCCAAAATTTTCATATCAGCTGACTAAATTTCACTATTAAGACTTGGAAGCTAGAAAGTGCCGTTTAGTATATAAACCATCTGGCGTCACGGCATAGAATAAGTACCTTTGTTTCTTGGAAGAGTGGGTCTTTTCTTCTGAACAGGGCTTTGAACAACCTCCATTGTCTCCTTCTCCCCCACAGATTGATCAACGCTCAGAGTCTCGTCATCTGTTTCAACCGTAGCCTTCTCGCAGTCCCCATCAAGTTTCTGAGTAACCCTTTCTCGCTTCAACCTTGCCAGCTGGGCTCTGAGATCGCCAAGCTCCCGAACCATTCTTGAGTTATCCTCGTTTTCCTGTTTAGCAGCCATAATTGAACTTCCCAACTCGAGAAACCTCGTTTGTTTCTTAATCGTTGCCCTTTTATGTGCATAGAGCAGTTTTTTGTAATTTCCTTTGATAGGAGTAAAGCTATCTGCGGTTGCTGGTTGAAACGACTCTCCGAAGGTTATTTTTCTAGGCTTTACCTTTTCGATGCAACGACAACCCCAACCATCCTCGAGTCGAATTGGCTCTCCACACTTGCTACAGAAGCTTTGTCCACACCTATCGTAAAGTTTATAAGCAAGCTGCGCCTTCTAGATAGGATGCTGTCGGCGAAAAGATTTAAAGCATTGGGTCATACTTACTCGCAACTAATATGGTTACACCCTCCGCTCTTCTCTATAATGCGATTACACTTGGGGCACTGGTTCCATTTCGCTTTTATGGCGGCTTTCTGAAATTCAAGCATTCCTTGTGACTCCGGGCATACATCTTTGTGCATCTCCTTTCGGCAAGTTGTACATGTAAGTTTATTACAGCTTAAACAGTACGCCGCCGACTCTGAGATTAAGGCCTTGGCGTCGAACAGGTCCTCTCCGCAATAGGCGCACGGGATAATTCTTGTTGATTCATGCTGGGCCTTCGCTCGGAGGAGGCTTTCGATTTGTTCCGCGGATAGATTAAATGCTGTGCTTTCAAACTCGAGAGGCTGACAGCAACGTGGTGGGTATCCGGTGGGGAATTTAAGAACCGTTTCGTAGTTTATAAGTAAGCAAGTGTGGCAGTGAATATGGCCGCATTTGAGTGTCACCGTTTGATAGCCCGGAATAGTTGACTCGCAGGTGAAACATACGATGTTCTCCTCCTGGGGATAGGTTTCAAGTGGCTTTGGGAGCAAATCCGGATTGACCCTAATCTTTAGACGTTTCGATGTGGCTCTAGTGCGTCCTTTCCAGGTTCCGATAGTTCTAGCTCTAGCGCCTTTGGCCGTGAATTTTCGGGTTCTTCGGGTATTCTCGATTAAGTCAGCCCATCTGAGGTCGACTGCCAGCTGGCTAATCTGTTGCTCTAGATCCTTCTTTTGTATTTCATGGGTGCTCAATTTTGCAATAGAAACCTTAGAATTTACCCTAGGAGCCATGTTGTTTGTGGCCTAAGCCTTCTTGTTAGCGTTCGTTCTCTGCTCAATAATGATTGAAGTTGATGGACGATTGATGATGAGTTTCTAGGACTGAAGAGTCTCAGTAGAGGTGGCACACTTCTAATATGACACGAAGATCCCGTGGCCTCAGTCGTGAGTAGCATAGCCCTATCGCTATATACTTAGAAACGTGGCGACAGCTTTGTTGCTATGCGACGACGATCGGTCTGTTCGATATTGGGCTAGGAGTCACTACCACGTTACCATAAATAGCCAGCATCTTTTATAAAACTGTTGAATTCTAACTCCTTGATTGTGTAATATATACTATACATGCTGTGAAGAACTATTCTGTTCCCGCAGCTTCTTTGTTCCATTTGGATATCCCATTGTTAATAGAAATAACAAAGTCAGGGTCTAGTGCATCATCTTCAAACCCAGTCTCAGGTTCCCACTTCAACCATTCTTCCGCCCGGCTGCCCATCCCTACGATTAGGCCTGGGGCGATGTCGAGTACTCCAGATGGCTCTCTCCTTGCGGGCGCTCTATAGAACACTTTGGCCCCGCAGACACTACAGAATTCTCGAATGACCGTCCCGGGTGTGCTCTCGTACGATTTCAACGTACCTTCGTTAAAATGCATAGGCTTTCCGTCGTTCCAAACAAGATTTGCCTTCGGAGCATATATCCACGTATTAATTTCGAATCCCGAACATAATCTACAAGATTCGCAGGAACAAATGCCGGTTCTATATTTATTCCCCGCCAACCACCAAAAACCGTCGTTTTTGTCCAATTTATTTGGATCTGGTCCTGGGATATGAGGATTTGGTAGCGTAAGGTAGAAGTCGACGCCGCCACAGTGGCATCTGCAGCGTAGCTTTTCGTCGGACCCGAGAAACTTGTGTTTCTCGGCTGCCGCAACAATCTTTGACTTTGTTTTGTAATTCCTGATGGTTTCGTCTGTGACCATTTCAATTTCACCAGTTCCCCCCCGGCCATTGGTACGATAGTTTTTGACTTTCTTCCCTTTATGCTCGGTGAAATATGCCCCGAAGCCTCCATCCCCAGTATCGTCGGACCAAATATTCAACCTCTCTACCAAGTCCCCAGTCTGATCAACGATCCCTGTCATAACATCCCAGCAATCAGACTCAATAGTGCAAATATGAGCACCGCATGTTCCACAGAAATATCTAGGTAAGTTTTCAGATGTCTTGTACTCGACAAGGTTGGATACATCTGGTTTTGGGATACCCAGGAAGTAAGGGAATGATATGGTGCCTGCAGTTAAATTACCAGTGGTATGACGGCAGGTATTGCATTGACAAAGAGCATAACGGAGTGGAAGTGCTGATCTGGGGACCTCTATAGTGAATTGGTTGGATTTGCAGTGACAACGCGCCGTTAATATTATCGTGTTGGAATTTGGAGCAGCCATTCTTAGTCTTCTGTGAAGATCGAAGCTAAGCTCAACGGGGAAAAAAAGCTCTAAGGGGTTGAAATTATATATTACTGCAAAGTGAACAAGTTTGTGAAATCATATTTTGAAAATCAGATTTGGCTTTTTACATGATCCTAAAGGTGAGATTCATTGGCATACTTATAGACATTGTCCAAACGAGGGTTTGTATATGCATCCTCAACTTCAATGGTCATATGCATATATGCATGGTCTCGAGATCTTGTCGAAGCCATGACGACAGATGCCTGCAAACCCAACCAAATTGGGAAGGAGATTTCTGCGTAACGTTATAAACCACCTAGGATTATGTAATTGCTGACTAATCGCTGTCTCCTCTTCTCTTTCTCTAGGATCCCTCTCCGACTCCCGACATCATGAAGATACAATTATGGAGGTATTATTAAATATACTGTATTTCAGGAAACATAAAGCCTGAACATCTTGGATTTGGATTACCTCGTGCCTCATCGAATGACTGTATTCCGGATCCACGGAGTTTATAATTAAAAATGGAAGATAGGAAGTATTTTATGTAGAGAACTCCACGATCAAACCCCCCACAAATCTATTTTCTAGGATGTATCCTATTTTCTAGGATGCATCAATGAATTCGAGTATTCCCATTCAGATATGCATTCTGACGTGTTCCCTCACCATACATAGAAACGTGAACGGAGTCAAGTGTATAAAATACATTCAAAGTATATTACTCTTGTTTCCCCAACAGGTACTATAGAATTATCTCGTAAATATAAATATATTGAAAAGATCTAAGCAAAATATCAATAAATGATGAATCCATCAGGATCTTGACCAAAATTTTAATCCGAATAATCATTAGCATCTTCATAAAAATTAACGATTTAATCTCAGGGCTAAACGCAAGAATACAGGGTCCATCAAGTATACCGTTTTCTATCCCTACTTATATATCTCCCAGTGGTATTTTTTGGATACGTCAAAGCTATCCTTTGCAATAGCTGCCTATAGATCTAACTCCCACTTGAACTCCACTAAAATATTTTGTTGCTAATGTAATATGGCAGCAATAAATATTCGGTCCTATTGATTCTGCGTATGACACCGAGTGGATGTTTCCATCAAAATCATAGGACATCATAGATGGGCCATACAAAATATTCGATGCGCCCCCAATAGGTGAGAAACAATTTTATATAGAATAGCGAAGCCTAACATATGTTAACATTGCAACATCTGAACAAACACGATGTTGCATGTTGCCTGTGGGGTATCCGGCTAATTAGCGCTAAATGCACGAACTAAGAAGAAGCTACTCAACTAAGCTAGACTCGGAAGGTCTCAGAAGCTGCAAAACGGACCCAGCTACCTCTACCGCTTGAGGATCGAGCGATACCATCTACAAAGGTTCCTTAGCTCAGTCGGTTAGAGCGTCGTGCTAATAAGTTCAAGAATCTAAACTGTTACGCGAAGGTCGCGAGTTCGACCCTCGTAGGAACCATACCTTTTAGTAGGGTTCCTTAGCTCAGTCGGTTAGAGCGTCGTGCTAATATGTTAAGATCTTGACTGTTACGCGAAGGTCGCGAGTTCGACCCTCGTAGGAACCAGAATCTTTTTTAATTTTTTTTTTTGCTCCTTTTACATAAACTTTGTGAGCAGTGCTTCTGAACCATGAGAAACCGATGAGCCGACTTGGAGGGTCAGGATTCGGCGGCAGTAGTATAGATAGACAGATAGTATCAATTCTACACCTATATAAAAACGTACGGCGATGAATTCGGGCTAGAACATAGCTCCAGCAAAGGCGGACGATTCTACGCCCCAAATATTAGGTCCGCCTACGCTATGAGGGCTCCGAAGTATAACTGTCCTTCTTATTAGTAGCCCTAGCTTATTTTGCGAAAGTTTGACGTCTCTCTTTGATCTATATAGACACTTCTGCAGACATTTGATGGGATTTCCCTGCTCTAACAGCTAGACCGCAGATATCTTTTCTTTGTACAGCTCGCCCACAACGGGATATTGAGAGTTAATAAAGCTTCAAACTGTATACATATAAGAAGTTCTGGTGGAGACTTGACTAGAACCCTTCTCGTGTTGGACGACTGAAAATCTGGCTATTATGAAATATTAAACTATCTTGGGCAAGGATACCGTAGTAGCAGCTTTGGTAGAGTGGGACCTGCATTCAGCAGTATCAATAAAGGTGAATCGGTTGTCAACGTTTGAAGTATAAGTCAATACCGCATCCTTTGAGATCAAAGAGAAGAGATCGGGGCATGCCTTTTTGTAGTGATAGCAAAAGGGACAAGTTCGCCTCTAGTACTTAATTTTCACCTCTATTCAGCCATAGTTTGGTCTTAGCTAGCAGTCTCAAGCGTTGGCGTCAAATATTGTTCCTGGAAAGAAATGGCTTCTTAGGGGGGGATATCGCATTTTGTTTTATTTGAGTTAGACTGTAGACCTTCTTTGGGTAGTCCTAAAAACGACTCGGCTATTCCAATTAGTGGGTGGCTAGACTTTTCCGCAAATTATTGTTCATCTCCTGAGGCAGGATGGCCTTCATTTCCGTACTATGAACTAGGACCGACGTATACGATCAAAGCCATGATCTTCGTGAAATAAAATGGCATGCGTCCCTTTGGATTTGTTGCTACGCTACACGAATAATATTGATATTAATATTCTGCAGTCGGTTGGTCTCAGAATCAAGTTCAATGTTGGAGTGGTGAGCGCCTATCCCCAAATCTGTAAGTCCCTGTGTTCTCCCTTCATTGCAACATCGTGGTAACGCATGGAACACTCTAGTCACTTTTTGCTTTCACCCTGGGCTATGAAAGAGGATGGTTTGGGGCAGAAAACCAGATAACAGGTAACACCACTTGAGAGGTATTGGACGTAGACCAATTCTAGTTTATCTCTGAGTTCCTCGCGCACCTAGGTTCTTCCCTTTGGTATTATGTAGGAATTTAAGAAGTGTGTTGCAGTTTGTGGTATTTCTATTCTAGTCCAGAGCAAGCAGCCCCATAACCAAACTGTGTAGCCTCGACAGTAAATTTAAACTGTGATAGAAGACGTAGCTATCGAGCAAGGCAGAGGTAAGTGTCCCCCAGAGTACTGTAAAACTGTATGTCATTAAAACTGTAAACTCTCCAAACCAGAATCTCCGCCAATCGAAATATAAAAAGGCTAAGCGTCAGGTAGTTTGATCAACCATATCGAACGATTCCAGTATCGGGTGGAACCCTGTGCCGTGTGTTGTCTACGCCCACAAGACAAAATGGGACTGCAAAATGGCAGACCGATGCGCTGGTTCATGTTTGCGAACGGCAAAAAATCAAAAAAAAACTCGCTGGTTCCTACGAGGGTCGAACTCGCGACCTTCGCGTAACAGTTAAGATACTTAACATATTAGCACGACGCTCTAACCGACTGAGCTAAGGAACCTTAGTGAGTTGGGAATACGTACTCAGGTTGTCGGATATAACCTTTGATAAGATTCTAGTAACAGCAAGCGAATTTAGATACCAATTGATATTGATAGCCAGACACTGGCGTACTGATCAAAGGCAAGGCACATACCAACTGCGAACAAAGAATATCATACGGCATGATTCCATCACAATCAAATCCAAGTTCTCCCAAATTTATATTTCTAGCTGGTCTGGTTCAATTTCCAGCGCAAGGGTCATAAAGATGCAAAGATATAAATCAAATTTCCCTGTGACAAGTAAAATGTAAGCTAACCATGAGTTCATGTTCAAACTAGTATACCACGTTATCTAGAAAGTATTCTTCATGATCGATTCAGACTTCATCAAATATTCAAACCATCTCATCATGATCAATCAACAAGGGTGTCTCTTCAGCATCGTGATCACTCCCACCATCCCGAGCCGTAGTCTCCTCAGCATCTCCCCCAGCCTTCTTATCCTCTTCCTCCCCCTTCTTCTTCCCAATCTTCAAAGCCTTCACAATCTCCTCCTTCCTCTCTCTAATGAAGTACAAAAACATGTAGATCAAAGACCACCTATCATCAAAGGATTAGCCAGTACTCCATAACACAACCCGAACACAACAAAGAATACTCAAAGAGAAATAGAGAAAAACGGTACGTCAAGGTGGAAACTTACAAAGACGGCAGAATGACCACTCCACAAAGCACCAATTTAGCAATACGCTCGAAGACATAATAACCTCCTTCAACAATATACCGGAAGTCACGAATAACCTCCGGGATGGCAACGGCAAAGAAGACCAGCGAAGCCAAGAGCCATGGTATCGATCTCGCTAATTCGAGTAGAATGAATAGTTTGTCGCGAGGGAGGGTTTTGTTGTAGTATATGCAGAAAAACCAGATCGTACAATTCCATAGGTAGCCGATGGCATATATGAGACAAAGGAGACGGAAACTACATTTGATAGAATTATTAACATTAGATAGGTTTCATAGACGTTTATGACTAAAGTAGTGATTGCCGATAGTAATTATAAGGAGAAGTTGGACATACATCTCAAAAGTAAATCCACCGCTGCCGTAATTATACCCGTAGTTTTGGAAAATCAACCAAAAAAGGGCAGAACACCCGATGGTAGTTTGGAAAGCGAGACCGATGCCTAGAAGAACCCGCAAAAACTTTGATTTGTGGAAGAGCAAGTCTTCATTATCGTCTGATTTGGTAGATTGTTGGTGTTCCATGGCGATTATTCTTCCAGAGATGTATAGACCCATGCACTTTTTTAAATACGGTTTAGAGGGAAACAAATATTAAGAACCTTGGGCCGTGGGGGAGAAAGGCTTAGTTATATAAACCTACTCTGGTTTGAGAAGGGCAGGCCTGATTACGTTGTATTGCCGATATAATGCAATAACAGAATTATAATGCGGCACGGTAGTTGGAAGCTGGAAGAGGAGACTGTGGCAGCAGTAAGGCCGGCGTAAGGGTGTTATATAACCAGGATCCAAAAGTGTAAATTTATCGCCCCGATCCTGTTTGCAGGTGGGCCAAGCATAAAGGAATCCTGCAGAGCAGCGCTTCCATATGTTAGTTGTCCGCGGGCTTTGAACCAAACCGGATCCTGTGGCTCTCAATGCAACATTCAGTTGAAGCGAACGGTATTGGTACTAGTCCTTGGCTTGATAAAACCAAAGATATCATATCCTGATGGAATTTATCACGGCCCTGATAGCAAAGCTGACAAGCAAAAACATTTCTAACTAATAATTATAATTAAACGTTCAACTTCTGCAACTTCATTCATGCTTTGAAGTATACTGATTAAACGCGGGGTATCACGCTATAACCATCAATTGCCGAAACCATGATACATCCAATACGAGCTAACGTTACGTCGACCCCGGAATATTAATATAAAAGTACCAGTTCAATATATATATTCTTGGCGTTATCCACTCTCCCTTCAGCCCCAGCAGCAGGCGCTGTGGTATTTTTTGAACAGCAACACTTGTTAGAGATTAATCAAATCGAATGACTCAAAAATTATGTACTGTTAATTCCGTTCCAGCATGAGACGATGCGATGACGCCACGTAGACAATAAAAAGAAGTAACCCCTAATGAAAGAATAAACCAAAAGATTCATAATCTTGGAAAACTTGAACAATTTGGAAATGAAAAGGACACAGTATTCAATAGTCAGGACCACCGTTTGGTGATATCAATGATAGTATTAGCTTACATGATATCAATGTCAATGGCGGGGTAGGGGTAAAAAAAAAAGATCTGTCCTTTAGTTCAAAAATAGGGGCGAAGGGGTAGTTTATCGTCTCATAAGGGGGTTATGTCTCAACAAACGGGGGAAGTATACGCCATTGACAAGTCGCTATGCGCCATGAAATCAAAACAACTATACTGATTAATGAAGGAACAAAAACATTTAAACCCCGACGAATGACTTGCTGCGAAAAAAAGAGAATGAAAATGGGGAAAAAAGGTATCCAAACATCATAGACTTACAGAACTAACGCAAAACAGCCTGTCTGTACTCTATGGTCGGTGGATAGTCGTGATAAGGATCCTTGCGGATGGTGTCATGGTAGCTGAACTTGGGCATTGGGGTTGTTCGTCTTCTCCCAATACCATCCTTGCTAATCCAGGTGATTCTGCTCTCCTCCGGGCGGTCGTGGAGATCCAGCATCTCGATTATATCTGGGTCTCCCTTTTTATTGTTCTGTGGAATTCCTGGAACAGTCTCTTGAGCAGGTTTCGGTTGTTCCTTACGCAAGAGTTTATTCCAAAGTCGTTTGAAAATATTTTGACCCTCCGCCGGTTTCTTGACATTTTCGTTGGTTTCACCTTTGACTTTGTCGCCGCGGCCTATGATCTTCGCTACCAAGTGCTTGCGTCTGCTGACCACCGGCTTCGGCGCTTCTCTGGTGGGGATAGATATAATTTGCAACGTGTACCCCTTCTTCAGCTCTTCTTTGTTTAAATTCATTTTGTTTTTATGTAAACGGACGAGCCGCTTGAGTCGTTCGCGTGACAAGATATCCATCAAATCACCCAACGACCTTTGAGGCATCAAAAAGTGAAGTTGGTGAATCTCACCCCAGTAGTGAACTTTCGCCTTAACATCAGCATAAAAGTGCATATTGGTGTTTTCCTTCAATATTTTAGGGTCGGAAAGCATATAAAAAACCGTTAAGGTCATATACTTCTCGATCTCGACGACACGACGTTTGACGCTCCAGTAATCAGCGTAGGCGAATCGAGCGGCTGAGCTGGCACTGAATGCGAGATGTGCTTTGTCTAGAGTTGTGATTGGTGGGTGAATCATTAGTTCTTCGCAGCCATCTTCGAGGTATGATCGGCAGAGGTCGAAGGCTTGTGTAGATTTATGATCGTATATGAGGTCCTGGGCTCGTCGTACAGTGTGGTGAAGTCCGACCAGGCAATGGTTAAGGTCAAACCCAACGTTGAAGCCGGATCCAGGACCTGATCTGTTGGTAGACTCTTTTTCGCTCCCGCCTCTTACTTCGCTTAGGAATGGGAAGCGGACAGGAAGATTGTCCGACTATAAAGGCGGTTAACACAAGTATCCACAACCACTTTTTATCTTTGGAAATAAAATATACATACCTCGTTTATATTATCGTTAGCTTTTTCCATTTTTCTATGAAAAGATTCGCTTGGTTCAGGTCCCAAACACCCAGGCCAAACACAGAATTTCTCACAATTTTCCCAGGGAGCACCTTCAGCGCCTTCGCAAAGATACCAGCCCCACCTCAATCCCTTCTCGTGGGCAAGTCCCAACTCAATTTTTAAAATGGCGTCAATTTGGTTTGTAACAACCTGGTAAACTTTCGCCGCTCTATACTCCCCCTTTCTGAAATTCAAAACTTCACGAGTGATGTAGTCGGCGTATTGACGAGCTGCGATTTGATGGCCGTGTAGAGCAGCTTGAGTTCGAAACCTCGGCCCTTGGTTTAATCTTTCAACTGGATGGCGGTAATACTTTGAATCTTTTGTTATTTCTTTTTCCTCTGGTAAGTTTTGAAAGAGGAGACAATGTGATTTTTGCTTGATTTGTCGACTCTTGCCAATTATACCAGTATACGAATGGTATCTTTGTCCAAGCCTTTTGTAACCAGTTCTAGCCTTGAGAATGAACTCGATAGTTTGTTTCCTATTAGGTCTATTGTGCTTTTGAAGCCTTGTCCAGCGTTTGAAAGCCCTGATAAACTCAACCTTCTTTGGGTTTAACGGTCTTTGGTATGGTTGTGGCTGTAGCTGTTCTTGTGGATCTTTCTCTTCAAACCAGTTTTCGTAGTCACCGTCGTCTTCAACGACGGGGATTGGTAGTGATTCTTCTACTATTTCAGCTGTTTCGAAGGGATTTTCTTGTCCAAAGGGATTCTCAGGCTCCGGTAAGTGTGGAGGCTCGAAAGGGTTCTCAGGCTCCGGTGAGTGTGGAGACTCAAAAGGATTCTCAGGCTCCGGCGCGTTTGGAGGCTCAAAAGGGTTCTCTTGCTCCAATAGGTCCCCCGACTCAAAGGGGTTCTGGAGCCTGAAGGGGTTCTCGAGCTCAAAAGGGTTCTCTGGCTCAAAGGGGTTCTCTAGGTAATCGTTGTCTTCTAACCCTGCGTAGCTCCCCTCCGATGCTTGGTCCGTATTAATGAAGCTATGCGATTGTCGAGAACCTTGTATAGACAGCTTCATCCTCACCCTCAGCAGCTCTGTCGGTATAAAAGGGAGCTAGAGCGACGCGAGAATGACAGAAGAGCAACGGTGAGTAGAGGTAAAAGGAGGACGGGGTGAGATGTAAGGGGGATGGAGGAGAAGACGCGTCGCAGCTGGATTGCGGTAATCTTATGCTATAAAAAAAAGAATCTTTGAAGGGGGGAGTGCTGAGCTGAACTTTGCGTCAACGCACTAGCATATTTGTGTTGATGCGTTGGATTCTGGAGGTAGATGCCCAAAACGGAACATCTCGGCTAAACTTGCTCGGCTTCCAAAGCTCCAGCTTAACCACTCAAGACAACCGTAAAGTGCAAGCAACCGCCGCACAGCGCCACGAATGCATTCCAATCAAGATTGAAGCAGATAAAACCTCAAAAGTCACCCTGGGGGAGGACATCAAACGGTATGGACCGCTTCAGAGAGCTAGTCTCGAAGCTCAACGTCGGGGATTTAAGCCGAACAAGGTATGTTACTCCAACCCCCACCTAGCACAGTATATACGCATGCTGACGAAAGTTCAACCAGAGATCCTAGCCCACAACCTCCAGCTCCAGAACGAGTGGATGAACTTGAGAAAATGTATGAAAGCACATACTTCACGATCTTTAGGGCATATGCTAAAATGTCTGGATGATAGAATCGAACAGCTTCCTGCCACCAAGGCTTTTGTTGAAAGGTTCGAGATTACCTCAGTCCCCAGTTTCTATATCTATGAAAACAGTGGCTTATATATAATATACAGTCTTCCTCATCATAAAGTATCCAAAAAAGCTGCCGAAAACGATAAGAAGGCAGTCGAAGCTACTCAATTGCTCCACCGAGTTGACGGCCTTGTGTGTATCATATCTATCAGTGGTCGAGAAAGAGAGTTACTAACAAGGTGGACACAGATTCAATCCCATGTTACAGCAGCCCATGATTTTCGGAAGTACGTGGAAGAGATATCGAATGTGAAGGCACAGATTACCCTCGCAAGAGAGCAAGCTTGTAAGAACCTCCTTCTTTAGTAGCGGTTAAAACGGGGGAACCTAACGAATATATAGACTCACTCCACCAACAACTTATCGAAATCGACCGTGAACTCGGTCAAGCCGAAGCAGCCGTTTCAAATGTTGAGCTAGATAGGCTTCAACAAACCGAAGATGCTGTTTTTGAGAATTATGCGAAAGCGAGAAGGTACAATAGTTTCATCGACGGCTTTGGGGGGTTCGCAGAGTAACTAATTGATATGTGTTTAGGGCGGAAGTAAACCGAAAAAAAGAAGAGTATGCCGAAAAGCTGATGTCATTTCAACGGGATCGATACGCAGTATCTCGAGACTTCGAACGTCCGAGGACGAGTTCACGGCCTACTATACTTTCGAGGGGTCCATCGCGGCCTACTACGTCTCAGAGTTCGCAAACGGCGGTCGGGGTAGAAATCCAATTGGACGAAGGGGCACATTCGAATGGACTAGACGACTTTCTTGGGTCAGAAGAGACGACTATAAGGGAACCCGATACGAGCAGTCTTAAGTCTGTAGAACGGCCTGAGAGGAAGGAAGTTAAGACGAAGCCGAAGAAATCAGCACGGATAACTCGGCCGGGAATGATACCAACGAAGGCAGCACCGGCAAGAGCTAAGATCGATATTATGGCCGACGAGGACTTTTTTGATTGAAGGAATTTGTCTACAATAATACTCAACATAATCTTGCAAAGCTATAACATTCAATATCCAAACATATATCGTTTTGTGGCGCAGCCACATATATCACACCCACCAGCCTCATCATCACCATCCCACCGCCACACCGCCACACCCCACAACCTTCACATCACCAATGTCCACCACCACCAACGATGCCACCCCGATAACCCGCCCTCCGCGGCCTCCAAAGCCTCCCAAACCGCACCCCTCAATCGCTGCTCTCGCCGCTTTCCTCTCCACCCTCCCACAAACTACCACACAACCTCCACCACTGCCCTCCAAGCTCCGTTACGATATCTACGGCCCTCTCCTTCTCCTCCCGCCGACCTCACCGCTCACAAGTCCACCATGGAGTACCTACATCTCATCCCTCCCTCCACAATCCCAATCCTCCCTATACGCCACCCTCGCCAAATCCCTTAACGTAACGCACATAGCCATCAACTCCCCGATTCCCTCCAAATCCGTCGACCACCAAAACGCCATCCGAGCGCCACAGATAACACCTCTCTACGGCTCCTTTGGACCTCTCGATTCCACCGATTTCGAAGAAGTATTCTGGACGTCAACGGTACAGCATGGTGTTTTCCAAACGTGGTGTCCGTTACATACTATGTTTTCTCGCGGAAATATTACAGAGAAGAATAGGATCTATGGGTTGGTCGATACGCAATTAAAGGAGCTTAGGAGAAGCGGAGAGAAGAGGAAAGTTGCTGCGGTGGATTTATTCGTTGGGATTGGATATTTCGGGTTTAGTTATTTGAAGGCTGGAGTTGATGTTGTTTATGGATGGGATATTAATCACTGGAGTATTGAGGGGTGTAGACGCGGGGCAGTTGGGAATAAATGGGAGGTGAGGGTTAGTAGAGAGGGTAGTGATTGTGAAAATGTTGGAACGAGAGAGGAGAGGTTGGTTATCTTCGAAGAGAGCAATGAATATGCCATCGATCGACTACGGAAGATTAAGCAACAGACAACGGAAGCGGGAAAGGAGTGGGTTCATATACTCCATGTGAATTTGGGCCTACTACCGACTAGTTCTGGGGCTTATAAAACCGCATTAGAGGTTCTTGGGTTAAATGATGGAGACGGGGAGGCTTGGATACATGTTCATGAGAATGTGGCAAAAGAAGATGTTGATGAGATGAAGGACGGTATTATTAAGAAGTTTGAGCAATTAAAAGGAGAAGTTGAGGGGATGGAAGAAGTGAGCATAGAGGTTGAACATGTGGAGTTTGTGAAGAGCTGGGCGCCGGGGGTTTGGCATTGTGTTTTTGATGTGAAGGTTTCATAGATTCGGGCGGATGTAGTATACATTTTGATATCATGGGATGACAATGACGGGTCAATTGGATTCTTTCGCTGGATAAGCTTGTATAAAAAATCGCTTGAGACAAAACAAAAGACCTCTATTCCGCTGTTTTTACATAAAAAAAAGAAGAAAAAGATCCATCATGATCGTATCCAATCGTATGCAATCGCAAGAATTCATAGCAAAAGAAGGAGAAAGAGAAGGAGAGAAGGAGAGGGAGTAATTTCCAGAAATTAATTACCCACCCATATGCCTCCAAATACTCTGTTGAGCCATAGCCCTCCTCCTAGCCCTTTCCTCCATCCTTTGCTGACTCCTCTGCGAAACTTCATTACCCCCCGTTTCCTTCTTCAAAGTTTTCCTCGGTGTATCATCATCCATGGGTTCCTTTTTCAATGTTTTTCTCGTAGCATCTGGTGTTAGTTTTTGTTTGGCGGAATTTAAGGTAATAGTTGGTCGAAGGGTTGTGTAGACGGTGATCGTGGAGAATCTGGCTCGCTGGGAGCCGGCAGTGTTATACACGGACTGCTAGTGGTGATTATCTGCGGCATTACCGGCGCGCTGGACTCTGAATTTGGTGGGGATGTTCTTTTCGATTATTTTTAGGGCGGCTTCTTTGGCCCAGCGTTCTGCTTCTTTCTCGTCTTCTTCGTGCTGTATTCCATCATTAACGTATATTCCAGATTGAGCCGAAGGCGAAAGAAGGGGAGGGAAGGAAGATTACCTTTTTGAAATGCGCAATATCCTCAGGATGATTCAAATCCTCCTCTCTAACATCCCCATCACCATGATACTTCTCAAAGTGATGAATTTCATATTCATATTCATCATCACCATGATGACCGGTTCCTAACTTGAAATCCGGTAATCTTTTCCCATCTTGTATAGCAGCTTCGAACTCTTCCTTTGTAATCGCATGGTCCGAATCCAAGTCCATTAGTTTTAGGACTTCGGAGACGATTCTTTCGCGTTCTTCGTAGGGGACTTCTTTGCCTTCGTGGCCGGTGTCATCGTAGAGTTTGCCAGTGTGAGGGTTTATGCCGTAGGTGCGAAGGATTTCGTCGTGTGTCCAGGTGTGGGATTGGTCGAAGTCGTGAAGGTGGAAGAAGGAGGCGGGGTCGAAGTTGTCGAAGTGATGTTCGGCTTTTTATTAGGCATTGAATTAGCATAGATATACGGATGATGAAGTAGGGATGGTGAGTAGTAGTAGTAGAGGAAGAAGAAGAAGATATACCGATCATGTGGTCAGTAGCCCAATCGCCGGTGGGCTTATGCTCATCGCGGTGTGGTTTTGAGCCATGAGACAGAACGCCAGTGGCGATTGAGAGGACGGAGAGGACGGAGAGTATGCTTCTCATGATACCTTCCAATTGAAAGAAAAAAAACTCGAGATACACAATGAACAATGAAATCAGAAGAGATTAAGGAGGTGAAGTAGAAGAAGAAGATGATGGATGATACTTTTTGAATTCAAGAGTCGCTTCTCTACCCGTTAGCTATAGTAATATTACTAAAGTTTAACACGGTCAGGTCAGACGAGATCGGACCCGCTTTCGAGTTCGAGAACACGCTGTTACAGGCCCAAGTCCGAGCACAGACACACAGCAATTGGCCAATGTCATCCTGGTTAATTTAGTATAGCCAATCCAAGGACCCGGAATCACCTGAACTGCAAGGAACCTCGTCCTTCTTTCTTTTCTTTCCAAAGTTTAGCCTGGTTTGAGTCGGTTCCAGACAAACAAACGGTCATTAACTTCATACTATAGTATCAATTCTCACCTAGCTAATTAGCCCACTTCCTAGCTCTCGCTCCCATAATCAAGATTTCTGGACTCCAGTGAAAGTTCCATCCAGGTGGATATTCGGGCCACTTCGGGTCTCCAAAGATCGAACGAGAGGCGATAGGTGCGTATTTTCCTACCAGTCCTAGACCGAAGAGTCGACCGAACTGTGGTCTTGGATAGATGGACTTCATGCAAGCTTTATATCACGATCAATGGTTAAGTAAGTGGATATGTAGTAATTAGCAAGAGTATAGTATACTTGTAATTATAATTCCAAAGAAGAAGAGAAGAAAGAGGAAGACTTACTGATACAAATGTATTTGTCTCGAACGATAACATTCTTCTTCTTCCTAACTCCACTACGGCCCTTCTTGGGGGGCTCGTCCTCGTATTCTTTGCAATTGGCGTCATCGCATGGTTCAAGATCTTGGTCTTCTTCGTCACCATTGTCGTGAAAGAGGTCGTCGCAATAACAGCACTTGTAGTGAAACTTCATGGACATTCTGTAAGGCTGTTGTTAGTGATATACTTCACAATGATATCTTGCTTTCCTAGATCTATATAGTAGAGTGATTGCTTGCAATTGTGAAGGTTGTAGTCTTGAAGGAATAGATGCGGATGGATGTTATATAACGCTATAGATGTTTACTATAGACGTTATTCAACTAACTAAATAGCTTTGAACACCGCGAGTTCCCATATTCTACACAATAATTATAACTTTTTAATGGATTGATATGTGTATTATAGCCATGATCCGAAATTAATTAGTTTCAGGGTCATATCAATTCTATTTGTCTGAATGGTCCAATTGCTATCTATTATTTGAGATGTCGCCTGTCGATATGTTCCCACGCATGTCATAGTGTCGAGACTAGGTCGAAGTCTGGTTACGAGACTGGTCGAAGGAAGTCGAGGTAGACGGGGTCTGAGATGCTTTGTGTTGCGTATTGTGTTGCGACAGAACAGCCCCTCTCGATCTCTTCCTCTTCCTGTCAATTCTCTGTTGACCTTCCTCGCCATTGAACTAACACGCCATCCCCCATCTTCTACCATACATACTTAAGTACATATAGCTCATCCATAGACACCATGATCGAAGTTACTTGGTAAGGATATTCATACAAACTATCATCTGTAGTTTTATATACTGTTACTAACACTAAGAGGGTGAGATAAATAGTAACGACCGTCTCGGCAAGAAAGTCAACGTAAAATGCGAACCCGACGATACCATCGGTGACTTCAAGAAGCTGTTGGCCGCCCAGATCGGTACATCTCCCGAAAAAATCATTTTGAAGAAATGGTACACGACTTTTAAGGATCATATCACCCTTGGAGATTATGAGATTGGGAATGGAAGTTCTATTGAGCTGTGAGCTTTACTTTCTTTTGATCTTATGATTATGAAGTTCTAGGACGATGCTGATGGAGTATACGATCGATAGGTACTATAGTTAAAGGACCTTATTTATGGACAAGCCGACCGAGGGAAGAAACGAATAGGAGAATGTTAGATTTGTATAAGATACGAGATACGAAAGAGAGAATGTTATAATGCTCATATCATAGACGGCGCAAATGGGAGTCTTTTCAATACCATATCATATCATACCATATCATACCATATACACCCATACCATCCATATCCATACATCCACCATAATACCTGCTGGGCTACCTCTTCCCCTGCTAATTTTATATCCCACCTGACCTCGTATAATGTACTTACACAATGAACCAGCTGACGAAGCCGCCTACGTTATCATCATGCTGTGAAGTTTTAACCAGCGCGACAAAAGAAAAGAGGCGTCATCCGTGTGCCAAGAATGTTATGGCAGCTCCACTCCCATGGCCACCTGCAGCTCTGCCCTTTTCAAGCTTTCCCGCTTTACCTTTAAATACTCCACACCCGACTTCCCCCCACCGAACACCATCCCGTTCGACTATACATAGTATCTCGATCTCGTTGGTAATCGTCAATAATAAACCATCCCCTCGGACGGAAATACTATAATCGCTTGGTATCACCGGTGTTAATAGTACCTTTTTTATCGGACCGTTCATTCCAGTCCCTCCCCCGCTTTTTGTTTCTTCTTCGTTAAAGTCGCACACGATGGATCTCGGACAGGCATTGTGGGTTTTTCGCGATATATACCTATTCGATACATTGCATCACAGTATCACTTACTGACGTCTATTGTATTGTAGTCGCCTTGCGAACTTGGTCGTTGGAGGGTTGATGGTATTCGGAGGTTCGTCGTTTCCCTCTATACTTTTCTCATCCAGATGGCTTTCTTTAGTAAACACCACTGTATGGTTGCTAATATATGGTCTTTCATAGGAATCGCTCAATTCTTCGACCTGACGTTGCAGCATGTCATTCTTGGCATTTACATCATCGTATTCGGTGCTGGTATGTCTACACTTCCTTTCTCCTTTTTGAAAAGCTAGAAGTCGTGAATGCTAACTGTGTATATCATAGCCACCGCCCTACTCGGTATATATATCCTCCATCGATACCATATTTTTAACGAAAGTCTAACCGCTTTATACTATAGAATTCCAAATCCCACCACCCGTTAGCCGTTATGCGAACTTTATGTTTTCGTTCATCGGCCGTGGAGCTTGTATGTTCCTTATCATCCTTCCCTCTACTCATATCTTTCATTTACTAATTAATGTATTTGTGCTTGTGTTAGTCTACATCTTCACCGGCTCGATCCTGTACCATAAGGCATGGTACAGCTGGATCCCTGGCAGCCTTATCGTATTAGTCGGTATCGGATATATTGGATTGGAATTTGTGCCATCGATAGAGCCGCCAGAGAATATGAGGGAAGGAGGGTATGATGGACTCGGAGAGACCGTTTAGTTCTATTATTGTGTACACAGAATGGATGCGAGAATGTGGGGTAGAAGAAAAGAATGGTGGAAATAATTAAGAGAATGGTAAGATGAAGATATATACCGGGTTTAAAATTAGTTTTTTGAAGTTTACTGGCGGTGGTTTTTGTGGATTGGAATGTCTGACAGACTTATGATTCTATACTAATTGATATTAGTTAATACAAATTATGATATAACTAGAATTCTTCTGAATTAAAATAAACCATCTTCGATTCTACTCTATTTTAAATTATTTTATTTAGTCCGAACAGCTGCACTAGTCGGCGATAATATTCTCGTGAAGCTGCAGCTAACTGGCTGGTGTCGTGCATTTTATGTTGGTCTGTGCAGCGCTAAACATTGGCGTTTCAATCGCGTCTTCCCAACTCCACGACGTTTTCAACCTCAAAGCTCAACCACTCAAGATCCACTCACAACCAACTATCCCCGCCACTGATCACCCGGCGGCTATCAACCTCAATAAAACAATCATTCCTGTGCCGATACTTATCTATCTCGCTTCATCATTATCTGACTAGATAGTTAAGCAAGTAGCAGTTAAGGGTACTAGTTAAGGCAATCAACCTATCGCCAGCCTCGTGCCAGCCCACCATGGCCCTCCCCGGCCTCGACGTAACCGACTCAATTGTTTGTTTGTACCATCCCAGACCACCCATCTATACTCCTCCAAACCTTTATCTCATCTTATTCTAACAAATTTTCTTTTTTTTAAAAAATCCAGGACTCCTCTACAATCCTAACTCGGGAACTAAAACCAAACCAAGAATTCCGCTTCGAAGTCGCTCCGAACACCAGCATCACCATCCGACTAACCGCCGGAACAGCAGGTACCGCCGAACTCTTTGGTACCGAATTATCAAAGGGTCTTCCGTATACCTTCACCTGTTGCAAATCCGCCATTTACACATGGACGGGATGTTCCCTCTCCATCGAAGGGTCTCCCTCGGTGGAGTATATCGCTGAAGAAACCCCCATGACGACATATCTAAACCTCCATATCGCACTCGAAAAGCTACGTGTGGCAGCCAGCGACTGTCCTCCTACCACCGAAGGTGCTCAGGGGCCCAGAATCCTACTGATAGGACCACCGGATGTGGGCAAAACGACAGTGGCGAAGATCCTTACGGGGTATTCGATACGACAGGGGAGGAAGCCTATGGTTATCAACCTTGATACGGGCGGAGAAGGGGTTTTGTCTGTTCCTGGGACGATTACGGCGGCTAGTTTTGGAAGTGTGATGGATGTTGAGGATGGGTTTGGGAATAGTCCTATGAGTGCTCCGTCTGCTATTCCTGTGAAGTTGCCGTTGGTGTATTATTATGGATTGGAGACGCCGGAGGGTGGGGTTAGGAGATATAAACGGTTGATTTCGAGGATGGCGGTGGCGGTTAATAGCCGCTTGGAGGAAGATATTGAGTGTATTACCCCCCCTCCTATTCTCTCTTCCTTCTTTCATTCTATATCGAGGGGGTTTATAAGTAACATATACTAATACCTATATACGGGATGATATAGCTAAAAACACTGGCTTAATAATCGACACCCCGTCCTTCGACAACCAAACAAACGGCGATCTAATCTCCTACATTGTCGCCGAATTCTCCATCACCACAATCGCGATCTTAGGTTCCGAACGTCTCTACAACACCATGTTAAAGTCATTCTCCGCCTCAACCAACATCAATGTCATCAAACTCCCCACCTCAGGTGGCTGCGTCGACCGTGACGTCCCTTACAAAAAATCCCTTCGAGACGCAACAGTGAAAAAATACTTCTTCGGTGATGATAAATGTACATTAAGTCCTTACACCGTTAGTATCGAACTAGATTCTCCCGGGTTTTCGTTATGGGAGACGGTAGACTCGTCTTCCGATAAGAAGAATATTTCTTTCTTACCGATTGGAGAGGATGAGAGTAGTTTACAGACCGGGGAGGATGATGTGGTTAGGAAGTTGGCGCCGGGGGATGTGGATAGTAGGTTTGAAAACTTGGTGGTGGCGGTTTTGCAGGTTGATGCTAAGGATGCTGGGGCTAAAGAGGTGGCTGAGAGTGCGGTTTTGGGGTTCTTGTTTGTACAGGAGATTGATGAGAAGGAGAGGAGGATGAAGGTTTTGAGCCCTGTGCCTGGGAGGGTGCCGTCGAAGGCTTTGTTGGTTGGGAAGTGGCCGGATGGGATGTTTTTGACTTGATTGGCAATTTTGATTTAGAGATGTGGTAGATATAAAAACAATTAAAGGAAGTGGAGATCGAATGAAGCATTCTGTGTAAAGAGGACAATACAAGGAATATCTAACGGGACAACTGGGACTTGGAAATAATCTTCGTGATTGTGCAATATCCATGTTATATGTGTAATTTGTAACGATCGATTATACTTCAGTATACTAGTACTTGTTTAGCTCGGTCAATTGCAATAGATCTGATGAGTTTTAAGAATGAAATAAAAGGTATCCTAACAACTGCTAACACAATTAATAATCTAAAGCAACGGGAGTTACTGTTGTCTCGAGCTCGCCCGCTAGCTGGCATAATTAAGTGTTTAGCACGGTTTATAATTTAAGGGTGCCTCGCCGCGATCACCAATTGACTATAATAGTAAGTATCTATCTTTTTAAAATATACTATACCAAGCCCGGCCGAGCCAATCAGCCATTGCTATAAATCTATGGCCGATTTCCGAGTGGTATACGGTTTATTTACTCAATTTACCATAATTATAAGTTTTGCGATGGAGTCTTTTGATGAATTCGCATTCAATTAATGTAATATTAATACTTTCATGTATAAATTATAAACATATTGATATCGATATCTTGTATACGGGGGAAAACTGAAGGTTCTGGATGAAGTACTAGCTAGTCCGTAAATGAATTTTGGCATTTGAAAGGTGTACAAGGCTTCGCATAGACGACCGATTGATCTCTATCGGCTTTGTTCAGACAGTGCATGGCTAGGGAAGGTTAGAAGATCTTTTTTGGATTGATTAATTAAGTTAAATCGGTGTCAGGAAAATGGAATACGTCAGAATTATCGCTTATAGAAAGAATATTAGCTAGCTAGTATACTAGTAGGATGCAACTAGCTAGAACATGCGGCTGAATTTCCCACATTTTTGAAAGAAACAAGCTTTTTTCTTGGGATGTCGGTCTCGGAAAGGAAATGGGGGGGTACGTGCGCGGGACTAGCTGCGTACTGAAATGCTTGCCGAAAGATATGGATTTCTCCATACATTCATGAATTTAAACTTGAATATCCATGAGATCTAGAACGTGCACGTGGTTAGTCTGGATCAGATTTAGGTAAAGATTTATTCCTATTAAATAGAATTTTAATCGATCTGGATATATATATCGTACGAACTACGGCGAAAGCCGAGTTCAGCCCTTCTTTACATTTAGTGATTTTCTATATGTGATGTATATACATATCGACTAATCTATAAATACAGATAACATTCCAAGTCTTCTCTTCCATGTTTGAAATGTCTTCATTATCGCGATATCGATCTATGTACCCAGTCTCATACCGGTATAATTATATATAAGGATGAACTACCTCTTCGAACATCTCCTCCTTCTCTTATCCCTCCTCACATCCCTCTCCCTCTCCCTTCCTCATCGCACAATCAATGTCAAACGCGGTGGGACAATCCAATCCGCCATTAACCTCGCCAAACCCGGCACTACCATCATAGTCCCGCCGGGCGTCTACACCGAACAACTAAGCATAACCACCTCCCACATAACCCTAATCGGGCACAACAGCATCCTAACCCCTCCCTCAACATTCAAAAACAATACCTGTACAAACCTCGCCGGCGGCGGCACACAAGCCGGGATCTGTATCTCCGGTTCAAAAATAGTATTACAAGACCTCAAAGACTTCAACGGAGAACACTTGAAAGTCCTTTCCGTCGGAAAATCCATAAAAGGAACCACAATAACCGGCTTCACCATCAAAAACTTCGGAGGTCTGGGTATCGCCATCGTCGGTGGTGAAAATACAGTGATAAATGGGAATACGGTTACCAGTTCCTCGCAATATGGAGTTTTAACCGTCGGTTCCGAGAATACGAAGATATCTAATAATGTAGTTTCGTCGGTACCGGGGGTATTTCAATTCTATTTTATTGGAATATGTATGGACGATCGATCTAGCGTTACCATCTCACGCAACGATATTTCATCGTATTTTATCGGTTTATGCGTGCAAACTCCACGTGCGAATGTTTATGAAAATTATGTGCACGGTGTATGTGCGGGTGCTTTTGTTGATCCTGGGGTTGAGGGGGCTAGGATAAGGAGGAATAGGTTTGCGGATACGTTACCATCGTGTCCTGCCAATACACCGGTGTTTTCGAGTGGGGTTACTATATCAGGTGGGATTGGGACACTGGTGGAAGGGAATAGGTTTGAGAGTTTGAGGAACGGGGTTGTTATTGTTGACGATGATGGTGGTGATAATGGGGGGACGAAGGTTGTGGCGAGGGGGAATGTGGTTTTGGGGAATTGGTTTAGGGGGGATGGAGTGGATTTGGTTGTGAACTCGACGGGGAGGAATGTGGTGAGGGGCAGTGGATGTAGGACTTCGAGTCCTCAGGGGATTTGTAGGATTCATTTGTATTAGTCTGATTATAAATATAATATTACTGACGAGGAGGATGACATGGTAATGTATATATTGAGTATCTTAATTTGATTTTCTATAATATAATATATTCTTTTATACTACCATTGATAGCATATAACAAAGGATATAGTATATTATTATATACATATCACTTCTTGTAATATAATAACCATCCTGAAATAATCGATCGAGACATCGTCGATAAACTAAATTTTATTTATTTATAATATTTTAAAAGAATCCAAAGATGACGTTTGTTGCATATTCCGCGTTGTCCCGTCCAAAGTTCCAGCCAGCACAAAGTTCTTAGTTTTAGAAGCTGGATCCTCCCACCGGCCCACACAAGCACTCCACATGTGCACAGCTTCTTCCAACCCACCCGACATCACCACTTCTTCAGTTCCACATTCATTTCAAACCTCCTCCTCCATAAAACCAATAAAATTAAAATAAAATAAAAACTACATGTAAATGTCCTCCGAGTTCCCCCTCCTCGAGGGGCAGGGGCTCTATGCCTCCGACATCATCGGTGACGGTGATTGTCTCTTTCGCAGCTTCAGCGACCAGCTGTACGGTCATCAAGTATAGTACAATTACTCTCCCCTTCCTTCCTCTATTCAACCTTCCCATCACCACCTTCAATTCCTCTACCCAAAATAAGTATATATATATCTATATATCTATATATATATATATGCATTCAAAATATAATTAAAATAAATAATTAAATGAATAAAAACCTAACAAAGATGATACAACCAGGATCGCGCAACAACCATCCGTCTCCGTACAACATCCTACATGCGTCGCCACTCCTCCTACTTCAAACTCTTCCTCTCCGTACCCCCTCCCACCCGCAAAACCCGTTCCTCATCCTCCACGACCCTCCCAAACGAAGACACCATCGACCGAGTATTCCAAGATCATATTAAAAGAATGGAAAAACCCGGCGTATACGGCGATAACCTCGAAATAGTAGCCTTCGCAAGATGTTACGGTGTAGATGTCAAAATCTACCAACGAGAGTTCGCTTATTTAGTCTCTGGTGAAAGAGATGTCGGTGAGGAATCTGATGATGATGGTGGGAATTCGATGTTGGGAAAGGAGGAACCGGTTGTGGGTGAGAGGAAGGTGATGCATATTGCTTATCATGATTGGGAACATTATTCCAGTGTGAGGAATATTGATGGTCCGCATAAGGGACTTCCTAATGTTAGTCCGAAACCTTTGACCGAGGAAGGGAGGCAGAAACAGCAGAAGGTTTTGGAAGAAGGTGTGGTTATTATGCCCTGGATGGAGGATGTGGTCGAGAAGAGTCTTCCGGGTGATTGCGTGGTTACTAAACAGAAGATCAGAGAGGCATTGGAGAAGAGTAAAGGAGACGTCGGTCTGGCAGTTAGTAAATTACTCGATGCAGCTGAAGCAGACGCCGAAGCCGAAGCCGATATAGACGCAGAAGGAGAAAAAGTGGCATCAAAAGAAAAAGAAGAAGAAGAAGATACAGGCCTAAAAAAGCCAATAAACGAAGACAATAGACCGAAGAAAAAGCCACCGCCATACGCAAGGCAAACAGGAAATAAACCAAAACGGGAAACCGCACGGGAACGGAAAGAACGGCAGCAGAAAGAGAAAATAGAGAAAAAGAAAGCTAAAGCTAACGGCGGTAGTGGTTCTGGCGTTACTTCGGGTAAGGACTCGAAGGGGTCTGCTGCCACCGCTACGTCGGCTAATACACCGATGTCGTCGGGCGAGGGTATCAAGACCCTACATGTATAAGTAATTATTACCACTGTACAACCCTGGTTTGCTTACAGGATCAGGGGTTCCTAGCGTTTATAGATTGGTGCTTATCGCCCTCTAAATTGATTGCCGTGGATTAGATAGCGTTTGGCGGTTAGAGCCTTACTCCATTTCAGAGTAAGCAGTTCTAGGTAAGATGATTGCAAGGCGTTAGATAAATGAATACCAAATGACCACAGCCTTTTTGAATATCGAAAAGGAAGGAAAAGAGCAAACATGGCCTTCCCATGTAGTAAATAGTAGTAAATAGTGAGAAAAAATAGTAATAGTAATAGTAGTAGATAAGTAGGTAGGTAGGTAGTGCTAGTATGCAAAAATAACAATGTTTGGCGACAATGTATTACCGCAGAACATTATGATAATAAACCAAGACAGGAAAGAAAGCTTGAATTTACAAAAGAAACATTATTGTCATAACAGAAGAAGAAAAAACAAGCAAAAGCGACCGGGTATGCTTCAATCCCCTGTTCTCCCTTTTTTCATGTCTAATTGAATTTTTTATTTATTATCTTTTTTTCAATTCTGGTAGTTCTTTTCTTAAAATCCAATCGGGGCTTCCTTCGAATCTTGGTTTCCAGCGTGGCTCCCAGCAGGATCCTTCTTGAAATACCAGATCAACAATCCGATGACAATAACAATGAATCGACCGTAGGTGTTGACGAAGTCTAGGGCGGCGTTCGGAGGAGCTTTCGAGAATGGAGTTACGGGTTCACCGGCTAGTCACGCCTTGACGGCGGTAGCGACGGCAGCCTTGAGGGCAGCCGGATTGGCGCCAACGACTTCGCTGACTTTTTCGCCTCCTCTGAAGATCATGAATGTAGCTGTATTTCCCATAAAATAAAAACATGTCAGTAAAAAAAAATATTTATATACTGAAGTTTTGAAATGGAAATAGAGAGGGGAAAGGGGACTAACGCATAGCTCTGACACCACACTCGGCGGCAACATCGGTGACCTCATCGACATCGACCTTGACGAAATTGGCGTCTTTGAATTCCCCCGATAGCTTTTCGACGAATGGGGCGATTTGCTTGCAAGGACCGCACCATGTGGCGTGGAAGTCGACGACGGTGACTTTATCCCCAGCGATGAGGTCGGTGAATTCCTTCTGGCTGTTTAATGTAGTTTCTGTTAGCATCAATTTCTATATGTCTCTTTATTCGTCCTTCATTCTTTCTTTTTGATATCTTTCATTGGAGGTTCGGATAAACGGCAATTCGCGGGGTGAAATTAAGGCAAAAAAAAACATAGCAGGAAAAAAAGGAAGTGAAAAGAAGGGAAGGGAAGAGAAGAAGACAAACGAACCTCTTGATTTCGGCAACCATTTTGATAGATGTAGTAGAAAACTGTCTAGAAGACTGGAAGTTTGTAATTCGAGATGGGATGGTAGCTATAGCTGTAGCTGAAGTTGTAGTAGCTGAAGTGGTGGTGGGAGTGGTAGCGGAAGAAGTAGAAGTTGTGGTGGGGTATCGTCCGATGAGCGAATTTCTCGTAGCGACAACAAAAGACAAAGACCTTTTCTGAAGACGAATAGTCGACGACGACAAGGACTTGACGGTCCTTAAATAGTTTGGAGAAGCCAGTGTTTCTTTTTGATTTCTAAAAAAAATCTCGAATGGGGTCTGTTTATCACTATCCAGAAAGAAATTATAAAAAAAAAGGAAAAAAGGTGGTGTGGGGGATTGAAAAAAAAAAGGAAGAAGAGGAGGAAAAAGAAACGGAGAGAAAGAAAAAGAGGCGGTGAAAGCAAAGGAAAAAGCGATGAGGTGATGTTGACAGCGGGCCTTGGTAAGCGACGCCTGAACTATTCTTATTACTAATGCAACCACTGCACCTCCAAAACGAAATTGAAATCAATCAATGATGATGTAGACTAATATTAACGGGGATTATGGAATATGAATTAGGACGATGACGGCGCTGAAAAACAAAAGATGGAACTGTAACTTTTTTTGTTTTTTTTGGTAGAGTAATGAAGTACGGTATGGCCGGTATGATATGATATGATATGATATGATATGATCTGGGATTCAATTGATCGAGTCGAGTACTTCGAGGAAGTGCCCATCTATATACACTTCTCTCTCTCTCTCTCTCTCTCTTTCTTTCTCTCGAGATCTTCTAGATTCTTTAAAAATAAAGATAAAAAAATTAAAAATTAAAAATAAAGAAATGTCGGAATTGAACCTTCTCCCATCCTCTATTACTATTGCTATTACTCGATCTGAGTATAAAGTATAAAGTAAACGAGCTCGAGCTAGCCGGTGCAGTGGGGCCAAACCAGCTCCGATAAACTCAAGATCGAGGAAGCTTCGGCAGCTTTACCACTTGCAGCCCGGACCCGAATACCCCCGACTGAACTTTACTAATACCAATCAATCAGTATGCTACCGAACAGAAAGCAAAAGAAGAAAAAAGAGAATTGACCGGAATAGCCTCGAAATTATTGGCTACTGTCTTTGATCCAAATCAGAAGAAGAATAATAATAACCAAAAAAATAAAAAATAAAAAATAAAAACCCGTGGAATGTCAAAGAAAACTATCTTCAAATGCATCCAAATCCATTTCGCAATAACTATTTTAAAAACGGAAAGCCCGTGCACCGCGGCACCGCATTCGAGCTAAACACCTCCTGCAAGAGAGAGTAAAAAAAAAAGTGGCATGATACCTTTCGACCCCCGGGACTATGTACGGTGTAGGGATGACGGTGGTACAGCCATGCACCGGCCTGACTCGTGCAATCCTTTCGGTTCAGATTTGAGATAATCTACAGATCTCTGTGTGCGCGGGGCTGAACTACATAACATCTGCGCATCTTTGTACTTACATAACCTGCGAAGCTTGGAATTATAAATTAGGCTGAAAGAGTTTAATTAATGTTGTATACATGCGTACATGCATAATAGATAGAACTATTGCACATATTAGGGTGTTTCGAAACATCTCTGTATCCTGTTAATTCCCTAACATAAGTTATTACACTAAATGTATGTACGTATTTATCAATCTCATCATCGATGATACAATAATTCGAATCGAAGGTCTAGAACCCAACCCCGGAATCCGAAGCCTTCCCCATTGCATGCCCATTAGATTGGTCACTAGATTGGCCACCAGCCAAATCTAGTTTGGCCCGCAGTCTGTGTGGTATTTTAACTCGGCTCTGCCGAATCAACACATATTTCTTCCTTTCTTCCTTTCTCTTCGGCAGGCAATTGGGATCCGGTCCTTCGAAGTTTAAACTTCATGACGAACGAACTTATCCCCAAAGCTTGGATATACTTTTTTACTCAATACTTATAAAATTATGTTTCACCCGAAAGCTTCAGCCTCAGGTACCACCAAGCTTTCTTGTTAAAATTTCAGGGGTTATGCTCCCTTTCCGGTGGTATCGTGTGAAAAAAAACGTGGCACCCTCGCTTCCAAGCTACATATCCGGGGGGCTTGTAACGGTTCAACTTGCTCGGTTTAAGTACGGATAGATGTTCTATATGAGCTTAATTCTCCTTGACAGTTGTTCATTGGAGGAATTATATTAGCTTCTTCTCCCGTGTAGCTCTTCGGAGATCTCCTATGAAACTTCGGATAAAAAAAAATCGACTTAAGCATGCGATGCAATGACCATGTAGAACTTAATCCCAACCGTTAGTCTCAAGTACAATATACTCGAGGTAGTTTTGAATATACTTCCATGCATGTAAAGAAAAAAGACTCCCGCAATGATTCCAAACCCCTTCACAATAGCAACAGGACGGCCTGATTACCAGAATCATACTTCCCCTCATAATCATGGAACGTAATACCCCCTCTCAATCTCCAACGTCCTCGCCTCCCTCAACATCGTCACAGTTCCTCCAAACGACGCGAGAGTAACCCCTCCAATAAGTATACAAATCACCAACCCGGCCTTCGAAAACAACTGCCATTTCCATTCTCCATACGACCAAGTCTTATACTTCCTTCCGAACAACCATAGCTTAAAAATCGTCCTGATAGCCAACATATTAAGCGCTGTAGCCATACAAATCCACACCAAACAAACACACCACATCGCAAACGGTGATGTAGTTCGGGGTCTTTCTTCTTTGTCGTGATTATTCCAACGATGGTGTTCCTGCCATGCTACGCCGAAACATATGAGGTATACCGATGTTACCACCGTTGCGAGCATTCCGTATTGATTCAACCTGCGTTTGATTTGTAAGAGTTTTCGTAGTCGTTTTTCTGGAACGGACATGGCTTCTAGTTCTCTAGTTTTAGCTTGCCTATACCTGTCTGGTACTTTGGTTAGCTTTCCATTTTTGGGCTTAAGAACGCGAGCACGGAATTTGGTAAAGAAGCGATCTTTGCAGTTTGGTTTTTTGGGTGCATCTTTCTTGGAGTCTTTTGGTTTCTTTTCGGGTTTATTGGTGCCCTGGGGTGTCTGGCTATTTCCCTCGGGATCTCCTCCTGGACCTCCTGGACCCCCCCCTGGGCCTCCTCCTGGGCCTCCTCCTGAGTCTCCTCCTAGGCTTCCTCCTGGGCTTCCTGTAGGACTATTCCTGGGACTTCCTCTCGACTGTCCTTGTGATTGTCCTCGAGATTGCTCTTGTGGTTGTCCCTGGGACCGTTCTCGGGTTGTGCCAGAACGGCCGATTGAACCGGAACGTCCAGCTGGGCTAGAACGACTAGCGGAACCAGAACGACCAGCTGAACCTCTAGGATCAGATTCCATGGCACCTCTATCCTGAATCGCTGAACGTGGAGATCTCGAATCCACCGATCGTTTCCTTGCTTGTCGTGCCCTAGATGCACTAGTACTAGCCTCAACCCCAGTTGCTCTTCCTCTTTCCTCCTCTTCATGCCTAATCGCCGCCTCCACAGCTCTATCCCTTGACCGTTCTCTCTCCCTCACTCTTTCTTCATCTGAAAGCAAATCCGATAATTTTTCAATCATTTTACCCTCCTTTGCAGCCAATTCCGATTCCCTTGCCGCCTTTGCTTCACGGGGGGTTCTCCAAGCCGTCTGGTTTCGAGCTTCATTTTGTGTTAATGGTCTAGCCGGTTCAGAAGTCTCAGGTGCGTTTTTCCGCTCTTGCTTCGTCTTCCATTTGGAGAAGGCTGCGTATTTTTCTGCCCAACGGGTTTTTTCTGTATCACGGGGTCGTGGTGGAGACATTGGTTTCATGGAACTTGCGTCCTCCTCTTCATTCCCTTTCCGACCTCGAGGGTTTGGGCTCAGTGATGAGGAGAATCTACCTCCAGACCTTCTTCGTGTTGAAGACGGCTTTCTTGCTAGTGAAGATGGGGAAGCGGAAGCACCACGTCCCCTCTCATCTCTATTTTGCTTTTGAGGCGACCTCCTTGCGAGGGAAGAAGGAGAAGAAGGAGAAAAAGAAGAAGTAGGAGAATAATCTCGCTCGGGTTCGGGTTTGGTACTACTGCTCGCTTGGTCCCTTCGAGATGGCGTAGATCCAAAGGATCCGCTGGAACCTGAAATTTCCCTTACGTCCACGTTGCCAAATCTTACTTGTCCCTTAGGTTTCTTCCTCCCTTCTTGAACAGGACCTCCATCATCCCAGCCTAAAGGGCTACGAATACCTTCCGGATACGTCTTCGAAAGATCCTTTAGCCCGCCTTTCAGAGATTCTGTAGGTTCCTGTTTCGGTGAAGAAGATGGAGCTTTTGTGTGTGGAGGCCCGGCCGTTTTATTAACATTTGAAGAGGATTTTCCCGTCTGGAGTGTAAGAGAGGGAGGCTTAGGTTTTCCTCCCGAGGGCTTTGAAGTTGATGAAGAACTAGCAGATGCTCCCGAGGTCGATGGTATATTTTCAATATTCCTAGAACTCGATCCTGGTGTTTCTTGTCTTTGGCTTGATCCCGAAGTTGGTACGTTTGAACTCGAGCCGGCATCGCCGGATCCACTCGCAGCGGTATCACCGGCGGGCGTACTTCCAGATGCTTCACCAGCCTCTCCTGCGTCGTTATCTTCGTCTGATAAAGCCCTTGGGGTCTTACTCTTCCTCTTCGAAAAAAAACCGGGATAATTCCACTTTTCCATGTTGGCAACAGACTCGAATCGAAACAGCTTTGAACCGTAGTCGATCAAATATATTTACTCAAACAATATATACTTCCAACAGTATATATCAGCCAAAGATAACTCCCAAAAAAATGAAAATTAAAAATTAAAAAATAAAAGTAAAATCAAACACTAACCTTCCTTGCGAACTTTCCTCTCCCTTGCTTTTCTCAAAATATCCTTTTTTAGTCTACTCAAATACCCAAGCTCATGGTCTTCATCTCCCTCCTGTCTAGAGAGATTGGATCGAGAAGTGGTACCCGTAGAGCCTTCAACCAAGGTTCCGGAACCAGTATCGGTATCGATATCTCCCACAATAGCAACTCGACTCATCCGTCTCGGAAACGTCGTTCCAGGTTCAAAATGCGGGTTATATATGCCCACACCACCTAATCTCTTCACCTCCTCCTTGACGTTTTCTCCCTCTTCCTCACTACTTTTTTGTGTTGAAATACTATTTGTTGTATTGGTAGAGTGTATTGATCCAGCAACCGAAGTTGCTCGTGAAATTGCGGAAGGAGGGTATGTAGGAAAATTTGAGTAAGGAGTAGGCGTATAAGGTCTTGAATTTACTGTAGGCAGTGGTGGTGGCGGCGATGATAATCGACGTGAGCTTTTGTATGCTAAATCCCAGGTGTTAAAGTCGGTTTCGAAGTCTGAGATTGCCCTTGAGAGGATTGTGGCGGTGGAGGGAGGGCGGAATTGTCGGATTGTGCTGCCGCTGTCTGAGGAGTCGGCGTCGATTTCATTCTCCTCACAATAATTATCTGTTATAGACATATTTTATATATTTTATAATATAATATAAAATATCATATATATTCAAATTTTTTACAATATATCTTCAGGATCCTGGGGTCTGGGGCCAGTCCTCTGGTTTTTGTATTTTTGTTGTATTTTGGAGAATACCTGTGTTGACACGATTTGATCGCCTGAATCGTGGGGGATGATCTGTGCATGTTGTAATTCCTTTGGTCTAATTATATACATAAGAGAGGAATTGGGAAATTGATAGGTGGCGTGTAATGGGGACGAGGTGGAATGGCTGAGGTTGTTCGGAGATATCGAGGTTAATGAGGGCTTTTATATTATACACCCTTCAGACCCAGTCTTACAGGGACAAGCATTTTAGGTGACAGATGACAGATACTATCGCATCTTGAAATATTCTCGGGTACGTATAATCTAGTAGTTTATTTGTAAGTATACTGCATGTAAATGCATTTGATGTACAGCCTACACTATCACTAATACTACTCTAAATGTTCAAGTAGTTAACTTGTAGTATAGTTAATATGACCAAAGAAGCCTTCTATACATCCTAACGTCTCGTAGCCGTCAAAAATGTCGTCGCAGTTGCATTGAAAACCTTCGTCGAAGTTGCCAAAAGACCTCTCGTAGTCGATCCCGTCATAACATCCTTCATTCCCGTTGCCATAGCCTTAACGTTTACATTTTCCGACATCGTAGCTTTAATACCATTGATATTCCCTTGCAGCACTTTAGAAACAGCCGCCGTAGCCGCAGAGGCCGCCGCGGCAGCAGCAGCACTAAGAGCATCAGCGGCAGCCTTATCATTATTGACATACCCGACTCCACCTTTACCTCCACCTAAGTTTACTTTCCCAAAATTCACATTACTCTTAGTCCACATCCATGCTCCAAAGCTAATAATCGTAGTCAAAACAACCACAATATAAACATCCCAGATGCGTGTGATAAAAAGTTTATCCTTCCCGTATGATTCGGGTGGGATCATAAGCTTTCCCACGTTCATGACGACAACGGTTCGCATGCATAAACAGATGAATTGGAGTATACCCATGACGAGGAGTTGGAGACCGGCGGTTTTGGCGGATTGGAGACCGGTGGTTACGGCATTGGCGCCGGTCCAGATTGCTATTAGAGTACCGAAGGTGCCGCCGAGGGAGAGAATCACACCAACTTGACAGACGCGGACGTAGGTTTGGGCAGCGGGTGGGAGGAAATCGATTCCTTGCGTGCGAGCCTTTTCGATTTCGTTTAGTTGGCGTTGGGCTTCGACGGCGTCGCGTTCTATTGTTCTCGTAATTAATATTAATCAATTATAATTGCTTTTGATAGATTTTAGGGCATTTTATGCATACCGGTAATGAATTTACAATACTGTTGTCCAAAGTTATTTATCAAACCGGTCATAGTAGCTTTATTAACATTTGTTTCTGCGATATCTTTGATCAACATTTGTAATTGATCTCTATTGGATTGTTCGCTTGATATCTGGGGTACTCGGGCGTTGACTTGCCCCAGCAGTTTGAGTTTTTGGGCGATAAACCAGTCGTTGAAGATTGTAAGGATACGCTGCTGTTCCGCCAGGATTGCATCACGATTGGCTGCTCCGTCACCTGGGTCGATTGGATCGAGTTGGAATTCGATGTTGGTGGTGTAGCCTGGCGCTGTGGGGTTTTGGGGCGGAGGGGCCGGGGCGAAGCCGAAAGACATTTTGAGAATATCGAATATCCAATGGTTTCGTTAGTTTGTGAGTATAATTAATTAATTAATTATTAATTGAGGTTCGTTCAGTGAGATACTGTATAATGGTTGAAGCTAGGAACTTTTACGAGCACAGGGGGTTCAGGGCCGGTATTTTATAGAAGTGTTTGGAAATTCAAAGATCGACCAATCGGCTTCCAAAACCAACAAAAACCTTTGATGTTTTAATTTTGAAAATAGTCATCTGTGATACGATCGTTCTTGTGAATGGAGTCAAAAGACTCTAAATTTGGATATCATGGTGTCCAAGTATATATACGTGCGCATCTGGATTGGGAAATATATCTACAGTTTTGCCGATAAATTTAGCGATTCCTTCACAAGCGCGACTGTATCCTCCGACATGCCATACGAAGCTTGGTCTATTTTAGCATATTAGTATCTTTCCGTTTTTGAAATTTTCAATTAGGGGCGAAAGGGATCAAAGAACTTACAACCCCATCCAGCGGCACCGTAATTATGCACAACTCTCACACCGTTTATGACTTCCTTCTCGATTCTGGCACCTCCTTCTCTCCATGGTCTTAATCCGACACCATGTCGGATGATATCAAGCCCTTCAACGCCCTTACCGCCGGTAAGTTCAGGACAAACGTCGACACAGCGTTTCATGATCCTGTTTGCAAGGTTTGGATCGATTTCTGGTGACCAGTTGCCCTTCTGATAGCATCCGCCGAGGATAGTGCCGCCGCCGGCTGCTCGCATCATTATGTACTTCACTATTGTGTTAGTAAATAATTTAAAACATAGTTAAAGAAAAGATGGGAGGGCAATACCAGCATCTCATCATCTCCGTCGTGAACTGCCGAGGTTGTGTACATTCCCGGTGCCTCATTTCTGACCAATACGATCTGTCCACGTGCCGGAATAACCTTCTTATCTTCAACCCCGCCAAGTTTACACGCCAATAACCCTGAGCAGTTGACAACTACATCGGCCTTCTTCCCGCTGAAATGTAGATCTGCTGCATCGGCGATATGCTTTACTATCCCTCTCTTAAACACCACTCCATACTTCAAACACTGTCCCACCAAATACGGCAAATAAATCGCCGTATTAATGCAAACACTCTTAAACGTAGTTCCAGACTTCATCCCCTTCGGCAGCTCTTCCTTATCAAACTTCCTAAACCCCTGAACCACACCCTTAAACCAAGGTTTATCATCCACAAGATCCTTCATAAACGGTGTGATGGGGATACCATCGACTATAAAGATATTGGCATCTTGGACGTGAATACCGCTTTCGGGAACTTGTGTCGCTAGACGCATTAGTTCGGGATAGGTGGCACGTTCCCATTTACGACTGGAGTCTTCGGCTATGGAGAAAGGGAAGTAGTTTGCGCCTGCCCATGGGGAGGTGTATTCGATGTCGTAATCGCCTGGCATGTGTTTGGCGATTACGGTCACGGAATGTCTGGATTTGGCGAGGAGAAGGGCGGTGGTTAGACCGGCTACTCCGGCGCTGGTGAAATTATGTTAGTATGTATATGTACCATTGGCGGCGATAGTGGGGATGTTATGGGGGGTTGTACCCAATAACTACGATCTTTGCGGAGGACATTGTTGATCGTGATGTTGTATTTTTGGGTGACACAATGTGTTTTCCAATTTTGAAGTAGTGGCTAGATTTAAAGATAGGATTACGATTACAATTGATTCGATTCCAACAAATGGAAGAAGAGAATAGTGAAAACACTGGGGTAGATATATATTCCATTAAATAAGTACTTAGTTAATTTAACTAATTAGTTTATTGAGCTCCGTATCTTGATCCCGCCGGAAGCTATTGCATCGATCAGGCCATATCCCAAAGTCCTTAATGGTCTGGATTCGATTGCCTCTCCCGCCCTAGAAAAAAAAAGTGGGTCCGCGCGACATCCGTTCGATAAGCAGGACAAGCTTTCACCCGGCTACCTGCGCTCTTCCCTGGTTGTGTGCTTGTTTTTCTTCTTTGGTTCTGTCCAACCTGTCAAACGTTAACATCCTTGGAGTAAACGAGTGGGCCGGGTAACATTAACGGTAAATCGGAAACACCTTGCTTTGTTTCGCGGGATTCCATACTATGTATTAGGTACTTCATGGAGCACGATGCGGGAAGATTTTCTTTTGGGGAAAGAAAAGCCTAGGTTTTTTTTGGCGGGATTACCTAAAGCGGAGCTAATGCGGCTGCTGCCTGCGGGTTTCTGGGGGAGCTCGTCCCCTGGTAAATGCCGATTATCGATAGCGAGGATTTGAAGCTTTATCGTGGATGGAGACTTGCAGGCATCGAGACATTACTCGCGCCATGGACGGTTTGCGGAAGGAATTGATTTTCGTGATATCAATCAATTGGAATATGGGCCGGAGTACGTAACTAACCTTGAGGTTTGATAAAGCCCCGCTTTTGACTAGCGGGATTCAATCGGATTTCCGTCGGAATACCCCTGGAATATGAAGATACTATGACTTGGATAGGTCGCTTGAGCTCAAGAGTAGCGGAATTAAATCTATTGCTAATCTATCGATATCGCGATATATATCGGGCCCACAGGAAGCTTGGCTGTTTGGAAAGGACACCCCGCAACACAAAAAGTCCAACATTGTATCGTTTGGGGTGTATCGATGTTTGATGTGAGTAAAAACAACATTGCGCTATAGCTACTTTGCGTAGAAAGAATCTAGGGACCGAGGAGGTGTCAATTAGGGACATACTGCTAGGCTTTGACTTGATCTTCTAGGACCCTTGTTTTTCGCGGGATTTTGACTAATCAACCAGGCCTATAACTGTATGTATATGCAGCCGGGTTAAAACGCCAGGCGGGCAGAGCTCCTCAAAACCGAGTCCAGAGAAAGCAACGGAGGAAAAGAAGTATGATACTGATTCCTATCGAGCAATTTTTTGAAACGGCGAGGACTTCGGTTTTGAAAGCCTCCGAAATACAGTATGCGGAATTTATTTCCGAATGGCTCAAATCCTACCAAGCTATAGAGGTTATATAATTATGCTATATATGACCAACTGTGAAGTCAACGCGGCGTTTAGGTGGGTGTACTCTGGGAGCTCTTATTTGTATGATAGCTTGTGATCTATTACATGCTGAGCTCCGATAAGAAGAAAGGGGATTCAAATTCGATTGAGAGTCCATAGATCTATAGAAAGTCCCATATGTGAAAGTCTTGCATCAGGATGAAATCACTCAGCCAAAGTCAAGATATCCCGTTAGCTCGACTGGCTTAGGTCCATGGCCTGTACCAAAGCATCACTCCAGGATCAGGTCATGGGGGTTTTATGCTAGGTTGACGCCCAGAGAGGGGTCTTTGAGCAGCATGGGAAGCTAGATCCTGTTATCATATATCTAGATACAGATAAGAGCCTCGGGCTGATATCGTGATTGATTGGTCTCCGAGTATAAACGTAAAAACAGTTGGCACATGATATATGATGGTAAATAGACTGACTAGAGTACTTCAAACTTAAAAACGTCGACAGAAATAGACCATCAAAGAATATTACTCGTTCCATATACTAGATTAATGTACCGTGCCACCATCGCCCCCGGCCCCCAAATTTACTATACCACTCAGTCTTTGAACTTTCTCTACCACCCAATCTGAGGATTCATCGTGCCACAGCCGGCGCCCAGATCCATCTGAGACTACACTTTGCAATGCAACTAACTTATTTCTACGAATCCACCCGATGTTGTTTGTCCATAATGAATCTTTCAATCAACCCCTAGGTTGGAGATCCGTCATTACTGTTCATATTCTATTGGACAAGTATACTGGTGCATAGCAGATTTAGTGCTTTGGCTCCTTGAATGAATAGCCGCCTTTGGTAGTAGGATTTAGAGATAGTTTTATTCCCTTGGAGCAGAGCACAGCCGCCCTACGAACTCCCACGAAGCAATCATGCATTTCCGTCACGTCATGTGTGATATCTCTTCTCTATACAGAAAATAGTGTAAAAGAGCTCCGGCGCTCTTTGAAGTAGCATCTGCTGTGCTTTTTCGGAAATCGCTATACTTGATTCAATGGCTATGAAGCATAGACAGCAGGGAGCCAGAAGAGCATTTCGTAGATGATAGGTAATGAACACGGAACCTGCAAAGGTCGTATAAATACACCGACATATGCCTTCCTCTCAAAATACTCATTTAAATACAGTTAGCATTGAGAACGAGAGCTATAGACTAGCCGAGAACTCCTAACAGTCATTTTTCTTGCGTCTGCCCCCAAATATACAAACAATAAAAATCTCTCTCTCTCTGTGTCCTTTAGTCACTTCCTCCAACCAGCCGTAGCCTCTTTTTAAAACTAATATTTCGTAAAAATGGTTTACCGCTAAGTTCGGTTCGTTAGCTTTCGATCGGGAAACCACGACAAGTACAGCTATCTCGGTCGATTCGCTAAATTTATAAATACATTGCCACCACCTAGACCGGTGGCAGACTATACATATATACGCAAGCAGGCAATCTAAACTAAAACCTTCGAGTATTAGACGAGCCATTTTAACTTTGGGGGTATATGGCAATTATGAAGCTACAAGGGCCACCGTGATGAATTCTAACTATTCAAGAAACAGTTTGACCTAAGTAAATAGTCAGCCAAGCCAACTCAGAGTTGTATGCAAACATACATACCGCCCACAAAGAGTGCATCGTCCTAGCCTTGAAGTGAGGCTAGAATCTTCCTGCGTAGGATATGAAACCAAATACTCTGCGCCTTACTCAAAAGTACACGGGAGGTCTGGGAAAGCCTCAAATCTTGCAATCTTGGCCGAGGCTGGGCCGAAATCATAATGTGGTTTTCAGATCTGATACTCTTGACCGTGGGCCGCTGGGCGATTGAAAGAAATGGCTTTTAGCTAATATCTACTAGGCGCCATTTACCCCCGACATTAATCCCGCTTTTTTTTTTGGCTGGTAGTCGATTGCTTTAAATGTTCTAATTAGTCAGCTTAGTTTTAGCTATGTGTGTCCCGGTCCGTATTCTTCGGGCCGTAGTAATCCAGCCGCCCACAATTTGCAAAACAAAGGAAAGAACATCAAGGAAATTCTGGAGGAAAAAAACTTATAATAAAGAGGTCATTAGTGAGTACTGTACATGTACGTATCTGGACTTTACACCGCAACGATTGATACTATGTACTAGTACCTTCTATGCACGTGCACATTGCATTGCATATAGTGTATCCCCCCGCAGCTGGGTATAATCCTGTAGCTATCCTGGCGAGTACACACACCATAGAAAATACCTGTATACTCCAAATTACAGCTGTGAAATGCATAATAAAGTGACGACTACTGTTTAAATCGCGAGAATTTATTACCCCCAGTAAGTTAAGAATATCCTCTGCAGGTTTGTCTCGTACCCAGATTTGCAGGTATAAATGTATTCGAGATACGGTCTCAGATCAGCAGAAGCCTTTAAGTAAATATGTTTGTTTGTTTGCTCCAGGGAGGCATGCCATCAGTCAATGGATACTTTGGGACGATGATTCCTCCTGGCAAACACCTTTCAAAGCAGGCAGCATCCGTAAATCCAGCATTCAACCCCGTTGCATTGCTAATACTCCTGCATATCGTTACCGCAGCGTAGCGCTTTACAATTGCGCTTTGATGAATGTATGGATGTTGAATATTATTAGTAAATTGAAGGCAAAGTCGCGATGTTGGCGGTGCGCCAGCTGTGGCACCTAATTCTACAGCTTGTCATAGGATTACCCCTCTTTCTCTAGTATCATGATACGTTCTTAGTCGAGCGTTTGAGCTAACTGCTGCTGAATATTTAAGGTATCATGACTCGTGAAACTATTCAAATGGCCTGTGGTGTGTTTGGTCTGTTGTGAATATTGTCAAATGTGTACGTTCTTATTTCTAGTCCCTTCGAATCGAAATTTCACGGCCAACCTGGTCAGCTGAAGAAAGCGCAGTTTCATAGTCATACCTCTGACGTGTTCATGCGAGATCTTAATTAAAATTGGAAGATATGACTAGTATGATTTGGCGGATACAAAGTAGCATCCCCTCCCACAGATTGTGGCTTCCGTAGAAACTATTCGTCCAAAATTATTTAACTATATGATAGTAGGCTATTTAAAGGAAGCTAGCTGCTCGCCAGGGCGCTTAGAACTATCCATTGAAGGTGAATTTGTTGAAATATCTGATGGCCTGATGTGCACGTGGAAACAGAACTTGGGAGCCTCTTGAAGCTATAGCGCCTGTAGTGTATGTTATTAAAAAAGGATCCAGGTCTTCGTTTCCTTATTAGAGGTGAAACTTCCACCTCGACAACCGCCTTGGGCTATTTTCATCAAAAATCCTCAGCTAGTTAATTTGCTCGCATAATAAAGCCATTCCTGATCTCCTGATACCGCGGCTACACAGGGAAAATAGTACCTCACATTCGTATACTCCGCCATCCAGATCATCACGGTCAGAGGCTACAGCGCTGCATCAATCTATCTAGGAATATTCCTAGACCCTCTTTTTTCCTTTTTGTGCCCTACTCTTCTTCGAATCCCTCATAGCTCATCGCGCAAGGCTACCCATCGGGCTTCTTTACAAACCTGGATCCTGAGGCTCCAGAGCCATAACCCGATCATGGAAGGCACTAAGTGGGCCATATTGATCGGAGTCGACTATTACCAAGACGGTAAAGAACGCACAGATATCAAATTCCGTAGCCTAAAGGGGTCCGTGGAGGATATACGACAGATTGAAGAATTACTACGCACTCGATTCGACTTCAATGATCCTTATATAATTCGGTTAACCGCAACCACGCCGGACAGCGGCCAAGGCGACCCAAAGGAGCTCCCACCGCACAGGCCAACCTACGAGAATATTATTCAAGCATTTGAAAGGGTGATCCGGGAAGCCAATCCTCACGATATTGTCTACATTCACTATTCAGGTCACGGCGCACGTGTTGACACCATTTTTCCAGACATAAAAGAAAAACGCCTCGATGAGGCACTCGTGCCTACTGATATTTCTTGTCAAGGACGGTATGTCCGCGATGTAGAAATAGCATACTTAATCAACAAGCTGGTGGATAAGAAACTCATTGTTACCCTCGTGCTTGACTGTTGTCATTCTGGAGGGGCCAACCGGAGTGGTGGTCCCGGTTGTGGTCCCAGTGGCGGCACCATTCGGGGAATAGATAGAGTCGGAAAAAACATTCCGGAACGTGATTTTTCGCTACTATCCCCCCAAAAGGAACTTATCGCAGTCTGGAAGGAGCCCGAACCTAAAAATCAACGTGCTGCAACTGTCGAAAATCATTGGCTACTCGAATCTCGTGGATATGCCTTTCTCGCTGCGTGCAGGACGAACGAGTTTGCCATGGAAGACGTATTTGATAAAAAGACACAAGGCCTCTTAACGCACACTATGATAAATATTATTAAGGCCAGCACGGCTTCCCTCACTTACTACGGATTATACAACCTTGTCAGAGCAAAAGTGCTTGAACATAACAGTCAACAGACCGTTGTACTTGGCGGTGAAGCTGATCGCATATTCCTTTCTTCAGATTGCCGCAAGTTGCATTCCATGGTTCCTATAAAAAGAGTTACCAAAGAAGGAGGAAAGCTTCATATTCATTTAGATGTTGGCTCTACCCACGGGATTCCAGATGATGCCAGCATCGACGTTTGGCCTCCGTCATACTCCGGCTCTGATTACGAACCCTCTGAGAAAAGCGCCGTCTTTCGTACGGTCAAAATAGAAGGGCTTACATTAGATGCCGAGCTAGAAAAATGGGGTGCAAAAGGAGAGCACCAGATACAGCCTGGATTTTTAGCCCAACCGCATACATTTTCAAAGAAGCGAGTTTACCTCGATCCCATCAATAATTCCGGCATGGGTCAAGCCAAACCTCCACTTTGGAGGCATGGAGAGAAAGAAACCCTGATCCCTCCTCAAGATCTAGCCAAAGTAAAGAGGATACTGGAGACACACAACATCCCCATATCGGATGATCCAGCGAACGCTTCCTTCCAAGTACACGTGGAGGATGGAAACTATAAAACGCTCTGCAACACCAAGAAACTACCCAATCGAATTGCACTACCACCTCTACCCATCGACGATGAGAGTGCAGCAGAAAAGCTGGCCCGTTGTATAAAGCATGCCACAAAATACTATGATATACTCGAATTATCAAACCCAGAGATAGGGTCCCCCGGCCAGTGGGTATCCGCATCTTTATCTATGAAGAAAGGACTCCCCCCAGTACCAATGGCTCGACTATTTAACCATCAACCTGATAACACGCTAGAAAGCAAAAGCTGTGAGGTTGAGGCAGCTGATGTAGTTACGGTCCTTGTGACAAATATTTCCAGCACCGAAAAACATATTACGGTTCTAGATCTCGATGATTCGGGATGTGTTATGCAGATATTTCCCTGCGCACCTGGTGGAACGCAGCAGTTGCTAGCGCCAAACGAGACCCTATCCCTTCCATTGGTCGTGGACTCTACAGAGGAGAATGTTGCACCGGGCCAAATTATCGACACAATCAAAATTATTGCTACAAAAGAACCCACTAACTTCCGGTGGCTGGAATTGCCAAGTCTTGATAAAATTAAATCTGGAACTTCAAATCGGGGTGATGACATCAACAAGAAACATGAAAATGCCTTTGAACTTTTACAGCAGGTTACAAGGGAAACGGCACCAAAGGCGCGAAGTGTGTCGGTGCGCAACTCTGACACGGCTTGGTGGGACACAGCGCAAGTTACTTTGAGATTGTCGATGGGGAAACCTGAATGGGATCTCGAGCGCAATCAAGAAGAAGCTGCTCCAAGGGCAGCGCCCTTGGAAACCCAGTTATCAATGCCGCAAGATTCGGATACGGGGACTGAAGATGACGGTTCGAGCCAGAAAAGCTTTATATCAACCGAGACCGAGTCGAGTTTGACCGGGGAAGAGAGCGATTCGAGTGCAGAAGGGAGCTTGAGCAAGCCGAAGAATATGTCTAGTTACGCGGAAGAGAACTTAAGCATTTACAAGGCGAACGCTGGTCTGAAAACTTGTGCTGTCATGAAGGGATCACGTTCGTACCAGTTCTCAACCATTCTACCGTGGGGATTGTTAGGCACAGCAATATTTTGGATCATGATTGGCCAAACTTGGTACCAAAGCTATATTACCAAAAACCCACATTAATTCGCTATGCGTGTATAATACCTGATGTGCGAGTCTGCAGGTAACCATCTCTATTTTTATTCATTGATCATCCTCATGTTATCTTAGCGTTTCTGAATCTATTGTATGTGTTGATGTCGCTCTGCGTGCACTTCTTGGCTGGAATATTAATTAATTGTCTTTTGGCGGGCTCCATGTACATTTACAATAAAGAGATAGTGTGTTTTTTCATGCGGCAAATAATAGGACCTATTGAATACTAGTTTATCAGTCATAAACCCATAGCTAAGAGAGCTTTGATATGCCTTCAATTATGTAGGGGGCAGTAGACAGTCCTCCCTACATGTAATAAGGCTAGCGCTAACTATAGTTAGCTGTCTACGTTCAAATCGAACAGCAGCGGAATAACGACTGCTCCGGGGAGAGGGCCCCTGTTATCATCTCGTATTAATCTCCTGCTTTTGGTACAACGCTTGGAAGGCTGGACATATGGTGACGGAAAACTAGAGTACAAGAGATATAGAGCGCGAGCGATATTATGAATGGAAGGAAGTCACTTCACACTGTACTGACTTTTAAAGGCCACGTGCTGCATCTAAACAAATAATTAGCTTGTGCGACTAGGACTTTTTCGGAAACCAACGTATCCTGGAAAAGCTACTCGCGTAGCACGAGCCTGTTCGAGAAACCAGGAAAGCTAGGGGGGAAAGATTAGTCTAGTGGTGTCTCACGAACTGTATACCAAGTCTACAAACTAAAATCAGAACAATAGATATGCAGGATGGCCCTTATGGCTGTGTATATACCTGCAATCATGTATTATCTTCATCCAAAGAAAAACCCGGGAAGTGCCATGCTTCTTTGTCATAGTCATCGGGAAAAGCCGGGTTGCTTCGAAATCAAAGAGTGATGAACGCATATATTAATATATATTACATAAACACAAAAGAAGTGACAAGTCTTCATGTTCGACCAGGCTAGAATAGTAGCGGCTACTCTTGAAAATAAACGCTCCACATTTGAGGGGCTTTACGTCGATGCATTTGAAAACCCTTACTCTATACCGATAAAGAGGTAACGACCCGGAACCTTGGGCCAATATATATCGTTGGTAGAGCTAGTTGACCGATTTCATCTCAATGAGGAGTCTCGAGGCTTCCAAAATTTGATCAGCCAATTGAGTCTTTAAAATTTAAAACTTAGAAAAGTTTAAAGAGGTAATATACTCCTGACAATTTAAGGACTAAGATTTAATTAGCTTAAGTTCATAATAAGTCTAGGGTATTGCGTTGAGCAATACGGTACCTCCATTTTACACAATATAAGAATACGGTTTATAATTTACACTGCCTTGAGGAATCCAGCAATAAACGGTAACCTAAGTAACATATGCACTTGGTGGGGCCCAGTCTTAGGACCGAGACGTCGAGACTGGCGTCGTAAATTAAACTAGACAACACGCAGAATATGAATGTTGTGGTTGAAAAAAAATGCAACAGTTCCGAATTGTCGGCTGACAGTACCTAAGTAGTTGGGTATAACTAGTTAGAAGGCGCGCCGGAGCCAACTAACGCTAGCTCAGTTCGATCGTTAGCTAATTCAATAGCCACTGCAGACCGGATTCTGGCTAATGCAATGATGATTGAGAGTAGGCGCTAAGTTATCCAGTCCATCGGCCATCGCGTCCTAGATCACAACTACGGTCCTACCCCTATACGAGCTATTTAGTATCTAGTGCTAGCTCTAGCTGCTTCTGGTAGTTATAAGCCCCTGATCAAAAAAACATCCGGCCTATAGCTAACGTAACTAAGCATCCGAGCAACTGAACTCCACGCTTGCTAGCAGTTACATAGTACATTGGCTAGGACAACGAAAACTTAATCTAGGATCCGTTTGTAGGACAATTCTCAAGCGCGTCTCTAGCTTTTTGAATTTTAGTATGAACTTACTAACTAGGATCCGATGTTATGATAAGCGTAATAGCTACGGCCCGTTCCATAAAAGAGGATGGCGACTCGCCGTACTACTCGTAGTTCGTCTCAGAAATCGCCGCAACCAGACACTTCTATGCCCATATCGAAACTGCTACCTATACCTCCCAACTATGCATCCTCTTCCCAATCCCAAATCTCTTTCTTTTCCTCTTCCTTAAGCCTGTCTACAAAGTCAACTGGGCTCTCAAAACGCGATTTAGCGCTGTTGCTTAAAAAAAAGCGTCTTCTAACAACCTCGACACCAGGAGCCCTCACATCATTGGAACCACATCTCAGCTCTGCCCTCTTGGCAACTCTAGTTTTCGCGCAGTCTGAAGCAGGAACTGCCTTTTGCATTTCTCCTACGGGGTTGCTATTGACCTGTTCCCATTGCGTTTCCGAAGATCCCTCAGAATTGGAAGAAAATCGTATCAAATGGCTTCTTTTCGCGTCAGGGCAGATTGTCCAGGCGAAGTGCACGGCGTACGACCATATTCGCGATCTAGCTCTTCTACAAATCACCTCTGCGGAACAAGCAACAGGTCTACCACTTAACATTCCTGCCAACAATCAAGGCCTAAGCACATCTGTCCCATTCCTCCCAATATCCTCAGCACCGCCTAAGAAAAATGCCCAGATGATATGCATAGGTCACCCTGGAGATGAAGATCTAGAAACCTCAAAACCGGGCGTCAAAACGAATTACGACGTAATTCACGTCAGTTACGGAAGATACAGGGGTATTGCGGAGGGCGCGGATGTGCATGATAATAGTGAGATTGGTGCAATGATGCATGATTGTTGGACTTATTGGGGACATAGTGGGGCACCTTTGTGTATGAGGAAGGATGGTTCAGTTGTGGGAATGCATTCGAGTTGGGAGGATGAGACTGGAATGAGAAGGGGGGTTGCGTGGGAAGCGATAGTGGGGTTTTTGAGAGAGAATGGGGACCCGCATGTTATTCAAGGTTTAGATGAAGCAATGGTAGGGTCTATGGAGACGCCTATACTGGTTGAGTAACGATCTTGGAACCTTTTCTATTTGAGAGAACGTGCATGTATCTGACATTCAATAAAAAAAAAATTCTTGTAGGGTTGTGAAATGCGCTCCGGGTATATATAGAAATTGGCGCTATACTATACAACAAATGAAACCCTCTGGCCTATAAGGATAACCAACAAATGCAAGATGAATATAAATGTAGAAGGAGCCACAGGCTTCCTGCGCGATTTCATAGATCGATTTTTTAAATAACCAGAAAAACACCCAACTCCGCTGAACATGTTTTCAACTTGGCCATAGGTCTCAGGTCTGCTAAAATAGCAGGCTGAAGAAATAAAAGAAATAAAAAATGCGTAAAAGGACCTTGAGATCGGATATATTCACGATCTCACAACTTTATCTGAGATTCTAGCATACCCCACATCTGGAGGCCTCAAGAACCTTCGCGATACATCATACGGTCTTTGCCCTCCAAATATAATAACTTCTCTAGGCGAGTAATCGACATATCGATTCGCGTGATTCACCTCACTCCGGTGCCTTAAATCAATTACTACTGCCTGTGCGCCATATGTATTCGACGCTGCTAGCATAGGGTCTACCACCCTTGGTCGGTGAGAGTAAGCCGCTGCGATTAAAGGCATCATCAAGCCTAGTGCCGCTTCTGGAAGACCGTCGAAGGATGTTTTGAGTTCAAAATCGTAATCCCACCAATTTTCTTCAGATCTCCAGTTTGTATGGGCTCCAATATTGACGCTAATACGTTCAGAGCCACGTGGATAGAATATTTGAATCTTTTGCCAGATTGGTTGGAATTCTCTGACAAGGCGGATGCATTTTCTCTTGAATATTCTTTGCCTAATATGAGTCGGGCCCATTTCTCGAAGAACACAATCGTAAAATTTGTATATCGGGGTACCTATCGGCATAACGATGCAAAAGATAAAGCACATGAATGAGGTGTAGACGACGCCGGATTCTCGGGAACTGTCGTAGCTCCTCGCCCCGCAGTGCATTGCTTTATAGACTTTTCTGCCGAGGTGCAGACTTAAACTTGGCACCTCTTGTCTTACTGGGGGCGCTTTCCTAGTCTTGACGTTGTTCTTCCCCATTCTTTTCCAGAATATCCGGAGTATGTCAAGAGCGAGTGGGGTCAGGATTGGATTGGGTTTGACGATGGTATCATAGGTTGGGGTCGGATCTACCCATGGTGGTAGGGTCGGTGTCTCAGGTCTCTTCTCTTCTTCATTTTCGGTCGCGCTCGCACTTGCGTTTGTTCGTCGAAGGCCAGAAAGGGAATAATATTTTAGATCCGGGGATGTAGATTCGATAAGATCTTTCCAGGTTTTGCAAACAGCGCGACAATTCAATATCAGGTCGATCGCGGGTACTTCCAGAAGTATACCCTCTAGTACCTCATGTATTAGGAATATGGGGGATGTGGGATGGGTCTCCGGCTGTTTTCCCTTAACCGAAGTGGTCGCGGTTTTCCGCGATCTTATGCGGAGGCGCATATGCATGGCGTTCGATGGATCTCGGTATGGGCTTGGAAGAACTTGATGATAACGATATCCCGTGACACCGTACCAAACTTAAATCCTTAGGGGTTTTAACGTGGTTTGATGGCATTCTGAACTTCTGGGTTCGCTTTTGACTTTATATGATCCCTAAACCTTCAACCCCGATCGTAAATCGAGATACCCCCTTTTGCACACGGGCCGTTAATTACCAAGCTTCAATCTCGACTTTTGTGGTGGCAGTGTCGTGGCTCTGCCTTGCCGAAAATCCAACAAATATGACTTGTTGGCAGCCGCTCGCTAAGAAGGAGTACCAGAACAAGAGAGGATGGCCTTGCAAACGAATCAACCCGAGTGGCGCTAGAGAATAGTTCAGTATAGTGTCAGTTCGCCTCGCAGGTCTCCGTGTTATATGTCGAGAGTTTCAGGGCTGTTCTTTCACACTCCCAGGACTTTTTGGTCTTCAGCCTTGTGTCACCAGACTCAACACAAGGTACACTCCGTTGAAGGAGAGAGACCCAATTAGGTTTCGATCAACGCTTTGTGGAACAACCTTCTGCTGGCTGAATTGACCCTATCAATGCAATATCAACATGCAATATCAACATGCAACATCGTGAAAACATCGTGAACGTATGCTAATAAAATCTTAAGCAAAGGGTATTCAGTTTATTATGTTAGCTATAGGTGTTAACTTCGGGTCAGTTTGCTTAAATTCAAGGCCAAACATTACAATGATTTGCCGGTTCCCGGCGCACTGACAAAAATGTTTGGCTGCTTCGCTGGTTGTACAATCCCAAAATTGCAACGCCGTGAGGTGTTGTTGGACTACGGCAGTTGACCAGAGGGGTCTATACAAGCGGGCGATGATCTTAGAGCTATATACCTTGTCAGGAATCTTCGAATATGTTCTTCAAAGGCCAGCAAATGTTTGATAGATTAGCAACGCGATGAAAATTTCCATCAGTTAGTTCACTACTATCAAATCGCAGGTGTTTCAACAAGACCCGTGACATAATGTATTAATGTTATGTGAAATTAGTCGCGGGCTCGGCTAGCCTCGAGGCAACATACGACGTTTATCTCGATATCTCACACACTGCCAACAAACAAACTTATCGCCATCCTCCTCACCGTCTGCTTAACCTCTCTCACGTCTAGTAACCCCTATCTCCATTACAATATCCTCCTACTACCATCAACCCTTGGACCACGATTCAAATTAACCCCCCCAAAACTACCAGCTGCAAAAGTGGGTGCACGCAAGAAGCAAATCAAGGTCAACCTTTGGAACAATCTCAAAGCGGAGACTGCTAAAGCCCTTGATAATACGTCAACTGTCAGAATACGTATTCTTTTCTCTCTTTTTATTTAAGCGTTCTAACTCACCTCAAAACTCTAGGATAAAAATGATAAGCCCGTCAAGGCCCCAGTTGCTGAATCCGAATCTAGCAAGACCACAGTCACTGGATCCAAGCCAGCTACTGCTACCCCGGACAAACCGACTACCAATGTTCCTGAAATCAAGAAGGCCCCGGTCAACAAATCAATCGAAGCTACGAAGTCTACTGAAAAGCAGCCAACAAAGCATCTCGAGAAGTTGCTAGCCCAAAAGATTCCCGATGCCCCCAAACCTATCGAAAAGTTATCAACCAAAAAGACTCTGGTCACTCAGAAAGCCTCACCGAAATCCCCAGTGAAAGCTCCCGAAGTCCTCAAGGCTGCCCCGCAAATATCACCAACAGTGGTCCCCACCCCTACCAAGGAAAAAACAATCCACCAATCCACTCCATGGGCCAAAATCGTTGCCGAAGTTCGAGAGAATAGTCAACATACTTTCATGCTTGTGGACAGAATCGAGAAAAAGCGTAGAAGTTTGTCTGAACAGATCTCGGAATTGCACGCGACCCTCGCTCGTTCTGTTGCTGCGAAGAAGCAGAATGAACAGGAAAATGGACAAAAGAACTAGAATCGAAGAAGTGAATAGTTCCCATTTTGACGAAGGATTAGCGAGGTTCTTTGTTTAGCGAAATGAATGCAGATTTATTATCTGGTATGTACCTGTTCTATCTAAGCTAATTTCAGTTTCTTTGTTGCTGACTTGGCAACCCCATTTCCTACAGATAGAACCTATAACAAGCTTTATCTTATTGCTAGACTAGCCACACAACCATGATTTATAATCAATTTTTAGCGGGGAGGGGTCCACCATTGTTGTTAGAGCTTTTTAGTCCCCCTCCTTGTACCTCGCACAGTTGAGGAGTCTGGCAACGAGACAAGAGAGGATCCTATCGGACTATGAAGCCGATAAAAATTCTTGAAGGTACCATACTCGATATTAATACAGACGTTCTATGCCACTGCTCCTATGTAAAAGGGAAAAAAAAACCGTGGGACTAGCTTAATCGATGGTATTAAATTGCCTACCAATATTATTCGCGTGGAATCTAAGATATATCATGAAGGTAACATCTTCGAGGATTCTTTAACATCTTCATCATCCGTCTCTTCTTCTTCCGAATCCGTCTCATATTCGCTTTCCTCTTCTTCATCTTCATCTTCATCTTCATCTTCTTCCTCATCCTCAGATTCACCGTCTCCCTCCCCATCGGAGTCCTCCAACCACTCATCCAAAGTCTTTCCATTGGCCTCTTTCTTGCTTACCACATCCAGGGGTTCCTGCGTATGCCCAACACTAACCACCGGAGTGACAACCTGCCGAGGAGCCTCGACCTTCCTCTCCACACTCTTGATTTCCTTAACCTCTTCGTACCCATATTCCTTCTCGATTGGGTCCCTGATCCGGCGTTCAGGTGCGTCTTCTTCACTAACCCACTCCGGCAACCCGACGTATCCTCTCACATACTCATCCTTCCCAATCATCAACGCCGAACTGCCCACTGTTAGCCCTTCCCTCAGTGCTGCGCTAGGACTAGGCGCGAATGGCACCGGTTTCGGCGCCAGCAGTATCAATGTCGCCAACTGCACTGATTTCGGTGTTGAAAGAAGCGACATATACATCCTAGCCCGGTCCCTAATATCATAGCTGACATCATAGCGCGCCAGGCGAGATATATAATTAAAGAGTTGAGGGATAGGATGAAAGTCTTCAGGTGCATCTTCATCTTCTGACAATGGTTGTTCGAAACCCGTATTCGTCCGGTTCAAATAATGGGCATAGACCTTTGCCGCCAGAAGCAGTATCTGTAATTTGACCCCTTCGGCTTCATTCGCAAATCCTTTGGCTAGAATACGGAGTACATCCGCAGAGACATTGTCTCCGTTGTCCACCCCTGAGAATTCGGCCACGAGCCAAATTATACTGGCTCGGGCAGTGCTACTAGTAGCAGTATCTAATGCCTTCGCAAGTTTTATTACCGTCTTTTTGTGTAGTGTGGGTTGCTGTTGGATAATGTGCCTAACAACCGTTAAACTCTCTGCTACCAAATGTTGGTCCGGTGAGTTTATATGTTCCATCAATAGCTTTAAACAACGCCTAGACTGCTCGGGATTATTCTGCGCACACCGTCCTACTGCCTTGACGGCTTCTCGTACCAGTTCTTTATCATAACTCCCCGCGTAGTATGATAATTCTGTTAGAATTAGTGATTGATGTGGTTTTGAAGAGTAAGGGTAAACGAGTGTGAGAGCTTCTAGCTTTAACTTGCTGATTTGAGGTGTGTCGACTGGTGAAAGGAGGAAGTGAGTGCAATGTGGGGAGAAGATGGAAGGGTATCTTAGGGCGATAAAGACTATATTTGTGAGTGCTATGAGCTGGATGTCTTGCGGGCTTCTTAGAAGGGATAAAAGCGGTGGCGCTAGAGGGAGGAGATAAGAAGATGGTGCCAGATGATAGTATGCACGCGCAACAGCGAGAATAACCTATAAAATATCAATAACATGAAACCGTTTGAAAGAGATCGATGTGAACTTACTGCACTATTGCGGCTTTGTAAGAGGGGTGGACAGCAGTCTAAAAGAAGTTTTAGGTCTGGATCAATACCCCCTACTGCAACCTCATCCTCCATTTCTTCATCTGAATAAAATCCACCGCTTCCACTAGTAGTCTTCTTTTTCTTATTGCTTTCCTTGACCTTCCCTTGTGGAAAGTTTTTACGCGCATAGACAGTTAGGAGTCTCAGCAACGCTAGTTGACCCCATTCATCCATATCGATTAGCAGCTTACACAACCCCCGATAATGCGGGTGTACCATTTCGATTCTTTCTGGACAAACTTCCCACCAAGCCATCACTGCCGCTCCAATAACATAGTAACTCTTATCCCCCAATAATGTTGCCACAAGATCCGTAAGGAGCGGCAACGTACTCGGGTCGAGTCTATAACACTTTGGAATCGCTAAGGCCGCAGCTTTTCGAACATAAGGCGACATATCCGTTACACATCTTTTGATTCCCAGAGCTACTATTTGGGAAATAACTGGCACCCTAATCCCAGACATAACGCGGATAGCCATGGCACGAACGACTTGGTTCTGGTCGGTTAAGGCCTTTTGAATGGTGTTTATGGAAAGCAAAGCGAGGTCTGGCTCAGATTCGGCATACGTGAGAAGGTAGATATACACTAATTTTTTGATTTCCAGTGTAGGAGAAGCGACATTCTTGACGACATCGGCGAAGTATTCGGAACAGTCGACGCCGCGGGACATCATCTAAGAACTATTAGATCATATCACGGCATATATATTATCTAGAATGGTGGTATACGGATACGACCCGCCTAAGGCCATCAAGAATATCCCTATCATGTCGGGAGGAGAGAAAGCGGTGGATTTCCTTTGGCGACGAAGCCTTGGCGGGTGCGACGGCGACTCTGGTGCCATAAGTACGGCTGCCGGAGGCAGATGTAGCTGCCTCGATAGTGAGATCCCGGGCTATCAAAATTTACTGGATTAGCTCTAGGAACTGGAGTTTGATGGAAGGCCAAGTACCCTGCCCGATGATATTCGATATTTTGGAGAAGGACTCCATGTTCATGAGGGATGAGGTTGAAGGCCGAGGTGGGATGGCGATAGCTGGACGGCGACGACTTGAAGGAGCTTAGTGTCGAAGTGACGTTATCAACACACACGAGCTTCGGATTACATAAGCCGAATGTCCTTATACACAAAAATACTTCCTTGTGTTCAAGCCTACTTAACTTACCTACGTATGGCACATGACATAGATCCCCGAAAATCATAAAAACCAATAGTAATTTGCACCAATCCCTTCGCTTGAAGATTGTTAGATACTCCAGTAGTAGTTATGAATTTACGTGGCTAATCAACAGCGCTGCTCAAGGCCCCAGAAAAATATACAACAGCAGCAACTCATTGCAATATTACACTAATCATTTCTAACGGAATTAAATTCATGGATCAAGGATATTAAAACATGCCGGTATTCAACAAAAGAGAAATTTGTTAAAATTAGGTAATTTGGGGATATAAGCTCAGATTAGACTTAGCTACCCCGTTCAATAGGCTCGACTAACATATATACTTATGCATACATGAGTACGATTCGATTGGCGCTAGCGCCAGATTAATAATATTATTATATTAATGACCTTCACTAGTACCCACAGTTGAGGAGCCTGGCGACGAGACATCCAGTACTTATAATTACATATCTACTAATGGTTATAGCTGGTCTGGGTTATAGCAGTCTTTATTATATATACGTCAGAAAGAAGTTTTAGATATTGAATGAGTCTTAATAATGTAGCTTTAACCTTCTTTCTTTCTTTACCCATCGTGAATTCCCTTCGAGGCCTGCGTCCTTTACTTCTGTACGCAGGCCACGATCCACCGTCTCATCCGGGGATCATATTTGAATGGCTTTTACGTAACAACGTTGGGAGAGTTAGACTCGCGACCAAATCAACCTATTGTCACGTTCCCGCCTTCTACATCTACTTCAATGTACGTGCTTCCAAATTTACAAAGTTTTTACGTCAGTGGCAACATACAACAGACTTTCCTAGGCTAAGGACATCCCGATTGTTTAAATTATGTATCTTTTTGACAAGTTGTCGTGTTCGTGGTAATAATGGCTCTGGAACCCGGTTTGGTGCTTGGTATATAGCAAAGAAGGCAAATATTGAATTTGTCCATCCCTGCATGCGTCCTTTGAATAATCACAACGACGCCTGATGATATTATACCTACTTTTTCAGGGTAACCGACCGGATCTTAACATCATAATCTAGATATCTAATGGCACTTTTAATACAGTACGCTGACTGCAGCATCCTGATATCTCTTAAATTAAACCTCAACGTTTTGATCTTGTCTCAACGTTAGAAAACGTAGCCGTTGTAAGAAAAATATTGTACCACTAGAGTACTATCCAGGTTACTTTCCCGTATCAACATTTGTACAAAGTATGTAAACTATTTATTTAATTATTTTAAAGATCTTGGTATCGGTTTTTATAAATTAAACAGTATGTTATTTTTGGGTCCTGTTGGTGCTAGGAGTTATGGTGGGTATAGCAACAAATTTAAGGTCTGCAATGCAATGTTTGACCTGCTTATCGGAGAGGCGGGGAGGCGGGGAGGCGGCGGGAATCGGGTTGATTCGTCAGCCTATTCGATCTTGCGAACCACCTTTGTGTTCCATTGGATACATCAGCTTAAAATACAAGACGTGAATGCGTATATAATTACATACATACAGTGTATACGCCAATAAAATATGTTCAAAAACACTTGGGCTAATTCGAGGTGTACCGGCATGGACGGCTAGTAGCCAGTACTGGGCTGAGGTTCGAATACTATGTAGTTACGCATATTCCATGCGTTGTATGCAAAAGTACGCACAGTTAACTAAGCCTTATAGCTTACACACCGGATTCAAGACTGGGTACGCACGCTATCTGTATGGTTTATGGTATGCAGAAACTATTTGAATACCATTTGTTACTTACCGACAGCTAGTTCTATCAATACTAGAAGGCCGGCCTAGCTAGGCGGGACTCGGTCATTTCTGATGGAATTGATAGCTCTAACCGAGAGATTCAGTGCAGTAATATCTATTTTCAAGCATATGGTCAGCTTTGAACCACCAGTATAGAGTCCATCATGCTGAAATGGCCACATGGGCTACTTCCAATCGGCTTCTTTTTCCTTGCTGAATGACAGTTAAAAGCTTAATTTGACACATATAATGCTAAAATCCGATCATTCAAATACTGAGGGCTAGCTCAGTGCAGTCCGAGATTAGCTGAGAGTATCATTCGGGGGAGAGGTGGATTCAACATACGTTTCAAATATGTACATATACATTGGTGCATGTGCTGTACCAAGCTGTCCTATGCAGGACAGTACGGATGGATTAGCCGGGGTTAATTAATCTCAGCTCAGCCTCGCGAGCGCGTAGTATATCCAAATCAATATCACGATCGAAAGTGTGATTGATGTATGCGTGTACCTGTTTATTATAAATATAGATATTATAGCGCGCGTGGGAGCAACAAATAAAAATGGGGTATCTGGGTCATGCGCACTATCTTACAACCATATAGTCACAATCCCACCGGCGACCAACGCCACAAATCTGCGGAAGATCCTGTGGTACTATCCTCTCCAAGAGTTATGATAGCTTATAGAACTAAGTTATTGCTTCTAGTTGGTCAGGGTAAGGTTGGTGGGGCCTCGTATACACGTTAACACGTGTATGACATGAATACATTAATATCCCCTCGGGGATATGTTTTAGCGTACAGTCAGCAGCCTCGATCATTTTCCTGATAAGCTCTCAGTTGAAAAGGGATTGGTTTGATGATACTATTTACGGAAACTATTTTGTGTAGAGGAAGAGCGATTGTAAGATAAAGATATGCATGGCTGGAAGTAGAACCTCGACGGATCAGAATCTGCCAGCCTCTAAAATTTAAAACCTGCCTTGGTTGTGCTTTTTATACTATGTCTGGCTAAGCTGCGAGTTGGAATTAATATCACTACTTGATGTGAAATACTTATGTTCACGCAGATGTCATATCGGAGTCGATATAATTACTGACCGGAATCTTCGACGTTGACGTATTCATTTTAAGCTCAACCGTGTACGGAAACTTTGTTACACATATAAAATATTATCGCCATAACGCAGCTTTATTCTTCTAATTTAATTCTTATGACCCGGGTTATCGACGGGTCGATTGTCCTAGACATTATCGATGCCATGCAGTGGCGTGAACTTCCGAGGTTTTTTTTTTGTCTTGAATATACGAAACAGGGCAAGAGGGTCTCTTGAGATCTCACTTGACGTAAATGGAAAAGGTTTGTCAATTAATAAAGGTGACTGCCAATCCGGCTTATAGATAGCCATAGATTACAATCCTCTGCATAAATTTAATGAGATACTGTTATACTTGTTAATCAAATCTGCCAATAAGAGGCGATGATGATGTCAACAATAGTGGTATCGCGAGCGCTCGCTATCGTGCCTTTTGAATTTTGTATCTGTTCGAAGTATCTAGATCTAGATATCTTGTGTAAATATATTATGGGCATGGGCAAACGTCTGGTACAATAATTCGATCACTGTCCCTAGGGCCCTCCATCAGAAGAAAAAGAAAGAAAAATGAAGTTACGAACGTTGTTCTCAGTCATACTATCTATCTTGCTGGCACATCCCTACATAAACCAAGGTCAACATGAAATGAAAAAAGCACAAACCAACCAAATCCATGCTAAACTATTCTCGGTTTATTCACCAACCTACTTGTTTGACCAATTGATGAGCTGGCAATTTATGTCAGTGGCTACATATATGACTTCAGATTGGATCCTGTTAGTGACTCATGTACTATACTGGAGCGCGTAATCTAGAGCAGAGGCTCGATAACTGCCGTTTCTCTGACAGGTTGATCCCTGATGCTGAAGATTGAGGATTTTGCTTTCGTCGCCGCAATCTGCCTGCGTGGTCGCCTTACAGATGCAGATATCTTAACAGCATCCACGCAAGATGAATTGGCCGCTTGCATGCACACGAGGCTAGAAATTACGCAGCAAAAAGCAAGTGTCTCTCTCCCTTGTTCTTGGATGGCCTTCTGCATTTCGATCCTTATATCATAAGGCCTATCCTCCACCTAATAAGAAGCCGCTCCCCCTCAACCTCACTAAGCCCACAACTACGCATCACAAAATATGCAACCTAAATTTCTGTCTCCTACATCTATGTCCGTTTATATCTAGCTATCTACCAATTGCTATTGATAACGATTGTAGCGAAGCAGCGATCCTTGCATGAGGTTGACTTTGCTCGTTCCTCACCTACACGGAAGTTACATGTACCCGAGGTACTAACCGCCTCGACTTCATACCAATACGGCGAGGATCTGACTTTAGCTTCCGGACCTTTTGCTGCAAGCACCCCTGAATAGAGTGAGATCTTATACAGATACTTATCTCGCCCTGAATCGGTGTTTAAAGTGTATTTTTGCGAATAGACCCAATTTGAGGATAAGGAAAATCAAGGCACTGGTAGGAATTCTGCTCGGCCACTTTGTTAACTTTGTCGCAAGTGATACATGCTGAAACGCCACATTTAGTAGTGAGGGTATACAGAAAACTGAGGCCCAGTTCAGCTAGTACTGCTAAGCCCAGAATATGGAGCATGAAACTATAACAAGAGCTATATTGATTGGAACAAATTTCTATATACGCGGCTCGGAAAGACAGGATACGAGCTTTTCGGATTTGAAAGGATGTGTGGAGGATGTCAATCAGGTAGAAAAATTACTACACGAACTTTTCGCCCCGGATAAGTTGTCTGTCATTCGATTGACAGCTACCGCACCAGAAAATGGCGAAAACGAGCCAAAGGAACCTCAATCTGATTGGCCCACCTACGAAAACATCATCAAAGCATTCACAAAAGTCACAGAAGAGGCCAAGCCTAATGATATTGTCTATATTCACTACTCTGGACATGGTGCTCGGGTGAAGACAATATTTCCGGACCCAGAACACCGTGAGTTTGATGAAGCTCTAGTACCTACGAACATCAATTCGGGCGGGAAGTATCTTCGCGACAGAGAAATATCCTTGTTGATTGAGAAGATGGTTGAAAAAGAGTTATTGGTGACCCTGATATTAGACTCCTGCCATTCGGGGGGTGCAAACCGCAGCTCTGAGAATAAAACTGCAAGGGGAGCCTCGTCCAGAGATTTTAATATACTCGACCGTGACCGATATACTATATCACCAAAAACCGAGCTGGATTCTATCACATGGGGAAAACGTTCAAAGGATACGAAACGCGGGGTCAAAGTGGGAAACCACTGGTCACTCGAGCCTCGTGGATACGCCTTTCTCGCTGCCTGTGGCGCAGACGAATTTGCGAGCGAGGCTACGTTTAATGGCAAGACACAAGGCTTGCTAACCTACAACTTCATCAACACCATTAGAGAATACAAATCAACAAAGCCTACATATTATGATCTGTACCATCTTGTCAGTGCGAAGGTTAAAGAGCATGATAAGCAGCAGACGGTAGCATTAGGTGGCGAAGCAGACCGTTTGTTCCTTTCTTCCATTCGCAGGGAACTCTTTTATACAGTCCGAGTAACAAAGGTTCATACCGAACCGAACAAACAACCCAGTATTGAACTCGACGCAGGTTCTGCCCAAGGAATCTCCGAAGAAGACGAGATTGACATCTGGCCTTCATCATGCGATGGCTTCAACTCTTCCGAAAGAGTAGCGCGATTCAAAGTGGTCGACGTCGAAGAATTCACATTGAAGGCTGATATAGTCCAATGGTACAAGGATTGTCAACATGAACAGCAACTGAAACCCGGCTTCTTAGGACGGCCACACCATATGCCACAAAAACCAGTCTACTTCTCTTCTTCTACAAAACTTGATATCATGCAAACAGCCGAGAACCAAATGGATGGGCTAAGGGGCGTATTCAAAAAACACAAAATTCCGTTGTCAGATACTCTATCTAAAGCTTTCTTCGAGGTCCACACCCAAGACGGGAATTATGTGATTTGCGGGGGCGGAAATCAACGGCTTCTAAACGCAATACCCCCGTTACCTACAAATGTCGACGGTGCAGCGGAAAAGCTAGCGCGCAATATCTTGCACCTTACTAAATACTACAACATTCTTGAATTGCAAAACGATGAATCAGCCAATTCGAATGAACAAGTCTCTACCACGCTGGAAAAACGAACACCAGCCTCCCCAACATCTGTTCGTGTCTGCGAAGGGTCGCCGGCTGATGACCTCCCTTCTGAAGAACCATGGGAGGTTGATACAGATGGCGAAGTCCTCCTCCGCGTGGTGAACAAGTCAGGAGAGAAAAAATATATTGCAGTAATGGACCTCGACTCAGATTGGTGTGTCGAACAAATATTTCCCAAAGGCCCCGGTGCCATAGCGGAGCCATTGGAGCCAAACCAGACTCTACTTCTCCCGTTGAAATTATCTGTACCTGATGATATCCCCCCAGGGCACATAATTGATACTATAAAAGTTATCACTACGTCCGAGCTTACAAACTTTCGATGGTTGGAAATCCCTAGCCTGCAAGATGTCGATAAAGGATCTAGATCCCAGAGAGCCCGTGCAGCTTCTCCAAAAAATAAACTTGAAGAACTGCAGGAAAGGCTGATGACACCAGCGCTACGCAAAGTCAAATATGTTCCCATTAATTTCAGTTGGGGGACAACGAAGCTAACTGTGTCTAAAATGGTGGAAAAGGCGGCGGCAGTCTCACCACCAGGCATAAAAGACGCCGAAGGCGAGGTGCGTATACCGATAAACCCAGAGAACACTACACCGCTAGTAATCCCTGAGCCCAAGATTATGGCAGACTTGACTCGCCCGGATGTGGAAGTTACTACTCGAATAACTCTGTCATTTTCAGCTGGAATGAAATGGCGATTGACTTTTCTTTTAGTTTGTTTTACATTTTCTCTCCCTTGTAGTATTTTCTATATGCGTCACCCGCAATTAGATTTGAGGGTAGTGTCTTGCTTAAGTTTTCTTAGTCAGCTGTTTGAATGAATCTTGATATATATTATCATATTGTCAAGAGGACGATTGTACAATTCATTGCAAGAATCTTTTTCAAAGAACCGTGTCAATGGACATGAGGATGTATATACTAGAAGTTTTTATTCACCTGAAATATGACTTTTGAAAGCAGTGCCCCTTGTAAACTTGGTAAAACTTTTATTGAATTTCTTGATTAACGTTATTATATATTGGAATCTTGATGATTTTAGATCATGATGATTTTAGATCATGATGCAATAGATGTATTCTTGTATTCTAGAAAAGATTTTAGATCTATGTACCAGATATATTCATTGTCCATCTAAGGATAATAATTCTACCATGTCGAAACTATATATCGGTCGTGAGATGTAATAATGATTCGAGGAGAGAGTCAAATTTAGTGAGTGAGATGATCTCCAACTCGGCCAATGATACAAGACAAGATGGTCCGGTCGTCATGATTGTCTTTAGCTGTAAGGAAACCCCCTTATATATTTCCATGCAGCGCTCCGACATAATTTGCCGGTGTAGTAACAAATAGTACTTGCATTCCGCTTAACCACACAGGAATTTCTATATAGGTATACCGATATTTATAAACGCCCGAGAGCATCAGTATAATATAGATCGGTAGTCTTGATTCCGGACGGTACTTATCCATCCAAAAACATATAAATGGGGCGAACTCAGAATGTTTGAATACAGCACCATTTCAATTGTAATTATAATATATGATTCTATGAGTATTTAAAGGATATTCGGCCCACCTGTAGATTATTCGGTTTCGAAGACTTAACCAGTCAACAATTGCGAATTTGAATTCTGTGATCACGGTTGATTTTCTGCTACGGCTCAGGAATATTATTCTGGGCCTCGAGACTAAATGCGTTGCACATTTTATAATTTACATAACTATTAACCTCCAAGAATTTGAAACCAAAAAGGTCTAAAGGGATGGACTGGAAAGACCAAAAATTGGAAGGAGAAAAAGGAAAGGCGCTACTCCTGCTAGCTGGCGGTGCAGTTGAAAAATCACTATTTTATCAGTATACAGTCCTAGTTACCTAGTCAGATCTAGACGCAGGATTAGGCCAGCCTTGCAAGAAAACGCAGTTCGGCGCTCGAACGCAAATGAGCACAGGTGGCCAAACACGCTGGCGTGCATGTATGTATAACTAAGTACATGCATATGTATGAGTTATTCCACGCACTGGACCCGGTCTCCTAGCACCCGCATTTGCAGGACATCGCTCTTTGATAATGTACTTGTACACTTGTGGCCATGTGGTTCCACGAGTTCCCTATCGGCCCGTTCTGTTTTGCATTTATCTCAGGGCGGATAGTCGACAATCCACACAAGGGTACAGCCGGGCACTCTGTGGAGCCAATTAACACCGCATATACGCATACCTGGAGTAGTGTGACCAAGGCCGCGATACTTCGAATTTTTGCGCATTGTCACAGACAGCTAGATGGCGGGGATCAGACATAACTCTACCCAAACCATTGCCACGTCGCGACGTACCCTTCGAAGGCCCAACTGCATAGATCAAACCATAATTGCATAAGTTCTTACCAGAACAAATATCTCGCATCGAGCAATTCGTCCATTTGTTAAATTTATTTGTGGGTTTTAATAGCTAGTTAGTATAATTATAATTACTGACCTCGAATGGTTAGTTAAGCATCCGATATAGGAGCTTTGGCTAACCCCCACTCCCTCTCCCAAACCCAGCAACTACAAGCCCCACCCCGATCAGTAGGGATGGCCTAAAAAACGTTAACTGCAAATCGTCACCAATAAAAAGAAAAATCTGCTCCATACATTAGATACCCGTCGAATCGATTCGTACAAGATTTTGCATTAATTTCGCAGCCTTCTCAACAATTTAAAAGTTAGCCACACTATAATCGGGAGTCGGTGCGATGCTAACGGTGAGAATGATCACACAGGCAGATGGATCGCGGTCACAGAATATGGGCACTCTTAGTAGGAGTAGAGTCCTATTTCCAGGGAAAGGAACGGCCGCTCGAGTATCATAGGCTGAACGGCTGTGTTCGTGATGTCAGGGCTGTTGAGGAATACCTGCGGCGACTGGGAGTGCAAAATATCAAGACTCTCACAGCGTCAGGAGAGAAAGATCCAATCGAAAATCACAGGGAACTCCCAATATATGAGAATATCGAACGCGAGTTTCAATATATTACCGATAATGCTGGCGTAGCCGATCTTGTTTATTTTCACTATTCTGGACATGGAATTCGCCGCGATGTACTTGGCCAACGGCAAAAAGACGATGATACAATTACTGGTACTGCATTGGCACTGGCAGACGTCATGACTGGAGGCGCCTACCTTACGGGCTATCAACTAGGGGTCTTTGTCAAAAAAATGGTTGAAGAAAAAGGCTTACGGGTGACATTGGTACTGGACAGCTGTTTTTCTGGACAAGGCCTTCGCAATTCTTCAAAATATGCTCCCCGGACGATTGTAGGACAGTCAGACAATTCATTACTAAACAGCGATGTCCGCGCCGACCAAACAGCTGCCTCAGCTGATAAAAATGCCACCATGACGGGCCGAGCAGCGCACGTCAAACGATCTTGGTTGTCAAATCCCAGTGGATGCACAGTCCTAACCGCCTGTCAGTTCGACGAAACTGCAGGCGAAAACAAATTTCCAGACATGGATGGGGCTCATGGCGTGCTGACATACTGGATGCTTAAAGCTCTAGCGGACAACCCTCTGGTACAGCGACCGACTCATGCGAAAATTAGAGACTATGTGCAATCAAAAATTATGCGCATGAAACCGGGATTGCGGCAGTCACCAGTACTATATGGTGATGGAGACTATGTTTTCCTTGGGAACGAAGCGGTTGTCGAAAGACCGGCATGTCGAATCTTAAAACAATGGGAGAACTACGTCGAGCTAGATATCGGACAGGCCCAAGGAGCGTCTATAGGTGCCATCTACGACATATATCCGGAGAACTCAAGTCTTGATAATATGAGCGGTTGCAGGCCCCGACTACAGGCTCAGATCGTAGAAGTTGCTGAGAACTCCATATTTTTGTCCACAGCCGAGCTTTTCGCTGAAGATTCGAGGGGTCTAGATATGCGCATGGAGGTAGGATTAGGTGGTATTGCTGTTCTTCGAACTTGGGCTCTCCCTTCGGACGTTTATATAGATGTTTCCCTCCTAGAGTCTAGCGAAAAACTGCGGGGGATCAATCTCGAAAAATTAACAATAGAAATAGAGCGAACCTCAGGGCTGTATCTACAAACGGATTCTATGGCCGACGATCCTTCTTTCAACGTTATACTTAATGCTAATAACGAACTTGAGATTGAGAGCATGGGGGTGCGAATACCAAGAGTCCCAAGAATCTCGATTGAAGATACAAAATGGGTTGAAAAAGTGGCGTACCTTCTGTCTCACCTGGCCAGATTCGAAGCACTCCGTACCCTCCCAAATGACTACCTTCGGTCCCGCAATTCATTGCCAGTGGATTGGTTCTCATACACGGCCAAGGGTAAGGACCTAAGGCCGATCAAGGAGGTTAATGGCAGATACCATGCGAAAGGAGGTAAGGCAATGATATTATCTCTCAGGATGAACGATATTTGTCCTCTAGAATCTGTCTATGTCAGCTTTTATTGCCTCAGTTCAGCCTGGGGAATTCAGAAAATACACCCGGGGCCTGGCCAAACCGCCATAAAACTACCACGAAGAAGACTCGAGAGTTTTAGGATCGATATAGAGGCTTCATCAGTTGGTGGAGATAATTCGGAAGAGATTGAAGACACGATCAGGGCGTTTATCTGTACGAGAGAAGTCTCTTGGGAAGAGTTGACACTTCCAGATATCTCCATGGAGGAAATATATGTCCCTAGGGATCCATTAAATGAGATCATGGTAGTCCCTCAGTATCATGGCATCACAACAGCGGCTCAAAATACGGATAATGAAGGGCTTTCATCCAGAAACATGATCAAATCTTGTTTTGATGAAGAAGATGGGCCCGTCTTGTGCACTTTAGATCTCATAATACGCACTGCTCAAGAATGATCAGCTTAGTAATGCGCGGAATATCAATGTAAGTCAACTCGAAATACATCAAATTCTAAAATTGCACATCCTATTTTAACTAAAACTAATATTCAAAGCACCTTGATTGGTTGCATATTGCTTAAGCTCAAGTCACAACTTAATTTGCATGGACTGGGACACTAGACCTACAAAGGAGCAAAGGAACTTATGGCTAGACTGTTTAGTGCAGGAAGTAGATGGACGATTCAGAGCGCAAGTTCTTAGCCCTATATTTAAGTAAAAACTCACATACGGTGTCAAATTGTTAGCAAGGGTTTCGAAGTCAGTCGTTGCTATTGATGATATATATACAAGTTGTACATATTGAAGTTTGAATTCCACATAATACTATAGGAAAATTACCGAATTCGCGAGGCGGGTTAGAAGAATGATCCTTGCTCTAATACTTACACAGGCTTCAGCAGATAACTAGTAAGTCAATAAAACCCTCATTTGCTGTGGCTCTGTGTAGATGTAGCTCACTTTGTACAGAATTGATTCGGATTCGCGAAGGTGCAATCTACCAAAGGCACATCCATCGATTTGTATGCGAATGTGGGAAGCTTGCTTCGCGCCTCGAAGGAAAATTGTGGGAAGCTTGCTTCGCGCCTCGAAGGAAAATATGATCATCTAAGCTGCATGCGCAATTTCCCGAAGCAAGTAAGCACATACCCGCCCATACAGTGTCGGAATTGATAATCAGCCACCTTATATGCGACTATGATGTACATCATGACACCGGATGTATTAGAAAACGACGGAAGCACATGTAAGAATATCTGGAGAGGACGCGAACGTTACGCTAATGTAACTATATCAGCCCTCCGACCATCGAAGTATTCGGCCGGCCAGAATCCACGAGCTCAGATTAGTCGGCAATTTACGGAGCTTGAGCTCTCGTTAGTCAGAGATTCGTATCTTCATTTCGTAAAAGGAACCACATTTTAAGTCAGCCCCCAGGTAGTCGGAAAAAGTAACGAGTGGCACTACTGGGATTCGATTTCCGATTCCCTGCAATATCTGCATGATCAGAATACACTATTCCGTAATGCTCTCAGAAGCTGTGCGGCCGCGATAGTGTCTCATCATTAAGACATAACCTCCTCTCCAACTAGAAAGTTTCCGAATCCCACATTGTTTTTCAAAGGGGTGGGCAAAGGTTAGTATCGCCTTATTATAACGAGAACATCCTCACCGGCATTTTGTGCGACAATATTACAGCTGCAGCATGCCTAAGTTGTCGAATGATAATCAAATGGCCATGTTCACCAGAGGCTTTTAGGGAATGTTGAAAGGCTTTCAATTCCTAGGCGCTCGGAACCAAGAACACTAGCAAGGTCATCGAAAAAAGAAAAAAGAACTTAAAAAGGAAACCTTGATGGCAAAAGTCTTGGATTTGCAGATTTGGGTCAGGCAAGAGGGATTTGAATACGCCCAATTGATTTTTAACACGACAAGATAATAACAGAGTAGAATCTATCCAGTCGGCCGAGGTCTATATCAAAATTGAAATGCTACTGCTTCCGAAAAATCTTGATAAAATCTGCATTTATGATCCCACTAGCTAATGGCTAAATTTGCGAGCGGTATTCGGAACAGCTCATAAACACCCTGATGCAAGCTGCCCTGGCTCACTACAATAAACACCGCCGCATTACATGCATATGTGCGTAGGTATACGCACAATGCAATTCTTGATAATTTTAGAGCTTCTTACATAGGTTTTCTCCAAAAGATGGTGAAATTAGATAGGAGGTTCCTATCGATGATGCAGTTGATCGAGGCGGCCGTGATAAATCCTAGAATCCTCCATATTCCCAAGTTAACCCGATGGAAATACTTAATTGTCGCACTGTCTGCCTTGTTTTATTTGAAAGTGTTGAATCATACTAGGGTATGTGTTACAGCCGTGCTAGTTTATCTCGTACCGAGAACCGGAAGTCTGCTAGCTGTCTAGGTTAGTATATCAAGTTGCAAGTTGGGAGAGAGGTTCAAGGGTGAAGGAAGCTCCCTCTTGATATCCCTTAGTTTCGGTACTACTTAATTATAACCGACGTAAATTTACCTAAAATCGTGAACGCCGGGAAGCGACTCCCAGACTAACGTAAAATACAACACCAAGTTACCGATTTAAGACTAGTAAATTGCATAAAGGGCACATGTACAATAGTAGGACAGTTTAGTACTGTGCCGTAGTATATATGCAGTTGTGTTTCGGAACCATGTACCAGCAGGTTCCCGTATTGCGTAAGTGGACTCAAGGCCAGACGCCTTTGAAGCGATAAGAAATTAAATTTTTTTTTTCTTCGCAAAAAAATCTTAGTTGTCATTTAGTCTCCGGGGTGTATTGAAAGCTGGATGTATTAATATTGGGAATGGGTTGCCACGGGCTGAAACAATGCACCAACGCTGTGCGGAAATATTTTGAAGACGCAGCGGCCGCGGTACGGCCAGTAATAATCATACGGCTACATGTAGCCTCTGGCGCACATCAAAAATTTACAGATGTCTCGGGCCTTATGCGAGTAACTGCTTAGAGCTTTTTACTGCAAGCCGTCATATGACGATATACAGGGCGCTTGATTAGTTGTACATAATTAAACTTATAAGCGGGGTAGCCACTTATTTATATTTAAGCCAGGTAGCTAAGTTAAAAGGTTCGTGCAATTGTATCTAGGAGTAACTATATACATCAGCACAATCGCACAGAGAAAACTTCCAATATATATATATTTAACTATTCCTATATTCCTTAAGCATTGTCGTTTCCTCTCGAGTCCTCTGCCCACACTAATCCTACTTCCGGAAACAATCACCGAAGGTCTACTCTACATCATCGGTTCGGGAACGCCAGGGCTGCCTATACCATGGCGCCAAAACCTGATACTTTTGAGTATACCGTTGCTATGGTTTGCGCTTTAGCTTTGGAAATGGCAGCAACGACGGCGATGCTAGACGAGGTATATGGAAAACCAGAATGGCAAGACCCTCGAGATAAGAATAACTATACTTTGGGACGAATAGGTCAACATTACGTTGTCATTGCTTGTCTCCCCGAAGGAGTCTATGGCATGACGGCGGCTACATCGCTTATTACCTGGATGATATCCAGTTTTAGAAACATAAAGTTTGCCCTTATTGTTGGAATCGGTGGTGGTGTTCCATCTGTGAGCCACGATATTAGACTTGGAGATGTTGTCGTCAGCAAACCGAGAGGGACTTCTCCGGGTATCGTCCAATACGACTTTGGAAAGGCAGTAAATGGAGAAATTATCGCGAATTCTTCTTTGGACATGCCGCCCAAAGTTTTGTTAACAGCAATGTCAAGTCTTGCCGCGGGCCACATGATGACCGGTAACAAGATTTCCATTCATGTATCAAAAATGCTAGAGCGGTATCCGAGAATGAAAGAAAAATTCTCATATCCGGGCACCGACAAAGACCTACTATATGAGGCAGATTACGGCCATACTGCGGATACCCCCACCTGCGATCAATGCGACTCGGGGAAACTGGTACCTCGCGCGACACGAAAAAATACAGAGCCAGCAATATTTTATGGAACTATTGGGTCTGGGAATCTGGTTATCAAAGACGGTGTTATGAGAGACAGATTGGCTAAGGAAAACAATAATATTCTTTGCTTCGAAATGGAGGCCGCCGGCCTAATGGGCCAGCTTCCGTGTCTCGTAATACGAGGTATCTGTGATTATGCAGATGCCCATAAAAATAAGGCTTGGCAAGAGTATGCTGCTGCGGCAGCAGCGGCATATGCGAAAGAACTTCTCTGTGCTGTACCTTCAAGAGACATCAGTGTTGAGGTTATCAGCCCGACTCTTGGTGAGTTAGCCTCCCGAAGAATTTTAAATTTTAAAAGGTTGGGTTTGCTAAGGAATTAAAAGCACTTCGAACCAGTTTCAAAGCTTCGAGTAATGTACAAGTTAGCGCCGCAGAAGTGCAAACGCCGCCCTCACCGTCGTTTATCTTGACAGATAGGTTTCATCTAAAGGATAGTATATCCTTAGCTAGCCTTGTTCTGGACCGACGTTATCCAAACCAAGACTACTTCTCGTCTTCCATGATATCCTTACAGAAAGGAGAGGACTTTTCAGTTTCCATCGACCAAAATTTTAACGAATTCGTTGGGGCATGTGCCAAATCAAGTCCTGTATTCAAAAAGGCACTTGCGAAACTTTTCTTACCACCATCGACGAAAGGTGTTGAAGGAGATATTCAAATTATGTCTAAACAGAGTTCCGTCTATACTTTACTACAGCCGCGAACTTTATTCAAGAATATTAGTAGTACAACCGAATTTCAAGATTGGTTAGGTGATGCCTGGGCGAGAAGAAAGCCGCTCTACTTTGTCGTTGGCTACCGGACAGTCACTGATGCACAATTTATTGGGAAGGAGATAAAATCTCCCCAAAACCGACGACTTTCACGCAACCTTTCCTATAAGCCTCGCTATGATACAGACGGAGAACGAATTTACGCAATATGCTTTCGGAAAGTGAAATTCGAGCGGACGTCCGAGGGAACAGTTCAAGTTCTCGGCTCAACAAACAGGTGGAGAGTGTTCAATAAACAACGTGGGGCAAACTCGGAACTCGAGCAAGTGATCTCCGCAGACCTTTGTGAAGATGATGAAGTCGGAACCAATGATTTTGGTGTTTTCCCTACCCAAAATAGGGGGGAGTTGTGGACGGGGTTTTAAATGATTTTACCAATCTAACGCGACGACCGTCGACCTTTGGCACACTCAAAGATGTCGTACGATCGTGCGCGAGCATATCGGCCTCCCTAACCCAACTACGGCCTAAGTGATATATTTTATCACAAAAACAAGACTCATTCGTTTTAGAAGATTAGAATATTAGAGGAAGCTCTACATAGTAGCTAGCCACAAGGCTTATAGCTCTGCCTCCTTCATGTCAGTTCTAGATATATATACTAGCCCCACACGTAGGGCTCTTTGTAAAGCTGTCCTTGTATAGACCGTGTGCGCAATATGAGACTGATTCGTGTATGCCCGAGACTATCATATAGTGTACATCCTTACTTGATGTACAGAAGTATATTCATGGGTTGATGCTAGCCTCGAATCCAGGCACTCCCGAGGTAGAGAGTACTAGTGGTTCTATAGCCGGCAGTGGTGTAAAAAAAATGTGTGTGAGGCCGCCAGCCCACCTTCAATTGACCTCATACGATTTTTTTACATCCCTCTCGACGACAGCACTATCTAGATATATCTGCTTGTCACCACTCTTCCTTGGGCGCCTGACTTCGAGGCTATACTGATGCAAGGTCGGGTGTGCCCATGGCATCTTTTCGCAATTGCTCACTCAAGTACTTAATTAACTAGATCATCAATTTATACTCTATAGTTATAATATTAGCTACCAGGGGTTTGAGCGAGGAAACAAATTAAATTTCGGATTCGATATTCGACTAAGAATGGACAAATTAATGATAGGGAACCCAGCCTGGTAAAGTCTAGACTCGTCGTAGTCGACAATCACAGCATATTCTTCCCAAGATTAGAAAGTTTAAGCTGATAGCATATAAAATCCGTCTGGCCTTAGCTAATCTAGTGTCTGAGAAATCTAGTGTCGACTCTGGTTACGAGACTGTGTCGACTCGAACTGAATCGGTCTCAATAAATTCTGTGTTGTCGAACCCAAATTCCAACAACGTTCAAATCGTGTAACCCGAACACGCTAAACCAAACCACAACCTCATCACGTCCTCCCATTAGTTCCTTGCATCATCACCAAACCCAGACCCCTTCAACCTTCAACTTCAACAATGTCAAGTAAGTCTCCAACCCCTTCACACCTCACAAACCGACACTCATGCTGATACAAAAACCCCGGGACTAACCAGCCTCAATAACTTCCAAACAGACAATTTCGAAATCTCCACCACCATCTCGGACGCAATCTCATCCGTCAACTACTCACCATCGGCGTCCACAACCCTCCTAGTATCATCATGGGACCAAACCTTAAGATTGATAGATACGCATGCCGGAACAAGCGGTCGTGAGCTAGTACAGATCGATAGTTCGGCGCCAATACTAGACGCGTGTTTTGCTGGTCAGGACGGAACGAAAGCTGTTGCTGGTGGATTGGATCAGGGTGTTAAATAGTACTTGCCGCCCTTTCTGCCGCTATCATTGAGCTATGAAGCTCTAGTTTGTGATATTATGCTAACGTATATCTATAAACGATATAGCTTCGACCTCTCCCGATCCACCCAAACCGCAACTTTAAGCACACACTCCTCCGCCGTAAAGTCCGTCGCATACAATGACGACCTCTCAACCATAATCTCCGGCTCCTGGGATCGTTCTCTACACCTCCACGATGCTCGCACCTCGTCCCAAACCTCGTCCCATACTCTCCCTCACAAAATATTCAGCTTATCGACAATAACGAACAAGCTAGTAGTTGCTATGGCATCCCGTTCAATTCACATCTACGACTTGCGTGCTATGGCGGAACCCCTCCAACGTCGCGAATCTAGCTTGAAGTTTATGACAAGGACAGTACGATGTATGCCGAATGGTGAAGGTTATGCTAGTAGTAGCATTGAAGGAAGAGTTGCGGTTGAGTTTTTCGATCCGAGCAAGGAGAGTCAGAGTCGGAAGTATGCGTTTAAATGTCATAGACAGCCTGAAGGTGATGTCGATGTCGTTTATCCGGTCAATGCGCTAGCTTTCCATCCTACGTATGTTATCCTATCGCTTTTGCGTTTGGGAGTTCCGCTAATTTTTGGTATTAGATACGGTACATTTGCCTCTGGAGGCGGAGACGGTGTAGTGGCATTGTGGGACGGTGTAGCAAAGAGACGATTAAAGCAGTACCCAGGATACCCAGCATCAATCGCGGCAATGGGATTCTCAAATAACGGAAAATATTTGGCTGTCGCGAGTTGCAATGGGTTTGAAGATGGGAAGGAAACAGTTCCGAGTCCAGAAAACAAGTTATTTGTTAGAGAGATGGGCGAAAATGAGGCTAAGCCGAAGAACATGGGATAGTTTTTCTGCTTAAAAGTCTAGTAACTATGAGGAACCGTGGGGAAAAGGCTAGAGATTCCCAATTTCTAGTCTAGAATGCTACTCTCATTCATAATGATTTCCTTGTTCAGACAGCGTGGAGAAATAGGGGTTTGGCAGTAATCTATAATACAAGAGATAGTAGTAAAATTAAATATGCAAATAAGCAGGTGATATAACGTTCTCTGCTTTTCTCAGAGGAATCCCCAATAGACTCGGTGTCGTATTGTTGCCAAATAAAGGAGAATCCGTGAAATGCCCCGCAATTTTCCCCTCTTCCCCACCATCAACATTCCCGTCATATGAGGGGAGATAATTCAAAAGATAAATAGAAAGACTAAACGAATCCCGAGGCCAGAAAAACGCGAATGATCACCCTGCTTTTTGGTTTGTAATATGTACAGTTTGTCGGATGGGCAGAAATAGTTATGTGATGGAGGGTCGCCCTATGTCATTAGATATTGCGAATTCGTGTCCCTCTGTAGTTGGTTTTATGCAACTTGAGCTGCATTCAGTTATTCTATCGGCTCGCTGCTGAGGATGCTAGAATCACCAAGAGCTATCGCCTGTCCTAGGATATCAAGAACATGCTGCACAAATAAGTTAGTCATAATATTCAAAAGTATGTGGAAATTTGTCCAACGAGAGGAAAAAAAATTACCTTGGGTACAGTCTTCTCATAAATTCCAATCAGGTTTGGAGGATCCGGGTAGACCTTCAAAGCCTTATAAAAGCACAGTGCGGCATCCACCGCCTTGGTTTCACCCAGAGACAACAATGATTCTCCCATAGCAACCTCATTCATAAAGTAAGCTTCTCTCTCCTCCACACCTTCAGGATATCCTTCTTCATTTGCTGCCATAACAGCGGCACGGAGCTGTGACTTCTGATTCTCGACCTCGGCTTCTACTTCTGCTTTCTGGGCGCGGGCATGCTTGCGACGTTCACGGGCAAGGGATTTTCGGAAGTCAGCATCGTGGCGGCGGCGGTGGTCGAAATACAAAGCGTAGGCTATGTTATCATATCATGCAATGTTAGTGGGGGTTTTTGTTTTAAGAGGATGAGATAATTTGGATTCGGGTGAACGGAGACATGACGGTAAGCATACCTAAAGTTAAAGCAACGGCAGTGACCGCACTAGCAGTGATGATTTGAGAAGTTTGCATAACGGCGGAAGAATAAGGTTGTGGCCGTTTGGGGCGTGGTTGAGATGAGGTTCAAAGTGGGTGGTGCAACTTTGATATCAACTTGCGCAAGTGACGTCGAAAACTGCTTATCGTAAAATATTGATAGTCGAAGTTGGTAGACAGCAAAGAGCAATGAAGTATCTATATCCGGATATACGAAAAGTATTATACAGAATAGGTACTTCGGCAAGGGTATTGAGGGACTGTAAACAGGAGGAGGTCGACGAGGATGGTGAATTGGATGAAGATAGTTATGGATAGCTGCAGTCGAGACGAAGAGGAAGAGCCGCGCAAAGAAATTTTGGGTGGTTTCGACTTGGAAGCGGACTAAGACATCGGATTGCTATGACAGGAAGGTCGTGTGGTCAAACATCTCAACCACGCAACACGGCAACGCATGGGCTGCCCGGCTACCGTGTGACTTTCTTGTGGAACTACCGAAACGGAACTGCAACCTTGTCAACGCATTTCAGAAGCACAAGCCAAACTATCTTATAACCTTATAGTACTGCCAGTGCTTGCTAGATTAGTCTTTTGTACAAGTAGACATATGATTGTCTTATGGAGTACATCTACGACTGTGAAAGAATAGCATGTACGAAATATGAAGCCAAATTATCACCAGAGTAATTTCAGGAGATTGGCCAACGCCTGGACCGAAAGCAAAATTATTCACGCGTACGTTTGGATATATACCTAGAGACTTATAGGACTGTCAAAATCCAATAATTCCGGTTAACAAGTTGTAAAACATCGCTGGTGTGCCCGTACCTACCAGATACATAGCATTGGGTTCTGTGTACGTCGTATTTTACTATTTGCAGTCCCGGCCCCCGAGTATTTGCCAAGCCAAGGATAGCTTCCATAGCCGTATGCTTATAAAATCTATCAAAAAGACCTACCAGTACTGTGTATAAAACTCCACTTTTATCTTTCATCGCTCCGTGTATATCCAATTTTGCCGGGATTATGAGCCGCTTATTTGTAGGATAGCTATGTTCTGACCCAATATTTCGCTCCTCCCAAGTCCTAGTCCCTGTACCACAATCCTTTCAATCCTTCGCTTTTTGCATACCCCAAAACCCGATTGGCTCTAGGCGCCAACAATATCGACAGATTCCCTGCAGAATCGAAACCAAGACTTAGGCGAGTGGCGCAGCAAATAACATTATGATAAATCCATCCAGCCTTCAACGGCATTTAAAATGTATATCAGGCGACGTTATCCGTAGATTAATTCGAATTTAAGATCTAATTCTTGAAAAAAAAACATCCTATCAATTCACTCCGCAGATCCGATCCCGTCGCGCCGTCGGTCAACGCTATCATTCGCGACAACATTCGAGAAACTCATGCGGCTCTACACCAGATAGCAATGCAACCTGCGCACAACCCCCAACCGCAACCCCCCCTGCCAAGCGGTTTCCCCAATGATGTCGGAAAACCCTCAGCAGTGGGCGGCATCGCGTACGATCCGACCCTTTTGCAACCGATCAAAACAATATGCGGCGTGCGAAGACGAGTTTTCTATGTCATTCTCGCGGTCGCTATAATTGCCATAGTTGCGGGTCTAAGTGCTGGATTAGGAGTCGCTCTTAGTAAAAACAATAACAACAGCGCGGCCAGTACAACCAGTGGGGCCGGGGCTGACAGGGCCAGCGGAGAGAAAACAGTGACAGTAACTCAAGGCGCGAGTGCGGGTTCACCAAGTAGAACTACCGATAACCGGCCTGATAATACCTCCGATGGCCCCGATGGCCCCTCTAGCACGTCTTCATCCCTTTCCGATGACACCCGCTCCAGTACATCCATCACTAGTAGGCCTCCTGACGGCCCCGCTCCCACCGAGGCGACCCGCTTCTCCATAGGCACTGGCTTCTGGACAATCACATTTAGCAAATACTCGACTTCTGGCGATCTTTGCACTTTCTTCAACGCCCTTCATCCAGTATCTACAATTGTTGAACCTTGGATTTATGGTAATGTTGAAACAGGGTATAGGGCGTCATGGGCGCAAACGAGTAGTCAAGTCATAGTAACAAATCCGCCGACTACGGTAACCATTCAAGGCGAGAGATATACTGCGACTGCGACTTTTGCGCCTCAAGCTGTTACCAATGTTCCGGCGTGGGATTTTAAGAAATCTACTGTTCCGACGGTTTTTGGTTGCGAGTTTACGGGGTCGGTCCATTTATTGTTTGAGGAAACGGGGCGTATGAGGTATATTCTGTATGTATATTCTTCCAGAAATTCATCCCTCTTATTCCCAGTTCATGGTTCTGTCTGTCCGTCACAAAGCTAACTAGGAGCCCGAAATTATAGTTCAGTGGACCTAAACGATGAATGCACAATTGGAAGCGAGACGGTGGCGGGAGGATCCACATGCTCACTATGTAGGCCCTTGAATTCCTTCTCTCCCTTCCTGATAACGATGCTGACTTCAAAATCTTACAACTATAGATTGGAGACTAGTTAAGAGCAATTAATTAATACCTTTGCCCGAACATTTACACCCGTTCCCCACCTATGCATTGGACACAGCGCTGGCGTTTCATTTTTGAATTATATACTTTCCGTTAATGACCTGTTAATTAGAGATACGTATATGTGAGAGTTAATATTGATACGGAAGGATCTATTTGTCTAAGTCTTACAAACGCATGTTATGAGAATAAGGTCTAGACTCGATACCGAAGAATTCCGTGCTTGGTGGGCCAAAATCAATCAATTGATCAAGCTACAAAGTAAATAATCACTTACATAATCGGAACTCCGTCGCGTGGATTGAGGTTTCATGAAATTTTCGAAATTAGGAGTAAAACTTTGGTTACCGCACGACCGAGCTTCTAGACTATTTATGTATATAAAATCAGATCTGTATATATGTAGACCATTACGACCTCAATAGGGTGCCTAGGCTACGATGTGCTGCACGTGCACCGCGAGCAGGATATCTCGAAATTCTTCAAATGTTCATCTAGATTTAAGTAGTATACTAAACAGCAAAAAGGAATCCCGGAATATTATACTACCTAGAAAGTTAACCAGTAATTCAAAACACACGTTCTGTCTATACTAAAAACGGCTTCTATCAAGATATTCCCAGCACAGGCGTATCGATCCTATTCTACTTTACTCGCAACAACAATAGGCCACTAAAGTACCACCACAAACAATCTAATATCTATATTATAACTAGTGCAAAGGGTCTCTTTTAAACGTCCAAGACCTTCAACTCCCCAATAATCAACGCCTCAACTTTATCTCCTCGCGGAATCCTAGTTCTTTTATCCCCAACTTCACTTAATCCCGGTAAACAGAGTAACGCATTCGCAGCCTCCATACTTCCAATCCTACTACTTCTCTGCCCACCAGTGCTCCTTGCCACTAAGCCTCCAGACTTATCGATCCTTATAGCAGCACGATGATACTCCGGTCGAGGATCCAAAACCAAATCTTCCTCGACAGTTACAAGTGCTTTTGCAAGGTGAATATCTTCGCCAATGAATCCCGATAGTTGCCGGAGCGCAGGAAGAACGAATAGATGGAACGTGACGGTTGCGGAGGCTGGGTTTCCTGGTAGTGAGAAGATCGGTCTCGATATATTGCCTTCGGTGGGGATGGTGGCGAATGTAGTCGGCTTTCCGGGTTTCATTGCCACCCTACCAAAATGGATAGTTCCATTAAACGTCCGTTCAATAGTTGGCTTCAAAAGATCCTTTTCACCCATGCTGACACCACCTGTGGTGATGATCACATCTACCTTCGAAAGGGCTTCTTTGAGAACATCCTCCAATGTCCCAGGTCTAGATATCAAAATTGTTAGCCTTTGTTGATTTATAGGGCGGAGGCAATGTAGGACTTACTGATCCTTCGCAATTCCCAAGTCTACGGCTTCGAAGCCTCGAGCTGTTATCGCTGCTAGTAACGTCGGTCGGTTACTATCTCTCACTTCTCCAATACTAAGATCCCCAGCCCTGTCATGCTGCACAATCTCATCACCCGTCGATAGCACACCGACTACTGGTTTCCTGTAGACCCCAACCTCGACTATTCCAACGCTAGCTAGTAATCCTATTTCCCCGCCAACAGCTGTTATCTCAGCCCCCTTACTCAAGAGCAAATCACCCGTCTTCATATCGCTCCCAACCTCTCTAACATTTTCCAATTCAGTAAGCCCGCTAGCTAAGATCTCAATCTCTAGCTCTTCAGTCCCATCGTCGGTTGTTTTTGCGATTCTTGTATCTTCGACCATTACCACTGCAGTAGCACCAGGCGGCAAAGGAGCTCCAGTGGTAATCCTGGCAATTTGCCCTGCCTCCAAAGGCTTGATTTCACCCGGTGCAGCATGTGAAACTCCAACGACAGGATAGATACCGACACCGTCGGTATGCACGATAGCATACCCATCGACGATGCTAGCTCTAAACGCGGGGACAGATTCTTTCGCCCTTACTTCCTCCGCGAGTATATACCCAACTAAATTCGCATCCACTTTCCTTTTCACAATTTCCGGCGCAGTTATATTCTCAACCACAAGTTTATGTGCTTCCTTGACAGATATCATTGGATATGGAGAGCTTCTGTGCCGTCTGGCGACATCTCCGGTCAAATCATTGGACTTAAGCTCTCCACCCTGTTGGGTTCGTGGCGTAGGTGCATGATGCCCACCACCCCCATGATGGTGACCACATCCACTTGTCATTCCGACGGCGTCGTCCGACGCTAGCCCTCCGCTCTCATGTAAATGTGAGTGGTGATCATGCGCTCCGCTAGGGGGAGCTACCCCAGCTTCCTTCTCGAGCTTTTTAATTCCTCCTGAATGCAAAACGCGAGAATCCCCGCCTGCAGCTTGGATGCATGCGTGCGGAAGGAGCTTAATAATGGACTCAAGATTTTCTTTTGCGCCCTTGGGTGATCCGGGCAATGTTACTATTACCGTATCACCACGTACACCGGCGACTGGGCGGGACATTATTGCGACTAGTGCGGTTATGCCTGTGTTAGTGGTTTTTTCACAAAGCGCTGTATATACCTTTTAGGACGGACGAGGATCTCACAAGGCGTAATTTTCAAAGAGGCAGCGAGCATTCCGTGTCTGTGCCCCCGGATTTCAAATCATTCCTTAGCTGAAGTTCCATAGACGCTTCTGAATTTTAAATATTCGAGGGAACTTACACTAATCCACTTGCTGTTTTATCCAATAATTCACTAACGGCCTGTGCCACCGCAGCGTTTCAGTCCCTCACATCCTCCAATAGGATTACAAAATTTCTTCCATCCTCGATCATCATAGCAATAATAACTATGAACAGAAGGGAAAAACATAGAGCAGAAGAGAGAAAAAAAAGGTCAACGGACCTCTGGCGTCACGTCCCGTTTAGCAAATCCAGTTCCTCCAGTCGTGAGAATCAAACTCAACGCCTTGTTATCACACCAATCCTTGATTTTTTCCTGAATTTTTTCTGTGTCATCAGGAATGATTCTTCGTTCTTCAACAAGCCATTCGTAGGCGTTATTATGAATTTGGGCGTTTGCTTCGGCTATCACCGCGGTTAGAGTGTCTATAGCCCGGTCGGTGGCATGGTCTGCAGCGGCGGTGTCGGAGACGATCAGCAAACCAACTGTCAGTTCCTTTGTCGCGGACATCTTTTCGCTCAATTTATGAGTGCGGATTAATACGTGGACAGGCTGAAGTTTTCTTATTGACGTCCTTGAACAACCAGTTAAAAAAAACTAGCCAGCTTTCAAAGGAATTTGCGTTTAAATGACTGGCCAATTGATCGAAAGCTATCGCAATGAGGTTGAAAAAAGGATTGGGAACAGTTCACCGTAGCGGGGTTTCTTCCATCTCGGAGGGGTGAAGGATTGGAGCGGGTCTAACGGTGAGGTCATTTGCGGAACCAAACGTACCAACCCAACGCGGGCGAAGGGATGAGCCGATGGGATCCACCCAGGAAGGCTAAGAACGCAGACATGCGGCACAGCGTTTGCGTTTTTTTGCACAGCAATCCAATTTGTTTAATTTGGGAAAGCGGTCATTCGACTTCGTAAGGTTGATTCGCTGGTTTAGTTTTTGGAGATGATAGTTGGGATATCGATAACTGCTGTCTCGAGGATATCGACGTTCTAGAAGTCAAATGGCGGGGAGTGATTCATGTTGCAGCTCCAGTTCCCGCTCCCAGCGGCGGTTTATAAATACCAGTGGAAGGGTCTATGGATTTAGTCTTAAGGGCTCTTCTTTGTTCTATCCATAACAATACACTTAGCTTAGTAACAATCCCAGCCCAAATCCATACAGCACATACTGTTCCTGCATATTATAATAAAGGATATTATCCGGTTCCAGATTCAGCCTGCAAATAATTTCCTATCATGGCTCCCAAATTTTCATATCTCGACCTTGTGAACGGGGTTGACGGGTACGTTTAAGACATCCGATATACATGCATACATCTGTGACATGTTCTAATAATGGGTCTATATAGCTTCCCAAATGCTGCTACTCATCCCGTAGCCTTTGCCGAAAGAACGGCCGACCATTCGCGATTCATGTACTTGTCTCATACAGTCGGGTACATTATTCCCATGGTCCTAGATGCACTGAAAGATGTTGCTCTGTCCGGTGATTGGTGGGAGATCAAGCCTGGTGTTGTTAGACTCCTGGGCGACACTGTTGAAGAGAGAACAAAGAATATCGACGAAACTACTAGAAGATGGAGAGATGCGAAGAGATTCGAGATTCTATCCGGTATGACAGATTACTTTCTTGCGACCAAAATACATAAGCGGTGACAATTGAAAGCTAAAGGGTCAATTATATAGGCTGGAGAGATGAGAGATACACCGTCTATGCGCCACAGGGTAAACCATGCTTCTATATGGAACGATCCGCCCATCCTCTGTAAGTCTATGTTCGTATATAATACTAGGAATGGGATGAGAAAAAACTAATGTATGCCATATAGTTTCGGTGTGGTTGCATACGGTTCTCACATGACCGTCTATATTCCCGCCACCCCCACTACCCCACTCCGAATCTGGGTCCCCCGTCGCGCAGCTGGTAAGGCTACATACCCAAGTATGCTTGACAATACCGTCGCCGGCGGTATGGGTGATGGCCAAACTCCCTGGGAATGTATCATCAAAGAAGCGGGCGAAGAGGCTTCCTTGGAAGAAGACTATGTTCGTGCCAACGCGAAAGCTGTCGGGTTCGTTTCATACTTCTACGTCAGACACAAAGAAGCCGGGGGTGAAGCAGGGCTCCTGCAGCCTGAAGTTGAGTACTGTTATGATATGATTGTGAAGGAACCCAGTGAAGGTGGTCCAGTACCGAAGCCGTTTGATGGAGAGGTTGCTGAGCATATCCTTATGGACGTTGACGAGGTTATCACGAACCTTAAGAACGGCAAGTTCAAGCCGAATTGCGCAGCAGTCCTGCTGGATTTCTTCATCAGACACGGCGTTATAACAGCAGAAAACGAGACGGACTATCTGGAGATTTATACTCGATTACATCGGAGATTGGAGTTCCCAACTAGATAGACTACCCTCGCTTTAGGGGATTTTAGACAGACCCGGGAATTATGTATAAGACATAATTAGTTTCTTTTTTTAGTTAGAGCGGGACGATTTTATGAGATGACAAGAATGAGAATTTTAATGCGCCGCATGAACTCCTCTATATGCAAAAATATGTTCAAATCGATCGCTTCCGTATTATAGTCCATATCAAGCTTGGAGGTCGAAGCCAAATAACGACCAATCGCCATCACATATGATACAACCATCTTAGACTTTCTTAACGAGGAGGTATACGTATTCATGCTTCAATGTCGTCAACTTCTTCGCCGACCCTTCAAGGTAGAGCAACAATCCTCCAAACGAGATATACGCTTTTCTATAGCCCAGGCACCAGTTAATCAGTCGCGATCCTCCAAAATACCATGAACACAGACGCAGACAAAATTCATGAAATAATGAGAAAGGAGATCTTACATAGAGTCCACACCGGCCTCTTCAAACCGGTAGATCTTTCCATAACAAACATACTCGTAAGCGTCTGCCAAAGTCGGCATCTCGTCTATATCCCTCCACCCTTGCTTCGCCTCGCCAATGTCACTGCTCCCATCGAGCTTCAAAGTAGATGCGAGGACCAATTCAATCGTTTCACCGGGTTGCATAGGGTATAGATCGTGAGCGATGTCGAGATGGAATTTTACATCTGGATTGGACCCTGTGATACGGGAGACGCGGTCATACTTTTGGGAATCGATGGAGTTGATGGAGAAATTTTCGGAGAGGAGAATTGCGTCACCTGTCGGGCCGGCAGAGGAAGTGGCGGTTGAGCGAGACATGATTCGGGGACAGTAGACTGAGGTTGGAGGGAGGAATTTGATGGAGATCTGAAGCGTGAAGAGGAATGAACGCGGGCGCAGGTTTGAAGGTTTTCGAGATGCAATACAGCTAAAAGTCAAGGCTTGGCACTTGGGCTACGATCCTTGCACAGATGTGGCAAGTTCATGTGGCTGACCCAGCAACTGTGGCGGTGAGACTCGAAAAGCAACAGCAACACAGCGAGCTGGCTCTGGTATACCTAACTTCGAATCCTAGTATACCCTCAGCTCTCGATCTCCCTGGTAATTTGCACACGGCTATGCAATGAGAATTGTATCATGGAAACTATGTCCACTCCACTCCGCCAACCGATAATACCTAGCAGCTGCCGTCGCCCCTGATGAGAGAGACCCCTTTAAATTTACGCACCATGATGGACTATGTATTATTATTCAATGCGAGGGTAATGGGATCATATGTTAAGTGTCTTATGTGTACCTCAAATCGAACCCTGGGTTAAACAGCAGCAGATCATGAGATCTCGAGAGCTACTCGTATGACCTAGATGCCTCTACAAAAGTATTACGTGTCCCCCTTCGATACCTGAAGTGCAGCCGTGTATGGCTGGCTTGCTCGGTCCTTTTTGAACTCCCTACTTGACTAAAACCTTCAAAACCTCCACCAAAGCGGATATCATGTCCCCATTTTTCTCTTCTGCAGCGACAGCTTCCTCCAATATCCTTTTCAATACATCCACACCACCTTCTTCCTTCACTTTCTTTGAACCATCCTCACCTCCCACAATAACCAAGTTCCTGACCACCACAACCCCTCGGAACACAACACCATCTTCCTCATCCTCACATACTTCAAGTACTCTCTGTACCCCACCTTCTCTCTCTAAAATCTTCTTAACCCCTGCATCCCACTCTGTCAACATTGCCAATGCCCCACTAGCCGCTAAACGGCTTGGTACATCATCTGCCTGTGCGATTGCCAATAGCATCTGCAGCCTATTCCCACTCCTTGGCCCTTCAACAAATAAACTGACGGTTTCAGGTGCAACCATAAGATTACACACTAACTCCACCGCAGCACGTTGAATCATATCATTAGCATGTAGTAACAGCTCTTCTATGATTGTGAACTCTTTTTTGACGATAACCGAACGAATAGAATCCGTTGTAGAGGCTAGATTTGTAAGGGCTAAGAGGGCTTCAAAGAGCGGTAATAAATCTCTTGAATCAGCGGTGGAGTTGTGGATGGATTTTATAAGGTTTAAAAGTGGTGGAAGAGACGAGTTGATGGGGACCGAGGCGCTGAACGCTAATGATGGGTTCACTGAAATGAGGAGCCGGGAGAGGGCGTGTGCTGTGATAGTGTGTACACTAGACTCCGGATGGGTTTCCGAGGATGTTGACTCGGGATCTGAGGATGATGGAGTCGGTATTGTCGGGAGAGAGGAGTATATTTGGAGTAAAAGTTTAACAGCACCTTGTTGTGCCATTATTCCACGATGGGCACTGACTTTGGAGAGAGATAGAATAATAGATGAAGTTAATGCCGTAGCTTGCGGGGACGTCTTCTTAGCAAGCCTTACTAAGGCCGGTACGACACCCGCAGCAAGTAGTGACTGGCAACGTTTGTTAACACAAGGATCCTGATCCAACTTGGGTATTTCGCCGGGAGTTTTGGAGGATGGTGTGGCATTAGCATAGTTTTTCAGCTGCGCCATTTTTAATTGTTCCTCTGTTAGAGGTTTAGTATAGCGAGTGAGATTATCAATCGTGGTGAGGACGCCGAACACTATTGATGTGCTCGTACTAGGATTGAGAAGGCTAAGAAGAGACTTTATAGTTGAGGAGTCGGCTGCAAGAGTTTCCTTTACGGAGGGTGTGAGTGAAGTGTATGCTAAGCCTTCTACTGATTGTTGCCTTGAGGCATCAGAAGATGATGATAGTAGGCCCTTAAATGTTGACGCCAGCTCTTCGATCTCCTTGTCTGACTTCGGCGGTTTTACTGGCTCCTTTTGACCAGGGGGGGGTGCCGGAGTATCTCCTGAAAGCTTTGCAAGAGCGAGGGATGCGGCTGTACTTGCGTCACTTTTGCTGGAAGCCATTGCAGTGAGGTAGTCTTCGCAATTCTTCGACACGGCATCTCTGCAAGTTTTGTCGATACAAGCTGCAGACATTAAGTTAATAGCAGCTAGCTCGACTGTCTGGGGCCGCCCTTGTAAAGATGGTACTAGATTCTGAACAAAACCATCTGTATGGAACAAATTTGACAAACTGTTTGTTGCAACTGGAAATAGCGCTGCTGCGACATTAAATGCCAGAGCCATCTCCTCGTCATCACCGGAGGCCAACCTTGTCGTCAGGAAGTCACCAAGAAGTTGTAAGGATAACTCGGACTCGATTGACTCGAGATATTTGGCCGCTGCCAACAAGGCTCCCGTTCTTGTGTCCTCCTTTGATCCGTTTGTAATAAGAGTTATGAAGTCTATGAACTCATGTTTTCCAATTAAAGATTGTAGCTTTTGAGCATCCGCAGCCAGCATCCGCGAAATAGGCCGGATAGATGACTCTCCCCGTTGGCCTTTAGCCAATTGGCTAACAAGATATCGAAACCATGCCCTCTCAACGGTGTCTCGTTGTTCACCCTCCCAAGTTTTTGCGTCTAAGACAGTCGATGTAAGAGACTCTACAGCCTCGATGCCAAGGTCTAGCACTCTTTCAAAAGTCCGTTCTCTCGTTCCTTTGTCGGTGACCATAGCCGTAAGTAAAGCCTTTCCACCCGTATTCTGATTGACCACAGCACCAAGCAGCCTTCCCGCTAAAGCCTTGACGTTGTCTTCTCCTTCATACTGAATAACTGCAAGGACAATTGCCTTTGCTTGGTCTGCAGTCAGGCTTCCTCCACTCTGTACTATCTTTACAGCTTCGCCACCAGACTCGGCATCCCCATCTTCTAATAGCTTCCGGCAAAGCTCTGGGATCTTGGAACCTGAATCTTGGGTTTCTTGAATGTGTTGAAACGCGGCACGAACTTGTGGGTTCTGCGGGGCAAGATGAATCGCCTCTCGAAGGGCCCTGGCGGCATCCTATAGGTGTATGTGGATAGGCGTTAGCAATAAGAAATATGTAACGGAGTCGTTGATTAGGGGAACATCGAGAGAATTACCTCTAATCTACCGGCCCTGAACAGCCCGAGAGCTGTGGAAGCTAACAACGATGCCCGTTTGTCAGTGTTGTCAGCCATGTTCGAAAATCCGAACCGTGAACTCGAACGATGAATGTAAATTCATGCATGTACAAGTTGTGCAGCCCGATTGTGGGGTTTTGGCTCAAGGCGTGAGTCCCCGGTGGTGCATGGGCTAGCTCGGGAAGCTTTATCCCCGTGTACGGAAGATACCGGTAAGATACCGGGACCACCAACACCTTAATTGAAGAATTCATGCGATGCGATCCAGGGATTAGCCTCGAGCTCGACACGACATCCTCCTCGCTCACAACCTAGGAATGCACATACTATATACTAGGCATAGGCATAGGCATAGGCATAGGCCTTGTGAGTCAAACATAGCTGCGTATTTGGGACAATGAAGGGTACTGGAGGTCTATAAGGCTTCTCTCTATACCTGAGCTTGCACTTTTGAATTCGAGTTTCTCACCAATCATAGGCTCTTGGGTCGCGTACTATCTTCACTTCCACTCTATACCTATTATCTAACTTCAATCTTCACTATCCCGCCACACCACCGCTAATATGGACCCGGAATCATCTCTATCAACGGAGCCAGGGCAAGAGACATCCGTACAACCTTCTGAAATCGAAGATCCAAACATGATTTTTAAAAATGGTCTCAGAATTGCCATTCAAGGTTGTGTAAGTCTCGATGCCGTTCCTGTATTATTATATCAGTCTCTATCTAACTTTCATTACAGGGACATGGGGCGCTCGACCAAATCTATGCTACTATCGAGCAGGCTTGTCGGATACACTCTTACAAGGTCGACCTACTCATAATCTGCGGAGACTTCCAAGCCGTCCGTAACTCTCGTGACCTTCTTTCGATGGCTGTTCCACCCAAATACCGCCATATGGGTGACTTCTACAAATACTACAACGGGTCTAAGGTTGCTCCCATACCCACTCTATTCGTCGGTGGAAACCACGAAGCTTCTTCACATCTTTACGAGTTAAATCTCGGTGGTTGGGTGTGCCCAAATATATATTATATGGGCGGTACCGGGGTTGTAAATGTGAATGGTATCAGGATTGCCGGAGCTAGTGGTATTTACAACGAGAATAATTACAAGCGACCTCGGTACGAGAAGCCTCCATTCGACGATCGCTCTATGCGAAGTGCATACCATTACCGGGCGCACGAGCTCTTCAAATTGAATGCCTTGAGTGGAGACGTGGGTATATTTATCTCCCACGATTGGCCTGAAGGTATTACGAAATACGGAAATGAAGGGAAACTACTGGCAGTGAAGCAACACTTCAGAAAAGAAGTAGCGGAGGGCAGGTTGGGTAGTCCGCCATTGATGGGGGTTCTCAGAAAGTTAAAACCGACTTATTGGTTTGCAGCTCATATGCATATCAAGTTTCCGGCGGTGGTGGATCATGGTGAGGCCCCGGGACTAACCTCCAAGAATGATCAGGGCGATTGGACGCGGGGAGAAGATACGTTAGAAGCGAAGAATGAAGACGAAATCGACTTGGATATGGATGATGATAGTATACCGCCAAAACAAGAAGAAAGAAAACAAGAACAACCTGTGCCTAATACTCTACCGGAAAATATAACGCCAGCGCCTTCTTCAGTGCTTTACCCTTCTCCGCCGACAACAGGCACAAGAACCCACTTTCTCGCACTCGATAAACTCCTCCCTCGCCGGGATTTTCTCCAAATTCTGACAGTCCCGTCTCGAAGCCCTTTACCAACATCCAACCCCCTTCGTACTCGTCTCCTCTATGATCGCGAATGGCTAGCCATTAGCCGAGTTTTCGAGCCTTTGGACGTCTCTAGTGGGGTGGGCTTAAGCCAGTACATGAAATTTGCACAAAATGGTAGACGAGTCGCAACAAGAATCAACGAGGAACTTCAATGGGTCAACGACAACATTACGGACGAAAATTTGGTAGTGCCGGAAAACTGGGAGCGGACAGCGAAGCTACAGTTTGATGAGAATACCAACGCCGCAAACCCACGTAAGATTTCAGCTTTTTTTAAAAATTGTATTTCAATATATGGGTTTTCCTTCGCTGACTCTTGATACGAGCGCCCTTTTAGCGGACAGATTTAACAACCCACAAACAGAAACATATTGCCAGTTGCTTGGGATTGATAACAAATGGGCGCCGCTGCCACATATGAGGATTTCCTTGTCACCAACACCACAAGAAGGTCGACTGCAAACAGCGGATACACCGAACACAGATGGAGACGGTGGTCCAAGCTCCACAAACTGAAATTTGGCGCAAGACTTATACAAGAATGATGCAAAAATATGCAGCTCCACTGTCAACACCTAAAGTAATTTCCCAGGCGCTTTCACGGGGCAGGTCTATTTTATTCCTTGCGAACAGAGCTGCGTTTGTACTTACTGTGAGCATGGTGCTGAAAGAGTTGCACGAGGCTAACTAAAAGCACACCATAGAGGTTACTACAGCGAAAGTATGTCGCTCACTATGAAAAGATATGCGTGGACTTCCTCGAGCCATGTAATCGAGACTAAAGGCAACAGTACTACATATTATACGAATTCATTACATCGGAATTCTAGTATAGTTTTGATGACAGCGTGATGAACAAAATTGAGTAGAAACTTATAAACGACACCATATTCCAGATTCTGCATCGACTCTCTGTATACAAGAACATTATTGGCTATTCCGTAATTTATAGCCGGTGTAGTTCATAAGATGTCATGGACCACGGGTGATTTCCGATTCATCCTGCATACTAGAACCAGTACCACTAGATTCATCAGAAATATCTCTTTTCTTCATCCATGGTTGCTTGTATGGCGCAGGATCCCCGTAGGCTCCAAAGTGCCCAAATCTCAAGCCCCTCCAATAACGACCTACTGGCCTTGCAACCGGGTAAGTTACGAGGGGTGGAACAAACGGTTCTGGTCCTGAAAGTGGTATCCCTGGCTCTGATTCTGGTACTAGCGGAGGTTCTGGCTCCGGCCCGGATCCGTCCACAGCCATGCGGGGCCTATAAGCCATCTCAATATCCATCTCAGAAGGCACCCAAGTCATAACTTCCCAGGGGCGACGTCCAAGACCATTCATACGCCAGAAGTAATCTGGGTTATCGTTTCGAACAGTTTGTGGGATACGATCTAAGGCAGCTTGGTACTCTTCAATAGTTGCTGCGTCTCCCTCCACAACTGGCTGAACAAGTTCAGCTGTGCAATAACACCCTAGCCAAATATTTACAAGTCAGCTATAGAACCATGAGCTAGCTAACTGGGTTTACGGAGAGATTATATAAATATATATAGTAGGTCCCTTACCGAGGACGATGAAGCACCTGTTTGCCTGCCACTGCCTACCGCAAGCCTGATTGACGCCGTATCTGGCACGTGGGACTATAGCACCTTCATCATTGCACTCACACAACTGTCTGCAATACCTCTGGAAAACCTCGATGTCCACAAGAGCTCTCGACTTATCATAATACTCTTTCTTCCAACGGGGCCAACGTTCAAACGGGAAGTTAAGTGAGTTCTCATGAGGCTCTATATCCATTACTACCTTCGGCGGGGCGCATACAATGTTCATCTTACCCCTCTTATAGAAAAAACTTGGATGGACTTCCTTTTTGATGGGATTAGGGCTGGTATCGTTTTGGAGGGGCCCTACTTTGATCCGGGGCTCCGTTCCCTTCAGATCTGTACCATTTCTAGTGCAGTTGGCACAGGACTCTTCATTGGTGATCATTGAGCGAGAGCTATTGAATGGGGGTATGTATACTGGAAAGGTAGCATTAGGAACGGCCGAGGGTACCGGAGTAGCCGAATAGTTACTTGCTGCAAAATGGAAAATTGTCAGGTTGGCCGGAGAAATTTGCTGGTGATCCCCTGGTAGCGTGGGTGCCATGTGTACCCTTCCGACGTTTAGAGCAAAAATGAGAATCCCGGTGTAGGCACGTATCCAGTCGCCCCTTTGTGGAACGGATATCCTAAAAAGCATTTAGAAAGGCCTTCTAGTTGAGATAATATATGGGCACCCTAAAGCTGAAGGCTAAAGTCTTCAGTTGGATCGTTGATTGATGTGAAGAATTTAGATATACACAGATAGGCATATATACTTACCTAAGTACCTAGGTAGTGGATAGTTTCAATATATTTAAATATCAGCCACATATATAAGTATGCATTGGTTTTAGAACAAAAGCGGGGTTCTAGTATGATATATATATTCTAAAACTGAGCTTATCATGAGCTGAGGAAATTTGAACTCCGGCTGGTCCGGATCCAGGGTCTGGTTAGAGCTAGATAATACACATACAGCGTGTAGAAATAGGGCACAGCTAGTTATATATAATAGGAACGCCTATCGAACCTTGGTTTAGTTTACACCTATAGCGGCGTACATTTACACGTGTCCGTACCGTTTGGAATAGTCTGCGGGCTAGCACCATATCGTAACACAGCCGTTATATATATAGAATCCTTTCTAATGCTAATTGATTTGTATTTAATGATAGACGATGCTTTGATAAGAATGCGAACATCTGGCTCCGAGATTATGTACAATGCATATCGCTGATCATGAGCACCAATTATACAGTTAGTGAATTTGTTAGTTATGAGCTTCACAAAATTAATGCATTACATATCTATTTATAGAAGTTGGAACTGTTGGCCTCGTTCTAGAAGCCCTCCTACAGCAAGCTGGTTAGGATGATCATGAACACTTTGCAGGTATATTAGCTTAGTAATCCATGATGCACGCATTTGCACTTTCTAGGTCTAGGCGACCCTTTAAATTTGTAAACAGATCTATGAAATATATCCTGAAACTTTATAATAAGCCCATGGCCATGTATAATGAAGAGGTCAACAGATTATAATATAATGTCAACCCTGGCAGCGCCACCCTCTAATTAGCTATTAGTGGACTATACATACCGCGCCATGAACTCATACATGTAATATTGTGAACCCTCTGCAAAACATCGACACTAGCTATTCCAATAAAGTATATAGGCAATTTCGGAACGGAAGAAACAAAAACAGAGATAATGAAAAACATTCGACAGAAGCATCAAAATGATAAAAAAATGCAACATGATCATATGACAGCGTGTATAGCTTAAGGACAAGTATGTGCAAGTTATATTAGTAGTGGTAGGCCCGCCACTAGCTAAAAATCTGAAACAAGGTCTACCAACAAATATGAAATGCATAATAGTCATGGCGTAAAAGTATGCGCATGCAGATATACGAATAACTCGGGTTCAAGGTGCTCGAATACATCGTGAAAGAGGGAGGATCCTAGGATCTAGATATTATCCTAGAGGGTTCGTTCGGATGATTCCAACATATATATGAAGTACACACGCAAAACGAACCTCCCTAGCTCCCATATGTATACCAACAACAAACACCGCAAACCGAAACCGTCGGTATATATATCACGACTGCTTAGCGCTAATTAAATAAGTTTCATGAATTCAAGAGTGCGGTGTGTTTTAAATTCAGCTAGGTGATACACAGCCTTGCGGCCTCGAACCACACTAGGCCTAGGTACCATTGTTACCATGTTGTGTTGGCCTTGTGCAATTGTGCAGCGTCGCACCGCCGTGGTGCGCCAATTGCTTTCAAAGCCTCCAAGATTGACTATTATTACCATTCTTCTTTTTTTGACAAGTTTGAGCATTATGTTAGTTTAGATGAATGGTTAGTTAGCAGCTAACTTGTCAGTTGAGCTGGTGGCTCGCGTGTAACTACGTACTAGTCGACAGGCATGTGTATACATGTAGGCCCAAGTACTTGATATTAATGTAGTGGAGGTATAATATATAAATCTAGATGATATATCTGTGGCTTGTGGTTTAATAAGGATACGTATACTATTTAATATTTTGTGTACTATGTAAAGTTCGAAAAGTCTATAGATACATGAACAATTAGGGTCAAAAAAAAGTCTACATCAACATTCATTTTCTTCGGCCTCGCAGCCCACCGGTACCGTCTAGATAAATAATCTTTTTTTTTCCCTTTTGTAATTTTTTATATTCCCCCCCCCCCTTTCTTCTTCGTATTTTTTCCTATTTTTTTGCCTCTCACCTTTTATTTTCCTGAAAGCTCCCGGTCCCGAGATGCGTACTATAGTCATCAGATTATTCCTGCCTGGAAGTCATCAAATAATGCTCCCGATGACGCCATGGTAATCATGCACATGCATGCTACTGTGGAACATGTCCCATCGACCTGCTATGCCAGTTGGGATGGATATTTTCGCATTGATATCCAACTACCTCCCGCGAAGGTGAATGAGGATACGGTGCGAATCCTAGAGTGTGGGTGCGGTGAGGTGTCCCATGATAATAATAATAATTTTTTTTTTCGCGGAAGGCTAGGCCAGTCTTGCTACATACCAGCCGGGCGCGGGCCCTGTAGATGACATGTGTAAAGCTGAGATCGATGTCGACAAATCTATCGCATGCATGCATGGACGGTCCGGGATGATACGTCTTGCTTGGAAACCCGGCGACCAATCGAATGATGATATGTATACATGTATACCTCCCCGAGTTATAACTGAGGGCTATAATAATATAATAAGGTATTTAACTATTTCCAAGATTATCAGTCAAGTCAAAGCTGGGGATTGATATATAAGTAGCCAATGAAAGAAATTACGGGATATCGCAATTAAAGCTAATACGTGTAACTAAGGTACTTACGGATACGAGTTTAATCGGGTTATCAGTCATGCAATGGTCGGAAGAAGGCCCGAGCATGATTAAAGGCCGTCTGGGCAATACCACGGCATCCTATGATAGCTGAACAACCGAGGGATAGGAGTCGAACGACTAGTCGCGGTCTAGGGGGTTGCATCTGATCCGATCGCGATCGGGTTCCTATATATTGTTATAACTCATCAGTAAATTAAAGGTTCTCCAAACAGTGCATTATCGATTATCCTTAATAGCACGATGCTGCGATATTTTTTGCAAAGACTAGTTTATAATTACCTTGGTCACCATGATAGAGGTACCTATCAGCCTCATGTCGGAGCCTTCGGTCTTGATCGACTTCCGAAATTTTCAATACGATATCGAGTGATACATGGACCAGCTCCAGGAGAGCAAGCGCAACGAGTAAAGCTTCGGCCATGGTAGCAGGAGCACTTTGCGCCGGGGTATATGTAAAAGGAGAATAGAAATGAAAACTAGGTGTGTGAGCGAGAGAGCGAGAGAGCGGTCAAAGATTTCTGAAGTTTTTTTTGAGGTGGAACTGCTGAGGATCGATGGTGGGTTTGATGCTTTTAACGTTTAATATAATGTAATGGTGGTAGAACTTAAGGGAGGGTTGAAAGCTAGGACTGAACTGCAGGTTGGGGCCCATCGAGTTATATTTATAACCGTACCCTTGTATTAATACGCCAAAAATGAGTCTAGAAGTTGAATTACATGGGATATCAATATAAGGCCCATGCATGTGATATCGGATTTTAGTCCAGGGCGGCGGTCTGGAACTTGATGGAATGAAATTCCAGGATCGATCGTCTTGTCCCGGATCCCGTTGAATGTCGTCCTAGATCAAACGCTAGATCAAGCAAACTGCAGGAACAGGGGCAATGTCCAGAATTATCTTGTGAACAATCCAGTTAATCCAAGTTTCAAGTACTTGCCGAATTAGGTCGAAGCAAACGTTAAACTACAGTTAAAGGTTCACAGCCCCTCACTGCATGCAACCGCTCGTGGCAAAAATCTGCCTGCAGGCTGGTAGGATATTAGGTACATACATCTACAATCCATCAAAAATTAGAGATTTCCCATCCTCGGCACCATCCAATATTAACCCAAGTTCCCGAGTTGAAGTTCGGTGGAAAAAGAGATCCTCGGCCTTCTAGATCTACAGAATCCCCACCGCTTGCGCGCAACGATTGTTCGAGAGCTAGGTCCTACGGGCTAGGGTAATCTTGGGCCTAGTCTCAGGTGATCCGAACTCGCCGCTCCTCTCTATGACCATGTACTACGACTATTAATTACGACAGTAGACCTCAATTTTCGAATCCCCCATCTTTCCCCCGAAATTTTGAAACATCCTCTCACTTGGAGACAAACTATCCAGATAGTCGCCTTATAACTCTATGTAACAATTTCAAGAAATCCCCATTCATGGCATGTTTTCCTTAATCCTTGCTGATCCTAAACTTTGATAAACAGGAAGCTGTCTTAGGTCAAACTTCATTGTTTGTGCTTCCAAATATGTATACTTTTCTTTGCCCATGATCCCACAAACTAAAGCAATTATAAGGCCATAGAAGCGAGAATGGGTTTTCAATACAATTTGTAGTTTCCGTCACACCAATAGGATACTGAGGGCATATGGTAGCAAACGATAACGATGGAAGGCTTGTGCAATTGTGGTTTGCTCATGAGCCCGCACGAAACCTTTCCTTCCGGCGCCCTAGCGAGCCTTCATTGCTATTTTGAAGCTAACAAACATTTGAGGCGTCATTTGGAGTGAAAGAATCCAGGAAAACCAGTGTCCGGGTTCTGATCGACAGAACCACAAGTACAACGACGTGATGATAGCCTTGCGAGGTCTATGCCGTCCGGAGCTTGACGTCTTGGAATTCATGAAGCGTAATTTGTGATAATTGATATACATCCTCGCCGTAAACTTTTTGCGGAAAGCTCACTATGTTTCAGATCAACTACTTTATAGTATCTCTCAGGTCGCTTTGTGGCTATACCTCAAACAAACAGAATTGGCCGGCCTCGTCGACGGTCGTTGTCACCGGATACGTATAGGCCATTTACAACATGTTAACACACAACAGCCTTGTTGGCAACTCTTTGTACCGATAGTCCTCGAGTATCTGGCTTGTCAAGGTGGAATACAAATTTTGTTTCGATTCTTGCTATCGTCAGAATTCTTTGTTACTATGTACTTATGTATCGAGTAGACTCGGCATTCTAGAAGCTCGGAGTTGGTGACGCAGAATAGTGTTTCTTGTTGGATTTTGTTCACTGTTGACGCCACAACTCTCTCGCTTGTGCCACAGCCATACTATTTGCGCCACTTCTTGTCTCTGCTTTGTAGCCAGCGGATCGACTTGTCCATGGTCATGTAGATAGTACGTACATGTGTAGATACAGATATATATCTAGATACTTACTTGCTTGACGACTCTTGAGCTCTCATGTGTGTAAACGTACATATCTAGGTCGGTAGGCCTATACCTGTAGTATATCGCAAGTGATGTTCCGCACATGTCCGTGTGCTGCTTCTTAAGCTTTGCATATTATATATATATTATAGCCTCGAGACTAGCCATGTCAGGCCCCTTGGGACCCGAACGCATTTGATCATATGTGTATATGCCCCCCTTCTAAAAAAATATCTTTGTAGGTGTATATCTCTAGATCTTAGGGCGCCTGCGCAAACCGACGATTTTGTGTATCACATGATCAATGCAATGTATGATGTATGTAATGTACATATCTTAGGATATGAATCACGTTACAAAGTTTCAAAGAAGCTTTAAGACATGACACACATATTTAGACAGCCCGTGTAGCTGTGCATGTGCACATCGTACTAGTCACAGAAGCCCGAGTAAACGTACCTGCTGCAATATTTTAAATTTAAATTTAAATTTCAGAAAGATTTCACCTTAGAACTAATATTTAGGACCTTTTTCTCCCTCTTCCTCTCTTGAATTCTGACAGAAAGGTAGCTAAGATCTAGAGGTTCGCCTTACATGTAAAGAATCTCCAACTAAGCTGTCCAACAATACATGGCTACTTCAAATCACCATATATACTTAAGTATATTATAAGATCTTAAGAGTCTCGCTATCCATTCCTCAGGTATACGGCATATATACATGCTAGCCTAGTGCGGTGGTCTTCGACGACACTAACTAACTTCTAAGAATAATTAGTTTAGCCTCTCACTTTTATCTATTTAATATTTTCTCGATTTATATATAACTTCAATTACCAACCTCAAATACAATAATATCCACTGTCATAACGAAGACCGGACATGCAAAACCCATAAATATAATGTCCACCGTTCTCCTACTACTCCTAGCGTTCATACTATCGATTGTCTACATTTTCAATAGACGGCCAAACCTCGAAACGGAAGCAAAGCATAGGCCGGCTTCATACAGAGACACCGCCTGCCAAACCACAGACCCAGATCGATATCAAGAGTCTGAACCCGATCTAGTACATACTCCGGCTACATTGGAAACAAACGAACTAGACGTGGAAGATCTAGACATACCTTTCCTATCCAAAATTCCGCTATATAATCCGCAAACAAGACTTACATACTTCATTCCCGAAAATGTACTGCCGTATCACCCGGAAGGGTTGGAAATCCCTGTTTCTGTGGTAAATCGACTATGTAAATGTGCTTTGGAGGCGTTTGAAGTTGAAGTTGAAGAAAGTGGGTCGGGTGGAGTGAAAGATGGGACCACAGCTATTACGGAGGTATTAAACCCTTCGAAAATGACATTTTATGTTTTGGAAGATGGCAGTTGTGAGGTCCGTGAGGATCGGGATGAAAAAGTTCCCGAAGAATGGGTCAAAGTGCCCGAGCGAGTGGTCGAGTTCCTAGCAGACGAGGTTGTGAAATGGGTGGATGGAGAGAACATCCCAGACAACATCAACATCAAATCAATAGATCTAGATGATGATTCCTAGTTACCTACTATAGACCTAAGATCTTTCGCATGAAGTCAAAAGCATTTCCCACTGTGCTATGCCTATACCAGGTTAAATACCAAATGTTAAACAGCTATCCGGGAAATATATTATAACGGTAAGCACTCGATCGCACAAATAGATGACTTTTTATACGAATGTTTATAGGTCACAAATAAATCAAATATGAATACAAGTTAGAGTATAATTTATACAAGCTGCGATATATCTCCAGCTGTCTCCGTCGGTATATATATGTACAGATGCAACCCCTACTTCCAAGCACGAACAAGTATCTACACGTACAACCAAATGTGAATGATATACAAATATGCCTCTATTTCCACGACCCTTCTTCACCCCTTCTCTCCTTCTCTACCTGCGCATCAAACTCTCTCTGTAACTCCTCCTTCGTCTTCTGCCTATCTTGTCCCTGCTGCCTTCTTCCAAATCCGCTCAAGGAGCCAGAGCTATCCCCTCCATCTCGGTTCTCACCTGGAACCCTTCGTTCACTGCCATATCCTTCGGATGACTGTTGTCTGATCCTCTCCCATCTTGACATATTGGCCATATCATCCGTTTTCGGTGCAGTATCTTGCTGTCCTTGTGGGGCCCATCTATCCTCTTCCATAGCTGGGCCCTGAGGACCCTCTCTCGCCCGTCTAGCACGATCCCATGCACTCTCTCCTGGCCTTAGGGGGGGTAATCTTGAGTCGTTACTTTGTTGTCTCGCTACCGCAGGGGTATCATCCTTTACGAGATCACCCCAGTCAATGCTCTCGCTTTGTACCCCGCCAAGACTCTGATTATCCACGGAATCGAAACGATTTGGCCGCCTAGTTCCACTTTCGCCTTCATCTCCATGTGTTGGTTCTCCATGTGTCGGTTCCCCTTGTTGCTGTGATGGTGCTGGTGGTGGTACTGGTAGCCCTCTTCTCGCAGCCGCCTCCTTCATTCTAAGCTTGGCATATTCCGTTCGGTCGTAGTTAAACTCCTGCAGCCTTTCGTCGGCGACTTCCGTCTGACGAGATCTGGAAGTCAACCAAATGAGTCCTATAGTGCCGACAACGTATTTTCCAAAGAAAGCCCAGGTTCCGACTCGAAAAGCGTCCTTAATCATTTTAAAATTCCCGGATCGGGTGGTTGCGGTGGCAGTAGTTTTGCGCGGAGCCTCGCCGTTATCCTGGAGGCTAGGAGAGCGAGCAGACTCCATTCGCTCCTTCATCGCAGCCCTGTCCAGTTCCTTAGCTTCTTTCAATGCTTTTTGATATTCCTCCGTCTCCGCCCAGTTCCTTGGCAAAGGAGCAGGTTTAGCATTGGGGTCAAGAGGCCTCCTTGCAATGATTGCGGCTTCGATTTCACCGGCTGCCGCTGTCCTCTCTGCCCAAGCCTTCCTAGCTTCTGCCATCTTCTTATCAAATTCATCCAATTCCTTGCCTAGAGTCATAATCTCTTTCTGAGCCATAGGGTTTGTATATTCATGGGCCCTCGCCCGTTCTTTGTCGAAATCACTTTTCATCTTCAATCGAGATCTATCTCTTAACAGCGCCCAGTCCCTCGACCAAAGGATAAACCTTTCCACCAATTCATAAAACTGCTTGTATTTATCTGTATCCCTCCGATGTGGGGGGGCATTTCTTAGCCGAGTTAACTGCCACATCGTAAAATTCACCATGGGATGTGGGGGCATCTGTAACATATAAAACCAGCGCTGTAACGCCGAACCCCAACTGTAATTCATCAATGGGGGTGGTGGTGTAACACGCGGACCTCTGAGATAATCCTCTGATACTTTGGTAACATCGATCCGTGGCATGGGGGGATCAATTGGTGGATACTTCCCGGAACGAGGTGGTATGATCGTCGACTCGGCGGAATTCGCGGCTGTAGAAGCAGAGCCAGCCGTAGGATTCGTCGTAGAAGTAGCAGCACCGGCAGCACCGGTAGCACTTGTACCCCCTTCGTTCTGTCCCCAGCCATTAGGATATATAAAGCCAGACGGTGGAGCTGATTCCGCTGTCCCCGTCGCGCCAAGCATCGTCCTCACGGACTTCTCCATAGGCCAATACTCCGTCCGAACAGCGTGTAAAGCACCACCAACCAAACCCATCAATCCAAAGTACTCAGCTCCATTCTGCATGTTCTGCGAGTAACGGCCTAATATCGCGTGTTCGGTTTGTGTAAACGGTCTAGGCAAGAGCTCGGCGCGACGGCGCATGGCGATAACATACACGCTATCACGCCCTTGGACACCATACATCGTATTTATCCCCGTCCAGTAGGCAATGAACCCCGGTAGTGCTGGAATTATATATGGAGTGGTAATCGCCGACGGTACCATCGAGGAGAGACGTTCATGTTCAGGGTGGTATAGGTAGTGGGGTGACGCGGGGTCCTTGGAGGCTGGAAGGTTGGCCCAGGGTCCGGTTTCCCTAGGGCCAGCTCCTTGCATTGCTTCTGCCATCGTCGAAAAGGACGTTGGGTAGAAGGAAACAATTTTTAATTGTTTATAGCAATGATGTTGGTTGGTTTCATCAAGCCATGGCGGTTGTGGAGAGGTTGCAAAGATGTTGTAAGAGCGCTAGTGGTGTGGTGTGAGGTTTCGGTGATATCATCGGGTCTCGGACTTGGGCGGCATTGGTGGGGCTGTCGGTCCCGGCTGCACCGCCACCGATGCCCCCGCCACGATTTTACCCCGGATTTGATACCGCGGCTGAACATGTGTTTTCATCCCAACTTCGAATCATGAACTTCAATAACAGAAGACATATATAAACGGGCAGATACGTTTCATGTAGAATATAGGTGATCTGTGAAATGATATGCTAGTTCAAGCCTGACGGACGACAGTATGAACCAGATGCCTTTGTTATTAATTAATCAGCCTCCTCCTCACCACCACCCCACTGGCCACTGCACTCTCGATCTTCGGTCTCTATATACAGAGATGATAAGATAAGAAAACCCACCGCTATAATATGAACAAGATCTAGCTCGACAACTGTTCGCTAATCTTCAAGAAGATAAAAAGAGCACAAAAGTAGGTAAATTACACAAAATTTCAAAAATGCCCAAAGAAGAGGATAGGGAATTACGCCAAGGTTAGGAGAGAGATCACAAGAAATACTCAACTTGTGCCTTCTCTATAGGTTGTTGATCAACTCTATTTTCTGCATTCTCCGGCGCTTGGTCGAACACATTGAAGAACCTACTGCCTGCATCATCGACCTCTAAAACGCTGGCTAGGTTCCCGCATCGGTAACAGTAGTTCGGTGCAGACCAAACAGTACTCAGGCGGTCGTCATACAGCACCTGATAGCCTTCTTGACAGAGCTGATGCGCCCGCAGTATATGTGAGAAGTTGTTGATCTCCAGAAACTTTTTGACAACCTGCGCACCGAATGTATACCCCGCACCTCTCGGAGAAAGAGCGAATTCGTCGCGCTCAGCGTCAGGGTCTGACCAGACTAGATCGGCCATTGGGCCTTCATGAGGAATCTCTATACACCCAGAATGAAAAAGCACAAAAAGCAATTAGCAGGTGAGCTCAGCGGAATATTAGATCATATGATGTGTATAACTAGGGTATTATGATAACTCATACCTCTAAATCTGTCGATGATCTTGATCTGATCAATTGAATGTATAGATGGTGATAGACCTAAAACAGCAGGTTCAACGGTTATTATAAGTCTTCTCCTTCCCGGGTTTTCCCTTAAAAAAAAACGCCACCGATCCTAACCCGGTATCTCATGCGTTCAGAAAAGTACTCACCTCCATGTACACAGAAAATGTCATTGTTGATCACAACGCTGAGTGTCAAGAAATCGAACATGTCTGTGAAATGGTGCCAAACATTCGCACTGCCGTATTTTCTAGCACATTCTGTATAGAATCCATATGATTGCGTAACGCCTCTCGATTCATGGTTTCCTCGGATCAAGTGTACTCGGTTCGGATACCGTAGCTTTAGGCATACAAGCAATGATATTGTCTCGACGCTGAATAGCCCTCTATCGACGTAGTCGCCTAATAGAACCATATGTTTTAGAATAATTTCTTCATCTCATCATATTCTTCTCAAAACTTTAATACTGCTTTCTCCACGGTAGCATTACTGTAGATCCGGCCCGTAGAAAGAAGACCAGGGGGGCAACCCCCATTAATAATGAAATGTTTGAACGGGAGGGAGGAATATCGCAACTTCTCAAGATAACAGCCTTCCTTCGGTTAATGTCCACCCGAACGAAACATATAATGCCAGAATTTATGAAGGGGCATTAAGCTTAACGAGAAAAATAACAAAAAAAAAGTTTTTGACCTACCTAAAAAGAGGTAGTTGGTATCCGGGCAAAATCCACCTATTCGGAAAATCTCGAGAAGGTCGTAGAACTGTCCGTGAATGTCACCGACAACCGTTACGGGCGAGAGGATATGAACCACATTACTCTCCCGCATCAGTAGTTCTTTCGTCTTGGCGCATATTGCTTCTATTACCGGTTCGGCGAGCAGTTCCCGTTTGTATAACCTTTCAATGCAGGCATCGAGGTCGACTAGAGGTGCGGTATCGGAGATGAAGAATGGGTTAGCCTTTTGCCGTTGTAGCTTTGACGATCATACGGAGTACACGAGCTCAAAAACTTCGTTGAAAGTCACAAGGGCCCCTCAACGAAGCAGAACTTCTTACCTGGAAGCCCAGGCATCTCAAAAGATCAGAATGAAGCCGCTCTAAGAGCAGGCTACCACAACGTAAACGATCGTCCAATGTTTTCGCCCTCTCCTATTATTCTTCTTTGTTGATGCTATCACCCAAGATTCCGGGAATCAAATCAAGCACCTGTAAACTGTAACCAGCCTTCCCTTCCCGATACGGCAGTAACGGATTCTCGCAGAAAACGTGCAGGTGAAACCTGTCTCTTGCGCCTTACGTCTCGCGGATGGCCGATGGCGAGATGTCTTGAAATAGCTTATTTTTCGAAGAAATTGCGATAGCTATTTACGGTATTCCGTAGGCTGTGGTGATGCTCGTCCGTGGGCGCTAATTAATTGACACCAGAAAGATCCAGAGCAGGAAGGGCGAAGAAGCAGGGGACAAGGGTAGTGCGCGTGCAAAGATCGGAGCTTCCTGATGTCGACAAGTTGATGTTAGACTTCAACGAGGGTAAATGAGAAAGATTTTCTCTCGCGCGACGAGTGTTTGGAGCGTGGCCGTAGATGTAGATGTTGTTCAGGATGAGGTCGAGAGAGAGGTGGGATGTTGAATGCTCAAGTAAATGTCAAAGTCGAGCTTGGACGGAGAAAACAACACGCGACATCCAACAGAGTCGACCTGGATCGACAGCTGACACTAGCAAGATATAAATTTTCATACTTGACCCTGAAATAGAACTTATCAAACTTATTGAAAGCGCCATTTTATTTTCTCTTTAGTTTGATTTTCTAATAAAGGGATATTAGCTGTCTAACCGATACCGAATTGCATGAAGATAGAGGAGATTAATTTGAATAGTCAAAATTTTATATAAAAAAATAGCTGGATATTAAGCCCTAGGAACCTCGAAGGATGTTGCAATATCTAGTATCTCGCAATTGATAGATTTTATATGAGGATATATATACATTTAAAATCTATAGATCCATCGAACCATGATCGCGGAGTGCTTCCATTGTATCTATACAGATAACAATATAAAAGGCGCGATTGCCTTGATATTCAGAAGCTCGTGTATGATTATTGATCACCGGGATTGAACTGAAATATATCAATTCATCTTCTTCACATGATACAGCCTCATAAATCCATCAGCTTGATAAGATAAATACATCCTCAGGCTTGTGGCAAACCGAATTTTGAGCCTGCAAGGGAAGAAAAAACCTCAGACAAGGATACAAGTTAGCGATTCGCCACTACGCTAACCATAACCCTATAAGCAAGAGTAGTATTAACATGCTAACTTGAATCACCTTAATAAAATACCCCAGAGTCTCATTATCCCAGAATATATTTACATTCTAACTTCAAGCGAGATCAAATTTCATGCACTCCGCCCGCTCAAAAGAAATCGAGACCGTTGAACCCGCTTAAGAACCTAACGAGTTCTCACTCAATCAAGGGCTAGTAAGCTAGCGAGCTGGAGGGAGCTCAAGCCTGCTAACTCCTCCTCTTTCTCCTCCTTCTATCTCATACTAATAATTCCGATTCTAGAGCTCGCTCTCACGACATCTTCTAACTTTATCATCTCACGGTCTGAGCTAAGGCGCTCACATGCTCTTCTACCTTTCATTGTAGAGAGACATGTATTAACTCTACAGAAGCGGCATTGTGACCCGATTGACGATTTTTAGTTCCTATAAAATGTGACAAGGGGGCCCAGGGGGGCTAAGACATTCGTACAGTTCAACAGCAGGGAGCAATGTCCCACAGACGGCAATGAGCTGTATCATGCATATGATTCCGAAGTGTCGACAGGATATCTCAATGGTCCAGGGTTTCTGTATTATCTATCTGCTTTTCTGACAGGTCGTATGCGCCTTGATACGCATGGTAATGCATTGGCTGCTTCATCCGAACGTCCAAGAGATGTGCAAAACCTAGGAGGGGTATTCGATCTTACGTTGCCAAGGGTCTTAGAATGAGGGGTTGGGGCTGCTCGGATGTCAGCCGGTTCGGCAGAGATTGACTAAACTTGGGGATTGTGATCATGTGGTTGAGGAGGTCAATAAATTATTAATATCACGGACACCAGATGATGTCAGCTTAGTTGTATCGAAGTTGCAGCTGCTAACCTTTCTTGAACTAATCTTATACACTCAACATTTACATTATACATTTTGAATAGCTTCTATCTCACCCCACCAAGATGCATTAACTTGTCTTCTTTTAAGATATCATGATCGATCATAACATATCATAAAGTAGCATATTCGGGAGCCAAACGCCACGAGATGACGTCAAATTAAGCCCAAGTGCAGAAGAACCCGAGTTCCCTCCATCCGAATATGGCAATCTCTCAGCTCCACTCTTATACATACGTATTATGATAATCTGCAGGAACAATACTCGGGTACATCAACAGCGTGGGATGGTACATATGTGCATATAACTTGTAAAAATACTAACAATTTTCATTAAACCATTCGTCTTTGTGATCCGTCCGCCCCACTCACACTGCTAGTGGCAGCCTGAAAAGTGCGCGAATGCAGCATTTTCAGAAAAGGAAAGACGAAGACTTTTAGGCTGGCCATGGCTAGTATAGGCGGGAAAACCGGGTGCTTACTTGGAGCACTTCAACGAAGTTTGGCGTGGCGTTGGAAGCTTAACTTATACCGATATATCTTTTTGATTTTTATAATCTATCTCATGATCATACAATGCATATGTGCATTTGTCTCGTAAACCAGATCTACCCTCGCAATGTGCGGTGGGCCAAAATTCACTAACTGGTTAATTAATATATGTGAAGAGGCCCTTGTCTAAGGATCCACTATACACCAAGATTTGACTCCAATACGGCGGATGTATCTAGACATATGTTTAACAGCGACGCCGACGGCTAAGGCGCCAACGTTCTAATAATCTTACAAATGCAAAAATATAGATGTTTGGTCCCCGGAATAACCTCAACCGTCACATTTTCGTACCCAAGTATATCACGAGAGCTCGGTGCAGTGACTCGCACTACAGCCTGCCCTGGAGAGCTGATACTATACAGAAGGGTGTTATGATATAATACCGGAATCTATATTTCGAGGAAACAGTAGCATCCGAGATTGAATGATAGATCCCCTGCCAATAGCGCTCAACTTACTATCGTGGAAGTACTTCTATGTTTTCCTCTCTCTCCCCTCGCCAAAGCTTGTGTCGATCACGTCCATGGCTCCATTGATCCGCCAGATCTTTAGTATCAAAGTCTTGGAAGTATCAATGTAATAGATTACGATGCCAATGCAATACCCGGGTCCAGGAGAACGATAGGTACACTAGCTGCCCCCCAGGGCACTGATAATCGGTACCACGGGAAAAAGAGAGTTTTTTATTTCAAGTAGTCAAGTATTTGAGGCTTCAAATATCAAGATCCGGCGAGCTGGGTATACCCAAGAAAGCTATCCTGCGCCAATCAGGATGTGTTGTCCTTACGTTGTTCTGATTGACATCACCGTTGGTATCACCGTTGCTTAAAGGTCGTCAACAATACCTTTGAATTCGAATCTTGGCTCGTGTCGAGATATTTGAAACTCGAAAATCACTAAGGAATAGTAAGTCTTTTGCTTGTTCTTTATTTATCTCATATTTTATTTTTTTATTTTTTTATCTATTATTTCTTTCTTGTTTTTCCTGGTGTTTTCTGTCGAGTATGGTCCAGCGCCATGAAGAAGTTCCAGATAGCACTTCCCTAATCCGCACAGGGAAGACAAGGCAAACCTGACCCTCCAACCTGCACTCTACCACACCGTCAAAGCTGGTAGAGCGAAAGCAGCAGGTACAGTGATGGCAGCCTTCGTAAAATGTTGCAAGACGAGGGGCACTAAGGTGACAAAGAAAGCCATCTAGCGAAGTTTCCAAGGTCTGACGGGAAAATCAAGGGACTTGCTGTGTATGGCCCGTGATATTCAGGGAAACAGTCAAAGGTTAGTATTTGATCAACGGGCACTGTCGAAAATGGGCTAACATTAGCTAACTGGCTGGCTGGCTGGCTGGCTGGGCTAGTGATCGATGATCGATGATCACAGAATCGATACGGCGATGTCCAGGAGAACATTCCAAGTCTTCGGTGCAGGCTTATTATCAAATGCTTCTTCGAGACCTTCTCGAAAGACTGCAAGATCTTCGACTGGCTGCATTGTTTGCTTCAAAGCCAGCAAAAAGAAATTTGAAAGCGCGAGAATGTGGGCCCGTGGGGAACTTTCGACCGAGAATCCACAGTGCGGGAGGAGAATAAGCCGGTGATTTTAAGAGGAAAAAATCACGAAAGGATGAATAATTATTATGCATCCCGCTTTTCTGGAAGTTCTATATCGTTCCTTCTGTCGCTGGACGAAGGCAGAGCTGCCTTGCATGTCCGGCTGCATGACAGTCTGCAGGTCCACCCCGCCCAGATATCGTATCTCGTCCGCACGATCACGTAACATATCTGCCATTTATTGCTCAAGACCGCCCCAAGCCATGACAGGGAAGGGTAGTGCAAGCGTCTCGAGCATGCAGACGTCAATTATAAAAACCAAGGGTGGCCCACCTGCCCTATGCGGTAGCGTCCCGCGCTGAACGTTGTATTTGCGAGACGAGAAACCCAACCAAGCAACCTCTCTCTGCCTCTGCCACCGACAAAAACCCAGAATCGACTGTCAATTTCATGTACATGTACATGCAACCTTTTTAACGCCTAACCTTATTACGAACACTAATTGGCGTAGTTGTGATTATAATCTGTGCGTCGGGTGTGCTTTAGCAACGGCATGTTTTCTTTTGTCACAGATTCCGACTTCGAACACAAGTTCTCGCCATTTATGTTAACAGGCGGAGGCGATCACGACTTTCCCCCTTCCTGGCCTCCACCCATGTCTGGCTTTAGGCAAGGATGTCAGGCCCTCAAGAAAAGTATCAGTACCGAGTTCTTCCTACGAAAGTTTCATGCAGACAAAATGCAGGTTGACATGTGCTGTGGAGATACTCCTAGACTCTCGATATCGCCCATGGCTTCTCCAGGGATTAAGCATGTCTCAGTGCCCTCACAGGCATCTCACCTTCGGAGCCGTGGCTCATTCGTCTTTTCTATTTTCTGATATTAAAATCCTCAGCACAGCCCGTCTCTTCCAAAGGGTTTTCCTCTCGAGTCAGGTTTTGGAGACAACTTCACCCGTCTATCCCCATCTACAACTCTTACCACAAAGCTTCAAGCTTCCTTTACCTCTTGAAGCCTCCTTTACAAACTCAGGCTAGTCTCTTCGAGTGACAAATATCTTTTCTATCGAAAACTGAACTACTTCGTTGTAGTTAAGTTTACGCAGATAAAATACTCAGAGGTTCCTATTCCGCATGAATTAAGGCATAAATCGAATTTCAAGATATTAAGCCGTATATATATATTTATATAAATTCTTGCCAGCCTGCAACCTCCACCCACGGAAGACGACCAACCAAACCCGTGCTCCCTCTTAAACGACCATTCCATTCCGAAGTATAGTATCACTTCTTCAAAGAAAATCGCCTAATCACGATGCCTTTCGCTGTGACACCAATGACTATGGAGTATCTCCAAGACCTCGACTATGGTAAGTTGCTATCATTCCACAGTTCCCGATCAATACACACGTAACTCGACTAACATGAAATTTACAGAATCGGTGGTCCAACCAGCCACAAGGGTCTACTTTCCTCTGCAGGCTACTTTCTCGGAGTCTGAGAGCATCTTCTCCTCCCCGATGTCATCTCTCTTCCAACCTCGTCCTGCAGTCTCATCTTACTTTTCAGGAAGTTCTTGGAACCGTCCATCCATGATGGACATGCCCGACTATATGATGGAGGATCCGGCCATGCAAATTGTCAAGAAGCGAAGACATCAGTCGAAACTCATGGATGGAGAGGTCATGTTCGCACCATCCGACGAGAAGGGTTTCCTCAAGCCCGACTTCGTTCCAGAGACATCCGCTCGCAGATCTTACACCAAGAACCGAACCTCTTTCATTGAAATCACGGCATTCCAAGTCCCGTCTTCCTCAAGCAGCCGACCAACTACATCTTCTGGCGTTTCAACCCCATCCGAGGAGGTCCCAATTCCACATACCCCAGAGACTGAACTCCCAGACGATATCTCCCCAGAGTTCTCGTCTTTCAGCTCCGCATCCTCTGGTACATTTAGCAATATCGGAGACCTCGATGATTTGGAAGATCTCGATGCCTATAAGGTTGAGCATAATGATGGATGCCCAATAAAGGGATACTTAGATAGCGAAAATAGAAGCAACAACTCACCGTAAGTGACAAAAGCCACGCCACCTTTGGTATCAATATTACAAGTTCTAACAAAGTACACAGGGACTACTTCTCCAGTCGCTGCAGCTGCTCTCGCCCGACCATGATCGATTCTAAATCTAATGATTGGATGGGCTTAACTTGGGACAACTCTCCACCATCCAAGACCGGTGCCCAATTCATGAGCAACTTCAAGGCTGAGCCTAAGATCTTCGCCCCTGGCTATCCTGAGGTTGAGAATATGGAACTCGGGTCCGTTTAAATCACTTGACGATTTCTTATTCTTCCTGCTCTTGCTCTTTAGCAAGAACCTTGACTTTTATTTCGCAACTCAACGACTGTTCTGATTTTTTTCAAGTACAAATGCCTTTTCAAACAAATGATGTTCAACTTGCACATTAAGAGCGCAACAAATTCGAATGTTTAATCTCGAAGCTGCCTTTTTATTTCTTTTTTGACAAATATTATCGTCTTTTACGCCTGTATATACGTAATGAGGAAGGGTTTCTTTGGGGATCGGAGTTGTTCCAGGCTGGCTTTCGTTTATGATATTGGTGAAAGAGAGGGGTTTCGTTCTGGAATTTTGTGGAGGTTATTCCATTTCCTACTATCGTTTCGTCGAGCCTACTCGACAAATCACATTCTGGTTGCAGAATACAGACCACTTTATTTCATGGTCTAAAGACTTTTCGTTCTTCTTATCCGGCTTTTCAATTCTACTTCATCTTCGTAGTAGACCGTCCATCACTACTGTCGACCTTTTTTTATCATATTATCAGAACATTTTATCGATATATGACGTTCAAACCACTTGATTGTCAGTATACCATCATTGCAAAACTATCAGCCACACTATCACACTGTCACACTATCACACTACAATCTCAAGACCTTGAAAGTCAAAATCTCGAGTTAGTCATCGACCAAAAGTTTTTTTGCCACTCCGCGCGGGATTCGATTGCTGCAATGGACCGAGCTGGGAGCGAAAATAAAAAGCACATGCTTGTACTTACGAGTCTTCCATCGTTTTCTTTGTACCCTTTTACTTTTGGGTTTTCAATATCTGCAGGTGGATACCGCGGGAATCAGGGTTACGGTTACAAGTTACCCTACTTAGTCTAGCTAGTAGATCACTTCGGGAAGACGATATCAACTTTTTGTTTTTAGAAAATTTAAAATCTTTCAATTGATTGTAGCCATTGTGCCCAAATATCCAAGGCCAATCTTTCCTTTACAGCCGTTATTAGAAAACCCAGGTAGAATTGTTTGCATGATTTCAAATCGGTTTGGGGATTAACTGTATTTCGAGACTCCCGCGCTTCCCATAATCAAAAAGTACCCAGGCTTTACAACTCTCTATCATCAAACTACCTACTCACATCCTCGCGGCGTCTCCTGCCATTAAAAGTTTAACATGCATGAGTGAGAAGTTCAAGATTCAACGTCACTCCCGCACCCTGCTACCCAGTCAATCTCCTCATCAATTGAACTTCTTATTTCTAGAATTATCTATCTCTCCTATAGCTAACCAAAGCATCTCCTTTACTATTGAAAAAAAAAAAAAAGGCTCTTCAAAACAAAGCTCGTAGGCAAAATGCAATGCCACCAATGGATTGAGCTAGTTGCATTGTGCCTTACCGCCCACACATCCCTTGACGTTTCTAACTTCCTTTTATATCGTCAGTTCTCGCTTACCCCTTCGTCTGCACTACTCTTGGAAGTTGCTAGGCGGGAGGGGTGTCGATTTGATATGGTGTAATCGTCTTTTTTTTTCTTTTCTCTTTCTTAGACTGAAGTGAATAGGTGCTTACGAGATTACAATGTAATGGGGTAATTGATATTTGTATCACGGCTTTTCCTTTTGGCGGGGTAAGCTAGCTGAGGTCTGTGGTTTCGTAATTCCTCTTACGAGTTTTAATTTTGAGTGAGACGAGTACGTATATCGGTGACACCGCAGGGAAGGTGGATTCGTGTTGGGGGTGGAAATATGCAACAGAGGACCGCACTTTTGGCTGTTTGGAGTGACTAAGCTGAGCCTTCGAATTCATGACGCTTTAGCTTGCGTATTGATACGATTGAAATACGATACATATGAGGCTGTAATTGCCTGCTCTGAGTCGTAAAAAATAGAATAGCCTTAATTGTTCAATGATCATCGATCAGGTGTGAGCTATTCTTGTATCTATGACTAGGAGCTAATTGTTTATTTCATGTTGACGATACTAGTGTTCTACCAGTTTATACGTTTCAGTGTCGGCATATCGTCGACAATGAATTGTCATACTAATATTTAATATCTTCGGAATGCAAATGGCCTAGCAGGTTTCCCCGGACCCCCGAGATTACATCCGCCGAGGCCTACTAGCTAGCTAGTATATTAGTTGGTATATATATATACGTGCACACCGCCACTGCCCCCGCGCCACCGCATACGCCCGAGACGACCAACGCCCCAAACCACAATATGCTACATACAGCATGGACAGTATTTCGAAATACCTCTAAGAACAATTTCAAAAGCTTCATCCAAGGACTATATTTCAGTTAAAGAAATCTGAGAATGTAAGTTGATAGGTAAGATATTATAGTTTCAAGATCGATTGATATTGGTGACGTGACCAACTGAAAGATGGGCCGACTCTGTAAACATGATAAGTAGAGTGAAATTTTCGCACTGTTAACGCTAGAAGCATCCTGGTACAGCTATTCAGGAGATTCTGTTCTTTTATCATTGAATAAGCTAGTGTATATATCAAGTGATATCCAGGAAATAGAGAGATTCAGTATATCTATAGAGCAATTTATATATCTAACGAATCACGGTACCACTTGATTAACTAAGTACTTAGGTACCTAAATAACGCTAGAATACAAATTTCAACGAGATAACTCGTGATGCTAGAAATATTGACTCCCCAACCTATGCTAAGAGCTCTTTAAGACTAGTTATCAGAGGTACTACGAAGCCTTTTTAATTTTGACTTTAGAAGCTTTGTGCATACGAGACCACTTTAAATTTTGTGCTGTGCAGCGCTGCAGCGTTAGAGTAGTCAGTAGCTCCATGAGGACCACACCTGCAACACAAGATTCCAAAAATTGCAAGAACTGTGCCCTTATTCAAAGCCATTGCAAAGCTGTTGACGTGGTTTCTCAAATTAGAATTTAACCGGGTTTCTTTTTGTTTCCTATTCTTTTTTTCTGTCGGGTTGGTTTATTAAGAATAATTTCAAAATTTTTACACTATGGATCTTACGTACGGAGTGCCGACCTCAGTGCAGTGACTAAAGAGCGGCAACCATGTTTTGGGATACTAGTTCAAGCTGGCCAGGCGTTTGCCTGCACCGACGCCGGTGGCGCTGAATTAAAGGCCATTTTTACGTCACTAATTTAATTTGCCAGCCAAGTGGTCCAACCAAATAGACTTAATATTTGTAGGAATGTCGTATGTCTCGAGATCTCGTCGGGCGACGATCTAAGAGATAAGATTGTTTCCAAGTTTAGGTCATGCCTATCATGTATTTTACGCCTGTGTTTTTAACTTCAACGTTGGCCTATTAAACCGTAGGTAGGCTGGCCACATATGGCAGAGTAACTGATAGTTAGTAGGCACCACCCGCTGCTAGTAGACTAGAATTTGTTATGCCGTTACAGCCTCGTTCCAAAGATTCATATTTTATGATATCCAGACTGATGTGCATGCATATGCATATGCATTTCTTTTCACTTTCACCATGAATTCATGGAATAGGCTTTCGACTCAAGACATATTCAACTAACCACTTCAGTCGATCACCGCGCCCGGGATAATACTTGCCTCCTGCGTGAACGCGAACGCATGTGGCACTGGCACTGCGGACGCACTAACCATATCTGGTCTGTCGATTTCCGATGAAATGCAGATTATGATACGGACGGCTTGAAACTCGCATGATTCTCACATAATGAATTTCTAAGGATGCGGCTGACGAACAGTGCACCTTATAGGCTTATAGGAATGCCATCTTTTTCAATACAACACTTGGGGGAGTATACTATGTTTACCGCGGACATGATCTTGGCCGCGCTCTGTGAAAAGGCTACTAGTTTTCAGGATACAATGATGTATATAAGTGGACAGAACGCCGTTCATATTTGTTCCGTTCTTTCAAAGATATACCGCTCGAGCGCTCGGTAGAGTCGAAACCCATCTTTACATCTACACCTACCCAATTAATTAGCCAATAGATATAGCTAGCAGACAGATAAAAGTTTAACGATATATCCTCTTCCCATCAATTGGGTTCCCTAAGCTACAATGTCTACCGGATTAAATTTCAAATTTTTCACAAATAAAAAAAGGGCTCATGTCCCATCGACACAATGGAACGAATATAAGGAATTCATTGAGGATAAGCTAGAATCTAATAGCTCTCTTCAAGCTATTGTCGATGCTCTAAAAGATGAGAAAGGGGTGACCATCAAGTGAGTTTTTATATATACACGTTACGATGATGAGTAGAGCTATCTACCTAGGTATCTGATAGACAATACGTGACTACTGTAGAATGCACCAACTAAAGCGGTGCCTTGGAGACTGGGGACTCAGCAAAAGAAATCTCAAACTCAAACAACGACATTTCATCTGGTCTATTTTCCAGAAACATAAACCTGAGGGGAATCCGGGCCCGCGGCCGGTGTTTTTCTTTAAGGACAATAATCAAGTAGTACCGGAGAGTCAGGTTGAGAGTGCCCTTAAAGGGGACGGGAGCGAGTTTCGGAGTGAGTACCGTCTAGAATCCCGAACTTTGATAGTGGCTACCTATACATACATATATTATATATAGCGAAATACTGTTAGGAGCTAATTTAGAGCCGTTGGAATATGATAGACTATAAAGACAACGATGCCAAAAGCCCAGGGCTGTCTTATGCCATACCACTCGCGGTACCGGTAGATGGTGATCCAGCAACTGAGAACCAGATTCACGTTGACGAAAACAGGAACAGCCATGCTGACTCCATAGTCAGTCCAGCGGCAAATGAAACAGACAATGCCAATGTCTACGAGCCAATTGAGGTACGCAAATAAATCAGATGCCAACAGATCTATATATATAGAAAGCTGTCGCACTGTAGGTTGTAGAGATACTACAGAACACAGCGTTGATCTTATAATTTCTTCACATCTAGTTATCTCGAGAATTGAACACCAGCGCTTTGAAGGCGGACGGGCTCGAGCACCAATCTGAAAACGTAAACGAAAGACACGAGACCATTGATATCCCCAAACCAGTAGATCACACAGACGAAAACCCCGAAGCCGTTCAGACTGTCTGCCAAGAAATCTTGAATTCAGTAGATCGTATCCACACAAACAAAGCCGTCTTGACATCTGCAGAATCAGAGACTACGCAAGAACGATCAAGAGATTATTCAGCCGAGTTTTCTGTTAAGCTAGAGGAGTGGATCGCGCTTGAAAAGCGTGTTGCGTCATCTTTTTTGCAAGAAGTGGAAGAGGAAAAAGCACGCTCTGAAGGACCCGGAACGAGGGTCCTGGATCGATTAGAATGTTATTCACGGGTCCGGGCGCGATGGTACCAGAAACAGCTTGATACAACATTTCCAGTTGATTGGGATCCGTTGCCCTATTCGATATACCAGGAACTACATCAACTTAATACGGATCCTAGCAAACGTGTGCGGAATCCGAACCGACGAAACTTTGCCGTCTGGGAGGAGATGCGCATATTTTATACACAGCACCTTGACGACGTTGCGCAACGTGCTCTAAGTCATTCTACATCTCATATGGCCAACATACAGTTTCAATATTCTGGTGCTCATTATCTAACCCTTGTCAAGCGCTTTGGACCAGATCACTATTTGACTGTCCGGGCCTTTCTATCGTTTATAAATGATCCTTCGGCACATACGCTGCATCAAGTCCCCATCCAGATGCTCTACAAGGTTCTTTGCCTTTTACAAAAGCTAGGCATGCAAATTCACATGAGAACGATCACTCTTCTATGCTGCGCTTATGATAAAATCCGCAATGAGCTAAACGAATCTGAAGATAGCGGGAATCTAAAAGATCTTATACCATTATGTCAACTTTGTTATAAAATACTGGAAACTAAAGTTCAAGAGGGTGCCCCGATCCGAATCGTCTACACAAAATATTCAGCAATACATATGCTTGGCACAGCATATTTCATCAATAAAGAGACCGAAAGGGGGTTATCAATCATGAGATATGCCAAAAATCAACTTTTGAGGGTCAGCAAGCCAACTACTACCCTTGATTGGTGGTCATACGGGGGCTTCTGGTATCGAATAGGCATGGAGAGCATGGGTATTGGGATTCCGTTGGAAGGAAGATCGAGCTTTCAACTATCTTATGAGTCTATGCAGCATATCATCACTGAGGATAATACATATCGGGATTCTGCTTTTGACTGCCTGGCCTGGATAGCCGAAGCGTGTGGCAAGCTTGGAGAATACAAACTTGCGATAGAACACGAAAAAAAGTTTATGGATTTTCGCAAGGAAAAATTTGGAGAACATGATCAATGGTATCTTTATAGTATACAAAATGCTACTGATTATATGGAACACAGGGGGCTTGTTCGTTACTCACAGCCCATCCTACGTCTTACAATTGAAACATGTGAAGCGACAGGCGTTAGCGAAGAAAAATATCGCAGATTGCTGCATCAGTATTATGGACAATCCCACCTTCTGGATACAAGTGGGTTCGACGCATCAGCATACGGATTTCAAAACTGGGGCGGTGCAATGCAATTCAATTGACATTCTTTTTTTCCATTTCTTCTCCCTCCCCTTTGGTTTCTATGTATTTTTTTATTTTTTTTTGGATATTTGGGTGATTAACCGCTTGGTAGTTCTTGTATTGTACGTTGTGAATTTTAGAGCCGGTATTAAGGTACATGGAACATATATAATAATTGTTGTATATCTCTCGAACCAAGTTTATCAGTAGTTGCTTAGATGGCACCATATGCATCAAATAACTTGAATTTATCATCTAATCGGAGTTCTATCGATTTGCGGCAAGGTTGTTCAAGCATTCGGATAGACAGTTAAGTAACTTACTTTGCACTTAACGAGCTAGTCTAATTTCGAGGGGCCAGACCATATTAGGGCCTTTAGATCTACACAGATTAGGTTAGAATTGTGTTGTTGGCTCAAAATACAACGTCCGGTGCTCATACATGTCCATTTACCAGGCCTAAGCTAGGACCAGGGCACCCAAACCACTACCCGCCGATCCGATTAAACAAGGGCTGCACAATCCTCACCAAGATATAACTGACGATTTTGAAGCTGCTCAAAGTTACTTAACCCTAGACTGTTTAGTCGACAATGTTGCGGGGAATAAGCAGCGCCGTGGACAGAAATGGCTCCCAGAAGCCAAGAACAGGGCACCTATCCGAAGAAATATGGAGATTGGACGGATAGATACAGGGGAAACAATACCTATATACCTTATACACAAGAACGATAATCTCTGCCTCCAAGGGGCCGAGAAGATAGAGAAAGAAGATTTGAGCCTTCAATCCATATACTCGAGTTCACGATATCAATTAAGTTAAAAGTTAGAAGAATCTAAAAATACTGTGTTGCCGCGTTGCATTGCGCTGCCCCATCTGAACGCGCTGATCCCTACCTGGTGAGGTAACCTGGCCTGGCTTGGTTCCATACTAAGGTCCACCGCATCTCATCCTCCTTCAATTAATCAACGATCAGCCTCCCCTGTCGTCTCGCTTGCTAGATACGTCTCCCTTCACAGGGCACTTGCACTCCACCATCGCCATCAAATCATCTATCCTAACCGACACTCACAATGGCGTCTCTTCGTAAACACCAGATTAGCGGGCCAGTAGCTGGCTCCGTTAGGTAAGTAGTAGCCCCAAGACACCTTCCCACGACACCGCTAACTCCCCATAACAGAAAGGAATCGATAGCATTCGGCGGTGGTGCTCCTAAGGCGTCGAAACAGGACCAAGACCGTGTAGCGGAACTATTAAAACGACGGCAATCTACAAGAATCATTTCTGCCCCCATTCCTGTGGGGAAGACTATGCTGGATGCCCCTGGCGTACCGGTTATACCTTCACAATTCTCAGGCACCGGAGCGTCTGGGTCTTCCAGGACCGAAGCACCTAGTACCAGGCGGCCGGGGACATCCGGTGGGAGGAAGATCCAGCTACCGGAAGGAAAAGGGGTTCCTGTCAATGTTGAAGATTATATGGTGGACGACTTTGATGCTTCGAGCTGTATGGCCACCTGGTTCTATCACCACCATTGAGTGGAATACGTTTAATTAACGATATTATAGATATATCTACGATCCTCCGAGATGCAACCGAAGATGAGGTCCGACAGTATCAGGCCGATCTTATACGGACCCGGAAACGTACATCAGCCGACCTTCAAACTAACGTCTACGTCAACCGTATACAATTTATCTCTATCTCTAAAGAAATTGGAAATGTCAAAGAAGAAATGAGGACTCTCCGAAACCTCTTAGCTGAACTGGATCTTACTACTCAGTCACTCAACAGCAATGCAGATAGCGAATTAATGTCACCACTGTCTTTTGAGGCCAGTGGTATGGAGAGCATGTTGGGTGGCGGTGGTAGTGCAGCCTCTAGGAAGAAACGAAATCGTACTTCGATCGCCGACCTTACTCAGATGTGGGCTACACACCTAAAACTCCTTTGGGAAAGAGTTGAAAACTCGCAAAAGTACCTCCCAGCATCCCCAGGAAGGCATATAGTAATGGATAGCCCCCAGTGGGTCGAACTGAACTCTGCTACTTGGAAACCCACGCGGCAGGTGCATATGTTTCTTCTTAATGACCACCTCCTCGTTGCATCCCTGAAAAAACGTCGTCCAGACGCAGCTAATCGCGGCGGACCGCCTACTAAGCTCTTCGCGGAACACTGCTGGCAGCTGAATGAAGTCGACATGATTGATCTCGCAACCTCATCTTCGGAAACCTGCGCTATTAATATTAGAGTAGCTAAGGAATCATTCGTGTACCGCAGTGATAAGGCTGATAAGAAAGCCAAACTCCTGATGACGTTCAAGAAAACCGTTGATGAGATGCGGAAGGCTCTTAAGTCAGAGTCGGACGATCAGAAAAAGGTTAAAGATAACGTTACTTTCCTCTCCACACGAGATCCAGCGCTCCAAGACCAGGACGACCTGTTGAGAACTATATCTGCTTCCATGGGGAGAGATCGACCGAATATAATGATTGACGTCGATGGAACCCAACGGAATCTTAGATGGGTCGAAACGCAAATGGATGAACTGGATGAATTGATCTCCCGACGAAATTTTGAAGATGCAGTCGGGAGATTGGAGTTTTTGAGAGGTATTGCGATGAAGCACGCTAAGAGTAATACAGTTGCTAGCGAGTTCATCACATTTAGAGTAGACGAAAGGGCATTGAGATTAAGTGCACAGATCACAGCGGATCTAAGGGAGTATGCTTCCTGGAAGACCTATGTAAAGAAGAATGCGGATTGGCTAGTACGGTTGGAGTTTGAGGATAGAGCTAGAGAGGCCTTGTTGGATGCTCGAAGTGCCACTATGAAACTACGGACTAGGTAAGATTTTATTTCAAAACTAAATACCAATGCGTATACTAATATAAGGGTATAACAGACAAGTTCGCTTCGAAGGTGACATTCCATCCTATGTCTCTCAGGTTGCCCTCGTTCAATTCACCCTCATCCGTAATACGGTAGAGATCTACAATGCCTGCTTTGAATATCGCCTATCGAGTCCTCTCGTTAAATGGGCTAAGGAGCATGTGGAAGGTTACTCCGACCTTGTTACGCGCCAGCTCTCATCAGTTACTAGAGAAGATGATGTGTTTGAACAATGCGTCCAGTACACGCTTCTCCACTCTACTCTGCTTACAGATGTCGGATTGGACTTTAGGGATCTGATGTTGCCTAGGGTCACGGCTATCAGCACACCAGATGCTCTGGGAGAGCCCAGTACTCCCCCATTTTGATTATTTTGACAATATATTGGATAATGGATATGATACAGGGCCTTTCTAGATCTTCTTCTATTGGCTTGATTTTGTTTTGAGATCTGGGTTTTCCTATATATTTTAGCCCTGTCTATAGTTCCTTTTAGCCCCGTTTCCACTGTTTTTCCCAGCCGCTTTATCACTTGATACCCGCTTTCTCTCGACCGCTTTCTAACACATACCCTGTCCAATACTCGTTCACTTTTTCTATCACACCCCGAATATTCTGTACTAGCGATGATGAAAATATTAAGAAACGCCGAGCCACGTGGGAGAAATTGGATTCTGCACGGTAACAGACCTGGAGACTTTGTGACTATCAGTCTCAATCATTCCAATTATTGCGCATAAACAAAGGTCGTTGCCCATTATACACCTCCCCTCAACTTCCATCCACCCAATCCTGACTCCGTCATCATCACTCATCCTCATATCCTTCCTCTACCGCAATCCTCAGACAGAATAACCTCCCGCGATAACACCCAGAAAAGCCTATCAAGTCCTCTCAGTTTACTACCAGCTTGCTTTTGTTCTTATTATTACGATTGTTTTTATCTTTGTTCGTACCCTGTTTTGTTTTTCAAAATGCCTCGATTTTGGAGATCTAGAAAGCCAGAGATCGCAACTCAGCAGAGTGCCAGACCTGAGCCTCAAAATGTCAACGTCACTAGATACGGCGAGAATCTCATCGCCCCACAACTCCCAAGGAGAGTAGTTCCAGCACCTACCCTTGAGATTCGGCCTATTCCACGGGCAAGACCACACCAATCCACTTCACCCTCGGAGGTAGACGCGAGTTCTGAAATCATTACGCTTCCTGAGCCAGCGGCTCTGCCATCGTACCCACCAACCACGGGCTCAGAATCGATCCGTTCTTTCCGTCCTGGTTCCGCTTTGTATTACTGTCGATACTCCGAAGACGGGAACAAATCCGACCTGGCTAGCCAGTCAAGAAGAGATAGCGAAGAGAATATGGATGGCTACTGCGTTTTCCGCGAAAGAGATCTTGCAGCCAACAACCGGGCTGAATTCCTCTCGCCACCTCTTAAGGAATATGAAATCGGGGAGGAATGGAAGAGTACAGGGGAGGTCTCTTCAATGGACATGACTATTTTGCCTCCCAACTTCAAAAAGGACCCCTCGAAATCGACGGATACCCTTATCAGGTACCCAATTGGAAGGAGAATCAGTGCGTTTACGGAAGTTTTGTCCTTCGAGTCGAGCGAGGACGGACAAAGTACAACCCTCGAAGAGAGGGAAATCCAAGGTAAGTTTTTGCTTCCCCCCTCGTTGTCATTTCATACGACCCATCCATCCAGTACCCACCATCATGATGCTTACAATCAAGTAGCCGGAATGAACATGACGCCATCGCTCCCGCGCAGCGACAGGATCCTTTACCTCCACACTCCATGGATCCTACGATTCATATACATTTTTATTCTCTCTAATTGGTGGACACTAATTCCACTACTGAAAATTTCGTCAAATGATTTTCACCCCGAGAATCTCCCACTACTATACTCGTGTGGGATGTTGGTTATAATCGTCCTAAGCCTCGGGTTACAGGCCAACTATTTCCGGATCCACGGCGTACCATGGGGTCGCCGTCGCAACGCCGAAAAGGTTGGGGACGAGAACGAGTGTACCGAGAAGGATACACGACCAGACGCGGGGCCAGGCCCCGACGTCGATTTGGAGGCAAGGGGGCAAGGGGGCCGAGCCACGTTGAAGAAGGGTGGCGATAGGAGGGGTTGGCGGTTGAGGAGTGGAATGGAGAGCTATGTTTTTGCGGTCGACATGATCCTTTTCATGTTGACGTTGGCTGCCTTGGCAGTCTCAATTATTTTTGCCAGGCATGGAGGCGCCATTCACGAGGCGCAGATGGTGGAGGCCGCGGGGGATGCGACCTCGGGGGCTGGGGGCGACGGGGTTCAAGGGAACCTCCGTGTTGTGGAGGTGTACGGGGGTGATGGGGGCTACAGGTCGTTTTGAGGGGGAGGGGGTGTTTGGCTTAGGCCATTTTTTTTTCCTTTATTCTTCATCAATTCGTGTATGACTATACATCCTGGGGCCTCGCCTCGAGCAAATGGGCTCGAGGCCGGTTTTTTTGGCCCCTTTTAGCAGCATTCAAATGCAATTCTTTCTTTTTCTCTTCTTTCCTCTTTAAAGTGCAACGAACTGCCTTTACCAGTAATCTCTATCGGTTTATAACTACTGGATAGCATAGTGAGGGAGTTTTGTGGGGGGTACCTCTAGCTAGAGAGACTTAGCTTTGAAGCCATAAACTGCGTTGGAGATGTGGTAGTTTACTAATTAGGCCCTGTAGTACCAACGATGCATTCCCAAGGCCAAGAGACTCACGTAATCCAGTTCAACCTTAGTTGCTTCCAAATACTTTTCCAATACGCGTAAAAGGTCTCTTCAATTGAGATATTACAGTTTCCATAATCTAAGAGAAGTAATTTCTAAAACCGGGGACCGATCGATATCATGAACGTATTATTCATCGTCGGCCTTCTATTCTTTGTACCGCTGCTCCTGTTTGTTGGTAAGTCAACCAATCTTACATATATAACCCATAGCTCTGATATATGGTATATCAATTTTTTGAGATTAATTAATCGGATTTTACTTATTTAATTGTCGGGTGAACTAAATTATATAGTATGGTTGGCACTTTCGTCTTGTCTCGGAGACTCATTACGACCGAATCAACGAAGTGGGAATTCTACTTGGGCGTCGTCGCGTCGACAGCGGCAGATGGAAAGGGATAGAGATCGGGATATTGCGGCGAGTCGACATGCGCTTTATGACGGGATGAGGGATAACTATGGAGGATCTTGGGAGGTTATGGAGATGCAGGATATGATGGGGCCGAGGAAGGATGAGGAATTACGGGCATGAGAATTGACATATTCATGGAGCAGTTCAGTCGTAACGTTTAGCTGATCGACTTGGTTCTTTTATCATCAAATCACCTTTCCCCATTAAACTCGGAAGATAATCTCCTGTTTCAACTCGCTCATGTGTAATGGACGGGTATATAAGGAATGAAATGTTCTATATAGTCTAATATTATGAATATTCTAAAACTCCAAATCGACTTTATGCATCTTCTTTCCGGTCTCCACCCCTCCAACCCCTTCCCCGACCGTACTACTAGGATTATGCGCTTTATGCTCCCCATCACCGCCATCATCCCCTTCATCAACCGGCAAGCTAAACCTTTCAATTCTCATCCTCCTTCTCGTCAACATGAATGCCAGATCATCCCCTCCTTCCATTCCCACTACTCCACCGCTTCCATCACCTTTACTACTATTCCCTACAATCCCTGTGCCTTTTTTGCCTTCTATCGCTTTCCAGACTTTTACAAGCCCTTGTGGGATGTCGTCTGTTGATGTGGACGATGAAGATGATTTTGTCATTTCAAACCGAGCGAGGAAGGTGGGTATTGGGTGTAGCTCGATGGCTGCGTCTGAGAGGTGTTCAAGGTGGCGGGTTAGGCCTGTTGTGCGAGGGTAGAGGGGTAGAGGGAAGGATATCATTATGGTTAAGATATGGGAGTATTGACGGGTTAGAGAGCGGAGGGTATGGATGAATTGGAGGAGATGAGTAGGGTGGGAGGATGACGGGGGGTAAAACAACGGGGATAGAAGATTGGGAATTAAAACCCGGGTGATAGTGTTTGTAGAAGATGCTGTCGATAGAATAGCATATAAAGCTGAAAGAATTGAAGAAAACGGAGAAGAAGAGGTTGGCGGTGGGGGTGGAATGTATGTTGGCGGCTTCGAAGACGAGGGGATCGTGAGCCGTTTAGTAAGGTCATAAGTATGACAGAAGAGAGATATTGGCTCGGAAGCATCCGTCCCCATTTGTAGAGATGGTGAAGAATCGTTAGCTGTGGAAATATATATTTCATGTCAGTTTATGAGCTCGTGTAGGTGAACTGTATCAAAACTAGGATATCAATCGATATCATACTTCTTCGGTTCCCAAGTGCTTCATATCGCCATGCAATCTTCATTCTCTCTTCCTTCCCCTTCTTCTTAATATCCTCATTATCTTCTTTACGATCACTTAGTCCCGGTAACTCCCTACCCCAAGCTTCACCAACTCCTATAACGACCACATTATGTCCTTGAACAATCCCCTCAGCAGCATAGTATCGTAACAAGGCCCCTGCAAAGTCCGTCGTCGAGGACTCTTCAATCAACATCATCGACCCAAGTGGTAGACCTTCATGGCCAGACAGTAATGCATCCAATGACGCAGTTCCCGTGGAAGTCGTGGGTACTCCGGTCAAAAACGACGGCCGAACACCCTTCGCTGGTGGGGTTGGCGGGGTGGATGGCGGGGCACCCGATGCAGCGGTGGTCGGATTGGGATTATTACCACCGGACGTATTTAATACAACGGAACGCTTGCGGAAACTCATGGTGGGATATAGATTCTGCTTTTCGGAGCCTGGGGAAGATTGAATGTATACGGTGTAATTATCATGATCTTGATGATGGTTGGTGGTTGGGCGCAGCTTTTTCCCTTTGGAATCTTTCAGTTTAGGTCAAATTTCGAGCTCAATGTGAGCCCGAAATGCAACATCAACACAGTTTTCAGATCCCATAACGCGGTATCGAGTCATCAGAAAAATATCTTCTGGGCGTCACGGACGACCTTGAATCCGATATATCTACTATAGATGAGAAGAGTAAAATTCGCATTCCCTAGGGCTATCGAACACTAAAAAAACAAAGTCATCAAAAAAAAAAACTTTAAAACACCATAAGCTTTTTAGATAATTTTGGGGCCTCCGTCGAATAGTGATACCAGAAGTCAAAAAGCAATAACCCCAACAGTCCGATCCCAGAAAATGCAAGTCAGTAAAACAACTTTAAAAGCACAACCTCGAGAAGGAACAAATGAAAAAAGGTGAAGGATAATTATAATGTCAGAAGGAATGAAGTAAGGCGAGAATAATCTTTCTGAGAATAGTTCCCACCAGGGTTAGCAAGTTGGACATCCAATATATCCACACCCCAACAAAAGACATCAAACGATAACTGAATTTTATATGACTTTCCTGCATGCAAACTCTCCGAAAAGAATAAACACTGGCTACTCCGATATCTTTCTATTGTAAACATCTGTGAGAATCAAGGGGATGAAGAGATAAAAAACAAAAAAAATAAATAAAAACCTGCCACATTTTTATGCCCTGAAAGATTTCTCGGGGAAACAACGTTGAAGAAGAAAAGAAGAGAGAAAAACCATCCCTAGAAACCCAGCTACCAAGAAGAACTCCAAAATCCATAAATAGTGTATAAGCCAAGTCGTAAAAGGTATCCTCTAAAGGATAAACTTGCGGCATAGAACTGCCAACTGTGAAGAGAGCGAGAAAAAAAGAAACATGCTATAAAATAGCAAAAGGGCCAACCCAGGCGGGCTGTGAAGAAACAAAGGAGAAGATTGCCGTCAAAAGGCGCTCTCGGAGAAGAGATGAAATGAGGAAGGGTAGTTATTAACAACGGACATCAAAATGTGGCTGGCATGAGAAAGTTGGACATTTCAAGTTAGAAGTTAAAAATTACAATATTGAAAGAATACAAACCCCTAAGGTCAGGAGCCATTACAAAAAATGAAAAGAAGAATAAATGGTCATAAAATAAACGTAAATCATGAAGGGTATAGAAAGGATATCAGGAGGAGAAATGGTTGGTGTGTAGATAAGTTCATACTTTATGAACTGAGAAATGGTGTTGCGCCATTAGCAGCTTGAAGTTTGCTTTGGTGATGCTTCCCCAAAGTTGGGCTTGGGCTATTTCTTCGACGATCGGGAACAATCATGTTACCATCATTGTCTTCAATAATCAGCTCGGCGGCCATTGGAACATGGGAAAAACTATCTTCGTCTAGAGAACTAGCGTCCTCAAGACTTCCGACCTCCTCACGCTTTCGTACGAAGCTGCTATCAACACGGGTCACAAACGGCTGCCGTCCGAGTCCATCCCGCCAGAGGTATTGATCGACCGAGGGGTCAGTATCGCTCTCATCGCCGTGGTCCGACGTTGGGCTGTGTGGCGGAGAAGTGTATTGCAAAGTTCCTGCTGGCCCGCCTCTGATCGAAACATCATCGTCGAGGTAGCTGTTAAGGATATCTCTTTCATCCTCATCAGACTCGGCGTCTTGAACGCCGGAGAAGAATTGGTCGTCGGCAGTAGAAGCCCGCCTGTCTTCATGAACTTTTATATCGTGATACTGATGCTTAAGGGATGCTGCACTGTCCCTTAGCGAGGGAATGCGCCGCGCCGATGGGGGGTTTGTGAGCCTTCCGGACAGCCAGGAGCCTTCCGAATCGATCGATGCCATAGATCTAATTCGTTCATGGCCGAAGGATTGTCTGCTTGATGTCTCTGAAAAATGACTGGATGCATATCGATCGGTTATATCGCCCTGGCTAGACCATGGCGCCTTCCCGCTTACCCTTTTGCTAGGTCGCCTCGCTTCGGAAAGGTTTCGGCTTAGTGAGCTGGAATGCCCTAGTCGGGATGGACTTAGGGGAGCCATCCTAATTTCACTTTGGACTTCTTCCTGTGTGTAATCGTGAGGAACTGGAATTGCGATTTGCGAGTGCCGGGGAAGAGGCATATCAGGTAGATATTGATCGCTCGGGACTCTTGACCCTGCAGACTTGGGTGTGGGCGATTGCAAGAAAGTACGAGGCATACTAGAGGAACCAGTTGGCACTGTGCTCCCTCCGTTCGTAAGAGAGCCTTCATCATGTCCATGTGTATCCCCAAGCTCATCTCGTCCGTGTAATGCTTGTTGCTGCGCTTCGTGCTCTCTCTGAACTCGCGCCGCGGTAGCCCTTCGAAAGAAAGTCATCCAAGCATTCTCCGAAGCTGGGATGTCTGGTCTATCCTCTGGATCTGGAATATTATCGAGAATAGTTTGGTCGCGGGACATCTTTCTTGAATGGGTTGGAGAATGGTCAATAAGTTGGCCACGCATAATTGTAGGTGATGGTGGAGGCGACGCTGTGCTATAGCCCGAGAGCCGGATAGCGGTCGCAGTTTCCACGACAGGTGTGTCGTTTTCGGATTTATAAGAAGCGCCACTGCTGTACGGCGGTTGGATGGGCAACTGAAGATGAAGGTTTTCTTGAGAGGGGCCGTGGAGCCAGGACATCGGAGTATGAGTCCCGGAATTGGGAGAACGAGGGCTTGGTTGCTCATGAGGAGGGATGGGCGCAGTTGGTATCGTTATCCTTTCTGCGCCGGCAAGTCGAGAGGGCCCAGCCTGGCTGTTCTCTATCTGCTGGCCTTGGGATTTCCTAAATGCATTAACCGTGTTCCTCTGTTCCTCATCAGCCCTTTGTTTCGCAGCCCTTCGCTCGAGCTTTGCTTGTGCTTTTGCTTCATCCTCTTTTTGTTTCCGTTCTCGCCTTCGGGTGTCTCTCTCCAAAGCTTCACGAATCCCACGTGAATCCAGTTCGTCAGCTAAACCATATACTAGGTTTCGCTTAAACGTCTGCGATTCCTCTACGATCGGCGATTGGCGATCTTTTCTCCAACCGGACTTTGACGACTTCCTCTCGTGGTTTGATGGATAGTCCGGCATCTTCTCGCCAGCGTGTGGGTTCGACGCGAAACGAAGTGTCGGCCGTGGAGAGAGCACATCGAGGCTTCGGACCTTGAACGCACGGAATGGAGAATTCTGCGACTGCGACGTCATGATTGAATGCAAGGACTCTTGCGTTCGCATTGACAACTCCGACAGAGGGCGGTCAATTTGTTCCTTGCGCGAGAATGGGCGGAATCTACTATCAGGTCCCCTCTGTGATCTTTTAGAGAACGAGCGGAATAACCTGGGATGGTCTTTATCGGGTGATGGGGAAGGATAGTCAGCAGGAAAAGTTGGTGCTTTCTTGAGAAGATTTCGCTTTCTAGGGCGATTGGATGACGCTGACGAATTCGAACGACGGTTCAGGTTCTCAGGGGTCGCCGGAGTAAATCTTGCCTGTGACGGTGGAGGGGTTTGAACCGGAGTTTGCAGTTGTGCGACTGGACTTTGCGTTGGTTCTGTAGGAGGAGGAGGAGGAGGCGCAGGCGATGCTACTTGCACCTCGCGAAGGTTGGATGTAGGTGTCGATGGGCCCGCTTGCGCGGGTTTGAACATTTTATTTTTCCTTTGTGAGGCAGCCCTCCTAATGGACTTGAGAGTTTCATTTCGCCGTTTAGACTTAGAAACGCTGTGAATTGATGGGGATCGAGGTCGTGTCGATATATCAAACCTAGCATGAGGTTCATCATTTATACCGTTTGTGGGTCGCTTGTCACCAGAATTGGTCTTTGACCGTTTTTTCCATGGCCATATCGCCATTGCGGCGCCGCTTGTTGATCCTCTACGCAGAGGGGCCGAGATGCTGCGTGGGTTTAGAGGGTGAGGATGGTGACCTAATATCTAACGGCTGCCACCTCAGGGTTCTGAAATTTTTTAATTAAATGTGCCAGGAAGTGTGTCTTCAAGGGTGTGTGCTATTTCAAGGGACGTGTCGAGTCGCAAACATATATTTTGCGAAGTTCCCGTAAGAGTGACCACTGTAAGTGTAGTTGAGGATATTGAAGCCCGTAATAGCATCTATCCGACGACGGTTACCCCGTTAGCTATCAAGTTTTTTTGAGGATGAAGTTGTCGATATCAAAAAATGTCCGAAACCGATATGGCGTGAAGAAAGGTCGGTTGTCATGCTAATAATCCTGCCCTGCCTGCTTTTAAAAGAAAGTCTCCCGGGGCTACTGCGATAAGTTAGCACGGGCCGTTTTATCCAATTTCGCTTTTAAGATTGCGCAGTAAGAAAGGTCTCGAGAATTTTAAAATATGTCCATGTGAGAATACTTTCGAGAAGAAAGGATGTTCAGGAAGAGATTTGCCCGCAGAATTTAAAGTTCTGCACTAAAAGAAAGAAATCCTCAAAGAACGAGTATCGGGAGGATAGCACAGAAAGGAAAGGAAAAACGAGAAGAGCGGCCAGGGGTGAGGAATTCGAGGACCCGGTGCTATATTTATCGGGGTGGCAATGAGCACACAGAACAGAACGGTCCCGACACTCCCACTCGTACAGGACACACGCAAACCCACACACCTTCGTCGAGCCGATGTAATGTAAGGTGTGGTGGTCCCTTAGTCCGGTGGGTCAGAGCAGGGTGTGGGAACGTTACCAAGTGGCTGCAGCTGGGAAGCCAGGAGAAAAGGGAAACAGTGGGGAAGGGTGGGGATCTAGAAAGGAAAAAGGAATCAATGACCGATGGAGGTAGCCCGACGCGATTATCTTTGGAAACGTATCGCGACGAAAATTTTGAAGCATCAAAAATTGTTGGCCTTTTTGTTTTTTTCACTATCTCTATCCCTTCTTTTCTCTTCCAGTAAAAAGCAGGATTTTTGTCTCGTGGGAGGGCTTCTGCGAAGGCAGTGGCGGCTGTGCAATGGTGTACTTACCATTCATACAAAAAGTGACCTGACCCATAGAGCGGTATTTTTTGTCATGGTTTTCGCTTCCCAAGGTAGCGCCCCAGGTTAGGTTGTATGTGAGGTGACAGCAGGAGCACGTTGATGTTGGCCTTGCATAAACAATACCAGGTCTATGCATGTGCTGTACCTGCCTTCTTCCCCGTCGATGCTGTGTGGTTTAGATATGACGCCAGGCAGCGATTCGTGAGAACCGAGGGGTACTGGAAGGAGATGCAAGAGCAATGCCGCCCACAAAAAGCGATGAAGCTTCAGAAAGAGAAAATACACATAAGCGGCGTCTCTGGATAAAATACAGTATTAGCTAGCTCCATGATGACGAGATGCGTCTCGTATCTTGATTGTAGCATCGGGCGGCCTCGCTTAGACCGCAATGACGTTGAACTTGACAAAAGTGCGACCAAATCCATGGACCCATGGAGACATACTTGGGTCTCCCGTGTCAGAGGAGAAAGCTGCAGGAGGACCCAAGGCGGGAGGTACAACTCGGACTTTGGTGGGTTCCCAACGATGAGATCGCATCTTTCGATGCTTCGGGACAGTGAGATAGAGCAGCACGACAGATGGTGCGAAATGAAGCCCGTCGAATGTGCCCAGCCAATAACACAACAGTGGTTTGCATTCGAAGGGCAAGGGCAGCCATCTCCACCACCCACCATACTCATCGCTGCCTTCTCATGCAGTGCAAAATTTCGTGGTTGGTTGGGGCAGAAGTGGGGAATCCTGTCAACAGGCCACGGGACGAACGACAATAAAACGCCGTTAACAGGATCGTGAGCAGAAGTCAAAGCGCGCCACTGTCAAACTAACACCTGTTTCGACGCACAGGTGGCACGAAGCAACGACTGGGCAAGTTTCTTTCATTCGGAAACAAAGTACGACGTGGAGGTATTTCCCAGAGTCTCGAACTTGAATCGCATATTGAGAGGGGTACTTGGTGCCTGGCTTTCGACTCGATCGTGAGCCTACACTGAATCCCATTGGCTATCGTAAGATTGGGCAAAGAGCACCCCGTACAAATTGGAATGAGATGGTTGTTCAAAAATGTTGCAGTTTGGAGCCCGACCGTAACAATGAGACCTACATACATTGATGCTTGCTCAGGTTGCACAACCTTCACTTGGTTGAAGGAGAATACTGTTCACCAAGTGGCCTTTTGTGACACCGCACCGACGATATCCAATGCATATGCACCACTACAGGCCAGAGCAGATATGCCGAATGTTGGAGACGAAGCCACATTTCGAGATTGGCTCATAAGAATCCCGAAAGAACTCGATGGAAGATTTTTCAGCCTTACATAGGTATGTTGCCATTCTGCACAGCTGCTCGAGCGCTCTCGGTTCGCTGGCCGGACGCTGTTCTCATGGCCAGAGCCCTTATCGCAAGTCAGCTTTCCACGATCCTTGTTCCTGGACTAGCCAGCTGGGACGGAAGAAGCCAGACCTTAGTACTTGGATCCCAGTTCCGTAGTCCCAAGCAGCCTTGCTACCCCTTGCATGCAGTGGCGTTCCGATCTCTTTTTTTCGTTCCTGCATTGAGCAGATGGAGGTATTATCGTGGCAGGGCAGGAATGTGGACTCCTGAGCACTGCAGTGAGAACATGGTAGGATATAATACATACGCAGCGTAAAAACGATGAAACCAAGTTACTCCCAGGTGTTAACTAAGTAGTTAGCGATAACTGATCTTGCTTGATGCTAGCTGGGCATGGCCATGTGGATGTGATGAGGTCAAAGCTCCGATACAATGACACACGTTCGAGTTATTGTGACGGTTAACATCAACATGCAAATCTCAACACTTCGAGTTCGTAATTCTGCAACATCCCCAACAAGGCGTGACACGCATCAGAATATGTGCATATCTGCAGGTACGATGCCAGGTGTGTTTCTTTTAATCATATCAAAGGCAGGAAATTACTCACTAAGCATGTATGTGCATGGGCAGTTATCTAAAACTGCGGAAGAGATAAGTAGATATCCGCAAGATGAGTGCATATGAGCGTCGTAAGATCTAGAACCCGCGAGCGAAGGAGAGCCCCTTGCTTCGGAACCGGGAACTGGATCTTTTGGAGCAATTAGTAATATTTTCTCACGAAATCATCTAAATTGACGGGTTAACTTGATTAACATTATCTATATAACGTAAGTTGAAACCTGGGATCCGATGGCTGTACGCAGGAACAGCCCCCCCAGACCCTAGATATTTGAACCCGGGCAAAGCAGTGACACAGCCTAGAAGACGGAAAAGTGAGACCCAGGGGCTATGGACGTAGAGTTGCTGCCGTGCCCAAAACTGCGGTTTGAGTCAAGTTTTTCTTTATCCTTTGAATGCTCGAAGCGTTAATGTAGCCGGCTGAAGATTAATATAATTGACAATACTGCAGTATACACAACGGCTCACAGGCTTAGGGATAGAGGCAGGAGTATCCACAAGCATGCAGAAATTTTTCAAGACGTACGAAGAACAGCATGGAAATTAAAGTAGCACTAGTACCATGATTGTAAACCATGTAGCTAGTAATAATATTAACGTTGAAATCAATGCATGTCCTAGGATCCTATTTAATTAACTCTCTATAAGTTGGTGAATTAATTAAGATCGAAGTCGCACATTCTCCTGGCATATTGATCTATGCACCTTATTACGCACGACTGACCAAACATCGCTTGATTTTGAATATTATATTAATATATTACGTATCAATATCGCGATACGCAGAGCTAAAGGATAAATAGGGATGCATGTACAACTTATGCACATCATTGGGCTCGTGGTGTCGCGTACCATCTAGAGGCAACGTTTATTATTAGAGAGTCTTTGATTCCTAGTACTAACATGAGTCAAGCGCTCACGGCTCTAAAGCTAATAGAGGCACCTTCTTTAAATGCTCTTGTAAGTTGGAATTAGTTTGTAAATTGTAATTTATTCTCTATCCTTGAGCCTGGATATTGTATTTTAATATCGATATCAGGCAATGCATACGAACAGATCTCCCAGTATCTTTCGACTTAACATGTGACTTTTATAAATTTAATGTTCATACTATACTTCAAATACATAAATGCTTCGCGTTCTCGCAATGTATATCATATTCAAAGTCTCTTCGCCGGATTAGGTATAGGGAAATCAACTTGAGATTCTCGGGATGTGCGCTCATGTCGACATGTATACAGAATTGGTCGGTGCATCTAACCAGTTGATCCTCTTTTGAATATATACAGTAGCAATATTTACTAACTAAGCCTTAGCCACGCTTTAACTTGGCCCGCCTCTTATCTTATCTTTCTTATCGATGTCAAGCTATCGTTTGGCTTTGTTTGCAGGGTGTGATGGATCCGTGGACCCACCTACCAGTAGTGAGATAAAAGTATGGACGTTCCTTCTAAGTCTGTAGTTCCGTTGCAACCTAATTATATAGTATTAGCCCGATATCAAAATTTTAAAGCTTGAGTGATCTTTTATAGCCGAATCGAGGAAAGGGCAAAGAATCATCAAAAAGCAGAAATCTTTTGGGATATCTGGGGGACATGTCCATAAATTTATATAAAAGTTTAAGCCAAATATCGAAGGTTGTGAGATTTGGGTTCTCCTACGTATATCATCGTGGAAATTTAATAGTTTTGTACCATATCCCACCAAATATTATATTAACTGCTATGCCATTTAGCGTAAACTGTATAGTAGCTGCTATCGTCGTCTATAAGTTTCTCCCAATATATATACCGAGATCTCGAAAGTTGTAGAAGTTATATACGTTATAGTGACGTCCTGGTACAGTATAGTAGTGGATGACAATGGTGTTGTTGTTGTGGTAGAGAGCTCGGATTGGCTCACCAAAAACAAGCGCCAACCCTGCTTGCATCACCATCCTCCTCAAAAGACCAACTTCAACCTCAACCTCACCCGCCACCTAGCTCGCCACCATCGTCAAAGCAAGTATCTCATCTGCCACGGCTCTCCAGAGCGCATATCGACAGAACTTCAGCATCCAATCAAGCGTATTGACTCCGTTTACCAGCCTGTCTAGCTAGTCTATCTGGGCTGTGACCCTTCCCCGCTGTTCGAAAGCCTCCCTGCAGACATTTTGCTAGCCAAGCTCCCTTCTTAATAACCCTGACAAATCACATCGCCATCTTTCACGTCGAACTTTCCACCGTCAATTCATTTCTACGTGTCTTTATAAACGGTATCCTTGTCGCCTAATCCTCGAGACTTCTCCCAAACAGCCAGTTCATAGCTAGAAAAACCCCCCGCCCGATCACGAGACACACTCCTACTCCTTTCCTTATCTAAACTTCGGCAAGATGATGGAAGTAGATTCCGAAACCAAAACCCCAGCTCCAGCTTCCTTACCTGATGCTGTTGAAATATCAACATTGGATTCATGGATAGATCAGCTATTGCAATGCAAACAGCTCGCAGAGGCTGATATTCTGCGGTTGTGCGAGAAGGCATGTCCTACCACCTCTTCCCTTTTTTATCGACCTTTTCCCGCCTAAAATCATCCCAGGGTGGTGACACCCCACCTAGGGTTCATAATGTTCCTCTTGGAGAGCACTAACACGATGTGACGGTGGTATCTACAGGCACGAGAGATCTTACAAGAGGAGTCAAATGTGCAACCTGTGGTATGTTTGCTCAGCCCGCTGCACTGTACTGTACCGCCACGCAAAAATGCCTAACCTATCCATCTAGCGTTGTCCGGTGACAGTATGCGGAGATATTCACGGCCAATTCCACGATTTGATGGAGTTATTCAGAATCGGCGGTAGCTGCCCGAACACGTCCTATCTATTCATGGGTACGTCTCACGAGTACCCCTCCTAGGCCATCGTGCACACCTCACAACACCATTATCACTAATGAAAAGAAACCTCCCAAACTCTTCAGGCGATTACGTTGACCGAGGCTACTACTCTGTCGAAACTGTTACTCTCTTGGTCACCCTCAAGATCCGCTTCCCAAATCGCATAACCATCCTCCGTGGTAACCACGAATCCCGTCAAATCACCCAGGTCTACGGCTTCTACGACGAATGTCTCCGAAAATATGGCAATGCAAATGTCTGGAAATACTTCACAGACCTCTTCGACTTTCTCCCCTTGACCGCATTAATCGATAATCAGATCTTCTGCTTGCATGGAGGACTATCTCCGAGCATCGATACGCTTGATAATATCCGAGCGTTGGATCGAATTCAAGAAGTTCCACATGAAGGCCCCATGTGCGATTTGCTATGGAGTGATCCTGATGATCGATGCGGGTGGGGAATTTCGCCAAGAGGTGCTGGATACACATTCGGGCAGGATATCTCCGAAGCGTTCAACCATAACAATGGGTTGACGCTCGTTGCCAGAGCACATCAGTTGGTTATGGAGGGATACAACTGGTCGCAAGATCGTAACGTTGTTACGATATTTTCTGGTAAGTTTCGCAGCAGGACGCCAAGAAATGTAACAGGAGGACTAATGGCTGTCTATAGCACCAAACTATTGTTACAGATGTGGTAACCAGGCTGCGATCATGGAAATTGATGAACATCTTAAGTATTCATTGTATGTATACCTTTTTGATTTCCATACAAACTCAGTGCTAACAACAGCTTCCCCTCCAGCTTGCAATTTGACCCATGTCCGAGAGCCGGGGAACCGATGGTTTCAAGGCGAACACCTGATTACTTCCTCTAAAAACATCACCAACAAAAGCCCTCTTAGATTCACTGTTTCGAATTTTTGTGTCTTTCTGACATGGATGGCGAAAGCCAGGGCGCTTTTAACGACGGTCTGAAGCTTGGATGGTTTTTTTTTCGTTTTGGTTTCCTCTTCTCTACAATGGCTTCTCCCTCCTTGTAACCCCTCTATGTATACCCCTCTCCTCCTTCACGCATCCAGAACAAAATCTTCTTAACAACTTAACCTGTCAGAAACAAAAAGAAAACAAATAAGCTATTGAGGCGTTTTGAAACAAATTCCGTTCTAGACGTTCTTATATCCTTCTGTCTAGTTCACCCACTTTTTATATGAAAAACAAACAACAACCATGTTCCTCTTCATACCGCTCTCGCTCTATTTAAACCCAGTTTTTTTTTATCCCCCTTGTCTATTTTCCTTAGTTTGGCGGAGATGTTTTTTTTGTATTCGTTCCTATCGTGTGAAAAACTGCGACCTCTTCTTCTTTTTGCGGTATTCGTTGCCCTTTATGTCTTTCTTCTCTCTCTCCCTCTTCCTCGTGTTAGTACCTACTACCTATACCGTCCGATGGAAAACCCTATCTAGACAGTAATGAAGCGTTGGAATTCTGATATTATCATTATTAACGTTTTTTTATTTTTCAAATGAAATGACGCGAGAGTGACGTGTGTGGGCATATATGCTTGACAGATTATGGTGTGGGATGATGATGATGGTGGTGGGGCTATATCGGTATCGATAACATATCACCCCATATATAACTCGCGTATCGGCGGTATTTATAATTAGCCTGAGGGCAAGGTATGTAGACAACCACCCCACCCCTTACTTTTGAGGGATGGGATACACCATGGGTAGTGATCTTCAAGGATTAGTAGGAGATGCGGCCAATGCAATTGTAAAGTGTGCTTCTTCTTTTTTTTTTTTTTGGTTCGAAAGTTGTAGTAACTACAAGACATTAATTGTAGTGGCTATGGTATCAAATCCAAACATGAGAACCTTGAGCGCCATTAACACCGGTATGCATGCTTATCTCTGTTTCAAATTCCCCAAACCTCTCTTTGGGGACTCTTATTGTTTTCGGAGTCTTTAAACTCGGTTTATGGGGTTTTGTCGATGTTTTTTTGCCTCCGGTATAGTATCGTTTTTCTTCCTCTGCTCGGTACCGTATCAGGGGTTGGAAAGAAGAAAGAGAAATCCTTTGACTTCAGGTCCACGGTATACCCTCAACTAAAGTCCCCAAATCCTCTCTTTCCTTTTTCTCCCTAAGATAAAAAGATTGTTTCCGTCGTTTTTCTCGTGGTGGTTCCTCCTACTCATAAGACTGTCCGCAACATCAACCCCCTTCCTCATCACTACTCTCCAAATCCTCTTCTTCCTCCCTCCTCTTCATCCTCCACTCCTTCTCCCGTTCCTTCTCCAACTTCTCCTCCCTCTCCACCTCAAATCGATCATACTCCTCTCTAGCATCCACCCACCTCTCCTGTACATCAGCAACACCCCCCACCGCCTCCCCCCACTTCTCTCTCATCGCCACCGTCCAAATCCCATCCCCTGCACCTTCTGCCTCACCAAAAGCATACCCGCCAGCTCTATCAATAACCTGCAATAAATGCGTCATAGAAGCTTTATCCTCCACCGCCAAAGTTTCGAATCCAACTAATCCAAACCCTTCTACCAATTCACAGATTGCTTCGTTTAATTTTTCGAATTTGGGAGATCCTTGTTCTTTGCTTAGGAATGGTAGGAGGTGTGATAGATCTTGTACTTCGGTGTAGAAGTCTAAATTGAAGTCTAAGGGACCGTGGGATTTTAAAAGGTCGAGTTTGGAGAGGACGTTTATGTGCGGGAGGTTTAGGAGGAGCATGGAACGGAGGGCGGTTAGGAGGATTGAAATGTATTGGGATGGGGAGGCGAGGTGGTGGGAGTCGAGAAGGTGGATTACTACTAACTGTATGAATGAATGAAATGGATTAGCATGAAGACTAGGCAATTGTTTGAGAAGTATACTCACGCGATATCCGAGCTTTTCGAGTTTTGTGAATATATTCCGAAGAGAGTTATGATGTGTGAATAACTCGACTTGACCAGGACAATCGAAGAGAATATAATCCTCTAGTATACACCAATAAATCAGTACCCTTAACTCTTAAAGTCCTTACGCAGTAGAAAGATGGTAGACGGAGAGAGAAAAAGTACATACGGCCAAACTGCATCAACCCTTCCTCCAACCACTCCACATTCTCCTCCAACTCCTCAAGAGCATAGACAATCCCTCCATTCGGTCCAAGTCCGTTTTCATCCATAACTTCATCCAAAGTGACTAGTTTCCGGACATCAAGTGCGCATGGATACGGCGTTGCATCATTCGCGGGGTCGAGGTTTACGACTTGAGATTTACGTCCTATGGCCGACATGAACTGGTGCACTAACAAGACACTCTTTATGTTAATTTTCCAGATATTCTTTAGTTGGTGTGAAGGTTTCGAGTTGGAGAGACTTACTGCCGGCGCAATAGGTGGACTTGCCACAGCCGGGTGGGCCTATGACGAGCTTGATAGTCGACGTTAGTTCTTCGTAAACAAAAAGGAATCGCTTTTGGGGTTATCATGATAGGAAAGAGTAATGCGCACCTGCGCGAACGGCATGGCTATAACTGGTGTCGTTGATTGATGGATAGGTATCTAGGTACAGGTACTTGAGTAGCTAGAGCTAGTGTGTGCAGTGAAGATAGTTTGAAGGATAGCGAGCGAGCAAGGTTTCTTTATACCGACATCGAACCCAACGCGGCGCCACTAAAATGATGACTAATGAATATAATACGTTCTTACTTCAACTGCTCATATTCGATTTCTCCACAGACGAATTGATATAAATCATAATCAAGATTGCAGGTATCATTAAATAAACGATATGACATAAAATAGAATCCTAATAAGCGCCAAAATATGTTAAATAACCCCGATACCACCTGGATCGTAAAGTCGAAGGAAAGAGAGCGAGCTCTCGAAGAAAAACGCCTAAGAAAACCGCCCAAGAACTGATACCCAATCCCCATATCCCAAGTCCAAGTCCAAGTCCAACCGTCCAACCGTCCAACCTGCGAATGAATGCAAAACAATTATTTATCTTCAATATCCAAGCTATTCCGTATCCTTTCATTCAGATAATCTAACTCTAATCTTATATGACGATCATATCTCAACTCGTTGCCTTGATACTGATTCCACTTCGACATTACCGTCTCCGGGAACGACAAATCCATTGACTCAGAATCGTTCTCGACACTGGTCGTATCATCAACATGCCCCAATATCAGTTGTAATAAGCCTTTAACTCGATCTAACAGCCTACTTTCCCCGTGCATGTGCTTTAATTGTCTAACGAGCAATAACCCAACCGCTATATGTTGCCATAGTTCGATCGGTGGTCCGGAACGAGGGAAATTCGCAAGGTACTCTGCCGCGCCAGCAAAGTCTCCTGATTCAATGAGAACTTCCATGCCGAATGGACTTTGTGTCGTATTCCAGAAACCCATGCTTTCGGCTAGCATACGTTTACCCTCGTCGTCTTTTTTCCTATAAAGTTTTTCCGCCATAACTTCGAATAGCTGCAGTTCTGGTTCCGAGGTTGGTAACGATTTATTCAGATTTTGCATTGAAATATGTATATTTAAGAGCGGGATAGCTTTGAGGATGACACTAGTCTTGGTGGTGGGATGTTCTGATACCCTCATTCTATAATCTTTGTTCTTGGCTCTGAGCATGTGAACAAAGAACTTGACATCTTCGTTTGGTGATTCCGGTGTATTATATAGTTTCCCATATGAAGTAATGATTTCAGATAGCACCGATTGGAAGGTTCTAATGTGGGAAGCCTCCAATGATGCCACTAGCCATTGAAAAGGTATCAACGGTCGCCGGGAAATGAGCAGAGAAGCGATGAGCCATCCACGTAACGGTGGGTGAGGAATGCCAAAGCGGTCCAGAAATAGTGAGTTCCCGCGTATCATATTGCACATTCGGAAACCTTCATTTCCATAGACCTGATCAGGCTTCGATTTGAGTTGATTTAGGACGTATTCTTTACAACATTCAGTGGCAAGATTAAGGTCGGCGGTGCCCTGAAGCAAGTGGTTTTGGAAAGTTGTTATCGGGGAACACTCATGTCTTTCCAACCTGTTCCCAGTATCAACTAGAGCCTCGGAGTCCAAGAGATTTCGTAAGTTGCCAACATGCGGTGGAGATGCTGGTCGCGGGTCTGTTAGGACCTGGTAGATGTGGTTGTCGGCTTTATTTGCATATGCATTGTGGATGCTTGGAGGAGGCCGGATGTCATCCGGATGACGGGATTCCTTTAGAGCATTTCGGAAAGAGGAGTTTACTTCGTTCAGAAAAACTTTGGATTCACTGTCGGTGAGGACCGGGTGGTTGAAGACGGAAGCGAGTTTGGCGAAGGGGCCGAGAGGTTTGGATTGCACTTGGAGGGATTTGAGGAAGAGCTTGCTTGATCGAGAGGTTCCTTTCATCGTGATAATCGTCAATTGTTGGTTTAAGCGCTAGCCATCGCTATTGGTATCGAAGACGGTGATAATAAAGTCGTTGATGGAGGTTGCAGTGGAGTTGAAGCGAAGGTTGGGGCGGAAGTCGTGGTAGAAAGTGGTATGAGGTCAAGGTCAGGTCGCATCTTGGCGAGATGACTCGACCAACTTTACTTCAATGCCCAGACCCCGGTCAAGTTTCGTTCAACACCTCCAACATCACCAACTTCACCTCGGACTATCACCACTAATGCTTCTCTCACCCTCAATGACAGATCGGTAGTAGTAGTAATAGTAGTAGCAGTGGCCCACCATGGTTCGCGTCAAACAGCGCTACCTCCTCTTCACAATCCTCTACCCATCAGGCCCTCAATCCACTAGCAACAATACCACATCCTCAAAACCCACCCAATCCATGACATTCCACTCTCCCTCCCCCCAAAACCTCACCAGAACAACCTTAGCTTCCATAATCCGTTCTTCGATATCAACCAACTTCGGCGACTGGGGTATAGGACAATGTGGTAGTTTTGCCGGTATATATATCTTTTTTTCTTTGCCCTTCACAAAAAGTTTTGAAATGCCAAGACATCGAAAGTAACTAACAAGAGAACAATTGGATCGAAAAACAGTAAAATATTTCTCTTCGGCAACATCAACGGGGATACTTCGTATCACACGCGATAATTATCGTACTTTATGGGCGGCATTAACATACATACGCGAATTATGTGGCCAACCGGCTGTCATCAAAGTCGTAAGGATATCTGGAACCATTCGAAAGGCCGAGCTTGAGGCTGTAAAACTGGCAGAAGATGCAATAAGGAGGGTCAAGAAGGAGGCTAAAGGCGCAAAAACTGGTGCCAGTGCCGGCGGTACTAATGCTGGTGACAAGAAAGGTGTGGCTGGGCTATTTGGTGGTGGGAAGCTAGGGCAACCAGCAACTACAGTTGATGAGGAGCAGGATCAAATGTTGGTTGATATTGTGGACAGCGATGACGGTGATGACGACTAGGGATAGCTTATTTTGCTATAAGCTTTAGGGCGGCGTTTATCACTTTTATGTGTGGTTGTACGATACGAAGCCCGGTATGTATTATAGATGATACCCGTAGTTGTTTTTATTGGCGTTCTATCTATCTCTCTATTTTATTTCTTGTGAGGCCTCTATGTTGGCTATCACAAAAGCTCGTCTATATTCCTTTGTATGTCCCTCGAGATTCCAAACTGCTATGCCTACAGGCTCCGATGTCTAACCTTGAGGCTTATCATCAAGATCAAACACGAATTGCTTCCCCGGGTTCTGGCGTGCGAGGCGCTTAGCTTCCTCCCGCGTAAGTGCCCTCTCAACGTCCGCCTCTATCTTCTTTGTCTTCCTCCTCCTCGCTCCTTTGTTTCCTTCCTGAGGCTTTTGCGTCTTTTTCGCCTCTTGTGCCAGCTTCCCATTTCCCTCCCCATCTGTCATGTCCACACCCTGCCCAGCATCTGAGCTGGGCTTTCCGGTATTGCCCTTGCGGGCACCCGTATTCCACTTCCCCCTCTTAACGTCCCCATTCTCATCCTTTTCATCATCTTCATTGCTCTCACGTCCTCGTTTCTTCCCACTCGTGGCCCTCGATCTTGTTGTCTTATTGATGACCTCTGCATTCTTGACAACCTCCGAAACCGGCTGCGTCTTAGGAACTTGAACGTAAGGCGTTCCAGCAGGTAAGGGTTCCGTCTTATGCATTAATGCCCTTCCCCTCCCCCGACGAAGAGCCTCAAGGTCTCTCAGACGAAGCTCTATCTGTTTAAGATCGTTGCCATCGTCGCCGTAATCGAAATTATACTTCGGTGCTGGAAGACACGTCTGAGGAATTCTTGTCACAGCTGTTGAGTCAATATCGACGATTGCAGTGTTATTGTAGTTGGTGCCTTCATGAAGTTTCTTAGGGATAGAGGGTTTTGATCCGTCTCCTTGGACGCCATTAACCGGCTGCCGTGGCAGTCCGAAGTCTGATTCGGAAACACTCTCAAATGAAAAATCAGCAAAGCTATCGATTTTAGCTTGCTGTTTGGCTTCAGTTGGTTTCGTTGGTAATTCAGTGAGTTTGTGAACGGGAATATCCCGGGCAGCGTCAATGGTCTTCCAGGTTATTTCAACCTCAGAATCAGAAAAATCAATATCATTGAGATACATCTCGAGGCTAGGATTTTGCTCCTTGCCTCTCCCACGCATTTTAAGCGCCGCATCGAGGAGTGCTGATGGTTTCTAACCACCCTCCTGAGCACTATCATCGGGGTTTCCGAGTCTCTCAATATCACCTTCGGAAACGTCTTCGAATTGGAAGCTCTCGAAGCCAAAAGATTGAGGTTTTGCCTTTTCTTTCACCTTTACGATGGCTTTGTTTTGTAGCTGCTGGTCGCTCTGAGGAGATACCATGCCACCGAGTTGGGGAGAGTGCTGTCGTATACATTCGAGTGCCTGATCTGTTGTGGCTGCCTGTTCGGGTTTCTTTCGAGCGCTAGTTTTAGGAGGAGGGACAGGCCTGGCTACAGTAACCGTCTTTTGCTTCGCAGAAATGCTCTCATTGTATGCTTTTCGTGTCTTGGACTCGGAGAGAACTCCGGGATTTCCATTCTGTCTTTGAAGGGAGTTTTGATTCAGCTTTATAATTAGGTTTCCAAGTTAGCGACAGAGCTTAAGCTACAGTAGTACCGATGAGGAAACATACCTGTCTAGCCCATTTGGTTCCTCTCAGCAGATCTTCATCAATATCCTCGAACCACTTTTTATGTCTACCAGGCTTATCTGGAACAGTTTCAATCGGTACCGATCGCTGTGGCGGCATTTCACTTTGAAGTAGTGGCTTCTTCTTCTTAATCACAAGTTTCTTCGTATTCTCGAGCTTCTTGGTGTTCTCTGATTTCTTCATTGTCTCGAGTTTCTTGGGCTCTAATGTGATCTTTGACTGAATTATATCATAAATATGTCAGAATTTCACTTTTCTTATACAATCTCACGAACAGCAGGAGAAAGCACCTACCCTAGTAGCAGCCTTCTCAATCGGATCCAAGTATCCAACCGGCTTAAACCTAGTTAACGTCAAAGTTTCAGGACTCAGAAGGACTCGTTTGCCAATCGGTTTTCGAGGGAGGTTTGTCTTTGCTAGATCTTTGGACTCGTCAAGGGGCTTGCTTCTGCAACGAGATTTATAAGTCCTAGCAGGAGTCTTTGCTTTCGAAGAGTCCTTTGATTTGCCGGGTGGTCGACCTCTAGGTCTTTTAGGTTGCTTTGGGAGTACGGATTGGATGTTAGTTCCTGGTTTTAGTATAATTATCTCCTAGAATGGGAATCGATGGTGATTAGTTGATGATATAGATGGTAAGAGTAGGTTTATTAGTAAGAAGGTAGGAAGATACCTGTTCCCACGGTGTGAATTCAATCTCTTCACCTGTTTCGTTCCAATGATCTGGTGTGCTAAAACGAGGACTGATGGTGGAGAGTTCGTTCTTTTTTGGAGGTGTCGATGGATGGATTGGCATTTTGGTTTACAGAGCTGAGACGGTAAGTTAAGCGTGGTTATTCATTGAAGGTTGATGAAGTTGAAGTTTCTAGTCCACGATGTGATGTTGGCAAGGTAGGTAACGTTAGCAAGGAAGAAACAGTGAGGGAGTAATTTAAGGTAAATTTGGGTGTAGAAATTAAGTTGCACGTTAGATGTCCGTGGGTGGAGCTTATAGTGAGCCTGAAATAGACCTCGATATATAAAGTATCAATCAACGTCGCAACACCGTCTTCGGGTCTCACGATTAACTATAACCTTCTCCAGTCTCGTAACCAGACTTGTGTGTTGCGCTACCAATTTTAACCTTTTCAGCTTCAACCTGAACCTAAGACTGTTTTCGAACAAAGAACACTCCTAGACTGCTAGAGACGAGAGAAGCTACAACGAGGTGCTATAGTATGATGCACAAATCCGTAACTTTTGCCATTAATTCCTTCAACTATAATAAGAGTAACACGATCATGTTCATATCAACACTGCACCGCAGTCTGAAATTCCAAAATCCAACAACGGAACCGCCTCGAGTTAGCTACGTTAGGAATACTATGACTAAACTACAAAGATCATAACTTCATATGCATTACAAGCATGCAGCTCGGTATACAAAAAACCTAAGAATGGACACGGACGGGCTGTCCGAGAACCATATCAACCAAGGTTTCCCTCTTCTCGGCTGATTTGGCGAATCCCTTGATCAATCCAGTCTCTGCATCCCTCAAAACACCCTCGCATTCACAAACCCCATCCTCATAGAACCCCTTCAACTCCCTCAAGCCGTCAAATACTGCTGAATAGTTTCCAAAGAACTCATGATTCCTCACATCATTCTCAACATTCTCCGTATTTACCAATCCATGTCCCAATGTTGCCACCCTAATGGCATCAACATACATCGAGTGATCCTCGACATATGGACTTGGCATCATGAGAACGGAGTATACCGCTTCGCATTCAACTTCCTCCGGCTGTAAAATATCACTTGGGAACCTCCAAGCCCCGTCATAGTGTATTGGGTGCCAGGGTGTGACCTTCATATCTCCAATCGTGCAGATATCTGTTGTTCCAGAAATTCTTGTCTTGACGATAGCACTGACTTCTCCAGCTCCTCGGCCGGTCATGATAATGCTTCCTCGTCTTAAAGTGTCAATTCGGACTTTGGTGCCATCTACGAGGGTAACAGGCGAATCACCGGTAAAACATACTCCACCTCTGACGTTATACCGAGACATGCTGGACAAGGCTACCCTCGGGGCTGAGGCGAAAGCACCTCCGCCACCACGACCAAAATTTGAGAAGTCAGGCATTGGTGTAGAGCTTGGTGTTGGAGGTGGTAATTTATCGAATTCCGCGTCTGCAAAGTCTCGAGATTTGATGAAAAGCGGCGAGTCCTTGCCGTATACCTGTAGACCCGGGTCTTTGAAGTTATTACAGCGCTGCATTTGATGAGCCCGAGCAAGCGAGGGGAAGTAATGTCTTCCCCATTTTTTCCAGGCTGTACCATCTGGGGCTACAGCCAGAAGACCTTCACCACCGATATCTGTACCGAGGGGTTCAGCTGCGGGATGATCTCCTAGATTCTCTTTGATCGTTTTCGATTGTTCCTCAAAGGTTGCTTGAACTTCTTTGAGGGCATCAGTTAGATCTTGGCCGACCTTCTTGTAGGCATCCTTCGCGAGGGCATAGACCGTTGTGACGAAATTTAGACGATGTAGATGATATTCGTAATCCCTGCTTGTATCAGTTGGCTCTGGAGATGTGGTGATTGTGACCGCATGGTTTACAACATCCTCAGACTCCCATGGCTTGGCCACAAGTGTGACGATTATATCTTCAGGCTTAGGTTCCGAAAGACCATCGATTTCAATGATAAAGTCTCGAGATTGTCCATATTGGATGTCGCCAATGTCAATCTTTGCGCCCCATGATGATTCAGTGAATGGGAATTCACCGCGAGGCTTCTTGACCTTCGCACCGTCCGGCACCTCGACGTTGAGATGGCAGGTAGTGGCATATGTTGAAAAGAGATTTGCCAAGGCATGTACGAAAACAGTGCCAACCATTCCGGCATCAGCAATAAAACCATAATGGCCACCTCCAGTTCTGGCGATATCAGACATCAACGAAGAGTCCAAGTCATACCCGAATCCGAAGCCGTTGATGGCAAATCGGGTATCCGGGTGAGACTCTAGCCATTGCTGGAGCATGGGGATATGGCCACGAGGAGGGTTAACATTTGGCTGGCCGTCTGTCAAAATGAACAAACTGGCAAGACGATTGTTTGCCTTCTTTGCCGTGGTCGAGGACCCGGAGGCCTCGGATTTATGTTGGAGATCATGAAGAAGGTTCATGCCCATTTTCAAGCCATCCCAGAGATTTGTGGAGGCCTTCGGCTCTAGACGGTCCACACTACCGTTTAGGGAACTCTTCCCACTCGCAGTTGAGTACTGGAAGTCTGTGATAAGCTGTGCAATGGGAAATTCTTGTTAGTAACAGAACAAATATAATGGTAATATCGAAAAAATGGGATGAAGAATCTACCTCAGCCCTCGTATCAAAAGCAACAATAGCCAACCTATCATCATCATTCAAAGTCGCAATGATAGTTTTCATAGCATGCTTAACCACATCCAAAATTGTCAATCCGGTGTCTTCCTTCGTTTTCCCATCTTCGCTCTGCGCGGGAGCGCTCTCTTCCATGGACCCGGAGACATCGATAACGCAACACAAGTCGAGTGGCGCCCGTTTGAAGTCACCCTTGTCCGTCTTCTCCGGCTGATGCGGGGGAATCACAGAGACGAGAAAGTTGTTGGAACCGTGCTCGGAGATGTCGAGCTTGATTCCAGCGGCTTCCTCGTATGGTGGTGGGTCTTCGACTTCGACCTTCATTGTGGTTTATCTTTTAATTTTGGAATTAATTATATTCTTGCCTGCGGGATATGAAGCATGTATTATGGTGGTTTGATGAGTGATGTGCGAGATACAGCAGACTTATCGACGTGACATAAACCCGCCTTTTAAACCTCCAACTTGTACGCCTATGTTCAAGTAAGTACTTAGCTTCGTATTCAAACCTTCATAAAAAAGTAATCCCGAGAAAACCCAAAGTGGCATTACGCAGTCATGCTAACACGTTATTATCATGAGTCACCAAAAGCCGCATATCTATTTCCTATAGCTAGGCATCTTCCGAGACTTCTAAACCCTAACACTTAGAGGTTTCCTCATGTACAATTGCGGGGGGTTGTGAAGGATTGACCTCGCAAGTACGCCGGGATTTCAGCCTCGAACCCATTCACAGTTTCGGTTCAAAAGATTTAGCGAACGAGTTAATGCACAGCCCTGTGCTGCCCTGGCCAAAAGCGCGGGTTGGTCAGGAACTGCCAGCTTGGTTCCGCTTTGGGGTACTTGCCACTTTGGTCATATATGTGCATGTTCGTTGCATTCAAGTTTCATAAGCAAAAAACGATGTTAAAGTCGTCACATCGCCACATTCTCGAACATTACAAGAGGATAATAACTTTCTTATACCCATTACATGCAAAGTTTACAGCTCGGCCAGGTAGATTTATTTAACAAGGCCTATACACCCTGTTCGTCGGAGAGTAGAAAGTTACAGCCCACATTTAGTACGGACATTTGAATAGCCTCGAGCCCTTGTCCAACGTACCAAATGATTTCGCCACCTCAATCTGCAAAGATCCACAGAAGACACTGCTCCGTCTTCCATGTAGTTCGAGAGTCCTTTCCCCACTTTTTCCTTCCGCCTTGAGCGGCAAGAAATTTTAGGGGTCCCAAGTAGACCAACAAATATTTAAATCTGTAAAATCAAGATGTGTATAAGAGACATCTTAAGTAGGCAAAAACTTCGTTAACAGGGTCCTTATTGGTATTTTATTGGCCTTTTTTTTTTGACTCCGTAGCATGATCGCGAGAGCTCGAGAGGTTTGGGATCCCAGGAGGAAAAGAAGGACTGCCGGTCAGTATCATGACAGTGCTTCGCTGCCTTTATCGAACTTGGCTCCCCGTGAGCTACCCCGGGGATTGATATGAACCATGGTGACGTGCACGCATATATATATATATGGCTAGCTACGACGGATAAGGCATGGTTTCGATTGACTTCCTTTGGAAACCTCTCGCTCACTACATTATATATCGATACACGACAGTGGAGCGAACTAATCATGATATATCACCACTGTATAGTATATAGATACCATGCAAGCCCAAGCGCGAGATATTTCCTTATGATGGCCAATAGAAGGCATTGGCCGCAATAATAATCCTGAATTATAAGCGACGCGGGGCCTAGCCTCGACACTTGGCCCCTATCGAAACCAATTGTTTGCTTAATTCAAGTGCTTATCTTGGAATAACCGTTCCCGCTCCTGCTTCGCAGCAGCATTAATTCTGTTTTACGAGATAACTACCCCTAGTTTCGGATCTAGTCTAGTTATTACATTATTCTAGAAATTCGAACGCACTTAAACTTACAGTTCATAATTTCTATAGTTTACTGCACACGGCAACGCTGGTGTCTGGTCCCGGGACTAGGTTTAATGTCGAAAATCGCGATAGGAAATGTGTGCATCGCGGAAACCTCGTAGTATATCGTTAACATACCGCATGAAAAACATCATGAATACATCATTGCACCTAGTATACCGTCACCTGAACGAGGGAAAAATCTTTAGTCGCCTACCTTCAGCTCTAGGCCATCATCTCCATCCTCCTTGACAATCACCAGAACATCTACTTCCAAACCCCCCTCCAGCTGTTCTCCATCTAATCATATCTACAATCCACCAAACCCACTATCCAGATTCATAAGCCATCACCTCAAATTAAAGCTATCAATCAATTCTTGACAGATATCTCACTTGCAAAAATGCCGTGCCAACAGTCAAATGAATTTTGTCACGAAATCATTTTTGCTATCAAAACAAGGAGGACGTATGGCACTATCCTGATGACAGTTGAAGGTATTGAACCTCAAATGGCCTGCCAAGTCGAAACTGCCTTGAGTTCTCAAAGTCAATTGAAGGGAGAGTACAAGTATGTATATCTTAATATTTTCTTTCTTTTCTGAATGAAAATACTGGTAGCTAACCGAACACGTACTGTTTTCGTAGGTTCTTCTATGATGAACTGAGCAAAGTAATTCGCCTTGATTTACCATTACCAGACGAGTTGTCCCACGGAGGTAGGCTTCCACCCTACAGGCGGTTTGATATCTCTAATTGGCCTTGGATTCGTAAGTAAATTGATACTCCAAGGCATATTTAAAGATTCGTATGATTAAGAGCGTGATGACCTTGTGTGTGGAATTTGAACTAATATTACTCTGACTGAAATAGAAGAAGAATTTGTCGAACGTCCAACTGAGCCTTGAATTTCCAAAGAATTCTGTTCACTTACGCAACGTTACTTGTGACTATGCTATTCGACTAGATTCAACTCTGGATGTTACGTAGTATTTTATCTCAATCTTCAGGTACTGCAGCCTTTTACTTTTTCCATCAGTACTAGGAATCCTACAAAGGAAATTAGCTATCTGACTTTTTGGCCCTTACCCATTTCCAAGCATGTTAACCACCATTCTTGTCAATCGCCTACCTTGTTCAATTCGAACTTCTTGTACCCTCATATTATTATAGCTATTACTCCTATCAATCCATTTTTTTTTCCATCTTGATCCTGGCGCATTGTCATATCAGATATGTGACTAGTCTTCTCACTAGCGAACGCCGTTGCAATTGTATTAATCAAAAGTGTATAATAAAGCTCCCAAGCAAACCCAAAATAGTGATTACAAAACTACTATCTTTGTAAAAATTCGAACAAAAGCCCACGCTACAGCTACACGACAAGATCTCGAAAAAACCCCACTATAACCGAATCGAACTACTCAAAAACCCCTTCCACCTCATTTGATCCTCTGTCCACTTCCAAAGTTTCTCCTGTAAGTCTTTATCATTCGCCCATCTCCACGTCCACCCTTTCTTCGCTGTAGGGACCATATAACCCCCCGACCAATCTCTCTTAAAATCGTTACTTGCCGCCGCAAACAGCGATCCTAGTGCTCCTTTATCTGGAGGTGCTCCCATACCCATTCGGAGCAACGTACGTCCGAGAACGCTGGTGGTCGCAAAGTTGGCCGATAAACCCCTACATCATATGCAAAATATAAAAGTTAGTTTAGGTACCTAGAGAAATTAAGTTTATACACTTAATCAAAGAAGGGCTACTTACGTCTCGACTAACCCCGGATGTACAGACGCAACCCAAATCTCGCCCTTCACCGGATCCCCAGCCTTCGGGCCAACTTTCTTCTGCAGTTCTCTAATATGTAAAACATTCGCAAGTTTACTTTGACAATACCGATCATATGGCTCATGTTTCGGTAAAGCTATTTGATCAAACCAAATACCAGGTCCCTTAGCCATCTGCCAAGCTGCACTTGTCAGCTCAACGATCCTAACGACACCAGGTTCACAATTCAACGCCGTGGATTGAATAGTCGGTAAGAGAAGGTATGAGAGTAGGTAATGCGAGAGGTAATTTGTTTGCCAGTGAGATTCGTAACCGTCTGTTGATTCTTCCCAGGGAGTACACATTATTCCGGCGTTGAGGATAAGTCCGTGTAAGGTAGATTCTTTGGAGAGGAAGGTGTTTGTGGCTGCGACAACGGTTGAGAGGTCCATGTTGTCCATGTGTAGGTAGTGGATTGGTGCACTGGGGTTTTGGAGTTTCTCGCGAAGGGAGGTTATGGCTGTTGTGGCTTTAGACTCGGATCGGGCGCAGAGGTAGACGGCGGCGCCTTTAGAGGCGAGGCCGTAGACTGTTTCATAGCCACTACAGGGGAGGTTGAAGTTAGTATATCAACTGTATTTCGATAAGGCACTCAGGTTATAAGGAAACCTACATGCCAGCGTTTCCTCCCGTGACAATATAAACACGACCGGTCAGATCCGGCAATGAATCTACTGAGAATGATGAACACATCATGTGGGCGTATATATCAGTTTTCAGAGCCTATCTTTTTTGGGTGGTATTGGAAGAATTTTGAATTTATGAATTCATGAATTGATGCACAGTGGTATATCGGCAATTCAAATTGGGAATATGAAAGAATCGAAAGAAAGGGAATTTAGGTCAGAAGAAAATATTCTTGGGATGTATAGAATAGTTATAGCTAGAAAGCAATATCCGATTCTTTAGATCTATCGTGAATACTGAAGTCTCTAGAATAATCATGATATTATCTACGGGGGACCATTGCCAATTTATATAAAATCCCACACACAATAAACCCACCAGTTTATAAATTAAAATCGGTTTTAAGCCTCCCTTATCCTTCGGACCTCAAATTCCTCCGTTATCGTAGCCATACAGGGCGACGCATGGCGCCAGCTTTGTGCATTTCAGCCTGGGTGGGATTGCGTTGTCTCTGTCATCAAATGCTGGCTTACATCCCTCTCAATTACTAGAAATGGAAAACAATATTGTTGTCAGCAGCCTTGGCGAAGAAGATCGGTCCCGAAGCGGGTTAAGTCCGATGTCCACGTGACTATTTTGGGCTTTGATCGTCAACACAACACGAACGGGCATGGCCAAAATACCACATGGTCGTTGACGAGACCAACACAACATGGTTGTACCGAAGTGTCCTTGGTGCTCAGAGCTGGATGTCTGTAATGTGCAACCTGTTGATGCCAAAATATCAGATTTCGTTAATCATATAGGTAAATCGAGGGAGATGAAACTTTAAATCAGGTCCGCTAATGTATCTCTATTTAGTAGTATTGTGTATTATAAGAACAATTTACAAATTTTTTGTCTAGATAACAGTCGCGGATCGCGAGAACATTGTCGAATCCATGTTGCGCCCGCATCAGATACCGTAGCTTAGCCCTTTACCTATGAGGTGTATCCGGGCAAAGCTATTCAGTTTACATGTTTTATCTACTAGTGAACTTTAACAGTACGCTGAAATATTTTGGTCAATCGAAGCAAAATAGATGTTTCCTACATTGATCGATCCTCAATGCTAAGCGCCGCCACTTTAGAAGATTCATTGGCGCTATGCATTGTTTGACAAGGCTACCTTTTTTTTCTGAATTGTGCCCAAAAACTATTATACGATAACCGGCTGAAACGCGATATAATGGGGGAATATAATACTGGTCACGATCATATCCATCTCACTCAAAGTCAATACGCGGAGCCACAAACCTAGGCAGTCTGGTCGCTAGGTACTTACTTCCCAGCATCAAGATATCGAGATCCTTGGGCGATTCGATATATAGGACTCGCAATCATACATATATGCCTCAATTAGAGAGCTCGGTCCCCAACAAGGCTTCCCCGCTACAAGGTCGAGAAACCGCTGTGCAACCAGCAGCTGGCTCCAAAATTAGTGGCTCCGAAAACAATGCAAGGATAGCTTCCGGGAGTAAAGTTCTCGAGCACGCTAGAAAGTCTCAAGTTACCAAATGCCAAGAGCATGTAGTTGTTCCGGTCATCAAGGCACCTGTGGGTGGGGTTGTATCAAATAGTCTTCATCCAGCAGCTTTCGACCTACCGCCGATTCAAGAGCACAGCATTCCCATGAGTATTCCGGAAGATGAGGAGAAACCCGTATCCGGGCAGTCAGAACCAGAAGCTACCCCACCAGCTTCCCCGCAACCGAAGGCTCACAGACCCCACCGGGAAAGATCTCTCTCTCCAGGAGACTCACCGCAGAACAAGTCCTCGGCCAGCAAAAAGAAACAAGTTACCCAAGAAGTCCCTCTGAAACCCATTGTTGATGTAGCTGCCACCAGCGGAGCTGCCCCGGGGACCAAACCCACTCAAAATCCTACAGGCAAACCGCCACGGCAGAAGTCAAAACCATTCGCTGAGGAGCCACAGGTAGATGAAGCTACAGAGCCCAGTTTAGTGTCCAAATTCAAAGTCCAAAATCGGTTCCTCATGGACTCTGTCGCTGCTAATCCTGGAAATACTCTTATGATCTTAAAATGGCTTTCGGGGAACTACGAACCGATGGATTTAGACCCCGAAGGCTCAGAGTCTGAATCAATGACAGTTCAGCGTCTCAGATTTCACCATATTGAAACTCTTGAGGGCATTAAAGCCGCAGACTGGCAGCATATTCAAGAGAGTGGTGAGGTAGCCTACAGGCTTTTCCACGAACTATTAGAGTTGGAAGCAGACTCTTTAAGGAAAGGCGGAAGCCCAAATCAAGTACCTTACCATGATTGGCCTAGAGATACCCGCCTAATATACGAATTTTGGTGCATATTCAAGACCATAATTGAACTTATTAAGCCAAAGGGGGAAGTAAGATGCAGGATTTGTGCGGGTGCATCCAAGCTTGCCGTAACACATCCTGGAGCAGCACTTGAAAGGGTTATTTTAAGCCTGACTAATGTGCAAATTCAGGTTTGTAACTCGGACTCCGAGATGGCAGAGGACCGTTGCACCAAACTATTTCGATATATTGGTGTTCTGGAACAGCATGAAAAAGTGTTTTCCGCACAGATGAAAACCGTTGCACACTTTTTGATGGCTAGTATCCTCAGAAAGAAAGGGCACAACGTAGAAGCAAGATTTTATACTGCGCAGGTACGTCGAGTAAAGGATACCGAGGAGATGGTATGGATTAAATGGGTGAAGATCTGCCTCACTGAGTATCTAGATCTGGAGGTTTGATGATTATGTGATGGCGGTGCATGGCCTCAAGGTCCCATCCCCGAACGTCACAAACGATGGCGGCATGAAGTCAAAGGTCTCAAATATTGATAGAAAGCTTTCGTATGTACCCAGTATACTATTACCTATATGGATATCAAATATGTAGATGGTGAACAGTATATAGGAAGTGCAATTACACCTGCAAGATATCTCAAAGGTTTACATATGCATATACGTGTGTACGTACAGCTTAGTCTTTTGTTCATACAGCTATTGTCTGAAACCAGACTTCGCAACAAAAAAAAAGTACAGCTAGTCTTAGACCATAATCTGGAAGAAATCACTGGTATCGATGTCCCGTCTCTTCGGAGAGACTACCTCAATCTAGACCGAATAGTGAATTTGGTTAATCCATGACGGTTTGATTCCATATAAACATTATCGATACGCTGTCGAAGCCCGTTCTATACAATGATATCAGAATCAATTTGCTGAGCAGCGTATAACTAGTACGTACACACAAACTATACTTACCGTCATGAACTTATAAGATTAATGCATTGGTTGAACACCCCTGTTGATAAACCATGAAAAAAAATATCTCCAGCTGCCAAACACGGCATGAGGACTATGGAAAAAGAAATTCGCAAAAAGAAAGTTTCCAATCTACAACAATCCCAATTCGCAAATCGTCACCGACTTTGCTACTACGGGGTCGATAAGAGGCTTGTATAGCGCAGAGCGGACGGGATACGTAATAGTCCTCTTTCTGTGGTCGTAGATATTGATATCGTTCAAGAAGTCATATCTATCATATACGTCGCCACTACATTTATAAAACAACAATGAACCAAAAGAAAGTGGAGAACAAAACGGAAAGCTTTTAGATATCATCGCGCCCAATCTCAGATCCAGAGACTATTCTGCCAAATTCTGCTATTGGTGAAGAGACCATTTCGTTCTGGTGGGACATCACAATCTATACCTTCAAAACACCAGAGGGAAAAAATTTTTCTTCGCGAAATTGGACTTGATACCAAAGTGGACGAGACAACCAAAGTGGGAACAAAAAAAAGAAATCTACAACAGACGCGATTCTCACCTGGTCACCCACGGTAATACTGAGCGCCCGATAAGAGGCTTATGTAGCGCAGAGCGGACGGGATACGCAGTAGTCCTCTTTCTGTGGTCGTAGATATCAATTCATTTAGGTGTGCCAGTAATATAGTTCTACTCTTTACAGATCTAGAAGGTCTTCATTTTTTTTTTTTGGCGAATACCAAACCATGCACAGAACCACGAATATCCTAACTGAGGCTTGCCCAGAGTCCAGATCACGGGCTGAATACATATCTATATATGCTTACGTATTGAAATATTACTTGAAAGCCCAGGTTCATATTTGAAATGGATCGAAAGAACTGCTTTGATATCACCTTTAACTTCAATTCTGGAGTCAACAAAACCTTACGGGTTTAAACGGCAAAAAGATTTTTTTTTTTTGACAACCTTCAAAAATCAAAAAAAAAAAATAGAATTGAATCTACAACAGACGCGATTCTCACCTGGTCACCCACGGTAATACTAAGCGCCCGATAAGAGGCTTATATATCGCAGAGCGGACGGGATACGTAGTAGTCCTCTTTCTGTGGTCGTAGATATCATTTCGATTAAGTGTGTGGGTTATATCTTTCGCTTATTGTGGAAGCCAAAACTTTTCCCCACGAACGCAACGATTTCAGAACCATGCATGAAACCACAAACATATCGTAGTATGGGTTTGTGTAGGATATAGATCCCAGAAATGTATTCGAATAGTTCATTTGAGATGGGTCAAAATAGTTGCTTTGATATCACGTTTGTGCCGAACTTTTGGGGTCGATAAAATGAGAACTCAGAAACACCAAAAAATCATCACGACCTCCAAAAACAAAACTTCAAAAAGAAAATTGAATCTACAACAATCAGGATTCCCACATGGTCACCCACTGTAGTACTGGCTGATCGATAAGAGGCTTGTATAGCGCAGAGCGGACGGGATACGTAATAATCCTCTTTCTGTGGTCGTAGATGTAAGGTCCTCTGTGAATGTGGGATACATTGTGACGGTTGAAACCCGATTAGGAAAACGACAGGGATCACGAATCAAGCATCAAAAACGACAAAAAAAAGAAGTGGAAGGGAAGGAGTTCGAATGGACAAAGAGGCTGATATCAATTGGCGCGCTAGGAGGCTTCTCAACGTTACCGGGAATCATGATATTATGTTGAGGCGAATATCAATTTTGCCACTCGGAACGAGAGACCGAATAACTTTAGGAATCACTACGAAGGTATCAATCATTTCATAATAGGGCGCATTTCAATTTCCTAAAACTATGGGATTTTACACAGAAACTAATGATAATGCATTGGGTTGTTATGATTGTAGTTAGGATGGATATTTATGGCATGCTGGGTTACGAAATAGATAAGGTCAATCTTGCGAATGGACTTTCGACATTCTTTTCCACGTTGGGATTCAATGGCTGGCACCCTTTGAAGTGACGCCCGAATGACTGGCTTTGGCTGTAAAAAAATTTTCGTTCACGCGCGGGCTTCTTTAAGATATCACGTCAAAGAAAAGATTGGAATCACCAGACAAGTACCCAATGATATCGCGAACCTCCTCAAACTGTCCACGGGATACGAACCTGAACGTGCAAGTCCATAATCACATTTCTCAAATCCTCGATAAAGACAAAAATGCCAAACTTGAATTCCCATAACCCTTCTCCCCAACCGCGAATATGAGACATTAAAAAAAGGCATGCCACATTTGGTCGATAGTGGCGCGATCTGCCATGCACCCTCACATGCACTATGACGATCCACCACTACGGCTAAGGGCCCATTTGGCCTTCAAGATCTTATATTTCTTCCAGAATCTCAGATCTTTTCAACGAAAGGGTTCTGAGACCTTTCGATTGAAGGGTACTTGCGATCGGGAAAACTAAGTACTTGTTTTTTTGAAGCTGCATGTGACTGGATGCCTCTTTTCGCTGGGATCTTCAATGGTTGGAGCTGTGGGATTGATAGGCATACTGGAGGAGGCGCTTAGGGGATTATCGGGCCTGAAGTCCCTCTGAACTGTACTTACTTATACAGTACGGTAATTTGTTGAAGAGGAGGATGTTTCATTTTGAAATGCGGCATGACGGGCAATGTCTAGTTCATTTGCTTCTGTGGTTAACACTCTCCTCGATAGTGCGCCATTCTTGAGATGCGGGATTATATGCCATCCCGCCGCTATTATTGATATAATGCGGCAGTACAGTGTACCATGTATACCATAGCTTCCTTCTTCTCATGGCTATCCACCCCCATAACCAATATCTCTTGCTGCGACTATTTGATGCATGGTGTACATGGGCACACTTGCTATGACGACCATGCGAATCACAACACTGCGCTATGATATCACCCCGTTGGAAAGTTGAGGGTTATGACGACAGTCTCGTTTATCATGATATCAACAGCTGAAAAAAGACGATCAAAACGATAACCAAGTGGTTATGTACTGTCTGATATTCGTTTTGGTGGTTCGGAAAACACCGTTCCAGAGGGGTTTTCTATATCTTGGTTATCACCAACCTTGAATAAGGAAGTATGAAGAAAAAGGATACGTTGTTTAGTTGGGAGCTTTGTGATCGTCGGTGTTATTTCGTAGCGTTCTGATTCGACGGAAGTTGAACAACAGGATATTTCCGTGACTGCTCTTTATTGCTCTATTCTGATTCTGTGAACTTTATTCACAAGGGACGAGCAAGGCGTAGTTGAAACCAAGTATTTTCTAGCCATGGACTATTAAAAGCCAATTGAAATCCAACGGTTTGCCTCCAGAGTATTCTCAACGATTGAAATTCAGCAAATGATTCCGATTTCGTGACATTGGCATGTTAATTGCCATCGATGTGCTCCGTGCAGATTCAAGTGCATTTGCCTCCCCCAGAAAAAAAAGAAAGAAGAAGAAGAGGGAGCCAAAGGACCAATCTGAAGGCCTCGTTCCACAAGTGGGCATGGGATCATGTGGCAAATGTGATCCTGGACTGTCACACAGGTTGCAGGAAGATGGGATCCACATTGAATCCAGGGTCTTTGTTCGTGTGATATCGGTAACGATTTAGTAATTTTTTTTAGTTTGATGGCTTGATATGATCAAAAGTAAGTTTAATTTTTCTGGGGAAAGCCAAGTTCCGTATCCCGATGTTGCTGCATTTTGCCTTGGAAGTGGAGTCAAAGATAGCCTGGATGTTGGGCAAAGTTAACTTGCAAACTGGATCGAGACGTCGAGCACCTAATAGTAGGCCTACGTAGGCGAGCTTGATTGTGACATTAATATACGAAACGTAGCAGGAGATGATAGTACCCGAAAGCAAAGGAACTGTTGTGCAAAAGACTTTCGGAAACCCGTTCACTTTTGAGATTCTTAAAGCTAACGTTGATTCTGTTGTTCTGGTAGTAGCTCGTAGATGATGATGCTAGCGCTAGATGCGCTCGACAGTGTATGACACCAGCCCCAACACAATGCACGCTTTCGATACAATCTTAAGCTTGCAATGCTGGCCTAGAACTTCAAGGCAAAGCTAGGCGCCTTCTACACATGATAATGCTAACATCCCGAACTCTCGGGTATATCGGTATCATTCTTACCTGTCAAAATCATCAGATCGCCCGTTTCAAATACACTTAGCTGTCATCGCGCCGCAAGTCACAGGATTATTACAACTGCGACCAGGCCAGGACCTCATAGGCGTTCTTTCATTGGATCCCCATAAAACCCATCACACGCAATGCAAAGAAGATCAAGACACTCCAACGTCCCGACGGCTGTGCCTTCCAACCAGATTCGATCGATGATACAATCAACTGTTGGGTTGAGATATATTGGGATAGGTCATGTAATGTATGTAAGTAACGTATGGGAAACCCCGCGGGAATAACCAACGTTGATGCATGCTAAACACCTCTTTATCCAACTTCCTGGAATGTTACACTGGCTCCAACCGTCATTAAATCGACAAGGGCGCCATGAAGAAACAAAAAAGAACCAAGGCTTTTATGTAAGACCTCCGAAGCTAAAGTTCACAGCCCCCTTTCTGGGCGTTGGCTTGTGCGTCGCTTGGGTTTTCGATGATCATGAACATGCCGTTCTTAGTTACCATTTTGTTGCCAACTCCATGATCTAGGCTGAATAGCAAGGAATAGGGAAGTAAACTAACGATCATGTCGGCCTCACCAGATAATCTTACCAAGTATTGTCGCAACTAACGCCAGTTTGCGTAATCAGACAGCAATTTACAACATCGATTTAACTTGACTTACCGTAGCGGGAATAGATTTTACCAGCGTTGGCTGGTTTACCAGAATACGGACAAGGGTGGTGTTAACAAGGATGAAGGCATACCCCGTAGTTCGTAGCGATACTACTGCAGGCAGATCAGAAGCGAGCGAGAATTGAGCGAGCGAAGTTGCCGAAAAGACTACCAAATGCAACGAGTCCAGAGGAATCGAAAGTAGCTCAGTTCTCCTACGACATTTGAGGCCTAGTTCGTTTCGGGGGGAAGGGAGCATCCAATGCCGCGAAACATTTGCAAGGCCTCCAGGAAGAGGGAAGGAGGGGAGGGGAGGGTAGGAGGTGTGTAGGCGGCCGGCAGGAACTTGTGGTACTTCTTCCACAGGCACAATACAATCCATGTTGACGATCAACTTCCGTATCCTTTGGAATTGGTGAGGTCGTTTGCGGAAGATAACAGGCCCGTTATACCTTTCTTGCCAATAGGTTTGGTTATAGCTCATAAGCAAGGCTATTTGTGTTAACATGTTTAGGTTAGAGTTTCTATGGGATTCTGCCGATCTTGAGAGTCTAGATATCGATGGTTTGAAGCGTTGATGAGGGTCTGGAGAACAAAAGGAAGGTAAAAGCAAGCTTCAACAAAGTGGATGTGAGACAGATACATCCGATGGCCTCGAGAAAGAATATTCTGTGTCGCCATCCAGTCGCCATGTTTTCCACGTTCCCTACGGCTTCGATCTGAAAATTCGTTGGAAAGAAGCTTTCAGCCAGAATATACTTCTGTCTTTCTCGAGCGTACTTGCGATAAGTACCGGTAGCCACTTACTTAACTACTTCTCGAGCTTCTTGATTCTGTCAGCATGGGCATACCCGGCTGCAATTGATGGTTCGTTGTTTGAAAGGACTGTGTGGGTCGAGGTTAGGTCCACATCCTTGAGATTTGCAGCGAATGATAGAAAAGGTACCATTTTCGTCAATTGACTTTGGTACCAACCGGAGTGTATTTGTAGATGCTCTACAGGTACCGAAATGTGCTCCACAATGCAGTCCGCCAACCTTTCCTCTCCCTTTCCCTCTTTTGCACTTTCGTTCGATTCTAGGGGATCGTTCAACGGCTCGGAATGCTGAAAGCAGCGAATAGGTGACTGTTCGAGCTAGGCAAACCACAAATCGGGTCATTGGTATGTGAATAAAGGATCACGCTGCCACTGAATATGTCGTTTGAAAGAGTAGATAAACGGGGACTTTGGAAGGAATTGAACAGCAGTTAAGAATCAAAATGCTTTCGATGATCTTAGAAGAGAGAGAAGGCCGCAAGCAATCGGGTCCAATTCCTCAGAGTCTGTGGTTTTCTCCGCAACAAGCTCAAAGTCTCGGCCCAAAATAGGCCTACATGCAAGGTTTGGCTGCTTTGCTATCGTAGATTTGCTTTTCTTGCTTGCTTGACTATTGCTTTCTCCCGTGTAGGTGGAAGGAGAAGAAGTATGTATAGTACTTGGTACTTCCTAGTCGTCAGCGTGCGAGAACCGTATGTAAAGTAGCAGGTTCCCAGCTCTCAGTCTCTGACAATTGTCCCTTTCGATTTTCCAATAGTTTACTTGTCGCCAGTGCAGTCACCGTTTCAACGATCTGTTCTGGCCGTTACAAGGAGATATTCAAACGACACCGATATCATTCCATGCATGTTAGAGCGCCGTTTGATATTGATAGAATATACCTAGGCAAGTACTTACTGACTTACTTATCTATCAACGTGAGCAGATTCCTTCCTTGGAATCCATACCCACCCACCTTACCCACATAGGTACGGAATACATATCTCTCGAGCTCCAAGAAGTCACAGCATCTTTCCCTTCATACATAAGTTACTCGAGCTCGCAAATACCCGGCGTTGCTCCACTATCTATCTTCAAGACCTCCAACTAAAAAGCCGATTACCTCGATTTGTCTTATGCTCTCTCTCGGACTTTGTGGCTTGCTCGCTAACTGCTTGCAGAAAACATAAGGGAAGGAGCAGCCGGAACATACGACAGGACAGCTCCAACATCTAGCGACGTGGATAAGCCGTAGCAGCCATATTATATTGCTTCTTTTTATATCAATCTACGCCCCTCCGACGCACAAGGAGGCCTGGGATACGGATTGAGGGAGGTGGTACCGACAGACTTGTACTGCTTCCGAGAGACTGTACCTTATTCCGCACAGAAAAACTGGGTTTCGAGAGCCGTCGTCTCGTCTACAGGGATCAAATCAGTCCATCAATCAATCAATCAACCAGTGCGTCCTCGAACCGCTGCAGGTCTCGTGGATGAGGGAAGGCTAGATGAAAGTATCTGTAGTGTAGGTAGGTGTGGTCCGCAACGATTTGACATTTGGCCCTGGTACATCATCGTTCCCTCTTCTTATGCAATGCATGCTGGTGTGGTAGTTTTTTTTCTTTTCTTCTTCTTCTTTCCTTTCTTTCCTTCTTTCCCTCAGTATCTTCGTATACCTACTACACAGTACCTATCATCTTGGTTCTGCTCTGGCTAGTCCGGGGTGGTTCGTTAGCCGATGATTCAAGAGTGCCTGGAGTGGATTACAGAGAGTGGGGTGTGAGAGCTTCCCCACCACCCTTTTCAGCCCAGCTTACCTCTGAGTTAGTAGCTGCACTGCACAACCGATTCTGCTTCCGCCATTAGCTTGCTTCTTCGAGTCGGCGGTCTTTGTCGATGCTTTACAGCGACAACAGCACGCACGTTTTTATTTTATTTTTATTTTGTCCTTTTATTTTAAGAACTGTTGAAATAGTGCCTATTTCCTCTCCGTCCTTTGTCAATACCAGCTCGCCTGCATTGAGAAAGAAAGAAAGGAAACCAGCATTTACTTTTTGTTCTTTTTTCTATTCTTGGTCGCTCTGTGCTGTTAAAGTTGTCTCCATTCTGTTCTGGTCTTCTGCGCTGTTAACTTTGTCCAATTCACAATTCACGTCTCTCGATCGATTTAAAGTCCTTTCAGTCTTGTCCGAAGCCAACTTTCACTTGTTTACAACTTTGATAACCAAACTTCGAATACTGACAGCGGCACAGCAATATAACAAAAAGAAGGGTCCCAACTGAATCCAAAAAGCTATTGAAGATCTGTCTGACACATATACATTACTCGAGTTTGAAATTCCTCAATTCACCTCCTGATAGCAGTGGTATTTGAACTTTGCCATCGAACCCGTTCTATTTCTGTATCCACCGTCTCAAAATTACCCCCCGTCAAGTCAAACCAAGTCAAGTCAGGTCAAGTCAAGTCAAAAAACCGCAAACGAGTTTGGTCTGCCCGTCCGCAAATTAGCCCACTCTCGATCCGCCACAGCATCATCTCATCCGTATCAATCAATCAAGGAGGGAAAACGAAACCGCATTTCACTCCACCATAGAAATCCATAAAGCCTTAAAGGCTTCCCGGTATCCAGGTTCATTCTCAAGGAAATTTATTTGGTTTCCTAATTGAAAACTTCCGAACGACGAGTTTCCCCGGCATAGTCATAGCCACTGCACACTTGACCAGAATCAAACGACGGAGGGAATCTTATTTGGGCCTAAAGCAAACGGGTATCACCTAACTCTGGCCCGACTCTCTCTTTTGAATCGAGCTCCTCGGAACATCACCGCTTGGTATCTCCGGCTACTGGACGCTATACCCTGCTGATGTTGTAGACTGTCGAAAAGGGTGGCTTGACATAATTACACAGAAGCATCACGAGATCAGCTTTAATAAAGGTCTAGATCTCTGAGTCTTTTCATCTCCTTTTATCATTATTTTTATGGTTTTCTGCCATCCTATTCCGAGCTCCGAGATAATATAATTGCGCCGCAATACTTCCTTTTTTATTTTATTTCGCCCCTCAGCTATCTTCACTACAACAGCGCAATCGAACTATTCCCGCACGAACCACAATCGATCGTGGCTGTTCCCTTCCATTATTACACCCATACACCGACACATTGGAACCTGCAGGAGGTAATCTGGCGAAAGATACCAGCTGTGGGTCTTATCTTGTGTGGTAGCACATTCATTCAGGGCGAACAGAACAACACAACCATCACCATTACTATATCAAACCCGATATCTTCAGCCATATCTTTGCTATCTCCTGGGATCAAACTAGTTCTAGGACCTATCTGGATAATAGCCTGAAACTGGAACCTTCTTTCACCGTATACACATACGCATACAATACACGATACTATCCTACGGAACATATATAATTCTGTTATCTTTCCAGGCCTTCTCATTTATTCTTTTTTCTAAAAAAAAAGTTTAACTTTCTTGCAAAAGAACAAAAGAGAAGTTTCAATTCTGGCAGCAAGATTCGATTCAACTCTCGCCTTGGTGCCAAGTTAACCTGCGGGCCAGAGTCAGTACAGTCAACTAAGCTGTAGTCTCTTCTCGAACATTGTCTTTTAATAAATCCCTCGCCTAGAAGAATCAAAGTTGCATTACAGCGCTAGGATCGGTCAGATATCGATATCATAGTTGCATGGGAAAGAATAAAGAAACCAAAGGTAAGTGCCGTGCAATGATTTCACCATGCAATCCTTACAATTCTCAATTATCCCTTGTGCCCAAACCATGGGCACCCCACCATCTTCTTGTTTGCTCGTCCTATATATCCTATCGGCCATGAGGTACTTCCAGCTCTGATATGCTATTACCTATTCGCATTTTCATGCATAAATGATGCATCCACAATTAAATTGCGTCTACACAGACACCTGTCCATACCCCTTCCCTCTGATATCTTTCTACAGCTCTAATCAATGTAAATCCTCTCCCTGCGCTGTTACATGGGCTCCCCTTCCCTGCGGGGTTTTTTTCGTTCGAGTTAGTGTGTCAGATGTGGTTTGTCGCCTTTTTGGTCTGTCTCGCATGCTTGCAATTGCCCCGAAAGTTACACAGAAGAATCGAGTGAGATGTTCGAAACAGCGCACCTCTCGATTCGCCACTTTTTGAGTACTTAGTAGTTCGCTGTCGCTGTTTTCTATTTTGTCATTTCTTGCTCAGAGGACTTTTTTTTTCTAAAAAAAAAAAAAAAAGCAAAAGAATTCTTTGATTGCTTTCTGTTATACTCTGTAACTGGTTGAGGATACTAACTATCATGATAATATAGCCCAGCATAGACAGAAGTCGAATTTCTTTGGTAGTTGATCTGACCTGACCCGCTCACGCCGTTCACAAGCCAACTGGCTAGCCAGCGCTCAGGCTATCGCTCGAACCACACTGCCCATCATGGCGACCGCAACTCTCACTCTCAGTCCTTCGACTCTTGCTCGATCCATCACTCCTCCTCCTTCTCCTCCTGAAGACTCACCGTCTCCAATGGCTCTCGCTTTAGCATCTTCGGTTCCTCTCGCGATCCCTAACAAGCATCTACCCACTCCTACTTATACCATTACTACCAAAGTGTCTCCGTCACCTGTGACCCCGCCTGCATCACCACCCACCGAGAAGGCCACCCCTCTCCTTCCAATTTCATCAGTCCTCTACCCACCCAGTGCATACCAGCAGATATCTGTCGAACCTCCTATCTATTCGATTGATGCTGCTACGGCTGCTGCTGCAATCCACCAAGCTGCCTGTCATCCCCTTCCTCCTGCCGACAAGGTCTTCCCATGGCTTCATGGTCTTCACTCGGATAACGCCGTTCAACTTACCTTTTTTAGTGCCCGAAGAAAAATACACCAGAGGACGCCGTCGTGCTGGAGAGGTGTTACTGTTGTAAAAGCCGGCAGAGCTCTGGAAAGTTCCAAGTTGCGTGGAGCGGTTCATCCCGCTGAGATTCTCCCCACCGCCCCAGGATACCAGGGGGGTTTCCTGGAAGTCGATCCGAAAGAGGGTTTCTGTGTCCGGAATTTCCATATTCAAACCGCCAAACTCGCCGCTGTTTCTGACATCATTGTCTACGGCGACGACCGAACGAGTAAGGATGCCATCAAAAATATTGCCAGGCGGATCGCACAAGCTCAGGTTAAGTACCGTAGCATGCATATGAGCCACCCAGACCTCGACTATCCACAGTACAACACATTTGTCGTATCCAGTCCATTTTCCGAATTTGAACAGAACCACCCTGAACTTGTCGCTTTCGACTCGAGAGGTCTAGGTTCTGGGTCTATCCCTGACTTTCCTTATCTTGAACGCCAAGAAATGTGTACGATGTCGAGAGCTACTGAGATCGCACACAATGTCTGGCTAGGATCGACAAGCGACAAGGAATTCGTAAATGCCTCTGGTCCATTCAACATCTGTATCGAATCTTGCGATGGCGCTCCATTTCCAACTGCACCGATGCTACGGTTGATTTCCCGCCGTATGAGGGACCACACCAGTGTTCAGGATATTGAGTTCCCAGCCTCCGGAAGCGTTGCGACTTCCAACTGGGCAAAATTCGATATTGATGCTATCATTGATATGTGCCGATGGATATACTTCTCGGCAAATCCAATCATAATCAAAGACGCAGATGGCGACACTGCCATGGAGGACCACGACCAAGGCAAACGTGTTCTCATCCACTGCATGGACGGGTACACCGAAACTTCACTCTTGGCTCTTGCGTATCTCATGTACTCTGAAGGCCTCCCTGTTCACGACGCATGGATCCATCTCCACCGTGAAAAGGGACGTAATTTCTTCGCCTACCAAACCGACCTCCAAATCCTCCTACATGCACAAACTGAAATTCTCAAGGCATCTCCGGCCCTAAAGAATGAAGCAGACGCTACTGCATTCATCGCCAGTATTGAAATCCCTAAATGGGTACCGAAATTGGATGGATCTCTGCCTAGTAGGATCCTGCCACATATGTATCTGGGTAACCTAGGGCATGCGAATAATCCGGAGATGCTAAAAGAGCTTGGAATCAAACGCATTTTGAGCATTGGCGAGTTTACAAACTGGTCAGCTGATGAGATCTCAGGATGGCCGTCGGAGAAGATTATGAAGGTCGAGAATATTCAAGATAATGGCGTAGACCCCTTGACTTGCCGACTAGATAAATGCCTAGACTTTATCAGTATGTTTTTTTTCCTCTGCCTTGTTCCTATATTCCACGATAAGCGCTAACAAAAGTTTGTAGATGCTGGTAGAGAGGCTGGAGAGGCGACTCTCGTTCATTGTCGTGTCGGTGTGTCACGATCCGCAACCATTTGCATAGCTGAAGTCATGAAACGACTCAACCTTTCCGTTCCCCGAGCATAGTAAGACTTCCCACCTATCTACCAACATGATATATATATATATATATACTAACCTGATGGATACAGTTGTTATGTCCGAGCTCGACGACTAAACGTCATCATTCAACCTCATCTTCGATTCATGTATGAATTGCTGAAATGGGAAGAAGCTCAACGAACGGAGAACAATCTCGGCATCAAGCGCGAACTAGAATGGCCGTCTATCGCACGAGAGATTGCACTGATGAACCGACCATATTCACGATAGGGTAAGATGTGTCAATTTTCCACCGATCACGCAACTGTTACCGTTCGACCAGTATAGTTAAGGACGGAGTATTGCGACAGTGGTTTGTTGAAGAACAGAACATTAAATCATTATTCTTATTTTTCGAATTAGCGAACAAGCGATGATGAGCTTTCCTTTCTTGACCCCTTTTTTTTCTTTCTTGGGAGTTAAAATTACTGGTTTTAATGGTGATTTTGCCGGACGCTTTTTTGGTTTCTTTTTACTTTTTCCTTGGGAATTGGCAGGCAGAGGGCGAGTGGGACGGATGATGGTGTTTGAATTGGGTTGGGTTGGAAAGCTTTACTTGTGACTGGGTTTCTTTTGTTGAGAGCTTCCCCCTCTACTACTGCTACTGCTACGTTTCTGGGATTAATTCTTGGGGGGTTCAGGCGTTGAATTGAACAAAACTATTACTGCGTACCTTCCTTGTTGACTTTTGTTCTTCTTTTTATATGTTGAGAAAGGGATGCAGCTGCGGACATGTTTTAAACACCGTTGGAGTGGGAAATTGGCACCGGAGTTTCCTTTTTATCGTTTTTCTTTGTGTCTTGTGCCAATCGATACCTCGCTATCTAGGGGTTCTCTTTTCGCGATATCGACTTTCTTCTATTCTTTTCTTCTTTTTCTTCTTCTTCCTATTTTTTTTTTTTTTCTCCCTTTGGGATTAACGATTCTTCTTGGTGCCGGTGGCTTGTCCACGACAAATTTATTTTTATTATCAGTCTTACTTATATTCTGATTCTAGTGTGTTATTACTATTACTATTATTACTATTTGGTTTGCCTTACGATTGTTCCCCATGGTTTTAAATCGAACAAAAAAAAAGAGAAGGAATGCGGGCTTTGAAAGATATACATATATAAGGATATACAAAGTACCTATATATATATGTATTTGTTCAAGTGGACACGATTTGCACCAGTTTATTTCTTTTGAAGATCTTGATTGATTGATTGATTGATTGCGAAGGGAGAAAAAAAAAAGATATTCTCAAAATTTTGATGTTTTTAAATATATATAAATATAGTTACAGCTTGCAGACGGTACAATTTGGTTTATATGAATATATCTTATACAAATAGGTACTTAGTGTAGTATATATATCCTTCTCAATGCATACATATTGTATGAATATCTCAGTATATTATAAGTGTGATAGATATAAGTATACCGTACTTTAAACCCCAGAATAACACCCGGTATAGGTTGTAAATCCCTAAAGATGTTGTGTTATAATCTAGGAAAAGGTTTACTTCCTGAAATTGTTCCACCAGTTCTTGACATCGGTGAGAAGACCGTAGAGTGGTGTATCGGCGTTCGCGCCGGCGGTGGGGTTATAGTATTGACCGTTTGAGTTTGTGAAGTCTTGGACTATACCGCCGTAGAGGTCTACCCATGGGTTTGGCTTGGGAGCTGGAGCTGCGGCGGCGGAGGATATGAAGAGAGCGGTGGTGGTGGAGATGAGGATGATGTTTTTGAATTGCATTTTTGAGTTTGAAAGTTAAGCTTGAAGGGGTATTTAATGGTGGTTGGTAGGCCGGCCTGTGGGAGTGATGTGAGGGGATTGGTTTTATTTTAATTAAAAAGTTATAAGATTGGTAATGGAAGGAGACGAAGTGAAGATATCTAGGGACCTGCCAGAGGTTTAGACTGTTGTATGATTGTTTGAGTTGATGGATTGATGCTGGTGATGGTGAAGGGAATGTTGGAATTGGGTCTGGTATTGATGTTTATATAGAGAAACTTGGTTTATAGAATACCAAGTCTGATGAAGTGATTGATTAGACTATCAGTACGTCTATAGCTGTATGTACGTATTGAAAGATGTATTTTTAGATTCTAGAAGTTCTCAAGCTCCTCGTGATTCATTCTGAAGCTTAAGATTTTTGATCTTGTTAGCTACATTTCTGCAGTATCACTTTGTCGACGATTGTCATAAGACGGGACTTGAAAGCTCATGATCTAAAGGAACCCTGTAAAACATCTGGAAGTTTTGAATATTCAGCTAGAATTCATCAATATATATATCATTCGATATAATAGCTATAGATCGGTATATCCGAGATGTCAAGAGAGGAATGACTTAGACCGCAGCATTCCAGATCAAATTGACACTTTCCGATGATATCATGATAATATAATATGTCCTGCTATAGCTATAATACTATCGATTGGTCCTTGGCAGTCGGAATGTCGGCTGGAAGATGTTGTATTCTGAATCGAGTTATTCCCAAACATACGGATGTACACTAGCGCTGTTCCAGAAAGTAAAGCGCTAAGCCTTATGTAGTAATAATGACCCGCAGTTAAGCTTAATAAAGTAATTGAAGACCACAACAACTCCAACAATCCCTGTGCGTTTTCTGGTGTAACGAACGAAATTGAGATTCTTATTGTTTCAGAGTAATAAAATGTATATGGATGTATGCACTCCATACCATATTATACAGTGTGATATATTGTTTCTACGATTTGTACATATGTGAATACACCTGTTATAGCCTCTGCGAAGAGTTACGTTAATAATATTTTCTATATTATGAACTATAGATTGATGTAAGTGGTTAGATGCATGTTGTGGCAAAGACAAGAGGGGGTATTATGGAATACATCTAGATGAATAGGCGAAGTTTCAGAGCAAGATTAATTCGAATTTTTAGTACGAGACATCGGGATTTCCGACGTTGCGACGAGCTAGCTAGTTGGCTAGCTATAGCTTATTGCTCATATACGTTCTAGTTAATTTTAGATCTCGTGATATTATTGTGAGATTGATTATAACGACTGAATGGTATGAATTGTCATTCTATACAAACTTCGTCTATAAATACTCAATGGTCCTGCTCCCTAGCTACTCTTTTTTCCCCCATCATCATCAAACAATCCAATCTTCACAGCTTTACATCTTCGGGGTCTTCCCATTCTACAAATCTTTCTATTTAATTTTTACAAAGGATACGACGGGCTGGTACCGCTTCCTTCTTCAATTCTTCAATCACTCCCACTGCATTAAGCTTATATCAAATCCTCAACCTTAACTTCAACCACCAATCCGCCTTAATTCCTAAAAAAAAAACCTCTCACCTTTCAACTACTTAACCCACAAAGATAAAATCAAAAATGCGTTTCTCCACCATCCTCGTCGTCGTCGTCGCCGTCACCGGCACCAACGCTCTCCCAATCCCTCAATTCTGGGGATGGGTCGGTGATCAAATCGCCGATTTTGCTACTCAAGGGCCCGGAGCTGTCTTCTCGGAGATCGTGGGAGCTACTCCTAGTAGAATGGCGGGTGGTTCGCCGTTCCCACTTACGAATAATCAGTTTACTGCGGGGATGGGATTCTTGAAGAGATGGGTTTCTAGATCATGATGATTATATATACGCTTGGGTACATATTAGGTATTTGGATAGATCGATAGAGGGCTGTTAGTTGATAGTTGGGGATAAGATTGTTTCTGTTTTTGGTTATGTATTTAATGATATTTGTATGGTATGAATAGGATATAGTTGATATATATATACAGTATTTGCAGTGTCTTTTAGAACCGTCGTTGAATCCAATCCGAAGCATTAAACCGTATCTCGTCAGAGATATCTGTAGTAAACATTAAAAGTATCATGTGAATAAAAAAAGTAAAGCCCATCTACCCCTTGAAAGAAAAACCGCTAAATGGCATTCGCAAAACCGATTGCACGTAGAGAACAAAAGCCAGACCCCTCAAAATCGATCGCTTTTCTTTAAAAGAAATTAAAACAACCTCCTACTATGCTCTTCATCAGCTTTTTCTCCACCACTTTTCTCCATATTCTTTTTTATTTGGTGACCAGCTATACACTAGTACCCTCTCCACTCCCCTCCCCAGCCTCCGCTCTTTTCAAAGTTCCATCAGAACTATCCTTCAAAGTCTCCAACCTATCCTCCTTATCGTAAACCGAGAACCGTTGGTCGACTCTCATGATCGTAAACCACAGGACGACGATGTACTCGAATACGAAGTATGTAACGTAGTATGCGGCCCTCGAGTGGTACCATGCTGGGTTAAATCTTAGTCTCGGGGGTGTATACGCAACTCCTGCTCTGAAGCCGGCGCCGAATGCTATATATTCGCAATATTCAGTTAGTACTTTCTACCTCTAAAACAGATGATATATATATATAATTTTTATAGAAGGATGGAGGGGTACTCACCCAAGAAAAACGCTCCAACCAAAATAATCAACCCCTTCAACCAAAACCCTCCCTCAGCTCTCCTCTCAACCCCCAAACTCGTTTCCACGCCCTTATGCGGCGTAAACAAAGCAATGGGCACGATAATAAACGGTAAAAAGGCAATAACCGCCAAAATCGTGCCACCAACTTTTCTTATCGTCAAAAACTTCATTAGTAACTTAGTATCCTGGGTGAAGAAGCTCCAAATAGTCGTCGAGATGACCAATACGAAAGTACACCCGATAACAACATATATCGCCGCAAAACTCCCATAGAATATTTTCCTCCTCTTACCATGTTCAACGGAAGGATGTCTTGCCCGGAAAAGTCGATGACAGAACATTAGGTTTAGGATGTATAAAGCTATTACACCTGCGGCGTTGAAGACTTGGTTTGCTATCGCCAGGTCTACATCTGTTGGTTTGAAACTCCAGGCGGTTCGGAGGGATAGTGTGACGACTCGGGACATGGAGAAACCGATCATGAAGATTGAGAGTTTGAATTTGTGACCTTTGGAGAGATTGCCTCTGAAGATTATGATGTTTGTTATGGCGATTGAGAGGAATAAGATGGCGAGGACGAGGGAGGCGGGGAAGTCGGGGATTTTGGAGGGGATTCCTCCTAGGATTGCCATGGGGGTTAGGAAGGCCATTGTGGGCGGTGTTTATATTATTTTCCTGCTACTAGCTACGCTTATTTCGATACTTTTTTGGTTTTATGAAATAGGTAGTAGATAGATAGGGTTTTTGTTTGGTGGGTGCTAAGACCCGAGGAACTGGGAGGGTTGTACAAAGTTGAGTTGAATTGAGTTGAGGCTGTTGGAGTCGATCCGCGATAGTGGGTTTGTGTGACGTTGTAATCGCGATTCGATTCTCGTGGTTGAAACTGGCGATTGAAGTTCTTGTCAAACCGTGATATATTGATATAGTCAGTGAATTGACAAAAACAATTAATCGGGAGACGTAAAGAGGGGAAAAATAGATCGCAAGTCGCGCAAATACTGCTTATACAGTAGAAAAATATAGAATCATATGATATGATAGGAATTTAGTGAAGTTAATAAATTAACAGGCCACCATCCAACAGCGAACTCTCTCAATTTATGTAATCTCGTCCTGCGACCCGATCGAATGAACAATGCACACACATCTCGATCTATCGGAATACTAATCCTACATGGGGAAACGGAACCCCAAGAAAGAAAAATAAATTCAGAAGGGATCGATTACGAAACCAAGCATAAGGATGCATGCATGAGTAACTATTCCCTAGGAGAAACCTGCAGCCATCTCCTTTAAGATTTTCTTCTCGTGCGAAATAAATGTCCACCACCAGCATAGTGGCGCTCTCATGAGGTCAAAAAGGATTCCCCAACATCTGGGGCATTAAGTAAGTAACTATGGCATCGGGGAGTCGGCCATTTCAAGTTCTTGGGGCAACAGGGGTCCAAAGTCGAACATGTCGGCCAACTTAGACGCCGACTAGCCAATCATGTTCAATCTTTCCCAGAACAAGCTTTACTAATCGGTCGGACGTTTGGCCGTCTCTCTTTTTTAATAATTTTTTTTATTAGTTACACTGGGCTGACTGCAGCTGGACTGACCACTTTGGGGATATGTTTCCACCGACATTCATATTACACATATTACACACATGCATGTTGAAGTTATTAAATCGATCTGGTTTAAATATATCCCAATTCTCGCCTTCTATATATCTCGAGGGTCTAGGTCTAGACCATCTGATTAAATAACGTTAGGGCGTCGGTTGTTCTCCCAGCGCCCTTTAATTGATCCGATTATATAATCCCGTCGTTAGAATTCTTTTTTGATGTCACCTGAGGCTCTCACGACTTTTCTCGGTTCTTCCATCCGAATTTATGTTTTACGTTTTTTTTTGTTTAACTCGGATCTAGCCGAAGGGAGAATATTGGGCCACGCGGACTTGAACGTCATCCCGCGATATATATCAATAACAAAAAAGAAATTTCGAAAGAGAGAGAAAAAGAGACGCGAGTTTTATCTTCAGTGGCTTGAAGATAGAGAATATGCTATTATTAAAATCATGTCTTTTGTCTTTGATGGGACAATTGAAACGTCAAGATAGATCCTCCTTCCACCCGTAAGAATAGTTAAAACTAGTGTTGAACTTTTAGCCCTGATAGGCTCTCGAGATCTCCATACACGTATAAAGTACGAAAATTTCAAAAGAAAGAAAGGGTAAGTAGGTAAATAATACAATCAACCGAGAAGGAAATCCAACTAGGAAAAGAACCCAAGAAACAGAAATGAGAAGAGAGGGAGAAAACAATGCATTGTCGTATCAATCATTCCATCGTATCAATGGTAACCCTCGATCCTCCCCTTCATGCAAAAGGTGTAAAGCACAAACCCGATAGTTGAAATCGAAAGAAAAAGAAAGAAGTAGAAAAACATGAATAAAAACCCCTTTTATATCTACGCCTTAACTTCAATAATCACATCTTTAACGCCATCCTTTCCACTATCTGTAGCCCCGTCCTTATAGGATGTTAACCCCTTTCTAATCGCTAAAACATTATCCACAATCACCGCATCTATGCTTTGACTTGCTTGAATCTATCATATTGGGTCACATATTAGCAATCTTGTAAACTTTTGTTATGCCGGTTTAGTGGATTAAAGGAAAAGAAGGGATCTCACCTTAACGTTCTCCGGGTCGTTATTCAACGTCCCGTAAGTCACACACACCAACCCCGTCTCCTTGACCACTCTAATCAACCTCGGACACTTCACCAATGGCTCAGCTGCCGAAACGATCCCGATCAAATTCCACTGACTGGCGAATTTAATCGCCTCCTTCAACGAACTCGCTCTAATATCCGACATAAACGCCGTACCTCCTTCCGTCAGGAACAAAACAGGAATACTAGGCTGCTTAAAAGACGCCATAAGACATATATCAGGGTGGAACGAGGAAAAGATAATATCTCTTCCTTCGCCGTGATCGTATACTATCTTTAGGATCTTATCAAGCCATGTGTTTAGTTCGATTCCTAGGTGGTCCATTTCCTCTGCTTGTGCTTCGTCAAGCATGGGGTATTTCAGTTCGATGTTGAAGCCAATGTCCTTTGGCAAGTTCTTGAACACGCCTTCGAGGGTTTGGAAAGGTCCTTGGATGTGACTGCCACGAGTGTTGGCGTTAAATCCCTTGGTTTTGAGGGCCTTTGTGAATTTCATCTTTTCAAGGAGGTCGACTGTTCTGTCGTCGCTGCTAGAGCCGACGGAAAGTGATCTGAAGCGGCGAGGAAGGCCCTTGTCGCCGGGTTTGTCGGAGAGGGCGGGGGATACAGGGCGAGACTGGCCATTTTGTTGTTCGCTAAGGTGGAGGAATTGCTCTAGGGTTAAGCTGTGAACTGGCACGTCGATACCGGTTTCCGAAACGAGGAAGTCATGGTATAAGACTGGTACATGATCTTTTGTTAACTGAACGTCGAACTCCACGTATTTGGCGCCTAAGTTTGCTGCAGAGATGAAGGATTGAAGAGTATTCTCGCCCAGCTGAAGGGATTTACGTTCCACGATATTTTTACCTAGACCACGGTGACCAATGATCGATGGAACAGTAAGTGTTTTCCAGTAGGTGTGGTCACGAGTGACACTCATGTTCTCGTGAGAGAACGGAGTTATGACCAAGAATTCGAAGTTGACGTAGCCGATGACTTCGAGGGTACTAACTTCGAGGATCGGGAGGGTATGTCCACCTTGCAGGGCAACTTTTCCACCGGCGTTTTCGGGACGAAGACTGTTCAAAACTGCGACGGCACGACCAAGAACTTTGTCGTTTCTACCGGAGTAAGTTGGGACCAAGTCAAATATCAACTTGACTTTTGATACGTCCGAGGTTTCAAAAACAAGAGGTTCGGTAAGGATTGAATCCTGCAATGGGAGATCAATGATATTCTCTTCACCCTCTGCACACTTTGCGGAAACAACCAGTGAAAGCGCAGTATCCAACTGTGTGGCATGAGCTAGCGCCAGAGGGATCTGCTCGAGTTTCACAGGGTCGACTGGAGCTTTAAGGTCCTTCGACCCGAGGGTCACGAGAACCATAGCTTTATCTCGAATATATCTGTGACCGAACGTCTTAATCGGCTTGGTGTTCGGTTGTGTGAACCTCCCTTTCTCAAGCGGAGAACCAGCCTCAGCCAGTGACCTTGACGGCGATGTAGATAGGGACGAGACTGCCTGCTGGACTGTGCTAGCAGTATCAGAGAGAGTGTCGGACCCGTCGGATGGCTGAGATTGATCAAATATCATTGATGTGATCTTGAGATGACCTCTGAGAGTAGCATGCTCCGCGGCGGACCATCCTGACGAGTCAAGGCGCTCGTAGTCTGCTCCGTATTGGAGAAGTAGTGCTACAACTTCAACGTGGCCGTGTACGGCAGCAGTAAACTAAGCACCGGATATTAGCAGTTGCATAAGAAAGATCGACACCTAAGAGGGTCACATACTAGAGGGGTCCAGCCAAAAGCCGCCTCTGCAAACTCAATATCAACCTTTTGCGTCTCCGGCTCTGTCAACAAAATTCTTGCACACTCAAGATGTCCCAACTTCGCTGCGATAAAGAGAGCCGATTCTCCATTCTCATCCGCAAAGTTGACATCCACACCAGCCTTTACCAACAACTCCACTAGCTTTGGCGCATTATTCCGTGTAGCTAGACACAGGACAGCCGAAGATTTGGAAACGCTCTTTCGAGCCTCGATAATCTCGATCGGATCTCCTTCCAACCTTTCCGCATCAAGTAAGATCTTGGTGGTTTTTGGGTGTTGCCCTATAACCGCCAAGTGAAGGGGTGCAAGGCCCTCATTATCCCACCACGGTGAACTATCAATACCGGCTGTTCCGTCGATTTGACCCCATTTATGCATGTACTCTGTTAGCGTCTGACAGACCTGGACAATACCATATTCGGCAGCATAGTGCAATGGTATCCTTCCATAGGCATCTCGATCTGTCAAAGCTACTCGCAAGCTAGGTGGGAAATTCGCGAGGAGGTACTTGAGAACCTTGAATATTCCATCAAAGCTTCCCGGTAGCTCGTCCTGTTCCTCAGGAGTTTCGGGTAATGCTCGATTGGCGTCACCACGGCTAAAGGATACCGATAGCTCTGAGTAGTTCGCTAGGTTATTCCTCATCTTTGTGGATGTACTCCTTCCCATTGCTCTGACGATTCGGTGGAGTAGATTCCTTTCGTTGATATCTTCGGTATCCTTCAAACTCTCTGTTTGCTTGAGCAGCAAATCAATACACTTGAATGCCTCGGCGTAAGCGGCACGTTGTAATAGATTCAGGATTAAGTTTTGTGAAAACTGGTCTTTCGAGAGGTGCATATCCTTCAGCGCCTTATCCAGTTTTTCACTATTATCGTTCTTGATTGAGACATCGAAGGTCTTTAGAACTTCCTGAGATAATCCGCTAACACCTCCAGCAGACGAGTTTTTGAAGGACAAGCCATCGGGTTTCTCTGTCTCCGATTTCCCCTTGATTTGGATTCCCAAACCAAGCTTTTCGAGCCATTCGTTTACAGTTCGTTCGGCAGCTGTGACTTCACTTGATGCTGCGAAGGGCTTGATAAGGACCTTGGAGTTTAGATAGCGTTGTTGGACTTTGACTAGAAGTTTCTTGTCGAGTCTGAAAGGAGCTTGTTAGTCAGGTGTATTCCCTAAGGAAGTATGTTGCACGAGCGTTCGGTTTCTTACTTCTTCAGGATCTTCACAAACCCCCGCCGGTTGACGTCTACACTCAGTAACAGATCAGCATCTATCCCAGCATTACCTATATAGGTAGATCTCGTGGAACCAGTCATTTACCTCCAAACCAAGCAATCTTCCTCAACTGACCCCTCAGCTCCAACAATACCTCAGCATGCTCTTCAAGCTCATGTCTGGGGATGTTATCTACGTTCTCAAACTGTTCTTTGTGTCTTTCTCCCAGGATCTTTAGTTTTCGGGTACAATCCGCCAACCGTTTGTTGTAGAATTGATCGACTTTTTCTAGCTCGCGGTCAAGGGAGAATATGAATGCTTGATAGTGATAATGATGTTAGTCTTCGGTGATAATATGTAGAATTTTATTTTCTCTTTTAAAAGTAGAGTAGATGATGGGGATTCCGGGAACGTACGAGCAAGATCTGGATCCGTTTCATCTTGTGTACTACGTAAGATACGCTTTATCCGCTTCTTAAGGCCCTTGTAATCGATATACGACGCCTGCCATTCTGGCACTACATTACGGTAGAGGCTAGAGAGAGGGAGGGAGATAGTTAGCTCATAATATTCATAAAAATTATTAGGTAATAAATGGTGGGAGAGCAAAAAAAAATACTCACTTCTGACCAAACTTCATCCTGTCTTCTTCGTTTTAAAAATTCCTAGAAGAAAAAGGGAAATGGTTGAAGCAATTAAAGCTTGCTTGTCTTGTGATATGATGGTTGAGGATTTTTAGACCACTCCTCCCAAACGGTCCAATTCCTTCTTCGAAGAACCAAGGTCGTGGTTCTGTATCCAATGCAATGGGTACGAGGAACTTGTACTTGACAGTTACGCCTTCCTGAAACGAGATATGATTTGTAGTTCCGAACTCCGAGAGAGTTGGTTAAAGTTGGGTAAATTGATGCGTTTGGGCGAGTTTGCCGGGTTTGCTCGGGAATTATTAATCTTTTTGAGGGGAGAGAGTTCGAGGTTAACTTTAAAATTATCAATCAGAACTGGGTGAAGTTGCCAGGTTTGTTGTAATTCGAGGCGTGAAGCTTAAACGGCAAAGCAAAGAAGAAGAAAAGGAAGGGGAAAAAAGGCGGGTTACAAACGGTCGAAACGCCAATGATGTCGTGATGATACTTTAGGTAACGAAATGTCCATTATCAAAAAAGGCAGAGGGGAATCAAGAAAGGAAAAAAAAAAAAAAAAAGAGTTAAGGTAGTAGATTCTAGATTCCTCACACGTTGCTCTTTATACTTTTATATGTATCTTCAAACCCTCTCGCTGGTTCAAATAAGCTATGTTTAAATTTGGTAACGGCCGCGTGACTTCCTTTTTTTCACTTGAAGAATAAACGTCCGAAATCCGAAAAAAAAAATCTACAATCAGCGAGAGAGAGGAGTTCGTTTCGCTTGAATACCTCCCTTTCGAACCTTCTTTTTCTTTTCTTTTAGGGGTTGGTGGTGAGTTCGAAACGAAATTTATTCGCGGGAACTCGCCGACGCACACAAGTTTATAAATCTCGACGGAACGCCTCTTTTTAAGGTCTTTGACCCCTGGAGATCCCTCTCTGCGCCGGAAAATGCGATGGACCCTGAACGAAAAAGAAAGCTTAGCCTACTTATTATTGTTTTTCCGAATGTTAACTAGATTGTGTAGCTGCTTTTTTGTTTTTTTTTGCAATTTTTTTGAGGGCTCAGCTGATATGTATGATGAGATGCGGGCTTGGTTAAAGAGGAAAGGAAAGTGGAGTTATTGCTGGAGAGAATGTGATCATGCAGAGCTCTGGAACCACCTCTTTAAGACATCGGTATGGAGAAGGAACAAGAGTAAGAATAAGAATAAGCTAGGGTTTGGGAGGAAAAAAAAGAGGAGGTCGAGTAAGAGGAGGAGGGGAAGTTTTAAATAAAAATTAGAACTAGCTATAGAACTAGATGAATGCCCGAGTACTTCCGATGTCCAAAAATATATATCTCCATCCACCATTGCCTGCATCGATGGAATAGAATGCACACATGCATCACTCGAAGCTCATGGTGTTGTTCTTGCCCCCAATCTTTCTCCACCCCATGTAATCTTCTCACAGGCAAATTGACGTGATTGGCTCCTCTAACGTGCCAAAACCATTGGTTCAGATGCCACCAGTCCCAACCGATGACCCTTTCGCTTGAGGGAAGGGGGGGCTGGAACATTGGGCATTGGGTGGGTCGGCCATCAGACGTTCGTTATGGGTGGTAGATAGACGTTGTGGGGCTGGCCAGAATTAAAGCTTGAGAGCTTGCAAGCTTGACTGACAGACTGACTTCCTTGACAAGGATGGGAACATCCGGGGAAGAGCCACGACTGCAAGGGTAGCACCGTTCTGCAGTGTTTAAAGCCTGCATGCATGTTTAATTCGTTGGTTGTGGATTATTGGGGGCCGTTTTTAACCACCACTACGGAGCACTCCCATGTCGATAAGATGCATAATAGTAAGTAAGTACATGTATGTAATGGGGCCATGTCAGAACGAAATGTCAATGGTAATCCCATTTCACCGAGTTATGTGTTCTGGTATGGTATTTTTGGTGTTTGTAATTGCTGTACATGTTCGAATCTGTTTGGTCAGATAGTTCTGGTTATCAATGAAGGCACGCGATCTATTGCCAACTGACGGAATCTTATCCGCTAATGCGGATTGGTGCACTGACCGGATGGCGGTGGCGTCAGAGGCTGGGGCTTCTCGCTATCTGATGCATCACTCCAAGACATCTTCAGATTATGGGGTAGCTTGGTCCAGTTTCAAACTTTTCCTTTTCTATTTTTCCATCAAACCTCGGCCCATCGCATAATACCGTTCTATGAACAAAGTGGGAAAGAAAAAAAATGAAACAAAGAAAACATATGGTAAGTTATACCAGCGATACTAGGGTCCACGCCAATTGGCGCCATTTTCATATCGTGACAACTGCTAACTTAACCATAGCGATTAACGTCATTCATCAGAGAAATAGAAATAATAATAATAAAAACAAGGCCACACTGGCTCGTAGTTTAACGCAGTAATAAGACCCAAAGGAAAATTTTCACCAGAGCCAAGGAACCATTCAAGTGTTTCCCAATGTCTACCTCTGCAGCCTCTTATCCAGCTTCGCCTTCCTTGCAATCTTCTCAGCAGTTCTCACAAGTGCCGTTTTAATCTCACCCTTTTCAAAGGAGTCAATATCGTAGTAGTTGGGGGCAATATCCTATGAGAAAAACCATTAGCATAATATTCTGTCGTGGGGGTTGTGTACACCAGAAGAGAAACTTACCATCAACCACTCAGGCTTGACACTCGTAACCGTTCGAATATAGTTCTTAGTCGTAAGAACAAATTCATTATAGAGAACCCACTCGTTCTCTTGACCCAACATTGTACTAGGATGCAGAAGAACTTCCTGGTTATCCTTCACTGTCTTATAGCTTTTCCCCGTGGACATCTTTTTCGCAACCTGCATGAAGAAACCAGCACACAACGCCTGTCTTATGTTGTTATAATAGTTTCGGTCCGTGAAATCTGTGGTCTTCATATCGATTTCCTGCTTTTCCATAATAACCCTCAACTGGTTTCGAACATTGTCGGCCGACGTGAGTGAACGGAATGAAAGGTAATTCTCCGAACACCATCTTTGCCCGGCGCCCGAATCGAGTGATTTGAAGGCATGATAGACATTGAGCATGGTAAGATGGTCGCCATCCGGATGCGCAAATTGAGACTTTGCTGCGTCAGCTTCTTTTCGTTTGTGTGATGGGCGGACAAAGACTTGGGGGACAGAGAGGAGGGCAGTGATAGAAAGAATTTCACTAGCGCATTGGAATTCGGACGAGGAGATCAACATGACAGCGAGGGCCGGATCGAGGGGGTATTCAGAAGCCATACGCCCCATGGTTGTCAAGTCACCTTCATCATCCAAACAAGCAAGGTAATTCAACTCCTCAAGTGCTCTCATCATTGTTTCTGGAGCAGGAGGGTCCATAAAATCGAAGTGAACCAGATCATCAATCCCGAGCTTCTTCAGTTCCAACACGGTGCTAGCCAAGTTGCTCCTCAAAATTTCGGGATATGTCTGATCGATTAGTTCCTTCTTGAATGCATCCTCTGTGTATAATCTAAAACATTTTCCAGGCCGTGTACGACCAGCACGACCAGCACGCTGTTGTGCACTGGCCTTACTGATTGGTGAAACGAGCAAAGATTCCACTCTGATACGTGGATTGTAGACCTTTTGCTTGCTGAATCCAGGGTCAACGACATACACAATACCGTCGATGGTAAGCGATGTTTCGGCGATGTTTGTAGAGACGACGACCTTTCGTCCTGGCTTCCCGCCAGCACGGGCTGGTGGGGGTGCCGGGTCGAAAATTCGCTGTTGTTGGTTGGGAGGCAAGGTACCATAAAGTGCATAAACCTTTAGTGGACCAGTATCATACTCCCTTTGCATCTCGTCCCCTTCGGCACGTAGACGTTTGCAAGCCTCTTCAATTTCCTCCTCACCAGTCAAGAAGAGGAGGATATCACCCTCCGGCTCACTTCCATGGATCTGCAAGACAGTTCTCAGAGCAGCCTCAACATAATCCCTTTCTGGTTCTGGTGTATAGAAGATCTCGACTGGGTGGGTTCGACCGGGAACAGCGAGTAAAGGAGCATTGTAGTCATTTTCTTTAGCTCCGAAGTATCTTTGAAATTTCTGCGCATCCAAAGTAGCAGACATCACTACGATCTTCAGATCCGGCCGTCTCAGGGCCACTTCCTTCAACAATCCCATCAAAATATCTGTTGCAAGGGTACGTTCGTGAGCTTCATCGAGGATGATACACGAATATCTGCTAAGATTTGGGTCGTTCATCGCTTCTCGAAGCAACATTCCGTCTGTCATGTACTGTAGAACGGTCTTGGAAGACGTATTGTTCTCGAATCTGATATTGTAACCAACTTCCTCTCCAAGAACTACATCCATTTCATCGGCAACACGCTTTGCGACGGACATAGCAGCGACTCTTCGAGGTTGGGTACAAGCAACCTTCTTTCCGGTCTGGAGGGGGTTTTCATCGTACAGAACGAATTGAGGTATTTGGGTGGTTTTGCCGGAACCGGTTTCACCGACGAAGACGAGGATTTGATTTTCCTGGTAAAGTCGAAGGAATTCATTTCTGTAATACCAGTTAGCAAATTTATACCCAACAGCTCTACCGAGCAACATCTAAATGGAATAAAGGGAGCCTTACCTCTGAGCATGAACAGGTAAATCACGTCTTTTCTTCAGAATATCGAAATACTGTTTCGACAACTGTGTCCCAGTGAACGGATTGAACGGTCCATCTTCGGCCTTCTGCGCCTGTGCGGTGGTTGTCTGATGGCGAGTAAGCCCAGCAAATAGATCTTGACCTGCCGACGAGGCAGTGGAAGGTGCGTACATGTGAGCCAAGTAAGGATTGTCCATGTCTTTGGAAGCCCCGTTTATGGCGGTGCTAACCTTCGCTTTTTTGGTCGGTCGGTCGCTATCAAGGATTTCACGTTCTCCCGGCATAGCGAGAGAGTAGGATGGACGGGCCTTTGTGATGGCTACTGTAGCTGCTGCGATTTAATGAAAGGTACTTTGGTGATTGTCAGTCGGTGAGCCGTTGAGAGCAGTGTTCGTAAGTAGTGCCTGCTAACCGCCTGATAAGTGGCAGTCAAGAGATAGCCAAAAAGATGCTTCGAAGGAGCCACGGATTCAATCGAAGGCGATTGTTTCTATCTCCTTCCCACCAACTATTCTGAAGGGACAGTGAAGAGAAGATAAGATGGAAGAGTGTGAAGGAATAGAGGGAAGAAGACGAGAATGGTGGTGGTTTTGGTCATCAGAAAAAAATTGGACAGGGTTCTTGTTCAGCGCCGGAAACACAGGCTTGGCTTTGTCGCTTCCACCCAACTTCAACCTCCAATCTAGCTCGCGACTTCAAGACCCCAGAACACCACGACTCCACTAAAAACTGATCTCGACTTTAAGGAATATAAATCTTCATGTCCAGCCAAAAGACCTTTCAAGCAACCCTCAATACAGCTGCTACATTCCTCCAGCCAGTCTTCAAACCTCAAAATGGTGGGTCCGAATATTCTTCAGACATTACTAGGTTCCATTCAATATCCGACTCTAACTCTCACAAGCATCAAACAGACATCACCCCTCTATCATCGAATCTCTCTACCAAACCCTCCCTAAAAATGACATATCAGCTTCTTCTTCATCGGTAGAAGCTCCTTCATACAATCTTAAATCCTCGAAAGTGATACTATATGCCTTATCACTTCTTTCAAAGCTCAACCAATCCGCCACCCCTAAGAACTCATCTCCAGACGCCCTTTTCGCACCTAGAGATCAACGTATAATCCTCGGATTGGCGGACCTAATACTTCTAGAGGGAATATACCCAAATACTACATCTGGGATCTTACCGCCATTAGACAGGCGTACAAAATCCTCTGGATACTTTTCACAAATACAGGCTGCTGCCGCCGCCGCATCAATTAGTCAGCATGAGGATGGGACGGATAGTCGCAATGTCGAGTTACTTGCGATGATAGTGGATAACATCCAACCTATATTGGTAACAGCATCGAACGAGGTTAGTGATGCTGTGCGGGAAAGGCTGCAGATGGATTTAGTTGCTTGTCTGGGTGAATTAGCATTTAACCCTGAGAATGGAACCGAAGAATGGCGGAAAAAGTTTTATAGTGCTTTAGATAAGTATGTCTCTTTATTTTTCAGATTTCAACGCTCCGCTTCTATATGGTCAAGGTATGCTAACATATTTACTATAGTATTCAAACGCCTATTCTCCTACCCCTCCTTGTCCCCCTCATCCTCCCCACGACCCCGCCATGGTTCCAAAAACCATTAACAACCTACCTCTCAAGCATCCCACTAGCCCGTCCAGGTGGTGTAAAAGACGAAATAACGTTCTTTATAGATCCTACTAACGAGATACCAACCCAGCGGGTAGCACTTCAACAGGCGTCAAAGCTCATAGGATCCGTACCGACCGCTTCGACTCCCGACCAATATTTCTCTGTGGTTGCACCGCAATTAATAGAGTTATTAGACGAAGTCGGAAATCTGGGGCTCGCCGCGGGGATAGTTATTAACGATGTATTTGAACGACGGAAGAAAGGAGTTGAAAAATATTTTTTCCCGAGGTTGTTACGTCCGCTTCGACCAGCGAAATCACAGATCCCAGTGGCGGAAGAAGTGGAAAATGGTGATATCATCACCTTGACGGAGGAAGAAGATCTTGAACGAGCAATTAATCGAATATCATCCCTCTTCCAATCGTCAAACGGAAAAAGTTACCTGGCCTCACGGATTCTAGACACCCTAACCCTCCCTCTCTGGGGTCTCTGGCAATTCGCTGTTGCAATAAAAGCAACTAGCCCAACAGTTAAAAAGACGCCACAAGACCTCCTTATAGCTTACATGAAACTCAAACCTAGTTCAACAGTCTTAGACGAAATAGTACAAAACTTTGGTTATGACGGAGACGACCACTGGATTTTCACCCGAGGAGAAATGGGACAAGTGAAGATCGTAGCACGAGATACAGATCTCCCATCCAAGGCAATTGAAGTAAAGGATATCGAAGAAAGAACCCCGAGCTTTATATCTCTAGCGTTGGCGGCGAATGATGATGTATTCACAGACTTCTTTTTAAGTTTGTGTAGACGTTGGTTAGGTGGTGGGTTTACAATAAGTGCCGAAGGTGGCGATAGAGCTGCATTTGGGTTGTTGTTCCAGTTAAAAGTTTTGGAGGGGATACTGGAACATCATTCGGAACGGTTGACTCGGCGGCCAGAACAAGTCATCATCCTTGTTAAGGAAATCCTGGATTCCCATGTTAGGACGCTGGAGAAAGAAAGAGAAAGACTTGAAGCGTTGCAGAATCCGTCAATGAATACGCTTGGAAAAATAATGGATGGAGAGGAAGATTTTGATTCTCTGGTTGCCGATGACAATGACGAAACTTCTAGTGGTGGCGATGCAATAGGTATTGCACTACAACTCCTAAATTCTATCGTATCGACATCGTTTTCAAGAACTGTATCTGAACAGGAGAAGAAACTATTATCGACTTTACAACCTTCTCTGAAGTATTTATCTTCGGAAAGAGGTGTGGGTGGATCTATTGCATCTCTAACAAGGAGTTTGGGACTCTTTATCTCGACACAGGATATTCCTTTAACCGGTCCAATAGATGGGGATGTCAAGCCAGTCGACGAGAAAGTTTTGAAACAACAACAGACGTTACAGACTGCGTTATTATATCTACAAGACCAGATGGTACCAATCCGTGCGCATGGATTGGAGATATTGAAGGGGTTGATCAAGGAACGAAGTTCAGTGGTTGATGTCCAGACGATTACAAAGCTCTTAATCGATATGTTACAAGATAAAGAGTCATTCGTGTATCTGGGTGTGGTTAAGACACTCTGTGAATTGGCTGATAAACATCCTGGTACGGTGATTGGGATGCTGGTGGGCGTTTATGTGGACGAGGAAGAAAAGATGGGGATCGATGAGCGACTAAAAGTTGGAGAGGCTTTGATGGGAACAGTGCAAAGGCTTGGGCAGACGGCGGTGGGAAAGGTTGCTGAAGAGGTAGGAAATGTTATGGTTGGGCTGGCGGGGAGGAGGAAGAGGAGGTATAAAGAAGCCGGAGAGGCTACAAGGGAGAAGGAAGAAGCGGAAAGAAGAATCAAAAAGGAAGGGGAGATGGATGAAGAATATAGAAAGGTATTAAATGAAGCTAGGGTTGAAGCGGGGATTGATGTCGAAGGCGGGAAGAAGGTTAAGATAGAGGAGGTGGAAGATGACGAACAGTGGATCTCAAAGGTTGGGGAAGAGGATTATAGGGTCAGGACTTCGGCTTTATCGGTTTTAGGTATTTTATTTGAGACTAATGCCTCTGGCGTGCCGGTGGGTGTTACCCTCGCCGCGGTGGAAGTTGCATTGAGGATTTTGGAACTTGAGAGGGGGAAGGAACAGGCAACGGTTAGGAGGGCCGCGGTACATTTGGTATCCAGTGTTTTGAACGGATTAGAGAAGAATGGGACAGTGGAACTATTGAAGGTTATACCGAGGGAACGGCTAGAAGATATCGTGAGGGTCTTGGGGTATACTAGAGCAACGGATGATGATGGGCTAGTGAGAGAGCAGGCAGGCGTGCTGGTCGAAGCATTGACAGAGTAGTCTCTCAGCGCTTCCATACTAATTTCTAGTCAAGATATACTTATGTATGAAGTATTTATGCGATCTCCGGTGACTTCTACTTAGGATTTATATATACTAGAGGAGATATTGGAAAGGTATAAACAGGCGAAGAAATATAAAAATAAAGAGGTTTAAAAAAACGTCCGCTTCTAACAAAGCTATTTTGCTGTAATAGAGTGTTTGTTCTTTTCAAAGTCTCAAAAACTTATCTGTACAGTAGGGGTAGTTTTATAAAGACCATTGGCACATGAGGGAGATGGCTTTTTAACCGATGACGAGGGTATCATCATCTGGGAAGTCGTAGGCAGGGATTTCTAGAGGAAATGTTAGTACTGGGTTCAAAGAAGCTTTAACAGTAGGAGGTATAATTTAACATACCAAGATTTAGAGGAGCTGGTCCTTTCCTGATACGACCAGAGATATCGTAGTGAGAACCGTGGCAAGGACAGAACCAACCACCGTAGTCACCGGCTTCACCAATTGGCACACAACCTATTTGTTTCCAGTCGTCAATATCAAAAGTTCTAGAACTTCTAAAATGAAAAGACTAGACAGAAAACTAACCCAAATGCGTGCAAACACCAACCATAACAAGCCACTCAGGCTTCTTCACACGCTCGTCGTCGGTCTCTGGATGTCTTAGAGACGAAATGTTGACATTGTTGGCTTCCTCAATTTCATCGGAGGTACGATGTCGGACGAAGACGGGCTTTCCACGCCATTTGATGACAACCTGAAAAAACAACATTAGAGATTTGTAATCTTATGATATAGTGGTGGATTTGGATAAGGCTTACGTTCTTGCCTTCCGGTATGCTGCTCAATGCGACCTCAACCTTGGCCATAGCCAAAACGTCTGCGGATGCACTCATGTTGACCAAGAAGTCTAGATTCCGGCAAGAAAAATTATAAGCGACCGAGAATATAATAGATAGCGACATCGAACCGAGAAGAATGGAGCGACATACCTTGAACGGTAGCCTTCGCAGAGGTGGCAGACAAGGCACCCAATGTTCCGACCATGAAATATCCAAAAACCTTATTGGAGGTCTCGGACTTCTTTGACTTGTACTTGCTGAAGTCGGGAATGGTAGTCGTCGGCTTGCCATATGTTGGAGTGGTGATTTGGCGACGCTGGTCGGCACAGGCTACAGCGGTCGCTCGGACGAGGGGAGTAGCAGATGTCGAGGAGCGGAGGAGTGACCTGGAGGCGGCCGTCGAAAGGGACCGAAGGGCGGCCATTGTGGGCGATGTCTATGGTAGGAGTGGAGAAGGAGAAGGCGAGCAATTGAAGGCTCTTGCTTCGAGAGAAGAGCAGAGGAGGTTTGGTAGTCTGTCGGTGGTCTGAAGTGGGATGAGTGAGGTCTTTCCGGTTGTTCTTTCTATGACGGAAATATTTGGATGGACGTCGGAATGTCGGTTGTCTGATTGGTCGGCCCTGTAGCGGGTCTTGGCGCTCGGTGCAAATTTACTGGCCACAACCAGACGCGTTTGACTTCCCATCATTCCCAGATATTTAGCTTAGCTACGATATTATCGCGCGACACTCCCAACCAGACATCATGAGTGTAGGTCCCTCTCCCGGATGATTATTACGTGGGTGGTACTAATTGATGCTGGTGATAGTTCCAACCTATAAACCCGCGGCCGATGCTGCAAGGCCTGTATGTCAACACCGAATCCTTTGAATCCCGATCGAAAACCGGATACCAGGAAGCTAATTAATTGTCTTTTTCGACGACGCATAGCATCAATGACTTCGTGATCGTCAGGTTGAAATGGGGTCAGACCGAATACAAGGGCCGACTTGTTAGTGTGGACTCGTACATGAACATCCAGCTCTCCGACACCGAGGAGTTCATTGACAACAAAAGCACTGGTACATTGGGACAAGTCATGATCAGGTAGAGCATAATGTTTTTATACCGGTATCTTATCAATGGACTTCAAGCTGATGAGAGGGTTTGCGACAGGTGTAACAATGTCCTGTGGATTTCTGCTGCCAACCAAGATAAGACGGAGGATACGGCAATGAAGGAATGAGAGGCGACATTATTGTTATCCCATCAAAAGTTATGACCGAATAACAAGAAGAAGAAGGAGAGAAGGAGAGAAGGAGAAGTTATCAACATCAATTTCCACCATATGCGATCGAAACAAAACGTCGATGCATGGCGAATATCAATTGGCGGAGGGGCATTAGGCATTCCGTGAAATGCATTATCGAGCTTGCCGGAACCGGGGGGGAAGAGAGGACACAGACAAATACTTTTTTCCAACATATAATAGACTGATATCGTCTGAATGAATCAAAAAAGGCGAGTACATCTGCCTTGAATGTTCACATACTCGTGTGTGTATTTTTGCTAAAACAACTTCTATCAAAAGTGACTATGATCATATCCTTACAAGCCACGCTTCGCATTGCATTGCCAAAACGGTGGCGAATGGGTGAGATGACAGGTTTGAGGCAATTATTATGATAGTGAAAATTGTTCCCTGCATGTACGTGGCCTAATTGATTATATTTATATCTTTGAGTACTTACCTAGGTAAGTAAGTAAGTAAGTACTTACGTACTCAGTCATGGACCATATTTACCTTGAGTATTTAAATCTTTTGGGTTTCAATTGAAGGCAAACCGGCCGGTAGAAAGGGTTCTAAAAAGGGAAGATGCTTGTTAATCGTAGACCCGATCAAGATCGAGTTGAGGCCACCCCCGGACAGTAGTATCTGAGTATATACTTAAGTAGGTACTTGGAAGTAGGTAAGTACATATATATTTCAATACTCAAATGAGTTTCCAGGAATGAGGAGATAGTCCCGTGACAGATAGTAAAACATAGGAGCGTGCCAGGTAGTGCCCCAGATTACTATACAGTGCCTGTTTTGGAAGTCGAATGAGCTAGAAACCCTCGCTTTCTTTCAATTCTAGAATAGAAATGTACTCCGTACAATTCTAAACCATAGATACATATCAGTATATATAAGGAGGAGCGTCCGCACCGTAGCCTTCCTCGACCAATCCACCATTTTTCCTCCAGAGGCCTCTTCTTGTTCTTCTCCCTCTTCGAGAGTTTTTCCGGAGCCAATTATAGTTCCCCTTGCAATTGGCGGCATTAGCGAGCCCACAAAGGTTCAGGGCTGACCTTTCCGGCGGGCCAATTTCCCACAAGCTAAGCTATCGGTACCATTGGCAGGCCCAGCCAGCGGGTAACAATTTCACGCGTCGACCGCTGCAGTAGCTCCTGCAGTTAGTGAGTGAGTAAGTGCATCACGAGACAAGCCAGACAAGACCAGACCAGACAAGACAAGATAGAGCTGACAGACAAGGAGTTAGACTTGCTTCTATGCAAGTAGGACCCCGGTCACACTTCAAATTCCAGCGATTCGAGAGGAAGCCAACGGCTAGCCTAGCCGATCGACTCCTTTAGATAAAAAGAAGACCACCCCGCAGTCCGACTGCTTTCGTCTGATCTTGACGTCTCCATCACCCCATCATACCGATCCAATCCACCGCTTTGAGCAGCACAGTGGCGACCAACACCGACGACACAGGCAATCCCTGTGCTTGGCCATCTATTCAGCCGCAAGAAAGGGCTTCGAAGGTCCTCCGGGGACCGTTGTATCATCATCACAAGCATCATATATTCTGTCTGCGTCCATATACCGATGTTCGTCCGCTCATTCGCTGGCTTTTGTTTGGTTCGGTCTTGAATTACCATTGGGTTTGAATCGTGTGGTTTTTCTCCCCTCTCGTGCAGGGTGACCCTCATACGCATCGGTCGCTTTCGCGAAGGAAGAAGGAAGGCTTTCGAACTTGGGACTCGAGTAAATATTTGTTCTAGGCTGTGCCGGAGTGTATTCTTTATCGTTACCGTCGTCGCCGTTGCCGTCGCCGTCGCCTTCTCGAATATTCGAAGTAGTAAGTTAGTTTCGGCTTCCTTGTTACAACAGGATCTCGTTTAGGATCTTGGACTGGTTCTAACATTCGCAAGGCTAGCACTTGAGTAGGAAGTTACCGTATCTGTTTGATGTAGTTGTGGCTGCGGATGACGATGTGAATGGGTGGTAGGAGTAGGACATAGGTAGCTGGGCTGCTTCATACGACGCTGTTCAACGGTGCCTGCATTTCGGCGACGTCTTTCGATTCCAAACCATTTCCTTAACCACTAGTTCTTAACCTCCCAACCAAGCAAACGTCTACAAGACAAATATTTCTCGCATTCATACTTCTTATAGAACCTCCAACTATCCACCAGCAGTCTATTTTTTGACGATGATAGCTCTGTGCTCGAGCTCTCGAACCTGGTAGCGTAGGAAGTCATCTGTATACAGAACTGACGATTCTATCCTTTCTCTCCCTCCTTCCCTCCTTCCCTCCTTCCTTCTCTCTCTCTGACTCCCTATTATCTTGACGCGACATCACTTCACAACCAACCTACTTGCATCACAGCAACCTCACATTCAATACTTCCAACTTCATTTAACATGGCAGCTCAACGTCCCCCACAACCGCAGCCTGACATGGCCGATGTCATTGTCATATCTTCATCTCCATCTCCTTCACCTTCTCCTCCTCCAGAGGCTAGGAACGAAGGCCCCATCGGTCCTGTTGTTGACGACGACTTCTTCCCTCCATTCAACCTCCATGATTTAGAAATGCAGGTGGAGCAACCTCCCCCACCAGAACCAGAATTTCCCTCCCCAGATCAATGCCTTGCAATGCTACTTGGTCTTTTCCCTGATATCGATCACACTTACGTTATGGGTCTCTACGAAAACAATTTCGAGAATGTCCAACTTCAAGGGTTGAACATGGTTGATTTTCTAGCTGATCAAATTCTCGAGACAAATGGCGGCTATCCTAAGTTAAAGCGAGAGGACCGAGCAGCCAAAAGGAAGAGAGAGCAAAGTCCTTCCGAAATGAATGCACAAGAGCTAGAAGATAAATATTGCAACGATCCCACTAGATTTATTCCTTCGATGCCTGTCCGCCAGCTAAGGTAAGTGCTATTTTTTACAACTAAATTGTAAATTCCTTTCCGGGAATATCGGCATCTTTCGACATCATTGTGGACCTGTGGTTACCACACTTCCGGCTACACTGCTTTGCTCGAAATTGAACACTATACATGGAAAATGACATCCTACTTGCTTCATCCCATCCCAAACACAAAAAAGTCCTCTTTATATCAATCACTAACAAACAATTTATCTGCCTAGCTCTAAGCTACTCAGGAATGCATTCCCATTGATTCCCGCCGCCTATATCGATCAGGAATTGTCTAGGAGCCGGTATTATATCTTTGGTGCATTCCAAGCGCTCGCTCAAGCTGAATCGAAGTTCGATGCAGACCCTGCCAAGCCTTACAAGAAGCTTACTAGGGTCAGAAAAGCGGTTCCAGATGAATTACTCAAGGGTTATGTTAATCAAATACAACCGGAGGAATACAACAGCTTCATGGAGGAGTTGAGACAGGCCAAGAGAATATACGAGCCAATAACCTGTAAGTTGAAGTGCCCAAAGACTGGTCAGAGAAGAAGCGTTAACCATTGGCATAGTCAGAGGGGGCGCTGGGGCAGGGCCAGCCGACCAGTCTGACGAAGAACTAGTTGAATGGTAAGTTACACCCTCTCTTAGAATTGCGATCTAGTTGATTTTTAACGTGAAAACCGGTAAACCAGTGGATGCTGCTTCGGCGAGGTCCCCCCTTCACAGGCGACACAATGCACGGATGGCCATCTCTTCTGTCTCCAATGTGGGAAGCAAAACGCTAAAACAGAGATTGGCCAGCAAAGGTACAAGCTGTTTTGCATGGATACATCGGGGTGTCGAAAGGAATTCTCGCCACGTGAAATCCGAAGATTCTGTGATGAGAAAATGGTTTCAGCATTGGAAAGATTTGAGCAACGAGACATGATTATGAAGGTATTTACCCGTTGCCGACCACCCTCTCACAAAGGAAACTCACGCTAATGTTATGACAGGCCGGCATCGAAGACCTCGTAGAATGTCCTTTTTGCGAATTTGCTCTTATAATGCAGTCGTCTGCTGAAGACGACAAGGAATTCCGATGCCAAAACCCCGAATGTGGACAAATCAGCTGCCGACTCTGCAACAAAGTAACTCACATCCCTTATACTTGTGAAGAGAGCGCCAAAAACAAGAATGAAAACCTGAGGAAGGACGTTGAAGAAGCGATGACTCAAGCTTTGCTTCGTAAATGCGGGTATGAATCCCTCCTATGGAAGATAACGAGCCTTACTCATGGCGCTCTTTACTAGGAAATGCTCGCTTCCTTATGTGAAGGAAAGTTCTGGATGCAACAAAATGTACTTCACTTAGAACCCCCCAATAGAGCGCTTTTACTAACTTTATTCTAGCATTTGCACTCGCTGCGGCGCCATGAATTGGTAAGATTGTCAAATTCTTCTTGATTAGATGATCGAACTCTAAACTCTCCGCTAGCTACCTATGCTCGAAAGTAATTAGAGATTACAATCATTTCAATGACCCTGCGCGAGGGGGGAGGTCCGGGAACTGTCTTCTATTCGACAATAGTAAGGCCGTTCATAGACCCATCCTTTGCTCCATTTATACTAACATTTTGCAGCCGAAGAACGACACCACAATGAAGTTGAAGCCGCAGAGCGAGCTGCGATTGCTAAAATTAGGGCTGAGAATCCAGAAATTACGGAAGAACAGATGCGGATTCAGCTTTCACAAGTCATTATCGATGATGAACGACAGAAAATTGAGGCAGGGAATCGCCACGCTCCTAGGGCCCAAATCCACCATGGTAGAATCCAGCACATGCCACCAGGACGCTTCCCACTTGGTCAACCAGCCCCACCACCAGTGCTTCCACCCGAACCAGGACCCAATGTACGTCAGGTTCTTCAGGTAATGAACCCCATGATACGGATACCATTCCAACCCATGCTGCAGGTCCCCGCAGCATTCCCCCTAGATCCAGGATTCCGAATTGGAGTTCCGATGTACCAACTACAAATGCTAAGGAACCCAATGATCCAGGTAAATCCACTCCCATACTTGGGTAATGCTGTTCCCTTCCAAGGTGCTCCCGGATACGCGGCTCCTCCTCCCCAGCCTCTGAATTTCATCCAACGTTTTATGCAGCGGCCGCCAGCGGCCCCTATCCCGGCCCCTCCACAGCCGCAGATGGTAGACGGTATCTATGGTGTAGCTCTTCAAGACCCCTTTAATCAATATGGGTTCCCGGTTGCCCAACAACCGATTGGTCTACAACCCCATGAGCAAGTACAAGCGCGAGCACAAGCAGAATTAGGAGCTCGTCTACAACAGGCCCAAGCTCAAGCACAACAGGCTCAACTTCAAGCACAACAGGCTCAAGCTCAGGCTCAGGCTCAGGCTCAGGCTCAGGCCCAGGCTCAGGCCCAGGCATACGCGCAAGCGCGAGCCAACGGCAATCCCGGATTTATCCATCGAAACTTTGGTGGGAATAGATTGGTAGCCAGGGGCCGACAAGCCGCTCACAATCGAGCTATCCAGCACCCCCAGCTTATCCCCGACAATGGGAACGATGTTGGAGGGGCTGCTAACGCTGCCGTTCCCGATCTGCGAGCCGGTGCGCCCGCAACTCACGGCGCTAAGCCCGCACCTGCCCCGGATTTTCCCGTCGTTCGTCGTCCAGCGAAGATCATGAAGAGGAAGTAGAGAGCGGTGTTCCTCTCATATTACACCAACTCAAGTTGATCTTAGTCGATGTCATCTCATCATTATTGCCAAACCCCTTATATTTCCTTTTCTATTATGTTAGGCCCACCCCGCCTTCAAAACTCCTTCTCTTTTCTTTTCTTTTTAGGTTACTCAACCTTTACTACTAATTTCCCGAAAGTGTGCCGTTTTTAGCGAATATATCTGTTATTTGGGAGCGGTGGCGTCGGCGTTTTCATGATGGGCTGCGATTTCTTTTCTGCTTCTGCTTCTCCTTTTTTCTTTTATTTATTCATGATGCTAGGGTGGAGGGTTTTCAACAGTTTACAAAAATAGGGGGGCGATGGTTTACTGCACAACTTACTGTTTTCCTTGTTCAAAAGCCTCTGATTTCCCTACATACTCGTGTTTTCATTCCTGTCATCTATCACCCATCTTTTTATACGGGACAGGGCAAGTCTATGATGTCAATGTCGACATTATGGGTGCTAGCATGCAGTGGCAGAACTGAACAGCACGGGGGCCTTTGCATCCATTTTGTATACAAGAGCTTCGAGATATCGATAATTAATCAATATAATGCATACCTGCAAGGTACATATACTTACTAGGCATGGTATTGAAAATACCGGTACCTACGAGGGTATAAAATCACCCGAAGAACTACATAGCGAACCCCATACCCTAGTAACTCATGCTTCCCTTTGTGACAATCTAGGAACGAGATCGGATAATTCTATAGAAACGTCCAGGATGTACACACTTGAAGTCTCCCCAATGAGTCTTTCCGCCCTGATCCACGGTATGAGCGCTTGGAACCATTAATCTATGCGTATTGTGCCTATGCGGATTTTGACAAACATTAAATAGGTATTTCGGAGAAGAATGTCTCTTTCGCAGGAGGCCTCATCTGAATTCGGAGTCGGCTAGTCGTTGAAGAATAGGCGGATGGCAACGGATCAAGACTCTCTTCCTCACGCGTTTACACAGGACGACACCCAGAAAGACAAACTGTTTACCGACTCTAACAGTTTTCTAGTACCACTTACGACCCAGTCCCGTAACCAAACTGTGTTGGGTACGACACCGTTACGATCCTTACTGAGCTCTTTGCCCGGTTTCTGGGGGGTAGTGCAACACCATCTCCGCTTCAAGGGTGCTTGAATTTGGGACTATGGCATCACTATAGTCTCGAATATTCCTTGCCTAAGGCGCTTTTTTCTCTGTCATAGCTACTAGGTCTACGGTCGACAAGGTGGAGAGTTATAAGACGGGTGACCTCCGACAAATAACCACTCTATTCGACCTCTAAGATGCTAGGTGTCTGTATTAGATGTTATAAAAACTTAATACTAAGACACAACCTCTAATACAGCTCATAGGTTAGTCTTGTGTTGCAGACGCGGTCCACACTTCGCTCATAGGTAGCTTTAGGGCTAAACATTCATACATTGATCAAAGACTCGTAGGCAGACATAGACAACCTCCTCACCAACTGCATGTTGTCCCAAACCCGTTTCTAAATCGTCTGAGAAACATATTGTGTTGGTTGGGCACAAAATCCAACATGGTCACGTGAAATATCCGAATAAGGACTAGTGGCCTCTTGTGGAACCGTCGATGACGAATCAGGACGACGTCAACCTTTCCAACAAAGTCGCGTTCGCTAGAGCTTCACGAAACGAAAGCTCCCCATCCAACGATCGTATCAAAAAAAGACAATACCGCCAAATATTTCCTTTTATAAAGCCCATCACGTCTTCAAAAATGGCGTCTAACCCACTAGATCGATCGAATGTCACTAGGATAATAACGAAAAGCTTAGGCGGGACCGATGAGAACCCCGCGTCGAGAGCCCCGCTCCGCAACGCTACTGAAGCTATTGCAGTACTTTCACATGCATGCATGGTAGCAGTCGACTTCAAATTATTAGGATTTGAAGAGGATGATAGGATAGGTGTGTTAACTTCTCCTTTCTCAGGATATCTTGCATCAGACAAAAAAACTAATGTACTGGTACTTCTTCGAATATACAGATGAGGCCATTGACCTAGAATCGTTGAAGGCACTACCATCACAATGGAGCTCCTCAACATCATCACTTGGGTTCCGGTACTCTCATAATCAATCTGCCATGAAGTTTCTATTAAGGATCAACCGACTAGGTGGCAAGATAGTCATCATGGCTCTCGGTCTGGGGGATGACAAGACTGCCACGCTGGAACTTGTCACAAAGGATTGGATATCGGAGTCATTCTTTTCCGAAGACACATCATCATCCGACTCTAGGAGACCAGTAGAGGAAGCCTACATATCCCCTTCAAGGATTAGTGACCTAATTGCCTCCTTCAAATCAAATATTATACAGAAACTTGTTCCAGGACTACATAAACCAGGATACGAGGAGGCGGCAGAAGCGGTTACATCTGCCTCTACTGCTGCATCAAGCTCAAATCAAAGAAGAGAAGGAAGCGGAAGACCTCCCCGCCCGCCAGGGATGGAAGGTCCTGGTGACTACGATCCTTTACGTATACCATCGAGGGGAGGTCCACCTAGACCGTTCCGGAGCCCTGAAGACCCTCCTGGCTTCGAAGACGAATACGAGATTAATCGCCCACCTGGGAACCCATGGGGCTTCCCTGGTGGTGGCGTCGGAGGCGGAAGGAATCCCTATAGGATTGGAGATGATGATCTGAATCCACCTGGGTTGGGGGCGAATCCGACGTTACGAGGTCCGTTCTTTGGGGAGGAAGGAGGCAATGGGATGTTTGTGGGTCCTAATCACCCTATGTTCGGTGGAAGGCAGGGCGGCGGTGTGCCGGATCCGCGGTGAGTGATGAAATAATTTCTGATTTTGAAAAAAAAATTTTAAAAAAAATTAGGATCATGGAGAAGGCTGTGAAGCCGTATGGCCCTTGATACTGGTGATGCTGATACTTGGGTACAGGTTCCCGCCCGGCTCGAGGTATGACCCCGTAGGACCCGGAGGGGGTCCACGGGGAGGGTTTGGGGGACCTCGAGGGGGGTTCCCACGGGGTCCAGGTGGTGGCTTTGGCGGATTCGGGTCCGGTGACTTCATCTAGCCCAGCTAGGTCAAGGATGCCTTATCACGGCACGGAATACGACAAGGGCAGAGCGAGCGAGAGGGGGGTAGAGAGGCAGTACGGAAAGGATTCGCGAGGTGGGGCTTCCTTGATCAAGACCCCCTATCCGTTCATTTTTCGGCATGACCAATGAAATGACTCTACGACAAGAGGATCTGGACACCGTCGATGCAGCAGGCTGTGTCATATTAGCTGCTTTTGGTATCAGTTTTAGTGCCTTGAATGTCAAATGACAGAAAATGATAATGACCAATTGTTGGCGAGGGAGGGGTACATGGAAACCTCCAGTGTCCGTTTATAGTACAATCTGTCCTTAGTTACCTTGAGGGTATGGTCTGCCGTTCATGTGTACAGACTGCGGCCTAGCTAGGCTTATTGAATAGTATGGAAGAGCGAACGAGAATTTGAAGAGGCGGATCGAGACAAAGGCAGACCACACACACACACACACACTCCATATGCATCGCTTGCAGCCAGTTGTTGCCAGTCCCCTGTGAATCCCAAACGACCACTGAGCTATTATAGCTGCGACTACTTGACACCTTGGACACCGTGCATAAGGAATTTAATGCCGTCCGATTAGTGTTCTGGCAATCGGGATCAAGATAGATCACGTTAAAACATGTTTCCCTTACAGCCTGTAAGTGCTGGGGGGTTGGTTTGTCTAACGGCGCTTGGAAGTTTATGCGCACATACTTAGCTTCGTCAGTCAGCCTAAACTTGCCAGTTCTCGGGTTTGGTACAGAAAAATGTGTTGTCGAACAAGATTACAACGGTTGGGCTGTCTCAAAACCTCGAAGTTGCATGTCTTACCAGATTACCCTTATCATGAACTAGTTCACGGCTGCCAGATATCAGATTTCGATCTTAGAACGCTAGGGCGACGGCTCGGATGGATACTGATAAGTAAGTATTTGGATTTGGATTCTGTCAGCATTACAGAGACACGATCCTTAAGCTTACATCACCTCAAAATACTAGCTCGTGGTTTCCTCTATTGTTGCATTGGGCAAGGCTCCTCAGGCCAAACCACAGTTGCCCGGTTGGTGGCCCCTACTAACGCTGATGCCGATTGGTATCCGAGCACTATCTCAAATATTATTTCGGGGACGCCCTATACGACAGACGCGAATGGCTGTTTAGAAATTTGCCAAATCGCCTTTCATCCACAATATTTGCAGGCCCGCTGCGCTGCAGCTTCATTCCAATGTGTGTGCTTGAAATTTGCATTCAAGCCTCTCAATCATCGTGTAGGGGAAGGCTGGACATGCGCTGGAACCGAGCTTGCAAGAGCAAACACCGAACACCACTGCACCCCGGCGAATGATGAAACGACATATTTAAGTATCAATATTATGTATGTAATGCGAAAAAAAACCAAGTGCTTGCGAAAACACTGAATGAATCAGATATCAGGCCGTCCAGGCCTTCCTAGCTGTCGTCAGAATATACGGGCCATGGCCACAATCTGACGGTTCGAATAAATTGATTACACGCCTCCAATATATTTTTTATTTTTTTAAGAAAAAAAATATATAATTTTTTGCTGAAAAGGAAAGACCGCATAATACAAGGCTCAATTCGAACCTTTTGCCGCAAAGTGTTTGTGCGTGGTCCAAGATGTTCCAGAACTTCGGATAGCTATCGACACGAGGTGCCTGTTTCATCGATGCTGCGGCTCCCCCGCTTGTCTGGGCAAGGCGAATTGGCATCGTATCGGGAAAAACTTTCGACCCCAAAAGGCCTTGATTGAGAAGAAAGGGAATTCGATTTTTACCTTATCAAGAACAATGCAATGCCTCGACATGAATAGAACCTCACAATACAATGCCACTAGGAAACGGGATCGATACTTCCGGACGGCTGAGAGTTGTCCGCAAAAGCTTAGTACCCTTTTATTAGCTCCACGGCAGCTATCTACGGTAGTACCTGCCGACGAATCACATCAGAGATCGAGATTTCTTAAATCCTTCTATGTAATCCTCTGTTGGACGAGCTGAAAACCCCCAGCTGTCAAATTGCGCCCCCTGTAATTTGCAATTCGATTCCTTCAGAAAGATTAGGAAATATGACACCTTGTCCTCGGCTCAAAAGTCTTGAGAGAAAGATCGATCATCGAAGATATGAGAAGCTATTCAAGGACAAACACTAATAATAGTGGGTCATGAGTGACAATGCAACCTCAGGCGAGGTGCGCGGAACTCCTGCCCGCTTACATACATGTATATCGTTTGAAAACTAAAACATATCAGTTTTTTCTCTCTCTCTCTCCCGCCTGCCGGCTTCGTCATCGCTACTAGCTAGCTGCGGATCGGTGACCACCACGACGTCGGCGGACCTGTTGAATACAGCGCCTATGTAGGATGCTGCTAGTGTGCTGCAAAGCGATATTGTCGGGATGTAATCACGTAAGTTTGTAAATTTGTATCATGCATTTCCAAATATACAATCAATGAAGGGGGGGGTTTTCCGACCGACTGTGCATGTGGGTCCGTAGACGTCTACGCAAAAATACTCAAAAAAGACCCATGATCACAAATATTTCCAAAAATTCACAAACTAGCCGGTTTCCCGCCCCCCCCTTCCTCTCTCTCTCTAAAAAAAAAAAAGAGACATGCATCTTCACTTCCTTCCCTCTTTATTTTTACGCTGCACCCGCCGCCTAAAGATGGAAGGGCCTATTCTTTTCGTCGTGCATATGCAATACATGGATTGTGTATGCATTGACCAGGGAGGGTCCATTTTTCAAAAAAAGAGTTACCAAAAGTTTTCCCAAGATCTGACGCGGCCGTGCATGGCTTTGCGTGTAGAGAACTTTGCTTCTTGCGGGTGGATTTGATTTCGACCCTTACTAAACGGACGTGATACGCAAAGAATGAGAAAAAGGTACCTGGTACTTGCACTGATTACAATGGAGGGCTGCAGTCCAACATTCATCGCTTTTGCGATGATACATGTACATACATATCCGCCTCTTTTTAATGTTTCTGGATTAGCGGGAAATTGGAAGTGATAGAGGAGGGGTATTAGACGAAATCTGACATGATAGACGGAAAAGACGACAGACCATGACATGCGCTTTTGAGAGATTTTTTTTTTTTACTTTTGCTTTTGGTTCTTCGAATACCCTGGTCCCTGTTGGATTACTACTTACTTACTGACTTTTACTTCCTTAGTTCCCGACAATCCAATTGATGGATTGGCGGTCTTGGTCGAGGAGGTCGCGAGTCGGCATGCGTTTTTGTCGAAGTCTTTCCATAGGGAAAAGAAAATCCCCGATCATAATCGCATTATAACAAAAAGAAGAGCATTAAGACTAACTAATCCGAATATTGAAACGTCTATACGAACGAGTACATCGACTATCTTTTCTTCTTCTTCGAGTTAACGACACATCGATATCCATGCATATTCACAAATAACTAAGCAAAGAAAGTTGTTAATTCTTTTTCTTTTTGACTTCTGGCCTGACTCTTGCAGATTGGTCTCCACAAGGACCAGGGAAGCTAAAGAGGGAGAGAGAGGGGTGATGGTTTGACTGTTGGTTTATCGCGGATGGTAGCCCTCCCGCGGTCGGTCAGTCGCCTTCAGGCTCACGCTCGTCTGGGTATTTCCGCGTGATTGCTCATAATTTCTGTTAGCCAGCATATTATCCCGGTGAATCTACCATCTCGTATCTGCGCGGTCCCCTAGATCCGATCCTAATATATTCAAAGCACGAATATTGTGGTAAAGTACATGTATGTATACCTACAATTGAATAGAATTACTATTAATTATACCGGTAATCCGAAATATCTCCCGTACTTGCAAGAAAGAATAGAAGGTCAAAGCAACCTTTTATTTATTTATTTATTTATTTATTTATATATATATATATATTTATTTTCTATTTATCACTATTTTATTTTGTTTTTTACAAATCGGCACCAGGGATTAGCAGGGTGGAAAAAAAGAGTAACAAGGTCTCTGAGGGCTGAAGTTTTACGAAATGGCGGAAGAGTTAAGACCAATTGGGTATTTGGCTGCACAGGGAAAGTAACACAGGCCCATTTTCTTTTGGGGGGCTGTTGATCTCGTATCTTAACGGCGCCAACACCATAAATTTCCGCCCGACTATACTACCCAACTGGTTAATGTACTTACCAAAACCTTCCTCGCATTCTTTTTTTCCCCTTTCCATGGGTGAAAGGACTTAACGCAGTTCTCCTTAAGTTCGATTTCGGTGTAATATTATCCTGGCCTGGGTTTGCATTGGGGGTTTGGGGTTTGGGGTTGCACATACATACGATGCCGGCTTCTTTGGAAACAAGATCGCAAACGCATGCACAAGGGTTAAGGGTGTGTTAAATATGAAAGGATACGGAGTTTTTCAGGATCCTCGAACGGGTATTCGGGATCCAAGTTGTAAAAGCGGGATAACTATCAGGAACACCCTGGATTGAACGTGAATGGGAGATGCCGAATAACTTCGCCGTGGGTTTAGATCAAATCTGATGCCTCTAAAGGTTCAATATGCCTAGTTTGTATAGTGCTAAATACATGAATTTGGAATATAAGAAAGGAAGAAAATCTTGAAGCGTGAAGGACTTTACCAAGATAACTATCAAACAATATGGTTTTGGCGGCCTAGCCCCAACGAGTGACCATCCAAACATGGAAGAAAAATAAAAGAGAAAAAAAAAAGTCGGAAGGGATCCACCAAATGACAAAAAGAAGAAGTGAAGGAATAGGATAAAAGGTACCCGAGAAATACGAATAAGTAAAAAAAGTAGTAAATACAAGTAAAAGCAACTGAATAACTAAGTAATATTCACGAAACCTTCAAAAACTCGGTTGGCCTCCCAGTTACAATAAGGAAGATGCAAAGTCAATGCGTTTGAACAGAATTCAAGGGTTGCAAGCAGAACACCAGAACGCCGAAAAAAAAAAAATGATAAATGATAAACGAAAAAATGTAACAGGGAATAAGAAAAGACAAATACAGGTCGAAAGTTTGCTTCGCAGACTAAAATAAGTAATAATGGCGTTCTTTGCAGATACATTGTAAGCTCTTCTAACAAAACGCCTTAGAGGGAAAAAGGAAAAACATGTTTGTATGTGTATGAGGAAGCGAGTGACACCAGTACTTAACTCCAAATATCCTAAAGAGGAAATTTTATGGTAAGAAAGGGAAAGAACAGCAAAGCAAGCAACAGCTCAGAGAGCCAAATGAGGGTGCCTCCCACATAAACGCCGCATGATGATACTCCAGAAAACAAATGCCTAGAGGAATGCTTCATAGTAAAACAAGAACTTTTTTTCAAATGTGGTGGGAGGCAATCAGAGATGCAGACTGGGAGACCGTTCCAAGTCGATCCTGTAAGCACGGCCCATCAAAAGATGGGCTTCCATTGGTGGCCGGGACCCGAAGGATGACTTCCTGGAGCCGCTCCTTGATGAAGAGCAAGATTTGATTGGAGATGGGTTTGGTTCACGGTTTGGAATAATTGGGCTTCTTCTCTTCTTTGACTTGGACTTTGGGAAGCCACTTCGCTTTGCGCAACCGTCATCCTCGTGCCTAGAACGCAGATATTAGTTGGATGTGGTTGGATAGTGGGTTGGATAATAATTTTTTTACCTTCGAAGAGTATCCTTTCTTGCGAACATGCTGTTGCAAAGATGACATTTGAATTCCTTCTTCTTAGAATGAACCTAGATGATTGCTCATATTAGCAACTGATGTTGTAATTATAGCACTTGGTTGAACTTACACAAGTCTCATGCCTCTCTTTGTCCGTCTTCCTCACGAAAGACTTGCCACAAGTAGGGTGTGAACACTGGAATGGCTTAGGGCGATCTGGGTCGTGGGTATTCTGATGCGCCTTAAAGTTCCATATCCTCTTGAAGTGTTTACCGCAATTGTCAAGATGGCAAGTATAGACAGCCTCATGTGCAGAGGTAAACTGACGCTTAGGCTTATCGCCACGGTTACCTGGCATAGATCTATGCAAAGCCATAGAGAGATCTGGGTTCTCTGTCTTAGTTTCGCTATCGTGCTGAGGGTATGAAGAGTAAGATGATGAAGATGAAGAAAGCGCACCATTAAGATTAAAAGAGTCTGAAAGGCCCTGAGTAGATGGTGGAACTGAAGAGTTACCATCGTCTGTAGAAGGAGCAGGAGTATGATAATAGATACTCTCATGAGAGAGTTGCTGTTGCATCGGAACACTGCCGATTGAAAGAGAGTTCGGGCTCATACTGTAATCGTCTTGGAAAGTATGAAGACTGTGTTCTGGAGATGGCATATAGACAGGACCACTCGAATGGTTTGAGTATCCAGCTGGGATATTTGCCGTGTCAACACCAGAGTACGAATAATGGATTGAATCGTCTTGGTAGACACTAGAGTGGTATGATAGCGACGTCCTTGGTGTGCTCAAATAACTCTCTGGAGGTTGTTTGAAAAGGGTTCTTTCATCCAAGATACCATAGTCCTGTGCGTCTTCGGAGCTTGATGACATGCCCAAGTTTGAAGTCTTTCTCTTAGGCATTCCAAAGTATGCGTACTCCTGAGGAAACGCAATAGGGTATAGAACTTCAGTCATGAGGATACCTTGAAAACTGACAGTGACTTGAAGAAGCTCACTGACCCGAGCTCACAACTAAAATCAAGAGGGTTGAAAAATGGAATTATTTTATGTTTGTTCTTGGGAAAGTGTGGTATCCAAGCAGCTGAGGTAGAAATTGGTGGGAGAGTGGGTATCTAGACTCTTGGTAACGGGCGTCATTTGTCAGTAGGAGATTCACCCACACTTATAAGCAAAAATGTCACAAACAAACCTTTGAACGAGCTATTGGCCTATAACTGCGTAATGCTAGACTTTCTATGTTAAGCAAGGCTTAGATGCTGCAAATGTGCGGTGTTGTTAGCATGTTCTTTTTTTCTTGATCCCAGAAAGTCGCAAGGTTTAGGTCCATGCGTTTCGCATTTGTTCTTCGATTCAACAGGTCTTTCTATTATGTTGGATGATATCCGGACCGAGAGAAAAAAACACAGAGAACCGCCATATAGGAATAGAGGCGATCTGAAGATCGGAGAACAGAAATGTATTCACAGAACAGGGTTTCACTTACGAAACTTAGAGTCTCTGAAGAGAAAGGCTACGCCGTCGGTGTTTACTTTGAGGCGAAAAATTCGACAGCGTCGACAATGGTGTAGGGTGAGCGAAAGTCTCGACTAAAAGGATATAGCTACTGTGCGTTTGAAAAGGCAGCAAATGTCGTAGTAATAACGTTGGACCGAGATTTTGTTCCAAAGGGCCCCAACTGTATACGTTTCAGATCGTCCAATAGAAGCCGTTTTCAAGGGTTCGAATATGTGCGTATCGTGTTATTGTCGTTGGAAATTTTTCGCAGTGCCACGGACGTCGCTGGTGAAAGTACTGAATTGAAATAAACTCGGAGTAGTCTAGGTATGGCGCTCGGAATCGAGAGAGAATTTTTCGTGCACAGCAGATGCTATTATAGATGTATAGTGGGAAAGCAAGGAATCGATGAAGGTTCGATAGGAAAAAGTAGGCTGTGTCCGTTTGAGAGTGGGCTCCTTGATCTTCTTTGATGCACTGTTGCTGTTGGTGTAGATGCACGAGCTACTACAGCTATTCCACTATGGGCCTACTGTCTGTCGTATGAGATGTTACTGTTGCTGTTGACAGTTCAAGTTGGTGTTGAAGTTAACCGTTTCGAATTCCGTGATATCGGTGCGCTCTGTTGGATATAGTGTTGACGAGGTTGTAGTAGGCGAAATATTCCCAGCCGGGGAGATAAAAATCCAACAATGGACCCAAACCAACAGGACGGTTATGCTCCCTTTGTTATAATCTACTGTACCCAAACTGAAGCTGTGAGGTATGCGGGTGAAAGAGAGCTGTGATGGGTTTTCTTTGAGAAAATATGGCGTGAAGGAATTTCGAAAAATAGCTTGTTGAAGTTGAAGCAAAAAGCGTTTGAGGCAAAAGAATTCCTGCTGGATGTTGGTGGAAAAGCTTGGACAAAATAAAGCAGGTGGATGAACGATAAAGGTAAAGAAGGGTATGTGTAATTAAAAAGGAAGTAAAGTAAGAGCCTTGTCTTAGAGTGAGTAGACTTTGAGGCTTGTCAGGAGTGTGTGGAGGGCCTTGATTGTTCTCAGACGGTCCTTATGTAGTTTGCGTCGACGAAGAAGGAAAGCTGCTGTCTTCCTATTGTGCAAATACGCGAGTCTTTATGTCCAGTTTGCTCTTTGTATGGGAGGGTGTCAAAAGGTACCCGTAGAATGGTATCTTTTTTCTCCCAGGGAACAGTGATACGGTACCTGGCGTCGGGGAGCTAAATGCAGCAAGGCAAATTGACCCAGGGAACAGACGATGAGATCTGTACTGGCCCTGGAAGAAACAAGCCTCCAACGTTCATGCAAAGACCGTCTAATATTTCCCTGATGGAGTCCGGGTAGGGCTTTGTTCGGTCGATACTGGGCTGTGGCGATGTCGACCTAGCGGTGCCCGACGTAGAAGCGCTTCGCGTTTAGGAAACCAATGTTGGCGGTGCCCATGTACGTCCCTTCATGCGATCCATTGTATGCATCCACGAGAGAGCTTAGCTGCCGAATTTCCTTCTGCCAGAAGCAGGTTCATGGCAAAGTCGAAACGAATAAGGATTAAGCTCCCATTTTAAATTTCAAATGGTCCTTCGAACCTGGCCTAACTTTTCGAGCCATTATCTCCCTGGACACCACCCGTGAGCAGCCAAGGCGCAGCACCCGAATGTTATCCTCTGAGCTCGTGCTTGCGGCTTCATAGGAAAACTGCCCCACAAGCTCGAGTCCTCCATCATGCATGGCCTGTATGTACACTAAAAGAAAAATTATTTAAAAAAGATTGACCCTTGACCAGTCCTTGTATCATACGGTTGCCGAAGTTTGCTATAAGCTTCAGGGATTTGATCGTGAAAGGGAGACACAGAAGCCGGGCTGTTTTGGGTGTCAGAAACCGGATCCCCGCCCTGCAGCTATCGATTCGCTCGAACAGGATAAAAGAAGACCATGCAGCAGGAACTCCAAATTCAATTTCCGCTGAAAGCGCAATTAGCAGGGATGTTCCCACCAAGTACTTCGAAAAATGACATGAGGTGTCAAAAAATTGTGCGTCTAGTCTGGGCCCGAAAGTCACGGGTACTTGTCGAGGGTAAATTTTCTGACTCCTCGCGCATGTTTCGACCGCACTTAATTTAGGGACGGGTGATCGGTATGAGCGGTAGACGAACCTAAGAAATGCGCCAGGACGCATCCTCAAAGCACGCACATTGGACAGGGTTAGCGAGCTCAACAGAACAGGAAAATACACTTTTCTAAGTAAGCCTCAAAACACCGCTTGCGCTGAAGAGTGGGTTCCAATGTCCACACCACAGTGTGCCTATCATCATGCAAAATTTCGAGCTAGGAGTGCTGGGTGGGACGGAAAACCAATCAGTTAGTTTCGGGTTCTGTACAACTGAAGAGTATGGCTGCGCTGGGTGGGGCCCACACTTTGGATTCAGGTGGTCACTGACATGGAGGGGACCGATCCTTACATTAGGCGATATTTGCGCCTGTCGGCGGTACCTTGACAAACCTGTTTTACATTGCGTTCCAAGAAAAGGCCGCTAAGGGCTAACGAGTCGCACCTTCCGCAAACCCGCCATTGCAATCGTCTATGTAATGGTTTCCGCCGCAAAAGAAACCTGATTTTAGGCATCCGTGGAGGATTGAGCCGACGTCGTCCTTGGAAAGTTATTAAATGCCTCTCTTCTGCTGAGATACTTGCAATAACCATGTATTTTCAGCTTGGAAGAGAAATACCCCTAATAATTTGTCGGATCCGCCGATGCGAATGGGCAAGGAATCACACCGCGTTTTAGAAACGAATTTCCCGCGTGGGGACTTCAGAGTCGCTCGTGTAGTATTCCCGACTCCGCGCCGCCAATTAAAGTGGTGGTGTGGTGTCTGTTCACCAATAATGAAGCAGGGTCAAGAAGGAAGTCCGGAATTCCCCCGGCTCACAAAATTTGGTCGGAAAAAATGATCATGTCGATATATTAGTGCGACCCGACGGTTTGGTAGAGGTTGTCTGATATCCCTGAAGGGCTTTACGAGCGATGCCCATTCCGAATGCCACAGTCTTTCCACTCCTTGGCGTCATCCGTGCATGGGATTTCCGATCCGGCCAGAATACTCGGAAATGCGGGCAGAGAAAACTTTGAACGCTTATCGATCGTTGCCAATGGACAACCGGTTTCTTGATAATCGACTGTGATATTATCTTTTGATGTCCCACCCACCTTGCACTTTGGACTACTGCATTGCATGGGGCAAGAAAAGGTGTGTGGGAGATCAAATGTTATTATTAGAGGCGGTTAAACTGCAGTTGAGTGTGCAGTGGTCTAAGCGCCCAGTTCACGCAACCCTGCTGGAATGCCTGCACGGTTCGTCTTGGTATTTCCTCGAAGTGGACAAGTAGGTCCAGAGATACGCAACCTGTGAGCTGGCGGACGGTACTCCCCCCAAAATCGACTACGCGGTCGCTGATGCTTTCGCATTACTCCCCCCGGCTCCATCTATTGTCTCCTGTAAATTTGTATTGTAAGAACATATGTATGTCTACAACATGACATGCAGTCAGAATTTTAATCGATCAACCAACCGTTGCATTATCTATACGAGCTGCGTCCGTCAGAAAGTTCGAAACGGGATCATGAAGCTCGTTAAGGCAGACCGCCTGATCTGAGAATATGGGAGGTCGAATTTGTGAATCGTCCAGGGCGCAGGTCGGGAAACCTGTTTCTGGCATGGGTAAGACGCCACCATGCCCATGGGGGTTGAAGGGGTGAAGATGGTCTTGATTGGGCAGTAGCCGAATGGATGCAAGCATGCGCAGGGATGTGGGCGAAAGTTTGTCATGTTTCACAGGGCCAGACCTGCCTGTTGCCTTTTGTAGCGGCGCTTAACACCACACACTCAACTCATTCTGGCCGCTCGAGTTAACTACATTTCGATGCCAGGAGGCGGGCTCGCCGCTTCCTCACAGCACTGAACAGCTGATTTCATTTTGAATTGATGTAACTCTGCTTGCTTTACGCATCCTTAGTTTCCGACGTTGACATCAAACTGCAGCTTACAATGTTATTCTTAACCGCAAACAATACCTTTCATGTACATGTACCCGCGAGTCGACATGTCGCTTCGATGCACCTCGAAAACGAATGCACATGAATGCAAATAGAATCGACCTCAACCGACAACATCATTCTTCCTTGTAGCCCCCCCTTGGCGGATTGTGAGCCGCACACCTCCCTCTCGGGGATCTAAACGCAACCTTGGTATTGTGAAGTCAAGTCCTAAATTCGGACTAGCGGCAGGTATTAATATTTCCCACCTTTAACAACTACTAAATTTAGTCTGGTCTCAAGTTTCGAGACTTTGGGCCTCCCCGCTTGCCTCGGCCATCTATTTTTTGAATTTCTAAATTCGATATTCCCTCTGAAAGTGGGGCTCCTTTTAACTGGCGGAAAGATTCAAAATGTGATTTACGGC